TTTCAAATCCAGGCGGAGCCGGCTGGTTCCATGGTTCTGCAGAGCCACTGTATCGCGCGGGTACCAACCGGTGCCCCAATTTCAGACCCAGGCGGTGCGCCTCAGGAATTCACGCTGCGCTCACCACTGGACTCTACAAAAGTATTTCGCGCGATGCCCGCGAAAGATCGTCGCGATTTCAGATCCAGGCTGTTCCGCCTGGATCTAAAATCGCGACGATCTCTCGCTTGTAACGGCTAAGGGCATCACGCGAAATACTTTTGTGGTGTCCAGTGGTGAGCGCAGCGGGAATTCCGGCGGCGCACAAGGTCCTCCAGGCGTCGTCACCAAACACGGTGTACAGAACACGCACACAGCACGCACAAGCACAGTATCCAGAGTGCATCGGGAAGTTCCGGCGGGCAAGCGGTATCCGAGTTGTCCGAGTATTGTCACCAAGCACACCAGCGCCAAGCGCATCCAGATGCCGAGCCTAAGTGCAATGGGTTGGCAGCTTCATACTATATGAAGATTCAAAGCCGAGGTCACTGGGTATCCATCCAGGGCAACGATGGGCGCGTCAGTATCCGTGGACAGAGGAAAGGTGTGTGTGTGTGTGGGGGGGGGGGGGGGGGGGGCGGGGGGGGGGGGGAGGGTTTAAATCCTATAAGCTTCCCCCTGGCTACGCCACTGCTTGAGTGGGGGCCCGCGGCGACTGATGGCCACTTTGAATGTTAGCGAAAATTTTAGGGGAGCATATTTCTCGCGACTCCAGTATGCTAGCGCGCTGCCGGTGTAAACTGTAGGAAAGTGAGCTTCGTCGAATACTTGTTGGTGGCAAATGAAAACTAAATCGTGAAATACTTGCCCATATATTCGCCGAGAAACCCCGAGGAAATACAAGCAACGCATCTCGACAAAAAGGCCGTCTAATCAGCAGTCGATCAGGGGCTTTACGTTGGACACTCAACGAGAACGTTGGCGATCTCGCCGATGTTCTCGACCAGTGTCCAACTTAGAGCCCCGGTACGGCCATGTCCATGGCGGAACGGCTTCGGAAACGTTGGAAAGTCCATGCGTGCATGCGGCGAACCCCGACACCTCGGCGGCCGCCATCTTTGTATATTTGTTGCGGTAAATTAAGGCCATGTATTCATTTTGTTACTTTCGTTCCCATATCCCAAAGAAAATATTAGCTGCTAACGCAGCGCGGACGTTTTTACGTAAAATTCACAACCACAGCCTTTTTTTTTTTATTTCTTCGTTGCATCGAGTTAAAATTCCAACCTTCTTACCAATATTGTTGTTCGGCAATATTTAAGATTATACATTTACAATCTACGATTTTTGCATGCGTTTTTCGAGCTGTTAGACATCCTAGGTAACACTTTTTAATAAGACACTTTTTAAGGAGAAGTTACGAAAAATGTTTTAGGCAATCGATATCACGTTCGTGCAAGTCTTTCAAAATGCTGCTCAGTTGGTTTAACATAAAACCTCAGAATGAAGCCAAAGCTTCATTCTGGGGTTTCTGGGCACCGATATCTTTAACTTGCAATAAATGATTATAAGTAGAAAAAATTTTAAAAAAGTGGCAGTACCAGTGATGTGATTGGCCTAAGCCGTTTCGGAGCACCTTTCGGAGCAGCCAAAACAGTGTTTTGGAGCAGAAAAGTGGCCTTAGGAGCAGCCAAAACAGTGTTTTGGAGCAGAAAAAGTGGCTTTTGGAGCAGCCAAAACAGTGTTTTGGAGCAGAAAAAGTGACTTTTGGAGCAGCCAAAACAGTGTTTCAGAGCAGAAAAAGTGTTTTCCGAAGCAGTTATTCTTAGAAAAATAAAAATATTTGTTTTAAGTGCTGGACAAACGAAGAGTGCTTTGCTCGCTGCAATAAACAAATTACGGCCAAGTTAGACCACCTGAGAGTCTTTCAACATGTAACTGAAGTGCAAATGACATGACAGATTTTGCAATGCCTCAGTTAAATGATACATATATATGTATCCGTCATAAATAAATATGAACCAAACTGCACATATTAAGCCTTATTTGAAAATGACCAGCTTAGTAGTAAATATCACAGCATTAGCTTGACCAGTTATATAATATATGCAAGCAGTCTTAGGCTGATGAAACACGTAACTACTGCAGTGCAATGCGAAATTGTACACAAGACGAAGGTGCATTACGACTAGCGGGTGCTTTTCTTTTTGCTTTGCGAAACTTCCAGCAAGGCTGCTGCAAGCCTCGCTTTGCCTTTGGCTAGTAATGAATGTCCACTTGCAATGCCTCCAAAGAGACATTGAAACATCCAGCAAGTGTATGCATACATTGCTGAAGCCACTGCCGAGCGATTTCGAAAAACCGCTCGCCACCGTTTTACTGGATCCCGACGTGCCAGATTTTCATCAAGAGTAAGCAAACGTAAAACAATGGATTGCAAGCGGCCCAGAAGGTGCCTCTGTCGTGCATTCATGTTCGCATGCACATGAGGGCAACTTCCGCAAGCTTGCAGCTGCATGTGCTTCGACGCGCGAGCGGAGATGGCCGTTCGATCGAAACTCTCCGCTCCGTCACCAACTGGTTTCCAAAATTGTATGCGAAATGTAACTGTCCAGCATATATACGACAAAGAACGGTCCAGCGGCACGTGCTTGCAAGGCCGGCTAAACACACAGAAGCTAACAAGCTAAACACACAGAAAAAAAAGAACCTGAGCGCATCGATGCAGGACATCGCGAGCCATGGGGTCAAAAAGTTCTTGGAGCGCTTTGTGCAACGGCTGAACTCGAGACAAACAAGCGCGCTGTGCGGGTTCAGCGTGCAGACATTGCATTCTTTGCTTTAGCTCACTTCACTTCAACTTTATTTGGCGGCAGATTTTTCACGTACTGGGGTACGTCTCGAAAGAAAGCCCACCAGGAGAAACCTATGTAATCAATACTTCGACACAGCAGTCCTTGAGTTAAAGAAAGATTTTTGTAGTAAAGTATGATTTAAACAAGAACAGGAATGTTGATGAACAAGCGGCGGTCCTTACGTTACAGTTTAGAAAGCTTCAGCGACATGGGGACGGCAACACTTGAGTTCGCGCGGCCACGGTGACTGGCAGACAGGGACCAAATATAGTTTTCCCGTCATAAACTCATAAACTCGCGCCGCGCAAAAACGTGGTTTCGTTTCACAGCATGACGACATTGCTGGTACCCGGCACACTTGCGTCGGAGCGTACGCGCAAGCCCGCGTCTACAGTTGAAAAAATTTTAAAGAGCCCGCGACCCGCGAGACGACGAGACGACGAGAGCGCGAAACGAGAGACGGCGAGAAAAACCACTGATCTCTATGACAATTGCTGGATCGCGCTTCCCCGCTTGTTCGCTGCAGCGCAAGTGAAGCCACCGGACTTCACTCGCTTGGGATACGATTTGCCGTTTTTGCTAGCCTTTGCTGCGGTTTTCCAGCGTGCTGTAGACACGTTTTCTACTCGTTCGTCGTCATTCGCCGAGGAAGTTTTTTGAGACTCTGTGTATTGTTGAGACTTGCCGTTGTGAACACGTGGAAAATTTTACGAAAGTGCAGTGTCGCACGAAAAAGGCACAACGCGTCGAAAGGAAGGGTTGGCGGCGTGTTCAAAGCTTCCTTGGCACGCCGAAGTGCCGTGTCTCTGTGCCTCCCCCTTTTATTGATAGCAACTCACCGGAACAGCTGGACGATCCAGAGCTCCGTGGCCGATATATATAAATGATTTAAAGGCATCTACGCGCGACACACGTTCAGAACTTTGGCGCAGCGTCAATTCTTGACCGGTATCCAAGCGTGCGAAGGCACAAAGATGCATCACTCGGCGTGCCAAGGAAGCTTTGATCACGCCGCGACACCGGCGACACGTTTTCGACGAGTTGTACCTTTTGATACGGCTTCACGCACATTGCACTCGCTAAACACATTCACACGGTGTCGGTTCTTGGTCGGTATCCAAGCGCGCGAAGGCACAGAGACACGGCACTTCGGCGTGCCAAGGAAGCTTTGAACACGCCGCCAGCCCTTCCTTTCGACGCGTTGTGCCTTTTTCCTGCGACACTGCACTTTCGTAAAATTTTCCACGTGTTCACAACGGCAAGTCTCAACAATACACAGAGTCTCAAAAAACTTCCTCGGCGAATGACGACGAACGAGTAGAAAACGTGTCTACAGCACGCTGGAAAACCGCAGCAAAAGGCTAGCAAAACGGGAAATCGTATCCCAGCGGGGTTGCGTCCGGTTGCTTCACTTGCGGAGATCAGTGAGAAAAACCATGTAAGACCGGATGGACGATTGATGCAGAGTACTTTCTGTCGGGCGGCCGCTTGCGCCACCTAGCTCACGCATGCTCAATGACAGCACTCAGTTTAGTTTGGGTTTTGAAATGCGACCGAAATTGGTCCTTTGGCGCAGGCATGGCGCAGATCACCCATATTTCGGCAAAATGTAGCAGCATGTAGCAGAGCTAGGCCCTTGGCGCAATCGGCGCAGCAATCACATCACTGCAGTACACGTAAAAATATTTTTAGAGTGCAGAACAGATTTTAAGCAGTACTGCGAGTTCCTTGCATGTTGAAAATAATCTCTCACCTTATAAAACTATTGTTGTTGTTTTTTTCTTAAGAAATTAGATTGTCAAGGACTGAACTATGTATCTCATTAACATCGTTTTTTTCTCTCTTTCCAACTGCCAATAAAACAAATTCTATGAACGTTTAAAATGAAAAACTCAAATATTGTTTTGAAATAAGGTTCTTTTTAAAGATAACATATCATTGTGCAACAATATTGTGCAACAATGTTTCATACATGTTGAATAATGCCTAATTTTCTAAAACTTCTATTTAGTTCCTTTTTTTAAGAAATTTCCGAGAATGAAAATATTTAGTTCCTAAACAATTTTTCCATTGCAAGTGAAAAAAGAAAAACAAGAAATACAAAACAAAAAACTTTCTTAAAATCCTTTTTTTTTTTATAAAGAAGAAGCCATTATTGTGCAACAATTCCTATCAAATATGTGTTTATTCCTCGATACTTCCTCTTCCCCTCGTTGCAGTACCGAGATGTGGCCCTGTGTTATAAATGAGATGAGTCCACAATGGTCTCCCTTGTCAGCTCTATTCCAAGGCCCTCGTTCGTCAGCAGGTCGCACTCTTTCAGAGACCGGATACCGTTATAGACGTCTTCGACACCAACTGAAGCTATGCTCCTGTAAAAGAACACAAGGCAGAAAGAAACTGTACATGGCCATTAAAACAAAATCAATCAGAAAAACACCAATATAAAAAAAAAAACTGAAAATGTTTCCTATGCCAGCTCACGGTAGACAAATCACTCGGCAACAGTATTTGCGCGAATCTAAAACACCATAAAACAAAAGCAATCCACTAAGAATGGAACGACATCTAAGGAAAAATAGACCTCATCCTTGTATAGTCCGCAGACTACACAAGAATTTGCTTTTTTCTAAATCAACTATTACAATGAAACGTGACAGATTTTGTGAATGAGAGGGTATGTTAATGCTGACTTATGCATGATGCAAGCTTTTTTGCGAGCTAATATGAAGCAGGCAGTGGTCAAGGTGTGCTGTGCAGGAAATTGTTTTACGTGCGTGCTAAGCGTCAAATAGACTACAAAAAAAAATTTTTGTTTTTGTAAATTTTTTTTTTTTTGCAGACTACACTAGGTGAGGATCATAGCTAGGAAAATATGATAGGCTTATTGTGCATCAGGTGAATAAGAATACTTTCCACCCTTCGACATTTTCTGATGTTGTCAATGAAAGATGCTTCGAGCTTCAAGTTGCAACGGAGTGTATTTTTATTATTTCCTTACTCTCTTCTTCAACACAGATTCCAACATCTTTTATGACTGCAGTGTGCTATTCCGCAAGCTTGCACTAGTAAAAAAGATTTAGGAAAATCAACTTCAAATATCTACCATGTTGCAACTTAACCTGAGACTGGGGTATGAAAAAGAAAGTTAAACGTAGAAGGGACAGAAAACAGGGAAGAAGAGAATGTCTCAAATCCCTTCATACCCCAGCCTCAGGTTAAGTTGAAACATGGTAAACATCCACCAACCCGCCTGCACTCTAACCGTTTTTTTTTTTTTTTAGAGGTGTTTGAAGTTAGCTTTAATTTTTTCGTAAAGTGTACCAAGACAAAACTTATACCACCAGATTTTATGATGATAGCTATGCACTGATACTTGTTTTATGTCATTATCTTGAACAGTTTACTGGAGCAATTCAAATTGGAGGCAAAATTGCTCCAGGTAGCGAGTTTGCTATTTTATATGAAAATAACTATAAAACCTAAAAATGCATGTTTTATCGATACAAGTGAGTACGGCCCACTTCAAACGGGGCAATTTCTCTCAGCAAGTCGCAACACCAGCCCGCATTTACACGCAGCAACCAATTGCTATGGTTTTCCATCATAATTAGACTTTATTTTTCTTGCACAATGAAGACACAGTTACACACTATAAACGTGTTTTTATGCCTTTAAGGGGGGACACTACCAACAAAACAAAAAACAAATTCTGCACAAAAAGTTGATTTTGAAAAATGCCATAATTACATTCACCCTAGAGAACATTCCCAAAGCGTTTCATTAGTTTACACCACATATAGTTCATTTTTTATAAATTAGTTTCGACCTAGCAATGCTAAAGAAAAGGAAAAGGTTGAAGCACTTTGAACACATTTTTCTATGTTCCACTTTTTGCCATAAATTTCACTTTAGGAAAACTATCGTTTCACTACTGCACAATAGAGAATTATTCTTAGGTGGTTTTCTGTGATAGAATTTTGCGAGAAACATGCCTGACTGGTTAGTTTTTCTACTTTAACATTCTTTTATGCTAAAAAAAACAGACATGAAAAAAAATTGTAATCGTCTTATGGAGTTATATTTATGAAAAACAATGCAATATAGAAAAATAACTAGCTGGGTATGTGCTATGGGTATTCTTATGACTATATTACATTTTTTTTTCTATGCAATTACACTGATTTTTATATTGTAACATTTGTAACAAGTTTCGGAATTGACATAAGACAATCAAATTTGGCAGGGATGGTCTTGCCACCTATTTAAACTTCCACTGCAAATTTGACTGGAATCAAGCAAGCGGGACTGAAGTTGACTTTTCTGGGTAGTATCCCCTCTTAAATGGCATTGAGAATACAAACTCATTTTTCTGAAACATATCATTCCCCAAAAATGATCCTTTTTATATCAGAACTATGTCTTTAGTTGTCAGCAACACCGCTGCAGGGGTGTCACGTGAAAACAAAGTGTCCCTGATTGGCTGCTGCCGCTTCAAACGTCACCGAGCTGTCCGAGTTGCTCGACTGCTTCGAGCCAGATGCATTACGAGCGATTTGTGTTGCACTAGGGAAAGCTAGGGAACAACTTGCCAGCAACACCGAAATTGCTGGGAAAGTTGCCATGTCTCAAGTGGGACTAACATTTCCTGCATCGTAAGAATATTTATTAGCCATTTGAGTAAAGCCAACTGTCTTAAAACAATGCCCAAAGTTGAGGAAAAAATTGAATTGAGTTCTTAACACATTTCTCTTCTGGCACTTTGGGTTTTATTTCTGTGAAACTGTTCCATTCTAAGTTCTTTTTTTATTCACTTTTGTTCATCAGAGGGATAGAGCTACCACATATAATTAATTTTTCTAAATATGAAGACCCTTTTTTATTTGGCAAGTTTGGTTGAATTCAAATGAAACCACTCATTAATAAAGCTCAGCCTACCTTTCACTGCCTGACCTTTCAAAGGCCATGTTGACGGCATTCCGAAGCAGACACGTGGCAAAATTTTTACATGCCTGAAAAAAGTTCAAGCGGAACATTTCGGGAATTCAGCAAACCACTCATAAAGGTCACTGAAGATATTTTGAACACTTTTCTGAGAAGAGTGCTTTAGTTTCAATGGGGCTTGACATATCACTCAATTTCTTTTCAATAACAGTTTTAAATAATATCTACATATCACTCAATAATATCTAATATCACTCAATTTCTTTTCGGTAACAGTTTTAAATAATATCTACATTTCCCCAGAATATAGCTTGCGACTCAATCGAGCCCAGAACTTCTGCCGAGGATCCGAGAGAGTGCGAGAGGACTCTTCTTTTTTACAATATAAAGGTCTCCTATTGGTGCATAAAATATGTGCATTACCTATTCTACACTATTTGATATAGCATACTAAAAATTAAAAACAAAAAGCAAGAACCTTGATCTGAATCCCCATAATTTGAATGGAAGCAAACTGGCGTCACGTAAGAAACCCACTCTAAACTAGCCTGTATTGGCCAGGGGCGGCTAAAGTAACGCCCCACAAAAAAACTTTGCACAGTTGAAATTGCGCAAAGTGTCTTTGGAGGGCTACTCGCCAAGAGATAATCCTCTCTTTGCTTGTTTCATATACCAACTCATAAATTCACATTTCGCAAAAAACGAGATGTGTAAACAAAAACTGATTGCTATTTCATGCCTTCAAAACGAAGAGTGTTTATTCTGACCAATACCGCAGTAAAAAATTGTTGCATGGACCCACTCACTGCTCAGGCATTTTTCTAATGTCGACGTGTGCCAAACTCTATGCTAAGAGACTTCACACCGCGAATCCCTTTTGGTGCCGCCCCGTCGCTTCCATCCTTGAGCAACAGTGACTAAGGGCTTATGAGTTCCCACACTCTGAGAGCATCCAGGGACTGTGAGGGGACAAAAGACTCACTGATAAGATCATCTCCTCTACTACTGGAACATCAATGCAGGGCTCTGCTGCCCCCAAGTACACTCCGACCTGTAGATGGAAAAAGAAGCCACTACTTAAGGATTTAACTCAAGCACCTAACAATACATTTTCTTAAACCACCTTCTAAGCAACTCTTACTTTTCGTAAATTGAAAAAAAAGAATAAAAAAACACAACTTCTGTTTTGGATTTTAGTTGCAAATCAATGTATTGCTAAAAAAAATAGAAATAAACAGGTCCAGAGTGCAGTTATGAAAATTGCTTCAGATTGTTCTTAAGAGGCATTTGGAACTCTCCGTTGCTGAGAGACCCTTACCTCGGAGGCAACCTCCCTGACATAGCTTGCGCACGGCGACAGGGGAAGGTGTGCCCTGGACGTTGTGCCATCCTTTGGGGCAGAATCTTTCTTCCTGGCCACGGCGGGCTGATCACACCCCTCCACGTCGATCACTTCCTCTTCTACGGAAGGCCTGGGCACCGTCTCCAGCGCCGCCAGGGACGACACCAGCTCTCTCGGCTCAGAGTAACTGCAGCACGTAGACCCTGCCACCCAAGATAAGTCGGACACTATCAGTCTATGGTACCGTGCTCTATAACTACAAACAAAAGCATTAAAAAACCGCCCATCCTTCAGCAAGAGACCTAGCAAGTTCCCCCACCAGCCTCCACTACCTCTGCAGTGATGTGATTGGCCTAAGCCGTTTTGGAGCACCTTTCGGAGCAGCTGAAACAGTGTTTTGGAGCAGAAAAAATGGCCCTTGGAGCAGCCAGAACAGTGTTTTGGAGCAGCAAATGTGGCTTTTGGAGCAGCCAAAACAGTGTTTTGGAGCAGCAAATGTGGCTTTTGGAGCAGCCAGAGCAGTGTTTCGGGGCAGCAAAATTAGCGTGTGGAGCAGATTTTTTTAGAAAAATACAAATATCCGTTTTAAGTGCTGGACAAACGGAGGGCACTTTGCTCGTCGCAATAAACAAATTATCGTCATGTTAGACCACCTGGGAGTCTTTCAACATGTAACTGAAATGTCAATGACATGACACATTTTGCAATGCTTCAGTTAAATCGTAGATAGATATGTACTCGCTAGAGATAAATAAGAACCAAATTGCACATATTAAAATTTATTTGAAAACGACCAGCTTAGTAGTAAATATCACAGCATTAGGTTGACTATTTATATAATATAAATAAGTGGAAGCAGTCTCGGACTGCTGAAGCACGTAACTACTGCAGTGCAATGCGAAATTCTACAAAAGACAAAGGTGCGTTACGACTAGCGGGTGCTTTTCTTCTTGCTTTTCGAAACTTTCTGCAAGGCTGCTGCAAGCCTCGCTCTGCCTTCCGCTAGCAATGGATCATCACTTTCAATGTCTCCAAAGAGACATCCTAGAAGTATACAGTGCTGCAGGAATTGCCGAGCAATTCCGAAAACCGCTTGCCAACGTTTCACTTTACAACGGCTAAACAAGCTGAACTACGAAATTAGGGAGAAAGGAGTAAAGACAGGTGATCGCTGGACTACGAACTATTTAATAAAGATTCTTCGTTTTCCTCTCTTTGTCTACTGGCGTTGTGGCTACCTTCTCTTCTTTCTACTTAATTTTTCTGTTCCATCTCGGATACTGGTTTTCCGGAGGAATCTTTTTTCGCTTTCCTGTAGCGCAATAGATGATGTACGAACGCAATTTTCTTCTTTATCTTCTATGGCCAAGGCCTCAAGTATTTCACGGGCGAGCTGGTCTTTGTGGTGAGCTAATATGGTACCCAGGTCGAGCTTGGCCTCGCACGTGCATGCTCGACAATGAGTGGCTAAATGCCCCAACCCTGTTAGGGCTCTTATGTTTGCTGCATGCTCACGTGCTCGATCGTTCACGCACCTTCCCGTTTGTCCAATATACACACGCCCGCATGACAGTGGTATGTTATACACTACTCCCTTTTCGCATTGGACGTACTTATTCTTATGTTTGGTGTTGCAAGTGCCGGTGTTGTTGGCCTCACCTAGATTAACCTTCCGGCACATGGCATATCCCTTGTTTGGTGCCGAGCGCACTATTTTGACGCCCTGCCTTGTGGCGATCTTTCTCAATCTATGTGTGACTCCATGAATATACGGAACCACCGCGAAAGGTGATCTAGGAACCTTTTTTTTTGTGTGTTAGAGTCATTCTTTTGGCTGGATTTCTTGATGTTTTGGCAGAGTTTTTCACATATGGAGGCTAAGAAGGGTCTTGGATACCCGGCCTCAAGAAGTCTGGAGATTTGGGTCTTGAAGCTTCGTCCCATCTGATGTGAACATGTTTTTCTGAGGCTAGCTGTGAGAGCTGTGGTGGCGACCCCTTGCTTTACATTTTTCGAATGTTCTGAGTCAAAGGGAAGGAACCCTTTCCCCGATCGCGTTTCGTACCTCCAACAAACGTGTTCCTTTTGGAAGTCTAAGGCCTAATCCAGAAACCTGATAGACTTATCAGCGGGAAGCTCGTATGTAAAGGTGAGGCCCATGCAATTTGTTTGAAAATACCTAAGAGTGGTGTTAAGGCATCCATCTGATGTTTCATCAACTGGGGTGGTACATAAAATAAGAAAGTCATCAACATACCGAAAAATAACTGCAACTCGTGGATCTTTCAAAGCTTGTTGTATAGCAACCCCACAGGCGCCTAAAAAGACGTCGCACAAATATGGTGCCACTTTTGACCCAATGCACACACCACTCTTCTGGACAAAGTGCTGATCTTGGTAAGTCACTACCGTTGCGGAGAGGTAAACCCTTAAAACCTCCAAGAAGGTGTAAACACTAACACCTGCTCCATTTTGGAATTTCGCAAGGCCTTGATTTTCAATGGTATTTCTGAGGACATGCAACAGCCTTGCTTGAGGGATGGAGTAGTACATGTCCTGTACGTCCAAGGAAAACCCCGAGACTATACTATTTCCTTTTTCTTCAAGATAAGTTATTACTTGCTGTGAGTTGGGGATCCGGAATGGATCCTCTACGTGTATTTTTGAGAGATGTTGTGCCAAAATCCTTGAAACGCATGCTTGCCACGTTGTCCTCTCGGAGACTATGGCCCGAAAAGGAATGCCTTCTTTGTGAGTTTTGGCGGAGAAAAACACCGAAAGCTGGCCATTTGCCGCTCCTTTGATCTTGGTGCAAAGGCTGGCTTGATTTTGGTCAAACAGGTCTATGATGGTTCTTTTTGCTGCTTTTGCCCGTTTATTTTCTACTTTTATGAAATTCTTATTGATCGCTTGTTGGGCCTTTTCTTCATAGATGTTTGAATCCAGAACCACAAAACCTCCTTCTTTATCCGAGACGCACAGTTTCAGGTCTTTGCTTCGTAACTCTTGAATGGTAGATCTGAAGCTCACCTTTGCCTTGCCCTGGTGTTTTAGGTTTTCAAAGGCTTGGATGCCCTCATCTATGATTTGAGGGCCTTTCTCTTGGGGGCCTTGGCGGCTATCTTCCTTACGAGAGCAACGCTGTCCACCCTCTCGAGCTTGGGAGCGATGGCGAACTTAGGCTCTTTTTCCAGCACCTGTCTTACTGTTGTGGAAATCTCTACATTGCCGATCACCTGGATCGGCAACGTTTCACTGCTCGCAGACGTGACAGATTTCCGCCAAAAGTAAGCAAACGTAGAACAATGAAATGCTGGTGCCTCTGTCGTGCAATCAAGTTCGCATGCACATGAGGGCAACTTCGGCAGGCTTGCAGTTGCGCGTGCTTCGTCGCGTGAGCGGAGATGGCTGTTCGACTGAAAACGAAACCGTGCCACTCCGCTCCGTCGCCAACTGGTTCCCAAAATTGTAATGCAAAATGTAACTGCCCAGCATACGACAAAAAACGGTCCAGCGGCACATGCTTGCCAAGCTGGCAGGCGAGGTAGAAGCTAAACACGCAGAAAAAAAGCCTGAGCGGATCGATGCAAGACATTGCGAGCTAGGGTCAAAAAGTTCTTGGAGCGCTTTGTATAACGACTGAATTGGAGACAAACAAGCGCGCTGTGCGGGTTCATCGTGCAGAAATTGCATTAGGGTGACCACCTTCCTGCAGGCGAAATGCGGGACACCCTGACCGGGGAGGGGGGGCGGGGGGGGGGGGGGGGGGGGGGGGGAGGGATGGGCGAATATTCGGTTAATACGAATAGCCAATCGAATTCTGTTCTATTCGGTATTCGCTTCGAATCGAATTTAAGTATTCGACAAAATCGAATTATTCGACAATATCGAATTATTCGACAATATAGAATTATTCGACCTTTCGAAATACAGTCAAACCCGACTATATCGAACCCGTTTACATCGAATTATTCCTTATATCGAACAATTGTTGTGCACAGTAATGTTACAGTGATAATATATAGCAAAAACTCTGGTTGCATCGAACAAAAATTGCAGCCGCTACCGATATATCGAACTGCCAAGAGCGCCGTTTTGCTCTGCAAGCTGGCTTTCCCCCAACGCGCAGCCGCATTGGGGGAAAGCCAGCTTGCAAAGCACGCTAACTTTTTTTTTTTTTTTCTTCGGGCGGCCGCGTCGACTGGTCAGAAAACAATAAAATATATCTTTTGCGGAGAGACGGTGCTCCGTGCTCCGTCCGCAAAAGAGAATATTATTTTTTCTTCCAAATTGAGGCGGCCGCCCAGAGAGAGAAAAAAAAAAGCCAGCTTGCTTTGCTAGTTGGCTTCCCCCAACGCACCACCTGTTTTAGGGGAAAGCCAACTTACAGAGCAAAACGGCGCTCTGCAGGAGGTGTTCCCGTTGGACGTGCTCCGTGCTCTCGGCATATTTCGGCGCTAATGCGCGAATATAGAAGGCAGCGGCCCAAGAATTTTGGAGTCCGTCGATAGCGTAGAAAAATATCGTTATCGCGGATGCAATGAAGAAAAAGCAGCAGAAGATGCAAGACTACTTCGTTGTGTAATATTTCAGCAGAAAGGGGATTTTTGAGAGTCAAGTTCATTAAAACTTTTATATCTAATTACCCGCTATATCGAACTGGTAGACTTTTTTTGCAAGTTCAATATAAACGTGTTTCACTTACTCTGGCTTGGATTTACGGCCAGATGGCGCAAGCTTCCGACCGTTTCGTGCTACCGAACTCAATACACTTGAAATTAACAATTACAGTATATCAAATACCAAATAAGGGCAAATATAAAACTATAGTTTAAACATATTTTGTGGTATTTTTTGCTAGTACTATTCGAACTATTCGATTCGAAATTATTCGACCAAAATCACTATTCGCTTCGAATTCGATTCGGACCCAAAATCCTCTATTCGCCCATGCCTAATTTCACGACTCCAGAAACAAGTATTAAAAAAATTAACCATCCCGCACACCCCGATATCCTGTGAGTCCGAAAGCATATTATACACCTGAAAATTGTGTGGCGGCAATTAAGCTAAAATAATTTTCAATCACAGTGATATATTTTTGTGTAATTGTAATGGTAAATATTTTATTATGAGTGCCTAAGTTGAAAACATATAAATCGACTGCAGCAGACCCCAATGCATGAAAGGGAAATAAGAAACAGTAAAGCTTTTGCGACTTATTGTTTCCTGTTGATATATACTAACTATATATATACTAATATATACTCTTATACTAACATGGTCTTGCACAAAATCAGAACCTTATGTTGTTGTTTTTACGACCCGTGTGAGTTGCAGGTTTTTTGCCTTGTGTGACCGGTCTTCACTAAAAAAAGCTTTCCATAACAACCCTTTCGCGTGACACAGTATGATTTGCAAATAATTACAGTAGTTAATTTTTTCAAATTTTGGAAAGCAATTTTCGCTCGCAATATTTTGCCATCAAGGGTAGAGGCACAACGGCACATGCGCGTCCTACTCCTGCAAGAACAATGGTCGCTTCCCGCAGTGCTTGTATAGAAAATGGCACACCACCAAGATTCACACGTTCATCAGCGACCTCCGCGCAACCCCGTGGCCCGTTCTTCTGAAGCGCCATAATTTGCGAGGTCGAATTCTACGACAATGTGAAATGCGGGACATTCTGAAGAGTTTGGAATTTCTTGCGGGACGCGGGACACGAGCCCTCAATGCGGGACAGTCCCGCGAGTCGCGGGACGGGTGGTCACCCTAAATTGCATTCTTTGCTTTAGCTCACTTCTCTTCAACTTTCGTTCGCGGCAGACTTGTCACATACCAAAATCCTTCTTGAAAAAAAAAAAGCCTACAGAGATACCTAGGTAATTCATACTTCGTCACAGCAGTTTTGTAGATAAAGAGGGGGTATTTGTAGTAGCGTATGATTTAAACAAGAACAGGAATGTTGATGAAAATGCGGAGGTTCTTACGTTTCCGCTTAGAAAGAGTCTGCAGTAACGTGGGGACGGCAACACCCGACGTCGCGCGACCACGGTGACTGGTAAGCAGGGACCAAATATAGTTTTCTCACGGCTGTTGCTTTCAGGAGCGAGTGATTCAGCTCACAAAGTAACTACGGCCCCGCAAAAACGTGATTTCGTTTCACAGCGTGGCGGCATGGCTAGTAAGGAACCGACACGATAGCGTCGGAGCGTCCGCGCAAGTCAGCGTCTAACGTTGAATTTTTTTCTACAAAGACGCGAGGCGAGACTCACGAGACGAAGAGGGCGCGAAACGAGAGACGGTGGGAAAAACCGCGCAAGTACGGATGAACGATTGATGCAGTGTACTTTGGTCGGGATATACGGCTCTGTGGTCGAGCAGAGCCGTATATGGGGAGAGTTTGGTCAGTCTATGATCTCACCGCCGTAACTCTCTCCTCCCAAGTGAGCCAATCAGCACGCGGCGTAGAGCGAGAGGCATGAGCGCATGCGCGTGAACTCCCTGCTGCTCCCACCTGAGTGGGGAGGGCCGCCATCTTCGATCATTCTCCCGGCGGAATGCGTGGGTTCGGCATCTAAATCTCGATTATTGCCTTTTATATCGCTAGCTCTGGCAAGAAAATGACATTCTGTTATTCCTCGGTGGGTTAAAAAGCTAACAAATGAAGATTTTTCGGCGTATGGCCACAAACTTTTATTCAGGCGAAAAAGAAGTCGGCCCGTAGCAGACGACGCGTAGCCTCAGCAGTGCTCTTCTCCGACCAGTCTCCGACAAATGGCGGTCGTCTCCTCTCTGCTCCCCTCTTTCTCTCTCGCTCCTTCGGCGCTCTCCTCCCTTTCATTTACTTTTCTCCTCTCCGGCGCCTTCGTCGCCACACCCACTGGCCAAACTCTCCCAATATACGGCTCTGTGGTCGGGAAGCCGCTTGCGCCACCTTGCTTATGCATGCTGAATTACGGTACTTAGTTTAGTAGCGGTTTTGAAAGGCGACAAAAATTAATCCTTCGGCGCAGGCTTGGCGCAGATGACTCATATTTTGTCGAAATGTAGCTAGATGTAGCATGGTTGGCCCCTTGGCGCAGTTTGGCGCAATTGGCGCAGTAATCACATCACTGCCTCTGTCTTGTTGGCCATCAAGGTTGGGGGATTTATGTGCCAAACCAACGAAGGGCAACTGGCACGCCTCAACGAAGGACTGAGGAATAATTCGGACCACCCGGAGATCTTTTCACTTGCAACCCAAAGCCTCCATCAAACTGCGGGCACCTCAGCCGGAATTCGAAACCGCCAACCGGGGATTCGTAGGCTGGTGCCCTGCCTCAGTATCGAGGAGGTGACCTCGGCCTCAAAGGTACAGCGGTGCATCCTCAGTGCACCAGTAAGTGCATGTCAGAAAAGCTTGCTGCTTCAACGATGCAGAGATGGCAGAAAAGACAAAATAGAAAGCGACAGAAACGGACACCTACTCGCATTCGCGCAAACAGTTAATATAGCTCCGAGCGATCGCTCACTCATCCCCAAAGAGCGCAATTCGCGTGGCTCGTGACATCAGGGTTGACCGTTTTCGTGAGGCAAGAGAAGTCCCTACAGACAACTCAGGTGGTTGTTAGTGGCCTGGCCTGTACACCGGCGAGCACATGTACCTCATTTTGTGCGAGCAAAGGAAGTAGTAGTTCAATATTTGCCGCTTGATTCGGTGCTTCGAAACATCTTCACACAGAAAGCAATTTCACTGGTATCTTAAAAAACGCAGTCCCACGCCTTTATACTCGCACATTCCGGTGTCTACGCTCAATGATGCTATCAGTCTACAGTTTTATGCGTTTTTTTAAGTCCCACAGACGTTTCACAAAAGCCGCGTAAGCTACACTATGTTGTCTGTGCGAGTGAGTTATACGGCCAGGGGCGAGTTATACAACACAATAAGTCAAATATTGAACAGAAATTTATAAATTAATGTTTTAATTAGTAAAAATAAAATTATGGTTTCAAGTGCTGAGCATCACTGAAAACCACCAAATAAGTAAATTTGAGAAAAACTCTGGGCATGTGGGAAGCACAGTAGTTAGCACTCATGCAACAGGCATGAGGCTAGAGGTGCGAAAATGAACCTGCGCAGTTTTTCCATCTTTCATTCACATTTTCCCACCCCTGTTGCCCCTGTTGCACGAGGGGCAACTTTAGCGCACTTCCCACAAGCCCCAAATCTTTCTAAAATTTACCGTATTTACTCGAGTAATAGCCGCACTCTTTATGAAGAAAACCTGACGGTTCGCTTTTTCGTGGAGCACGCAGATTGCCAATCACCGCGATCGATGCAGCGCTTTACGGGATAGAGATAATGTCTTGGCACGACGATACCATCTGCATTTGTATGGAAAATTGTGTTCTTGATCTAGTTATTCGCTAAGTTATTTACACACAACACAATGATTGGCTGTATGTGTTCTGTGGGGAAGTAAATGCAAGGCCCTTGTTAATAAATAGTGCGGCTATTACTACTCGAGTAAATACGGTAGTTATTTAGTGGTTTTCTATGATGCTTAACAAGTTTCTAATTGAAATCATGAATATTTTCCCTAATTAACAAATTTGACTCAATTATCAGACTTATTGCAACAAATAGCCCCCCTTATTACATCCCCTGGCAAAAGCTTTCGTTCAGAATGAGCCATCCTTTTATTATATTTTACACTTTGCTCGCTGCTAAGCAAATGGGACAATGGAAGCTACCTGCTCATTGGACCAGTAAGCCATTCAACTTTAGAAACCCTTTCCCCCATACCCAAGCACAGGGCGGGGAAGGCCATGAAGGCTTGATAGGTCCGGCTCATGTGCAGCTCAGGGACATATAAACATGGTCCTTGTATTGGTTCAGGCCGGAGGGCAACGACGTAAAAAAAACGAAATAGAGCATGCACATGGAGCATTTTAATCACTGATTACTTCCAAGTTGCAAAACTGCCGTCGAGTATAAGTGCCAAAGAAATAAACCCAATATGCCCCTAAATTAAAAAGAAAAGAAAAATGTGAGTGCCGTAGAAAACAGAATTGTAGCAAAAGTCGGAAGAAAACTCACTCAGGAATTGCATGTTGTTTGCTTGGCAATCAACATCTGAAAACATAAACATTGAAACTAAAATCAGGAAGAGTAACAAATACAGGTACTAGTTGAAGAAATACCTAGACTTCGGAACAAACACCAGAGCAGCAACCAAATATGCGTAATTTGAACCACAAGAAATGCGATAGGTGCAAACACACGAGAGAAAGATGTTCCAAATTAAATCGAAATTAGTCGGTAATTTCTTTGGTTAATCTCTTTCTAATCATTAATCAATGTCTCTTCAAGATCAAAATATGCAGCGTGATCCCGATGATGGCAAGGCCCTATAGATGAGTGTACAACAATTTATTACGTACCAAGTGCCTGAAGGTGGTGCATTTATTATTTCAAAGTATTCATAATTTCAAATACTAATAAATGCAATCAAATAATACGAGCTCACCTGAGTAAAATTTAAGATCTCTCTTTTATAAACACACATCCAGCTGATCCCTTTTCTTTTTTTTCCAAAATCATCACATAAATTGCGGGGGCCAATGTAACATTTATTACGACAAAACAAACCAGTGCGAGCAGCAGGAAATAAAACTGGCTTACATTTCATCTGCTTCGTTTTGCCAAAAATAATGCTGTAGTGGTCCACTAAACCACTTATAATTTCATGCAAATCAAGCTTAGCACATAAAAAAAAAGGAAAAAGAATATTATATAATATTTTTTTCTAGACAGGAAAATTTCTTTGTCATTCTTCGTCAGGTAAACTCATCCGTTCATATTTTTGCTAAAAAAATGTACCATCTTATATCACCTCTATGCTGCTAAAAAAAAAAAAAAAAATGAATGGTCCAGGCTGCCATTGGGGTCACGCTGTAGGATGGCTCTAAGGCTAATCACATATAAAATGTGCAACACAGTAGTTAAGAAAACATAAGTATAAGCACCACCCTGCAAATCAGTAATACTTCGAGCAAAGTATGTTAATCTTTAAGGGCGCTCTGGCAGATGTTTTGCCGATTGTTACAGATTGGCAGCAAATTACTATAGGAACTGTGCCTCGTGACTTCTATTCTTTTGTTGATAATGGTGTCCCTTTAAAATGACACTGCATACTAAAAAAAAAAGTTTTTTTAACTGTCAAAAAAATATTGCAGAAAGCATTCCCCTCAAAACAAAAATTATAATGCAGTATTTCCACGTCTCTACTTTTCTCTCACACGCCTTTCCGCAGCACGTGGAGGGGGTGACGGCAGAGAAGCGGAAAACGAGCTTGCGGTGGAAGTACCTCTTCTCCGGGCTCCTTCCAGCCAATGGGAGACTGACCAAATTACTGCTGTTTCAACATCACTGCAATGTTGACCTCAAAATAAAATGCATTTCTTGAGCCAGACTGCACGAGCAGAGAAATCTGCTCCAAGCTCAAAATATATGTCTGAGGGTGTAAAATGAATCAATAAAATTTTTCGGGGGGGAAAGTGCGTGCTGTGTGATCGGTGGCCTATCCATACACTCCTAGACAAATCGTACAATGTTCCTCATTACTTGAGGCATAAAAATACAATTTCCAAGAGCATTTGCAGTAGCTCACAATCAACTAGCCAGCAAAACCTAATATATAGCGCAAGCAACCATTAAATATGGCGCACAATGGTGGCCGAAACTGCAGTTGGAGCAGACTCGTAACGCCGCGAATGGAGCACCCGTAAGGAACTGTGGCGGGGCACCGTAAGATTGTGCCAGCAGGTGGCACAACTGGCTTCTTCAGCTGCTGCTCCCATATTATAAGTTGCACGCTTTTGTATAAAAAGAGGGGTCAAAGACAAAAGAAGTTTCCTCGATTGCATCCCCCGAGGGAGAACCGTGGTTCCCAACACTCAAAGTACCCTCACCAGAATGCAGTGGTGTGAATCCAAACCTCCGGCACAAAATCACAATCTTCTTTCTCGACAAAGATTGTTGCGACGAGTGCCACGACGGCGCCTGCTTCTCCATCAATGCCTTCAAAGTTTTCCTCACATCCGACGCTCGCAGCCACTGCAAACGGGGAAGTGCGCGGCATGAAGCACCGGTGTGGGGCACAGAGCCAAGGGCACATACCTCAGATGCCCTCTGCTTGGGTTCAGGCCACGAGAAAAAGGTGTCACCATCCAGGGCAGCGTAAGGAAAGCATGCCATCTCTGAAAGTAGTATCTTCCAATGAATGACATTTGCAGTATACTAAATATAGCCACGAGTCCCTCACGGGATGACTGAGCACAAAGTCGCACTCACTTGGCACTCTTGAGTGCCAAGTGAGTCACCCTCACCCTACTCCGTTCGCCGATAAGCTGACACGGCGGTGGAAGCTACATGCCCTTTAGAACTGTCAACCATCGGCCTCGCACCGCATGATCACACTTACTGTCGTGCAGAGGGGTCAGGCAATCAAAGGCGGCCAATTGATTGGTCTGGCAAGAATAAAGCTTCCACCACCCTGTCAGCTTAGTGGTGAATAAAGTATAGTTTACTCGCTGGCAGTCAGTCTCACTCACCTCAATGCTCAGCAGTGAAGTTGAGTGAACAGCCCACATGCACTCTCCTCATCCTCACTACCTGCCCTTCCAATTTTTCTAAAACTGTTCAGCCCAAACCTTTTTAAACAGCAAAAAAAACTTTACAAATTGAATCGGAATACCCTCTTGTTAGATTCATATTCAATATTAAAGCGAAGCTAACATAAAAAAGAACTGCTCCGAATTTCATATTTTATAAATGTTGCACACAGAACGGGATGACCAGTCTCGAGTAGTACAGAATAAATTCTGCTCTTCCCTTTTTGCCGCAGACAAACAAGTAGCATGTGATAGAGAAAAAAAAAAAAGAAGTTTTGCAATGCACGAAAAAAGCGAGTTTAAAGAGCAAGTTCAGAACAAAGAGGAAACCTACTTTCAGCATGGGAGACGCCAATGAGAGGGAAAAGCGATGCGACTGCAAAGATTGCTTGCTTCAGGTCTGGGAAGTTGTTCAATCTGCAGGAAACGGGGTTAGGTAGCTTTAAAGGCAATGGTATTTCCAGTTTCTCACTAAAAAGTAGACACAATAAGTTTATAGCACTTTTTGCACTGAGCAGGGCTAAAAGATATCCACAGAGACACGCTACATGTTGCTTGCTAACCGTGAATGTCAAGTCTGCCAGCCGGCTGTGGCGTTTCAGCCACTTCCATGGGTGTTTGAGTGCCTGTCAAGCGGCGAAAGTTAGGCAGCCTACGTCACCTAGCCCTAAATACTTTTAACGGTGGCCTACATCACTTACCCCTATATTCTAGTAGCGTAGGCCGTTGGACTCCAGCCGCTGGGCGAGTCCTCAAAAACCTTTGGAAGCGACTGGGCTGTCATATCCGGCAGGCAAATTTGTTACTCATATTTAGTGTGCAAGGGGCACACTTGTCTGCATGTACAGCCCTCTGCCTATTTGTGTTACAGTCACACTTGTTCGATCCTATTTCTGTGGGACAGCAAAGTACTTCTGCCAGAATTCATGGCAATTCCTTTACAAAAGCTGAGGTTACTGCAAGAATAACAGATGACGATAAACATAGCACTCACATCGAATAGTGGCAAAAATAGGATCCACTGTTTAGCTATCTTTATCCAAAATATATAAAAAAAAAACTTCGATTTTACTGATTTTAACAGTTCAATTATCTCGAGTTTCCTGGGCCCGTTTGCTTGAAGCCAGTTATTTCTAACCGCGGTTAAAAGTTAACCGCATTTCCCAACAAGCGGGAATTTTTGGTCACGTGACAGGCACAGCAGGGATGCGGGGAAACATGGCGGTGCCCCGGTGAGTGAGCGCCGCTCGCTTTGGAATTAATATGCCGTAGCTGCAATATCGGGGGCATTAGTCAGCAATGAATTGTGCAGGAGGCTTTCGCTTTGCTTTATCTCACTTAAATCGCAAAGCATGAGCAATGACCTCGCCGCATTTGTTAGATAGTTTTTCGATTCTGGCTATTCCTAAGCCTAAATGAATGCGATAATTGTTGGCACGGCAACGTCGTTGGAAAGTGGATTGCAATGACTCATTCGGCCGGGTATTGACATCACACAAAAGCAGACAGCGTCCCAATAGACCTTTCACTGAATTTCCCAAGCACCGAGGTGCACGCTACGAGTGTAGTTACATGCGCTGCTCGTGCTGGTGTCTGCAGTAGTAACTGTTCTAAAGCAAAAAATCTAAAACAAATTGTGCCTTGCACGCACGTTCGTCAAAGCCTTATTATGATTATTTACTTAAAATCGTTTATACTTGAAGGCCAGCGCGCGCGGACCGTAGAATTACACTTCAAACATTCTACTCAATGCTTCGGTAATTTACTAATAGGTCTATTTTCACTGGATTCAAATTACAGGTTTTTCAATTTACGATAGTGTTATATACAGTTCTTACATGCTGCCGGTGTACCACCTGCCTTTCACTGTTCACTTCTTCCTTTTCGTTTCTAGGACTGAACTTCATCGTCCTCTTTTGAACTTGGAAGGAAATTTCAACGAGGCTTGTCTTCAAATTCAGACAGCCAAGCATTTAGAAATTTTCTAAACAAGGGTGAATTTAGTTTTACCTTACCCAATATCTGTACCACAAGCAACAAAAAATGTCTGCTAAAATGTAAGCCGAGCTGCGTCGCGAAAACTCGATAGCGTGCGTTTTTGGGTCTCCCCTTTTCGGGAACTTTTTCCACGGGAACCATTTATATTCGCTACAACCAGTAGGTGACACCAGCTACCACCCCATAATAAAACACAGAGCTATCGCTCATCGAACCCTCGTGAAACTTGGCTAGGTACTTGTAGGTATCTAGTAGGGAAGGGTGGTTAACTTTTAACTGCGGTTAAAGTTAACCGGCTTCAAGCAAGCAGGCCCTGAAAGGCAGGCCAATATTTCAATTATGTATTCAATACTTTACTTAGCTTACCGGCAGCACAAAGTCATAATGGGAACTAAAAAAAACATATAAATACAAGACTAAAATATATAGCGAGCAATTCCTAATTGGAAATTAAGAAGAAATTGTGACTTCATCCTGAAAGACGAGCACACATAAAACTTTCACGCTAAAAACAACCTCCGCGAGAGTATTCATTCGATGACAGGGACCATCGTAGCATTGCGGACAGAAACCCCGATGTGAGAGAATGAAGGGAGTCCCTACCTGAGGGAACTCAACTTGTCCTGCAAGGCCTTCACTGCATTCGCCACGTCCGGATCCACTCGAGGTTGCGCGGGCGGCTCCGTTCTTACGATGGCAGTCTGCGGCACGTTCTGTGGCACCTCCCGCGCCGCCTCTTGCACGCTGCACCGTGCCGCCGGTTCCTTCGTCACCGGCAAGTTGGACGGCACCAGCACAATCTGGTTTCGCGCACTCGTTGCCCCCGGCAGCACGAGCAAAGTGTACGTGGGCGAACTCACCGAACAGGCCGCCGGAGCCACCACCGGCATGGAACCCACACCGGCAACAACGTTCGAAGCTGTCCTGACTGTGGTCAGCCCGGCTGTGTTCGGAACGGCCTTAGCAATCGCTTCCGTCGCGGCTGTCCCAGTTACGGTAGGTACTACCTTCGAAGTCGTTTTAGTAAAGGCTGTGCCGGTAATGTTCGAAGCCAGTCGCACCACAGTTGCCCCAGCAGTGGTACAAACTGGCTTTGAACTCGCAGCCACCACAGTCCCCACCCCGGTCACAGCAGAAGCCAGATTTTGAGACAGTACTATCGCACCCGCGCCAGTTGCGTGGGGAACCGCCTTCGAAGTCACCACTTTTGCCCCACTTTTTAGCACCGACGACGCTTTGACGGTCGCCGCAGTACCAGAAACGATCGGTTGCGGCGCCACAGCAGCGACGGGCCTCAGCAGCGACCTCGTGGGAATGAGCAACACCCTGCCAAGACTGTCTGTGCATTTGACGAAGGACTGAGCAGCCACACCATTGGCCGACATCGCCGTTTGCAGACTTGGCTTTGCGTTGGCGACCGTTTCGTTCGTGACCGGCGGGTTTCTTGCCAGCGAAGCGTTTGGAGCGTTATGCGCAGTCGTTGGTGGACCGGGTTCCACCAGTTGTCCGACGAACGCTTCCCGAGACACTATGTTCAGGGGGGCAGCCTCTGCCCCGTTTTCCGAAGACTCTTGTTCTCGCAGATGCTGTTGTTGCTGTTCCCCCGTGGCACATGTAGTGTCCTGCACAGGCTGCGAACCTCCGAGGCTGGACTGCTGCGGCTGGGAGTCTTCGGAGGACTCCTCGCTAGTTCGTTGAACCCGCGCACCGCAAGTTTCTTTCACCGAGTGCGGTAGAGTCTCCGTTTTTTCGCAGCTTGCTTCACCATTGGTTGCCGATCCCAATGGCCTCTCTGGTGCCTCTTCTGGCTGCCTGCCATTCATGGGGCAAAGCCACAAATCAACCACCTGCAAGGAAGGAGCAGCTTCCGTTTGTCTCGAAACATAACTTCCCAAGGACACAAGGTACTGAAGTTTGAATATCTCAAACCGTCTCACGAGAAATCACCGTGCTTCTGGCATAGTATTGCTTTAAAGAGACTCGTCATTGTATTAAAATCGCACGCTGATGATTCAACATTAGAAAAAAATTGGAGTCGAAAGGACTAATATGTTACATTTTAATTTAAAATAACTAGCAAAATAAAATTGAAAAAAAGAAAAAAGATAGTACTTGGAATTTTGAAGCACTTCTCCCAACTCGCAGTAAGCATCTTTTTCATATTGACTCTTCTGCAGTGCTGCCTTGATAAGTGCCGATGCTGGCCCAACGGGGCCCTGGCAATATTCTATAACAACCCAGCTTCAAAACTGTTGAACCACCTTGACTGGTATCCCAGGAGATTTTAATTGAGCACACTTCTCCTAATTCCCAGCTGTCTACTGCTGTTACTTGAACCAGTACAGCACAAATAGAGCCAACGGTCACCCAGCCGAACGTAGCAAAAGGAATCGGGACGTTCCAGCAAACAAAATGTCAACTTCAACTCATGCAAGTAATATGCTAATCGCAAAACCAACCCTGCAGACAGCAGGAGTCAGTGCCTAAGTAAGAGATCAGGATATATCTACCAGTAGGGTCGGAAGCACCTTAGCTGAGCTGATTACTGCGAAACTACTAAAACACTTACAGTTTCCGCCCCCAGGGTCTGCAGTCCAGTGTACGTCTTGTCCAGCTGCAAGAGAAGGACATTTACGGGCACAAATGAAAAAGAGCTTTAACGACGGTAAAAACACTAAACTATGAAAGTAGGTCGACAACCTATCAATGACTCCAAGAAAAAAAGTGTGCATTTATTACATTACAAACAAGGCACTTGGAGATCTAACAAGAAATAAATATGTCCAGTCACAGTACTCTACTAAATTAACCTCCCCAGAGCCGTGCTCTGCTCATGCGTGCTCCGTTCGTGGTTTGTATACAGTAAGTTTATAGGATGAAGTCACAGATCAAAATGCTTAAAAGAAAGCTAAAAGCACTGGACGGTGAATGTTCAGGTAGCGAGAGGTTAGCCTGCTTTTGAGGTATGCCAACACCGGCTCACACTGTAGATAAGAAATTTAGCCAGTGCAGTATAGTTGCTAACCTGGAGTCTGTCTAGATCGGCAAATAATTGCTATAAATGCTTTGTTTAGTTTTTAACTGTTTCTAGGAGGATCAAATGCAAAGAGCATAATATGTTTTGGTAGAATAGTGCTTCAATTTAGTGCCGAAAATGATACGATAGGGAGAATAAATATATTCTTACAGCAAAGCCATATTAATGCGAAAGCATTAACTGTCCCATGGAGCGAAGCGACGTCATCAGTTTGAAGCGCGAAAATGGCACCTAGTTTCCCTGACCCCAAGATCCCATTGGCTGGCGCGCGGTGAAGAGGCTCCCATTGGCCGCTGTGCGCGTCAGTTTCAACGACCGCCGCCAGATGGTGCTGCATGTCCGTGCCGCCAGCGCGCCGATAAAACTTACCGCCGCAACCTCATGTCACTACGAACTCTGCGCTAATTAAAACGGACACGTTGGCGCGCGCTCGGAGGCTTCTGCTCATCTCGCCGCCAACCAAGAGGCCGTCGCCTCCATCATCCACATTGTCGGCGGTGCTTCTGCTCATGTCGCCGCTGACAAACATGGCGCCACCTCTAACATCCATATCGTCGGACATTCATGCTTTCGCATTCACAACTTATAAAAAATGCTCAAATGTCTTCCGACTTTTTTTTTTTTCACTGAAGTAAAAAAAACATACAAAACATGTTTCTGCTATTTTCGAGAGAGAGGTGTACGATTTTAGAGAGCAGTGTTTTTCATTTTTTTACGCATTTAAAGAGGTTAATGTTTCTTTTGAGCACACTCTGTTGAACAACAGGACCTTCACGAAAAACTAAAGTCCTCCTCTCGATCCCTTCACAGTGTGTATCATGGAGCTTTCTTCGTTCCTCAGACCTAGTTTCAGGTCGCAGTGCCTAAGCACTCGCTCCATTTGCTAGGTGACGTGCAGCCTGTTCATGCTCGACACGCCCCCCCACCTTGAGACTGTGGATCACGTCCACCGGCTTGTTCCAGCGCTCTCGGAAGTGGAGCTGCACCCGCAGCGGGAACTCTCCCCAGCCTTTACGCACCAGCTGAAAGGGGGCTTCCCTGCACAACCAAACCCAACCAGTTGGCACTCGCGCGAGAAATTTTTAAACTCGAGCTAACTTTCAAATGTAGTCAGTTCCATCAACATCTCTTTTGGTTCAATGGAGATCTCTACTGCTAAAATGGACCCACCCACTAGGTCCGATACATATCTACTAGATCAGGGGTCTCCAAACATTTTGGCTAAGGGGCCGGACTGGGGATCTGTCAGAGTGTCGAGGGCAGGAAGATATGCGAGTACGTAGAAATGAGAAAAAACTCAATAAATAAAGCATTTAGTAAATACAAAAATAAAAACTAACATAAACATTTAAAAAGCTAAGGTGGATAAATACATATATTTTATTTTAAAATTCAACACTTAACTACTTATGACATTAGACGATAATTGTGACCCAGAAAATTCACCCAACATAAATCGAAGTGAATGAGAACTTTAACATATTCACACGGGGTAAAAGACTAATGAGAATGTTAGAACTGGTGCTGACAGTATGCAATAGTCATGACAGAGTGCACTAAGCACATTATACGAAAGAATGTAAAGGAAGCTTAACATATAGTTACACAAACATGAAACAGAGGACTAATGACATTTACCTTGATTGTCATTTGGCGTAAATGCCATTTTAAGTGCCATCTGGCAGGGGTATAAGCTTGGTAATGCTGGGGATGACAATGTGATATAAAAAACTTGTTTTGTTCTCTCCGCTATCTTTGTTTGCATGTTTGGTGCACGTCACCGTGCCGTTTCTTTACACACACTTATTTTTGGTACGGTCCGCGGGCCAGGCATCGCTGCAAAGACTGCGACAAGTCGAAGGGCTGAATTTGGCCCATGGGCCGGGGTTTGGAGACCCCTGTACTACACTGATCCTCTTGGTCTAATAGCCATTCCTATTGAACCTATAGAGCAAGGGTGCACAACATGCGGCCCGTGGGCATGACACTGCGAGATATGCTCAAGACGGCAACCAGTGCGATGATTCCTGATATTGAAAACCTGTCTGCCAGTTATTTAAAACCTGCGTAGTTCCCAATAAACATTTTTTTTGGCCGGCATCATTTTTGAGCTGTGCAGCCCTGCTATAGAGCTTGCACTTTGACTGATAAAATTTGCTATAGGTAGGTCCAATAAAAAACTTTATAGGATCAATAGCTATTTCTGTTGGACAAATAAAAATCTCTATTGGACTAAAAGAGACAATTCTATTGGACCAATAGAGATCTCTATAGCACCTTAGACATTTATATTGGTCTGGTAGGATTTTTTATACAACCATTAGAAATTATATTGGTCCAATAAAAATCTCGAATGGGCTAGAGTTTGTTCGTAAAATGAATGTTGTTTTAAGTACGATGCTATTCTGGATTATGTAAATCCTTTGTGCTGTTACGGAACAGGGGATGACATCATGTGGAAAAGGAAAGGTGATGGCCAACTTGTTCCACAGGGCACAATTACACTGAACAAAAACAAAATATTGCTGCCTCAACCTCTCGCTGCATGGATGCCTCCGATTTTCAAGGTGGACAACACAAAAGTTATATTTTTGCATAAAATACGGTGATACTACCAGAATTAAGTAAGTATTGCACATACAGAAAAAAAGATAGTATAGAGGTAGTAAACCGCTGCCTAAGTAAGAATACTATGCTCCATTTACCTTAAAATGCAAGCGCAGCTCAAGAGTAAGCTTCAACGTCCCTGCCAAGCATGCACAGTTGTGCAGTGCAAGCATCGTTTAGGGCAACATCCTCGTGCTTGTAACCTCGGCTATGCTCACGCATAAAGTGAGACAGACTGCAGTCAATTAACAGGGATTTTACCATCATGCTGCTTTTATTTTCTGGCCGATTAATAGGACGGGCCTTCTAGGCCTTTTTAGTTTGCACGAGTATGTGTACCACTGTATCACGTATAATTATAACGGGACCTGTAACACCAGTATGTGTGTTTCTCACCAAAAGAACAGTTTCATGCAACAATGCACCAAGCTACTTGATAACCTTCCAAGTTACAATTTATTGTGCTGCTCTTGATTATCAACATTCAACTGCTCAGTCAGCTGGTTGTGTAGACAAAACTGCCAGCTTTTGCTTCAATATCATAGCAGCCAGGTGTCAGAGTTGGGAAAACCGTATTGTGCGGTATTTTCTCTTTTTTAAATGCGTAATTACAACGTGAGTACCCTTTCATGGCGTAGTATTACGTGGACGTCCAGTAAAATAAATAAGGGGCGCACTACAGGCTCGCAGCACCAACTAAACATATGTTCATTAAAAATTTTGACGAGTGAATCTCCAATTGGTGTTACGTTCCTCTACATATTTCGAAGCATTCGGTAATTTAATCTTCAAATTACCAAATGCTTCGAGACGACTGCAATTGATCTCAGGCGACCAATTTTTAGCACAAGCCCAACGAAGCCGGGGACTCACGTGACTTCGACGAGGTCGTTCGGCCGGTAGCTGGGATGCAGAAAGAAGCGCACCTTGCGCACCACGCTTGCAATCTCGGGCTCTCCCGGAGGACAGCGCACGTACACCATCCACTTGTGAGTGGCGTGGTCGGTCGGGTCACGCTTCTCCGACGAGATGTACCTGCGAGCGGAGAGCCTCAATTTAAGAGAGAAAGCAACACAAACCACGAAGGGAGTTTGCAATTTAATGGTGGGCGCCTCCCACGCAGATTAGTATGGAGTGCGCACGCATTGAAGCGAGGCAAGGAGAAAAGCGGGTCGAGAGGCGGAAATGCTTGCAGACAATCTATGCTTTTGCCTCCTCCTCGCAGCTTCTATTGGAAGTGCAGCCCATAAACCGTGTGACCCTAACTGAATACACTCAGTAACCTAGGCACAAAACCTGCAAGCGGACAGATGGCAAGGTGCTGATTTCACCCGCCACCTCGAAGACGTAGCATAAAAGACAATTCCCTTTTTCCTAATTGATGCTTTTTGTTTTTCTTTCCTACACTCTATAGCAGCGTAAAATCTGCAGTGGAAGCTTTGCCTTGAGCTTTCTAATCTCTGCAACGATTTGGTGCACGCGTGGCACAGCAGGCGGCAAGAAACGCTAGTCATGCCCCTAGCACTTCATTTCAGCTGTCTGGGCAAGGAATAGAAATTACTCGGCCGTCGGCTCGTGTTCTATCAGTGAAGCTGACCGCAAGTTTCAGCTGAGCACCGACGCAATATTCGCGTCCAATCCATGCCCCGCGCTCGATCAAGGAAGGTCACATGAAGAATCTAGTCCGCGGGCCTCATCTAGGCCAAACGCCGAGCTGTGTGGCAAACAAGCTGCGCAAAGTTAGACCTCATCCCCAATAGAGACTTTGATATGTTACCAAATTTGCTCCACAATTTTCTAAAACACCTTTTCTCGCAAAACAGAGAGCACAAAGGAACTAGTCGGAGCCACAGAAACCCAAAATTAAAATTCTGCTGACAATTGGAAAGAGAATGCGACCCCAGAGACAAACTTAGCGTAGATGACTAGAGTAATAGCTATGTCTTGTGTGTTTTTTATCCTCTCCCGCTGCATTTAATTGATGTGTGGAACTATTAGTTATCTCTCTAGATAAAAGCTTGGTCAGTAATAGTCAGCAAAATTGATTACAGTGATGACAGAATAACATTTAGCATGGTGAATCATAGTCGAGCAAAGCATAACATAGCGGAGCATATGTGTGTGTGAAGATATATGATGGCATAACATTTAGCATGGTGAATCGTAGCATAGATCAGATAGTTTAGCAAATCATACTACGACGGAGCGTATGTACAAAAATAACGATGCTTACTTGGACACGTTGCCGACAATAACTCTCATCTTGTTCTTGAGTCTCGGAGCTCGGCCCACGGCAGTGGCCTCCTCCTCTTTTTCTCTAGCACAGTTTGAGGCAGGCTGAAAAGCAAATCAAAACCAAAACATGCGACCAACCAGACAGCCAGAAGACCAAAGCTACATTCCCTTCATCAGCGTAGCACTTAATAAAAAAAAAGAGAGGAGTACACTCTTCACATTGTGCTGCCAAAAACAGTTATGTTTCCTTCACCCTAAATCGTTCTGAACAAACCTGCACTTCATCCGCAGACAGTGCCGCTGTTTTGGCTCCGTCCAAATTCGAAGGAGCGGCGGTGACAGCATTGCCGAAGTCTGATGGCGGCAGCGTTTTTCCCAGGTACTTTCTGCTCGTTGGATGCACTTGTGCAGTCTGCTGGTTCTCTGCACTGCCCTGCTCGTTTAAAGAAACACCCAGGTCTTGAGAACGGAGACAGTTTTCTATGGCCGTGATAACTGCTTACACTTAACCCTTTGCGAAACTTGGGACATATGCGTGGCCTACCACTTTGAAGTGCTATATTGACGTGATTTACTAGTAGTTAAAATTAAGGCTCCAATGCGGAGCGCAAGTTCATCTGCAGAGGGGTTGCGATAATGTCAGAATGCCAAACTCTTATTGGCTGACTGAAAAAAACTGAATCTCCCCGCTAATTTTAGCAGGGAATTGAATTGGTGTAGAGGTCATCGGACGTCAATTTTCCCGCTAAACCTAGCGGAGAAACTGAATTTGTCCGCTAAATCTAGCGGAGAAACTGAATTTCCCTGCTAAATTTAGTGGGGAATGGAATTGGTGTTGAGGTCACATGACGTCAATATTCCCCCTAAATTTAGTGCGGTTACGCCAACACCGCGAAACACGGAAATGGGCGCCTAAGAGCTGCACTCTAAAATAGTGGGTAGACCTCAAAACATCTAGCATTGAGGTCTACACACTTTCCTTTCAAACAAAACCACGTCATTCTGACGTCGCCACAACTCCTGTGCAAGGAGTAGACGACTCGCTCTTTGCACGGGCCTCAGAGTGAAACAGCAGATACTTAGGCCCATTTCAGACGGGGCAACTTTTCCAGCAATTTTGGGGTTGCTGGCGGGTTGTCCCTAGCTTTCCCTAGATTGACACGAATTGCTGAGACTGGCTCCAGCTCGAAACAAACGATCAACTCGGAGCAATTCAAAGACGTTTGAAGTGGCAGCAGCCAATCAGGGACGCAATATTTTCACGTGATACCCCGTGCATGCGATGATGACAACTAAAAACTTGGCTCTGGTTTGAAATTGATTGTTTTTGAAAATAAACCGCTTAAGAAAGATGAGTTAGTATTCTCAACACCATTTAAAGGTATAAAAACATGTTTATAGTGTGTAACTGTGTGTCTAAATAGTGCAAAAAAAATTAATGATGATGATGACAAATTGCAGCAACAGGTTGCTTCGTGTGAACGCGGGCGGCCTGTGTTGCTCGTGTTGCGACATCAAGTTGCTGGGAGAAATTGCCCTGCCTGAAGCAGACTTTAACTGATTAGCATGCACTCTTCACAATATGAAATGCTACTTTAATGCAAGGGTGCCCAGGAATTTGAGTCTAAAAGACATGCAGACCCAAACCAAAGAATAAACAAAATAACTGGAGTCTTTTTTTTTAAACAAGTAAACTCTGAATTTATGCAACATAAGGACAGGGAAAGCAACTGACTTAATGCCTTTTTGTACCGATGTGTGCATCTCGACTTGGCAACTACAGGCTATAGGTGGTATTTATTGGCGGCCATTGCTGAGTCCATTCCTGCTAAGCACGAGCTAACGATGGACTTCCACAACACCTTCAAAACATCCATTTCACACTATCAATAACATAGTTCTTCTCGAAGGATAAGTGTGTGCTCGACCTAAGCCTGTGCTGTGAATAACGCACTCAAATATGGCACCCAGAGAATACGCCTATAAAGATGACCAGAAAATGTGCTGGATAAAAGAAAAAAATTACGCCCACTGAGCGCCCACTTACCGGCTCGTTACTGGTCGGCTGTCCACTAACCGCATAGTACTTAGTGATTATTCCGACCCGAAGCTTTTCCAGTAGGACCTGGGCCTGGTATATCCTCTGCAAGAGGTAGGACCAGGCAAACCCGGAAAGATAAAGAAAACAAAACATATTGAGGTCTTCAGCCATAAAGTAAGTAAGGCAATTTCTGAGGACCCAGGGCTTGAACTCAGCAGCTGACACCCCCGGAGCAAAGCACAGAACCTTGCCACCATGCAGACAGGGGGGCTATGTTGCACGTTTTGGACTCTTAGGAGACTAGGAAGGAGGAAGTGACGTAGGTGTGAATGAACGTATCTTAGCAGCACCACACAACGCGTCATCAGCAACTCCACCAATCAACATCCAAAGAGTGTTGTTGACGTCACTTCCTTCTCCCTAGTCTCCTGGGAGTCCAAAACGTGCAACACAGCCCCCCAGTCCGAGCCGAAGAAAATCACAAGCCTGTCAGACCAAGTGATATGGTGGTCTTGCTGAAGCACCCCTCCATAGATCTGCTACTCAGGATATGCTCTGATCAACAAGCAGTAAGTAAAAGAAAGCATATCAGAGCACACTGAAGTGATACCATCTGCAAGAGATGGCTGCGCTTCGAAAAAGCCAGAATTGCAGAGTGGCCACTTGTTTTCAAGGCAGTTTAGGGCTCTGTTCCACTTTACTCGAGCAACAAACCAGAGACGCTGCTCGAAATCATGTAAAATAGAACTTGACAGCAACCTTCTGTAAGCTTTAACGTTAACCACTTTTTTTTTTTTTTTTTTTCGTTTTAAGTTTGAATGTTACGTTTTGTAAGCTTGAGAGGACGAAAAAAAAAAAAAAACAGTTTCGAGAAACGCGTCGTTCTCTTTCCAGAAGAAGGGCATTCGAGTACCTGGTTGATCGTATCCAACTCCGACTCCCTTGCCGAAATCTCTTCCGAAAATCGGCTCTTGACTATTTGTTCAATCTTCCTCACGGTAGCTTCTTTGGCTGCGGGGAGACCTCAAAGTCAGTGACTGGCCGGCTGACAGTCAAGTAGGAACTCCGTTTTGACACCCACCGTCTTGCTCGTGTAGCTTGATCCGCTTCTGCTGCGCGTGCAGCGGAATCGATTCGTAATCCGGATCCTGGTCCACGGGTCTCTTCTGCGAGTCCCACATACTAATAAAGAGAAAAACAAAAGCGAAGAGATCAATGATAAAACACTAAAACCGCACGCGGCGGAAGTGTTCTTGCACTTTCTTCCATGCAAAAAACAGAGAAGCTTCTAAATGATAATAACGCCTACATTTCTCGACGCTGAGTGTTCGCTCGTAATGTCACGAACACCTCGAAGAAACCGCTACCGCCATCAGAGAAACCGCAGCCGTGCAACTGTGCGACCGAACCACCACCACCGAGCTTGAACCTTGCACATGTGCGCTGCCATGTTTGTTGTTATGCCTGGATGAATGAATGAATGGATGATACATATGACGCAGGGAAACGAATGGCGACGCGCTGTAGTGGAGTACACCATAGTTGTAGACACATATGATAAAACTGGATAAATATGGAGAGCTCGGATAAAACTTGGATAAAACCTACATCGTTGGATAAAACATAGAGATCAGTGGATAAAACCAACGGATAAAAAGGCCTATGTGGTTGGACAACATAAATATCTTGTCAGTTTTAGAAAAAAATATTTCGTTAAAACCTTAGGAAACGAAAGAGTATTTTATTGTCCATGCATGAAACAAAATTTAACTTCGTTTTATACGAGATATAATGCACAATCTTGAGATTTAGGTATTTGTTTAGACAGAATATTTGCTTTGACCAGTTTTTTCAAGCTCACTTGTTTGGTTTCGGTTTGTCTCACCATGCCCATCATGCGGTCGTGCGCGCGGCCGATTGCGTAAACATCGTCCAACGGGTCCAGGGTAATCGAAATCGCATATAATTCTTGATGAAGTGCAGCGTTCGTTGGCGGTCACCAGAAAGCTTTTATACGATAAAAGCATAGTCAAACCCACGAGAATCGTCGTATCTTCAAGTTGTGTATACACACGTGCCTAAACTCTCACATTTCGTCTAAAGGGCGGTTCAAACCAGCCCGCAAAACGTCGTCCGGAACAATCCGTGGAACGGATCCAGTTTCAAACTTCCGTAGGCGGGAACGTTTAAATATGTGCGGAATTCTCCGAACCAGCTAGAAACAGCCAGCGCACCGGCGACGGGCGGTTGAACGGTGCGCTGGCTAGAATCTCGTCTACGCATGCACGCTCCAAATTCATGAAATGATTGAGGGTCGCTCACACTAAGGTCTGGACAGTTGAAAGATGTCCCCATCATTTCTGCATTGCTCCTTTGAACTAATAAGCGCTCGAGAAGTTTTGGAATAGCTTCAACTATGCGCTCACAGGAAACTTCACTTGGCTGCAGTCAGCCAGGTGGAGCTTCAATTAGTCTGCACTTGAATGTATCAATCTATTTATTTATTTCATTCAGCGGCAAACATCAAGTTCACCGGATTAACCGACCAGATCCAAAATCCCAAAACGCCACACGCAAAGTCCACAATAAATTATGGCAACATTGTGCATACTCCTAGCTCCCGCAGCATCCAACAGCTATAAAAAGACAGAATAACACAGTTGCTCTCCAGGCCTTGCCAACTCGCCTGCCTAGATTTTACTGTCCACTGCACAATTCCTTACAGCCAGTTCCCAGGATTCCTCTCAGCGCTGCCAGCGATATCTGGACATTGTGTTACCTTTAATTCCGTGGGAGGGAATACTGCAAAAACCTTGTATCTAGGGGGTGTTGGTAGAATTGTATTTACACAGCACAGAATTGATCTGTCTTTGGAGATGTGGAGGTGCTAGTTCAATGCTGTAGGAGGCAATTTGGCCTGTGCAGTACAATTGCTAACCTGGGTGAGCAGACGCCCAGAAGCCGTGGATAATGTTGACAAACAAGGCGATCTTGTCCATTTCATGACATAGCTGTTATATCTGTTGCAGCTAACATTAACCAAAAGGTTTACGTGAAAAGGATCAGAATAAAAGCATCCATCACATCATGAATGTGTATAATGCATGTAATCAAAGTATTATCCTCACTTACCTTTTTTTTGCCGAATAGCGTTTCTTGGAAATAGGCAGTTTATCTAAGTAGCTTACGAGATCCCAGTGTGGTCTCATTGCCGAAAGTTGTATTTCAGTCAGTGAGCACAAGCTTGGGGGAAAGAAAACGGCAACTTTTGTATTCTTGTATTGACTGAAATTTATTAGCACTCGCACACCAACACTAAACATAAAAAGTTACAGTAACGCAATGCCGTTTCATGCCACAACAGATGAGAGTTTATTAGCAAACTTAGTGGATAAAAGGTAAAAAGAAAGTGCATAAATACATAAGCAAAAACAATCCGAGAGCTCGTAAAACGAGTAACCCATCTCAAAACCGACAGAGCCCTTTGTAAATTCACTAGCTTCTCCTAGCATCCCAGAAAAGAGTAAAAAAGCCACACGCACAACGCGACAGGTAAGAATACACGGGGCTCTTCAGCATGCCAATCGGATCTGCGCAAGTTGACGGTGGCCGCTCCAATTGATCAGCCGAGGGTAGTGGAGCAGAGCAGAGCCACTCCGCGCTCATAGAAGCTGTGGGACTCGCGCGGATCAGCAGCCAGGAGGTCCACAGTGAAGAGCAAGTCGGTGCGGCTCGAGTTGAGGTACACTGGAAGCGTGACCTGGACACGAGTGAGGGATATAACGTCAATGCTGGGAGACCGGCCACAACAAGCGATCCTGAACCTCATTTGTGCACCTTTCAATATGTACATAGTAGTCTATGCTTTCGGTGCACTCCAAGTGCGGGCCGCAATTTGTGGAGAGTGAAGGTTAGGGTGACACTGACATTAGTGCTTTGACTTGTTACTCACTAGAAAGATTCACTTCCTCCATGTGAACCTACGAGTCAAAAAATGTGTGCAGAATGCTGCATGTTTATTCATGCAGCGTTCTGCTCAAACTTCCCGACAGTATGGCTCAAATCGGTAGGATAAGGACGCCTCTAATGCGTCAGTATATCAACGTTTCGCAGACACGCCGAGTGGTGTTTTTATATAAACTACGATTTGGTCATAATCATTCACATACTATGTTATGTCACCCTAATAGGATCATGTTACCTTCTCTAGTGTTCCGGCGGCTGTGCACCACGACGTGGTCATAATTGCACCAGAATTATGCCAGCCCGATGCCGTAGTGAAACGTTTGTTGCGGTGTACCTACAACGATGCTTCTGCGAGATATGTTCTCGCAACTCTAGCGTCCAACTTTTCAAACTAATATTGTAGGGACCAGGGGGTTCCCCAAGATCGCTCAAATACCCTCTGTTGTTTCCCTACCCACGATGAAGTTTTTTCTCAATCTAGACACAGAGGGTATATGCTGGCTATCCTCAAATTCCTCAGTTGCAAGAACCTCGAGAGAGCCGAGTGAGTGCCCTCCAATTCTGTCTCTAATTGTCATTCTCGGAACAAGGTCTCGAGCCATTTTTCGGCACACATTTCAAGTTTTTGCACAACCCGAAGGTAGGTCAAGTTGGTAGAAGAAACCTGAAAATAAACTTTCCAAAGGCCCCAGAGTCGGCAGAGATTTCACTTAAACGAGACTTGGCTTCTTTACTGCCACATAATCTCTAACACTAACGGTTTTAGCCTGCAAAAAAGGAGTTAGCGAAACGCTGGATGCCACATTGAGAGTTTTGGTTCTTTTGCACGCGTATATTTGGCATTAAATGAAAGAAGTTTCGCAAAAGTAAACAGTGCAATGGCTTATGGAGGGGACGGCGTCGTTCCCGCCAGCGTGACACTCACCGTGGCCTCCGACGGCTTGTCCTGCACCTGCGTCTTAACCCAGCGAATGGTGGTAAGCGGCAGTTCGGTGAAAATGCTCGAAGTGAGGCTCAGCCGGCTCTGGACGCACTTGGCACCCTGCAGCTTGAGCCCCGCGAGAGCAAAGCTGTACTCGTCCACCGAACCCGGCTTTTCGTCCGCGTCGGACACCCACACCTGCGGAAGAGAGACACGCGTGCGTTTGTCGAGAGTAGACCCTAGGAACGCTTCGGCCAAATTCCAAACACTACCGAGAACTTTGGGTTACTCAAAGTTTGCCATTCATACTTTTTGGAGACCAAGGGAAGTACTGATATGCAGTTGCCGGCACCTGCTGCACGTCGAGCAGCTTGTCGTCCCTCAGAAGCAACAACTTCGACGGTCTGCAGTGAATCTGGTGAACATTCACTTTCTGAACACTCAACGATGTTGCATACAGCTAGGGTGACTAGTGAACACTCCCTACGGGGTGCTGCCATTGCTCAAACTAGGCGACCCTTCCTTCAGCAGTCTTTGAAAGCGGAAAAGTAGGCAATAAAATCCAGCCCGGAGCTGTCTTTACCAGTCGAGACATTTCTAGAAAATTAAGAAAGTGATTCTGGTCACGATAATGTTGCGTGTAAAAAAACTAAAAGTTTCTTTTTTAAGCTTAAATGGGGCAAGACAGTCTGCAGCCTAGGAACACGGCTAGACAGGTCTTTGCACATTCACGGCATTTCTCTCTTCGCCTCGCATAATTTTTTTGCTTCTTAGGATACGAGCATAAACTCAAGTGTCAATGATAGTCTGGTTTCAACGTCCAAATATGGCATAGATTAGGCCATACAAATGGGATTTTCTTCAAAGCCGACACGCTGGCTCGAGGAAAAAAACAGACCCATGAGCTTGTTGCATCGAAACGGTTGTTGTGGCGAGCCCTCGAGTTACAGTGCCCAAAACCCACAAGGTGTCAGCTAAGTCGCTGCAAAGTTTGGATTGGTGAGACGCCTGATCCAATGACACATGCTCACCTCAAGTGAGAGTTCCTCCAGGGACCAGCCATTGGCTTGTGCCACGTACTGCCGCGTTGCAGTGATGTAGGCCTCTGGGTTGAAGAGCCCGCCCAGCCACACGTGCAGGGACTGCGGAAGAAGCAGAAAATGTGCCACATGAACCACCACACTCCACTGGCCCCCCGAGACAAAGTTAATCCTTTGTTGACGAGTGCTGCCTACGGGCAACAGACCACAAAATAATTTTTTACAGCGGAGCTGTTAAGGGCTAGGTTCCCCAGGATCGTGTCCGGTACCAAACAATTGTCGACACAAAACTCTGGACAGCTACCGCCATCTATGAGCGATGGTGGCAACCAGACAACCGGCTTGCCGGCCTCACTCATACATGGCGGCAACCTTTCCAGCCTTTCCACTCTGGTTTTCACCAAAGTGGAAAGGCTGAATTTCTCTAGGCGTTGTCCTAGATGTCATCCACGAGATCATCTTAGACGTTGTCCTAGAGGTCGTCCTAGACGTTGTCCTTGAGGCCGTCCTCGACGTCGTTCCTGAGGTCGTCCTAGACGTCGTCCCTGAGGTCGTTCTAGACATCGTCCTCGAGGTCGTCCTAGACATTGTCCTTGAAGTCGTCCTTGAGGTAGTCCTAGACGTTGTCCTTGAGGTCGTCCTACATGAGGTCGTCCAAGAAGTCGTACTTGAGGTCGCTTAAGAAGTCATTGTTGAGGTTGTCCCACCATAGTACAGCTTTGCTGGTCTTCCTTCTTCACCAGAGTGGAAAGGCTGAAAGCTTTTGTTTAATAGTTTCGGTTTTATTACATTTTTTTTAAATCTAGTAGTCTCACCGTCTTCAAGACCAAAACAACAGTGCCATCTAGTGAAAAGATACGCATAGTTAAGGAGAAAAAATAAGTTTGGCACGCAAATACGCAGCAACTGAGAACGGCAAACGGCTCGTATTTTACAATGGGGTGATCGTTTTACTTGTGGCTATTGTATGCGCAGGCATTATTGATGTTTTATATTAATCCATAGAGGTTACACAAGGGAGCCATTTTCAGAATTTTGCCTGGTGTTGTCCTACAGGCAACAAAGCTACAACTTGCAAATTTACCTCAACATTTATTTTAATTTCAGCTCTGTTCTTTATTTCAGCTCTGCTCTTTCATTTAATCTTGTTAAACATTATCTTAAAAAATAAATGTTTTAAGCAATTTTTATATATTTCGTCAATAAAGGGTTAAAAGTGAGGCAGAAAGTGATACAATGACATCATAGTTACGGGGTTCGAGTTACGAAACTAGTCATCAAATATCCCGTTTCATAATGGAATGTTACAAAATTTATGGTCAAAGTGAGTACTAAATAAAGAAAAAAAACTTTCAGCCTTTCCACCCTGGTGAAGAAGGAAGATCAGCAAAGTCATACTATGGTGGGACGACCTCAAGGATGACTTCTTGGACAACCTCAAAGATGACGTCGACGTCTTGGACGGCCTTAAAGAGACCATGAAGGCAATTTAATTTTTTTTCAAAAAAGAAGGTGTTTTCGGAAGCATTGGGGTCCTGGCATGCCACACAAATTTTTCTAGAACATTGTGACTCTTATTTCTGTACCTGCAAATCAATTTGCGAAACCGAAACAAACATGCAGATTTCTTCCCTTTTTCGCCTGTGGAAAGAGGAGTGACGTCAGGGAGCACTGTCGGCATCGGTAGGATTTAGTGCACACTCAGTGTGGTTCCCGTGGTTCGCTCTAGTGCACGGCGGTCTGTGAAGAAAACCTGGAAATGGACGACAACGCCGCGCTTTCCTCAGACGCGGGAACTTCATGTTTTTACCCAGACTCCGGCTGACGTGAAGGTGCTGCTCAAAGTCTTCTGGTCGGAAATGCAACGAACAAATCCTGACACCGCTGTCCACAGCTCTACGCAAGACGACGGCGCGCAACCAAATGCTGCGCATTGCGGGTGTATCTCAAAACGTCCCATTCGCATTTGAACCTTGCACATTTCGACCCATTCTCATTTGGTCCTTCTCGTCTGAACCTTCTCATAAGATCCGAATCGTGTTTTTCGCAACTGGACCCATTCTCATTTCGCCCGTTCGCGCTACGACCGAATGGCACTAGTTCGGCATGCTTCTAACGTCGTTATGCCTTCGCGGCTTTGTTGATGAACCTTACCTTGTTTGGGCCCCCAACATACCATCAGATATATGCTATGTGCAGAGGTACGCACTGAGAATCGTACATTGACGCCTGCTTCCTTTCCTCTAAGCAAACGAGAAAAAAATCAATGAACATTTGGAAACTTTGTTTGAACAGAAATAGCATAGATAATAGCAGTGGTTCTCACCCATTGATGTTTCGTGGACCCCTTATATGAAGGCGGAGATGGTGGGGGACCCCGTTCGGGGTGAGGGGAATAGAAAGGTATAGGTTATCATGATAATGATTTAATAGATGGATATAACTAATTGCTAGTGTGAAGTAGACTTATCTCACTGACATACACATGAGAGTACTCTCCCGAAAATTGGAACGTTTCTTCTCAACGTGAAGAAAGACAACTAATATTGCCTTGCCCGACTGATGAGAGACCCCCTTTTGAGAACCACTGCATTATAGAAGTGGTGGCATTGTCCCAAGTCGAGAGACCTCAAACAACGTGACATTTCGGAACATGATCTGGCTGCGATAAATAGTTGGTCTGTTTTATTGCCAGTTAGTAGCTTTTCACGACAACCTCGACGCACTCTAAAATCCTTAGTAGAGGAAATCCTATTAATTCCCAACTACAACTTTAAAACATTATCCAACGTTCAAATAAACATTTTTCATCACATCTCACCACCGAAATCGAAACCAAGAGCGTGTCTATCGTTTGAACCAATCGCCAGACGAGGAGCCCGTTGTCGTCACGCTTCTACGGCGCACTTTAGTTCACCTTTCTGCCGCCGCCTCGGTGGGGTCTCAGGCATCGTTCCCGGCGCTATTATTACCGCGCCTGTTTGCTCGATTGGTGCGGCACCCAAACTTCTGTTCAGGCTAGAACTTGTTCAACAGTATCTGAGACGTGCCTGACATCCATTTCAATCGTCGAATACAACTTCGAAACTGCCTTCATGGTCCCTTTAAGGACAACGTTTAGAACAACCACAAAGACAACTTCTAGGACAACCTGAAGGACGATGCCTAGGACGACCTCAGGGATGACCTCGAGAACGTCTAGGACGACCTCAAGGGCGACCTTGAGGACAACGTCTAGGATGACCTGAAGAATGACTTCTAGGACGACCTCGAGGACGACCTCAAGGACGACTTCTAGGACGACCTCGAGGACGACCTCAAGGACAACCTCAAGGACGACCTCAAGGACGACCTCAAGGACGGCGCTTAGAGAAATTCAGCCTTTCTGAAATGACAGGAAAGGTTGCCGCCATCGCTTATAGATGGCGGTAGCTTTGTGGAGTTTTGTCGAGATTGATTTGTCCACGGACACGAAACTGGGGAAACTAGCCCTTAACAGCTCCGCTGTAAAAAATCTTTTAGGGGCAGAGCTCCTTAGGGTCTAGCCTTGTCCGTCTGGCGTCAGTGCTCCCATCGATTGCCATCCCATCTGTTTGCGTGGTTATATACGCAGCTGAGCATTTGACCGCAGCACCCTCTCATCTATGAACGTTGAGCCAATGTATGCAAAGTTTAATGCGATTATATATGCATTTGACCGCAGCGCCCTCTCCTGTATAGACATTGAGCAGCTACTGCAACGTTTCATCCATGACATCCCCAGCTTTTGAGTTACTACCAGATCTCAGAGCCCCCTACTCGTCCCGCAGTCGTGGCCGAGTGGTTAAGGCAATGGACTAGAAATCCATTGGGGTCTCCCCGCACAGGTTCGAATCCTGTCGACTGCGCAAACACTTTCTTTTTTTCTACACGAGCACGTGAGCACGTGCTCGTGAGCTCACGAGCACGAGCACCAGCAAGGTCGATGTGAGCACACACGCCGGAAGGACAAGGCTAGACCCTAAGGAGCTTCGCCCCGAAAAAACATGAGTTCATTAATAGAAAATTTTGGGCAGATTCAGTGCCCACAGTGCAACAAGCTCAGATTGTGGGCAGTACCACTAGGTAAAGCAACTTGTTGCGGGTCAAGAGTAACAGATTCAACTGTGTGAAATGTATCTGATGCAGCTACAACAGCAGCAGGCACATCTATGGCTGTCACTAAGTATGTCACTGGAGATGCCACTATGGGTGCTCACTGTTAGCACAAGAGCAACACACACATCTGATTGCAAGCACACACATCAATGACTGTCACTAAGTATGCTACCATGGGTGCTTGCTGTTAGCAGCAGTGCACACATCTATGACTGTCACAGCCCCTTCCCCGAAGGACCCGGAAAAGGCAGGGATGCAGAGGCTGACCTTGAGTGCAGCCGCTCCACCGGAGGTGCATGCCTGGGACACCCGCTGCAGCTGCTTGATGCGGTCCGAGAAGTCCGTCACCCACTGGATGACAGTGCAGCCGGGAGACACCGTGTACTTCTTCCAGTAGGTCGGCAGCATGCCTGCAGCCACACATCACAACTCAAACAAAGATCCCGAAGGTCACGTACAACACCCGCGTGCTTTGAGGAACCCCACCCTTTCATCTCGGAATCATTGAGCAATGGAAGAACCCGCAGAGCTTGTAAGCAACAATGCACGCAGTAGGGAGCATTTGGTTCACACTCTCGCATCAATGCCCGACTTACGTTAAGATATGGCACTTAAACCGACGCCTTACCCAGGGGATAGAGACAAGAGAGCATTTGAGTGCCTGAGCACGATTTAGCGAAACCAGTCCGAGAACTCCAAGAAGGCACAAATAAACAAAATAGCAGCACCGACAGTTTTCCTCAAAAAGACACTGATCCCAAGTTGGAGATATGTTTATGTTAACGGGCCCTTGTAGGCGGTGTAGGCACGCACCTTTGGCAAGGTCCGCGATCATGGTGCGGTGGTAGTTGGTCTGGCGCCGCTCGCCGCGGCAAATGCGGACCATGTCCTCCAGGTCGCTCCGCACCACCCGCAGGAGCTTGGCACCCACATTCACCTCGCGCTCCAGGCAGCGGTACAGGGGGTCCCCAATGTTGTCCTGCACCAGAGCCTTTCATTTTGTCCACATTCCCCAACCACTATTCACTGTTTTCGCTTACAGAGACCGTGAAACAAGAGGGAATCTGATGGACCTTCAGTCTCGTGCGCAATGCTATTTAGTCGGGACATTGCAGGATTCCTTGTGCAAAACGTTGTGTTCCAAACTGGCTATAGGCTATAGGAAGATTTTGTTTTTACTCTTTTGTTACTGCCGAGACTTGAGCTCAACCTCCCACAAGCTTTTTGAGTGGATCATATCTTGGCGAAAAATTGTTTCCTCACTTGTTTCATTAAGGGGCACAGCTATCCAGTAGGGTGAAAGAGTAAGTTGAGGAAAGAAAGAGGTGCACTTTCAACAAAAACCAGCGCGTGCAAACAAAATCAGGTTCCTGTTCCATGTTCGGGTGGGGTTTATTCCAAGAACTAGTTAGCTTAAACGAGGTTAGGTTCAAATGAAGCCCGTTAGCTATTTCCTGCCTCCTTGTGCCCGGTGCCACGAGCAGACTACCTGCCATCCTTTACAGAGAAGAAACTGTTTCACGCTTCCTTTTAAGGAACAGAATACGGCAAATGCTGCACGCAACCAGAAAAACGCCCGCACTTCTCAAAACGTGTGACAGTTGCAGCGCGTGTCCATTTTCAGTTTGGACATTAACCATGCAAACATCACTGCTTTTCTCTTTGGCGTCGCCTCCTCTCCTTTCTTGTTTTGGGGAGATTGGGCAACGACGACAAGAGTGGAGACGACAGCCAGCAGAGCTTGCAAGTGGCTGTCAGGGCCCACATGATGAGCATGCTCTAAGCCTCTAAGGACGCAAAAAAAAAAAAAACATTCCCGCAAAAAAAAAAAAAAAAAATATTGAATTGGAGGAAAACCTTCATTTCCGGTGCAGCAAATGCTGCAACTGCTGCGTCCTGTTTAGACGGCCCTTTAGACTACAAGACTACACCGGCATCCCTTTTAAAGACGGTGCCACGCAAGCTACCCGCAACGCCACCTGCGTTGGACGAGTGACCAGCCCAGTGTGCGTCGCCGTCCCTACCTTGGTGCGCCTGAGGCAGGTGAGGCTCTGCGGAAGCAGGCGCAGCCAGGTGGTCCCAGACTGCTGCAGAGTTGCCATCCAGGCAGGCCTGCCGTCGCCCGCACGGCCGGGCTCACCGGCGGCGCCCTCCTCACTGGCGTAGGCCGGCTCGTCATCGTCCTCCAGCAACTGCATCTTGAGCAGCTTGGCAATCAGGTCGCTTCCTGCAAAGCGGTGGTCGGCAACGCATCAAATGGAGGGGTCGGCGGCGTAGTTCTCGGCACGTAGCGCGAAAGCTCGCGCTGCAGAACCCGGGAATCCTGGGTTCAGACCCCTCCCCCCGCCCGTTTCCATCTAAATGAGCACCGTACTGCCGTGCGTGCGGTCATGTATCGCTACCGCACGATGCACGTTTAAGACCCCAGTCTAGCAGTCGCGCTGCACCGGCTAAATTTCTTATCTACAGCATAGTGTCGCTGCACCTCAAAGAAAGACCGACCTTATGGTGTATAAACATGAACGTCAATGTTCCTTTTTTTAACCAGTCATCTATCTATTTGGCTTATAAATGTGGTCATACACTGGCACCGAGGGCGACACTCGACTACTAACTCTTTCCTGCCCATGGGATAAGTAGCAACTTTTAAAGGATCCGTGCAAATGCTTCTATTTTTCTAACCTAACGCCGCCACAGCAACCTACGTCACCAAACGGCCCCGACCAAAAATAATTAAGAATTAGTCCGCACAAAGACCAAAGCGTGCAAAATTTGATAGTGGCGCACGTTCCGACGGCACCGAGGTGCAACCGGACACAATCGACACCGCAGGAGCACCGTCCCGGCCGACGGGGAGAGCGACGCTCGGTCGCTGACGTACCTCTGTTGGTGAGCAGCACCTTCTCGGCATTGTTGGGCAGCCCCAGCCAGGATGGCGTCTGCCGGTCCGTCAGCGACTCCACCCAGTGCAAAAACTGGTCACGCCTGCGCGTCGACAGAAAGGCCCGCTTGAGTCATTCGTCACTCTACGGGCCGCAACAAAGATAAAGCAGGCTGGGACCAGAACACGCACGAATCGAGACACCATTCCTAATCGCTATCGCGCCGCTAGATCTATATACAATAATATCCAAAGAGGTTGTCCACCCCAAAAAATAGACCACCCTCTTTTACAGCAGAGCTGTTAAGGGCTAGTTACCCCAATATCAAGTCCGTCAGCAAACAAATGATGACACGAAACTCTGGACAGCTACCGCCATCTATGAGCGACGGCGGCAACCAGACAGCCGGCTTGCCAGTTGTCTAATTGCCACAACCTTTCCAGATTTTCCACTCTGGCTTGCCGACTTGCGGCCGGCCATTACTTCATTCCCACCATAGTACAGCTTCGCTGGTCTTCTTTCTTCACCAAAGTGGAAAGGCTGAAAGTTTTTCTGTCCAATTCTCACCACTCAAAGCAAACACCAAGTAATAGCCCAATCCTTGAAATTATGTTGTCTTGGCTAATGGAATTTGCGCAGTAGGGTTGGCAATATGAGTTTTAACGACGCTAGTGCTCATTTCCTTGGCAACTTGGAAGGCAACCGAATGAACATATTTCGTCCTTTACGTTTCGGCTAACCGATAGCTCGGTCCGGGGCGGTTGATGACAGCACCAGCGGACGAGAAACCGAGGCTAGTCTTTTCTCTTTCGGGATATACTATTTCGGCAGCAAACATTTAGAATCCAGACGAGTCTCTTTGGTTCCAGGAACGTGGTTGGACACTGGTTGAGGCAAGATCACCTGATCCCTTCTGGGCTGGCAATGCCCTTGTCCTCGCTGCCTCCCGTGCCGGGCTCAATGAGCATGAAGTCCGGCTCGAAGCTCTTGGCCGTGAACAGCTTGTTCAGGAAGGAGTTGAGCAGGCGCTGCGGAGAGGGCAGAGCACATCGTACCTCTTTCGAGAGGAACAAGAGTCCCCTTTTTCCACCAATAGCTAAGTCAACACGGCTCTGAGACTTGGAAAGCTGAAGATTAATAGGATTCTAGGCATTGAGGCGGTTCCTTAAATACTGCGAGAACCGGGCAAACGGTGCAATTCAACACAACGCAAAATATAAAAGTGAGATTGAGAAGTCTAGATCCAATACAAAGACAAATCTGCACAATTATTAATGAAAAAAATGACTGTTTTAATTTTGCATGCACCTTGCAAATCTCCCTAAATGGAGCTTTCATGAGCGGGAGTTCCTAGATAAGTGGAACTTCCCAAAATGTCGATCTCATTTGACTTCCGCAGTCTTCGATGTGGTCATTTTGTCTTCTCAAAAATGAAACTTGCAAACGGAATGGTTTTGCCTGGTTCTTTGGAGGTCTATGCAAAGACATTCTGCATTACTACTCGAATGACAAACATCCTTCGAGTAATTGCTTTTACGTGCGCTAACCATCAATTTCACACTCGCTGCAGTTTGACACATAAGTGGTACACAAAGCTCAACTCCTCATGGCAAAGTTTGCGCTGGTGCTCCAACGAAAGAGAGGAAAAAACTGACCACACGTCTAGTATCAAACTCAACAAGCACGCTACATTATGAGACCTAAGAGAAGCAGACTACTTGCAGCCACTTGCCTGGTCAAAATCGTTGTCAATCTTGCCTCCATAAATGCACTGCCCAAACAGGATGCGCAGAGCATTCCAGGGAACCTTCTCGGGTGGCAGGTTTGTCCGACCCTACCAAAGGAAAAGGAACATCGCCACAAACTCTCCCACGGTACACAACAAAGTAACATTAGCGCTAGACACGCACCAATTCCAGATTTTAAGTCCAAAGCAACCTAGAAGCAACGAGCGTTCTCAGACATATTTTCTGCAAAAATTTAAAATACCCAAGATTTGCACAATAACTAAGACGTCCACTGATGTTAAGCTTGCCAGGTATATGAGAAGGTTTACTGGCTTCATCTTATTTTTACCTTTCGCCACGCGTCCCGCAAGTCCGAGCAGGCACGATAATAGTAAAACAAACGAGACCGAAACCGAAACGGGACCACCCACCATGGCGATGGTGTCGATCCAGGTGTCGAGGGTGTCACAGGCCACGCGTAGGTCGGACTCGTTGAACTCGTAGTGTTTGGCCCAGCCCAGGGGGCAGTAGCGCAGCCGCTCTTGCACAATGGCGTGGAACCAGGCCAGCAGGAAGTAGAGGCGAGCACGCTCACCCGGGGCCTGCACAAGCACCACCTCAGGGAACATGTCTCTGGGCAGACGCTACCAGATCACAGGGAGCCACAAAGGAAGAAAAGGTTGAGCGCAACCACTGGATTCATATAACGTACTCCTCCATCTTTCTCGTTCTATGATAGCTGGACAACTGGGGAGTGCATTTTATTTCCGTTAATGCTTGCTATCTTGGGCAGCGAGAACACTGGGACAATATCCCTTCGATAATAACTATTTCTACTATGCCGTTGTTATCCCTCCTTCTGGTTGCAAAAACATTCCTCATGCTTTTCAAGATCTTATATGAGCTCAATCATGCTGACAAAGACCAGGAAGCGCAAAATGTGACCCGCAAAAAATACACTCCGTGCGTCGGTTGTGCTAAAGTTTTCGTTACTTTTATGATCAATTTTTATTAGTTTCTTTCTTTAAGGGGGGACACTACCTTGAATTGCATCTTTTTTCCAAAAAATTCATATTCATAGAGACTCAATATTTGCGGATTATATGCCGAAATTTTATCAAGCCGGTTACTATGAACTTAGATTCTGCATTTTCATGTTCCTTTATTATGAAAAATAGTAATTTGCAAAACTTGGCAAATGTAAAAAAAAAAAAAAAAAAAAAAACTTCTCAAATTTTTTTTTATTTGAAAAATGCATATTTCCAGAAATTTATTTTCATAGTAACTGGCAACAAATATTCCAGTATGCATTCCGCCAGAAAAATATGTGGGGATCAACACCATTTCTCAACGATAGATCCATTGAGCAGATTCTATACAAAGCTAGGTAGTGGGGGTATAGTACCTCATAAAATTGGTTCACAGGGCTGAAACTTTGCATGCCCTCCTTCAATATGGCTACAAACACCCCCTGCAAATTTCATGCTAATTGAGTGAGCAGTTCGAAAGTAGACATGCCCAGGTAGCGTCTCCCCCCTTAACCCAAAATGTGTTTTATCAGCCGATTTCCAGCTTTCTAACCAACCTAACCTTTCCAACCCGAGTGGGAAAAAAAAAAAGAAACATCGAAACATAGAAGGAACAGAAAATAGACGGGACATTGTCTCAAACTTAGCTAATTCGTTTATTTAGTCCACCTCTTTATGTGGTCTGAAACTCAAGGTCATCACCATGCACAAACACAGAAGGATGAAGTCTATATAGTTGAAGCGAGTCTATAAAGTTCAAGGTGATGACCTGGAGTTTGAGACTATCAGTTGTAACAGCCGGCTGCAACGACACGGAAAAGTGTTACACCCATAGCGAAGCATATAAAAAGACATCAGTCCCCCGGCAGGCATTGAGCTCGCCACCTTGAGATTGTGAGCCAAGTGCCTTGCCGACTGAGCTATCCGAGGTCAAGGATCCGAGCATTCAAAAGCAAAGTAAGCGCAGAGGCCCTTTTCTTCCCTGGAAGGCCTACTGCACATTCTGCGCTTACCAGTCTTTGTCAGCATAATAAAGCTTGTAGAACTTCTTTATTTTCATTCAAAAGACGCCGCTCTCACCGGCACGTTTTCGTGCCAATGGTATCGTTCACTCTTCCCAACCAGCTGTGCTACGCAGCTCAGTTGCTATGCCATCCAACAGCCACCACACTGACCCAAGTTCGGGCCCCGCCCAGCCTCAAACCCGGGTTTCTTATGCTGATTTTACATGGGCCGTTGTAGGCCTCATATATAGCCTTACGTTGTGCAACGATCATGTCAGTCCTTTCCGATGCCTGTCCACGACTGTCGTTCGTAACAATGTTCTCGTAGAAAATTACTCGTAAAACACATTCTGGATAAAAAAAATAAAACCTTGAAAGATACAGCACATATGAAAAGGAACTGCCTCTTACTATCGACTCGCAAGCACAGCCAGGATTCCACGTAGTCGCGTAGCTGAGATCCCGCATAACTTGACAAAAAGCTCGGCCAACGACCGACATTCGGGGATTCCTCCATCTAACAGGTAGCAGTCGTTCCGCTCGTCCGACGGGCAACGTACATACCGGCAATTCGACGCAACTTTTCAGCCACTCGCACGGTGCCTCTAAAGAGTCTCAAACTCGAGTATTTACCGCACCCCTAATATTCCCGTTTCCTTCTCGCGGCATCGCCGCCAGCGCATTTAGTCGCCGGTTGCAATCTTGACAGGGGCTGCAGACGGTGACCGCCGTTGCTATGCAGTCCGTTGGTGGACGAAAACCAGAGCGGCCACGGGTTGGGACGCCATGACGCCGACAGCCCTCGTTTGCCTTTTTCGCCGACACTTCAACGACTAACTGCCAGGATCGCGACGGGCGACTAAACGTTACGCCTCTTCCCGCGACCTAATTGGTCGCTACTTTACAACCACTTTAGCGTCTTGCACCGGCGGCGTGGGACGTTAAAACACACCGGTCCAAGACTCAGTGTAGGCACCATAACCGATTAGGGATTACACTATTTCAGCGTGAGTCAGGGCGCAGTTAAGGGCTGAAAGACGGACCGTATTTACACAAATGTAGGTCGACCCTTTTTTCAATTTTTGAAAATCTGAAGTGGGGGGGTCGATTTATAATCGAACCAAAGCATTCCACCACTGGCAAAAACGAAACAATCGCAATATCATGAGCACTTAAACTTGTTACGAGTTCAGCCGGCTGTACCTCTAGCATTGCATTATTCTGTGTGCTCATATTACAAAGTTGTTTTTTTTTTCTATTTGCGCGAACGAGTATTGCTGGTAGCGATTCGCAAATTAACCCGAATATACGGCGGTGAACAGTGCGCGATGCGCCCGACTCCTGGGGGGTGGCGGCACTTCTTGTAAGAGCCACTCCGGAGGCCGCTGGAACAGCCTCACGGCTCACTCACTCACTCAGCTCAATCAGCCTGTGGCTTCTCTTCGCAGTTTTTCGCACGATTCACAATAGCACATCGTTTGATCGAGTGACGAGACCATGCTGGAGCGCTAACTATGTTTCTTTTTGTATTGACACGCGTGATCCGGGCAGTTTAGGTTTTCGGTGCTCGTTTTTGGCCATTCTTCACTCAGAAGCAATCAACAACTGTGCTGTTCGACGCAAGTTCGACCCGTCGGAGCGCGTGATGCTCCAATAGAGTCAGCAGTGGCACGGGATTTTAAACTGTGACGGCAAACAAAGAGGCTTCCGTAGGCCAAAATTCTGGTTCCGGAGTTGGAAGTCAGGCTTGGAATGTACGCCGCAAAAGTGCGCAATCAGTCCCTACCCGTGACGTCCAACGCGATCACCGAGCAAGCGCGGAAGATGCGGTTGATCCTGTCATTTGCGAAGTGAGAGATTTCGTTGGACGCCGCCGCCGCCGTGCTTTGAGAAAGTGGCAGTGATGACGACGGGACTGACATCCCCAGAGCGGACGTGTTGTAGTCTAGTCGGGGACGGAGTGAGAACGACAGTGAGCAGCCTCAGTTGTCCCGCCTCCAGCGTGAACTTCCCAGTTTCGATAACGCCTGGGCATATCTCATGCACCTCGCGCATGCATGCGCAGCCAAAGCACGCCAGAAGGCATAGATCGCGTGTTGGAGGCTCGGCTTTCGAAACAGATACTTTGCCGTTCTCACGTGTTCGCAGTAAAGTGCGCATTTACAATTTTTTTTTTTTTTTTGCTGATGTGCTATGTGGGGGGTCGACTTACATTCGTGTAAATACGGTACTAACGCAGATGCACAAACTTGAGGCCCAACACGCTAGCACCATCTACGAGGTATCCTCGCTAGAGCAAAGGCTTCGGAGTATTTGTGAGATCGAACGTACAAACTATCTACAAAAAATGGTCGTTCCGAGTGTTCCACGGCTGCCTGTTAGATGGCACCTGTGTGTATCTTTAAGAGATTGGGAGAGATCATAACGCACTTGGACGTAAGCAGTCGCAAATGCGCGAACGAGCCTTAAAAGCGCGAGGTCTTGGCACATGCACCATGCCAGACCGGTTTAGCCGGCCAAAGAATGTGCATGGAAAGACTAATGCAGCGACGCTTTTGGCGCCGCTTGTTTGGCCCCGTCAACTCGTCGGTTGTGCTCAGACGCGTGGCGAAAGGAGGAGCGGGGACGGAGGGGCGGACCTTGGTCATGCGCTGGGCGGGCACGGTGGAGAAGGTGCGCAGCAGGTTGGCGCGGATGCCCGGCGGGGGCTCGAAGAGGAACACGCGTCCGGCCCGGAGCAGGTTGACCGGCACCTTGGGGTGCACCTCCAGGGTGAGGAAGAGCCGGAAGGACGGGTGGGGCTGCAGGGCGTGCAGCTTCTTCTCCAGCTGCACCAGCCACTGCGGCGCCAGGTGCACATTCTTCAGCATCACCCACCTGCACGGAGAGGGGAGAGGGGGTGAGGGCGCGGTTTGGAAGGCCTAATCACGAGCGTGGTGCGGCACTAGTCCGGTGCAGATTCCACGCCGGAAACGGTGCTAACCTTAGCATCAATGCGGCACTTTCCAATACGGTGTCCGTGTACACCCACGTGTGACTGGCGTTGCGCCGCTGCAATGGCGTTGCCGTCGGTGCTGCGCATGCGCCTATGCTTCGTTTCGCGTGAATCTGGTTTCTGCGCATCCACAGTGCCCGTACTCGGTAAGGCAAACGAGGACTCGTTTCTAAACGGCATGTTGGCCTATAGCAAAGGCGAGTGGTTTCAGTGGTGCCATCTCCCGTTTCGTAACCGAAACGTTACGAGGTTGTGTCAGAGTGACAATGATTACGGCGACTTACTCCCATTTTTGATCGACACGTTAGATGGTGCGCGCGAAGAGCATCGTCGAAGTATCGAGCTTGCCTTAATACCGTAAGTCTCATCTTCATCGGAATGAAGTCATCACGCCGTGACAGCGAAGGAAATCGGACTCGGCGCCAAGAGCACTTCTGTCGTGAAACTGATCGCCATACTGAGCTCCTTCACAGTATTGCAAGTTGCAAGAAGGAAACCTCACCATGCGGTTTCCTCTTCACAAAGCATGTGGGAAGGCCATGCAAACTTTCACAAAATAAATATTGTGCCAATTTTTTTTTTTTTTTGTGTGGAAATTGCATTTTGTGACATAAGATCTCTTCAAACTGGATCGCTAGAATCCGGGGGTTCGCTCGGGATGCGCAAAAACAACAAAGCAACTGTGCTTTGTGTTGTCTTAGTTCATCTTGATCTCCGCTGTTTTTGGCGCTTTTGTACTTTTTAAACTAGGAACCAACTAGCCCAATTCACCATTCTGCCACAACTGTGCCCCTAGCAAGTGCTTCAGACACCACTTCATCTCTGGACCTGCCTTACTTGGTGCTCAAATGAGATAACATGTTTCCCTAAACTTGAATATTTCCAGCTGCATTTTGACCTGTCCATGAAATCTTCAGGTACAGAGTCGCATTTTATCAAAAATGCAGCTGATGCTCACGTCCAGCCTCCCTGGCACGCGTCTTACTCGCAAAAGTGGAGAGTGCGCAGATCAAGGCGACGGAGAGTCGTCCGGGCGATTCATTGCATGTTGACACCCGCATCATGAGCAGGGGATTGACAGGGAGGTGGCTGATGGAACATATTGAAAGTGATGGGTGCAAATGTGGAAAGGGCAACTGAGTTACTTTCTCCACTCTACCGTACCGTGTCACGCATGCACACGAAATCTGAGTAGGTTTGTGTTAGAATGCAATTCAGCATTAAAAGAGAGAGGAGTGTAGTAATCTGCTTTAGTGCAGTGTTCCGAGATGACGCCAATGTCTGGGTGTGCACATGAAGCGTGCGCATGATATCATTCAAAAATAAAAGTAGCAGCACGCGCCGCTCTTCGAGTTGTTCTGCCTTGAAAATCTTCCGGGGAGTCTGTTGTCTCTTTCGTCCCGGCGCGGCCTTTTGCGGCCCCAGCCGGCTCCCGTCGCCGAGCCATCGCCGTGCCTGGGTGGATCCCAAGTTGCTCGTGCTTCGGTAGAGCTCATCCCTGGAGGTTTGGCCAAGGCCACATTCCCGCTCCCTCCGGCATGGAGCCGTATTTGGCCTCGGCCGAGACCTGGCCGACCGTCCCTTGCGTAACCCAGATTACAACAAAGATTCGAGACTGAGGGTTGGATGCTCACCTGCCATTCTTGGAGGCGGAGTTGATGGCCTTCTCGGCCTGGCTGAAGCCCTCGGCAGAGCCCATGGCCAGGGACGTGATGTTGCGGCCCAGCTCGGTGGCCAGGTCGTCCACTCGGCCGCTGGCGTCGTAGCCCGGCACCGAGCACATCAGGATCGGGGTGCCCGCCTTCACCTGCCGTGTGCCAATGGGGGGCGTCGGGAAAGACTCCAAAACGTTCGTCCTCTTGGTGCTCAGTACAGGGTTGCTCAAATGAAAAAATTGTTAACAATGGCAGAATTGTGCAATTTAAGGCGGGTTTTCATAGGATTAGAAGATGTCTAGGAAAGAAATACCCTAGTAAATTTTTTCAGACCAGCCTGTAATCAACAATAATTGTGTTATGAAAAAAAAAAAAAATTCACACTTTAATTTTTTGACGGTCGAGTTTTGTTTCCAAAGAAATACTAAAGGTAAATGCACAGTTTTTTTTCTTTTTTTTAGTCATCTAGTGGAACCGCATGCAGTGCTTGTTTAGGTTTAGAAGCATTAAATTAATATAGTGAAGGCAAAAAGTTCTCTTTTCTTCCATTCGGTTTCGTTTTGGCGCATCCGCTTCCGCAATATTCCAGTGGCTTCCGATTTCTAACCAGAGGTACTTCACAGAGCTTCTCAGTTGGATGATGAGCTCTGATCTTCTAAATTTAAATACCAAAAGCGTCGCCAGTCTGAGTCTAAGAGCCAGTGCTCCCGTTGGCCTTACCGCGAGAGCGTCTAATTTGAACTATAAAAATAGTCTAGCCCAGCAAAGCGAAACACCATGCAAATATAAGGTTTATAGTACGCCAAAGACATAACAAACAGACACACCTCCCGCAGTGCACCCAGTTTCGCATTTAGGCTGGCACTTTCAAATGTGTAATAACTGCCGTACACATACTGCGATGGTCGTCATAGGGTCAAGCTAATCAGTTTCAAAGAGAAACTGGAATCGAATGGGGTGGCATCATCAGTTTGCATAATGTACACTATCAGATCAGTATTCTCGCCTAATTTAAACTCCGCGCCTATGTCTAATAAAGACCAAAGGATTAATGCACTCAATACACAAAACCCATCATTCTCTGCTCGCCACGATGCATAATAGGAATGAGATTATGCAAAAAAAGAAATCCCACACATTAAGTCAAAAAGGTGAAGAATATGTTAAAGTGCTTATTTTAACGCACTGGTCACAATTGCCAATACTCCCGTCATTCTCCATGAACAGGAGCCGCGTAGCCGACGTCGCTCGTTCATGAATGTACGCTCCACAATGTCACGCGATTATTAATGTCGTACGAAGTCCATTTGTCATCCCGGATGTCGCGTGATGCCCATCGGTGTCAGGTGACCTGCGATATTACTTGGCATCGTACGACATCTGTGATTATGCGAAGTCACAAATGTACAGTCTTCACCAATTCAAAAAAAAAAAAGAAGACCCACGCGGAGTGTATAACGGAGATGGCGGATAATGGCAGCGCTACTCGCGCTTCAAGTAATCCTACATCACTTTGAGGGTAGCGAAGACACCTCGTCGGAGTGCACCAATTCAGTTTGTCTGCGTTATCAAGTTTCGCTCCAATCTAAATGATATGGAATCGTCCACAACGCAAGCCGTGCACCCACCAGCCACGTGCTCCCAGTGGGTGTTTCATGTTGGTCGAGGCTGCTTAATACTCGAGACTAGTGACGATTGAAGCATAAATGCGTAATTATTGGGGCGCAACGCTTTTTGGCAGTGCTAAAACGTGCAAAGTCCTCCCCCCTAAAATGCATTCTGTCCTAAAAAAGAAATTGCAACACAAATTCTATTGAACGCAATTCATCTCCAAGATCTTTTGGATGTAAGAAGAAGCCCGAGAGCGAGCGGTGGTGAAAGGAATCCTTGCCTCATTGTCGACGGCGGCGGCCAGGTCCAGCTCGGTCTCTGCGGCCGTCATGAAGTCCGGTCCCAGCACGGAGGCCACCACCTGGTGTCCCTGGGCGATGACCCTGTCCGGCCGGAAGGCCTGCACCACCAGCAGCTGGTGCATGGCGCGCCCCACGGGGCTCAGGCCCCGGGGGCCCTCCTCCCACAGAACGGGCACCTCCCGCTCGGGGGCGCTGCTCTCCACCCAGCCCAGGAAGTCCTGCACCCAACAGCGACCGCTTTCAAATGCCTCCGTCGTGCAGCACGAAGTTGTTGATACGCTTCCATCTAATCAAATTCGGGGGTTTATGTGCCAAACCGACAAAGGGCATCTGGCACACCCTGGCGAAGGACTCAGGATTAATTTCGACCATCCGGGGATGTTTTGACGCTCGGCTACACGGCACCTCCTCCGCAATAAGCCTCTGCCGGATTGCGGGCACCTCGGCAGGGGATCGAACCCGCCACCGATGATCCATAGGTTGGCACTTTGCCTCGGAGCTGCCAAGGCGGCTAACGGTGCGTTCCCCATCTGTAGGTCTTACCGGTCATTAGATTTAAATCCACCGGTCCCGTCAAAATCCCTGCAGGGGTTCTCAAGCTCTCGAACGTCTATTGCTCTCAACCGGCTGCTCAACAAGCCCTCCCCAGGAGCAACACCGATGCCATAAAGCAATGCACAAGCCTACAAACCTCGTAAACAATAATTTATGCAGTAAGGAGCATTTAGCTCATAATGATTTATCAACGTGTGGCTTAGATCTATTAAAACGGTGCTCAAACAGGGGGAAACATTTCAATTTGAGGCAGGGACAATGGAGGAAATTTGAGAGCTCGCGAGACCCCCGAAAATACTTGTTCCGAGAACCTCCAACTACAGCTTGGTGTACAATTTTCTGGCTTTCCCGGTTGTAAAGACCAGAGCCGCTAAATACGCTTAAATTCTTCCAGTCTCGAAAGATTCTTCCCATCTCACCTAGCAGCCCACCCAGAGCATTATCAGCTCTCACGCTTGTCCTGGATCGCAGGATTTTCTCCCTCTGCAGCCCACCGAAAAGCTTATGAACGAGACTCTACCACAATTGAAGAGCTCAGGTCAAGACATGTCTGGTCCTTCGAATGATTCGCAATTTCAGGGGATGCGTCTGTTCCGTCCCTCCCAGCTCTTGGCAGCTGCACCTTAAAACATCCCCTCCAACCAACTTTTCACTGCAATAAAAAAAAAAAGCTTTCTCGCAATGCATTTGATTTTTTAACTGGCACAACAGACTCATGCTCTAATGCCCCAGTCACATTGTTGTGCTTCATACTCTTTTATGTTGTGAACATGTCTGCAGGCAGTTTTTGTACTACCAATGTGACCATCATACAAGGAAGAACCTCAGAGAGTGTCCACAGACAGTCTTGTATCGTGTGTTAGCAGTGTGACTGAGGCCAACCGACATAATCCTCTTCTGCCAGGAAGAAAACCGGTTCCCAGTTTCTTTCTCTCCATTCCCTCCCACACGAGTGGGTCTCCGAGCTACTCCCCGGAGAAAGAGTCACCCTCTTTCTCGAAAGGAGGAATTCACTGGCCGCTTGTGGGCCTTTGAGAGGTCAGGGGAAGAGCCTTACCGTGTGCTCGTCCAGGCGCTGCTGCAGGGAGCGGAAGGCCGGCAGGCGGGAGAGGGCGGTGGCCCCCTCCAGCTGGTCGGGGGCCAGGCCCCCCACGTGGATGGTAGGCTGCCCCGGCAGGATGCCCTCCTTGCCTCGCAGCAGGTGGTTCAGCTCATGCTCAAAGTTGCTCTCCCTGCAGGTGGCAATGGACCCCCTCAGCAGAAAACACCGCACCTCTTTTTTAACCAGACACATTGCAAGTGCAGGTCCTTTTTTTGTAAAAGTGTTAGATTGTACAGTCATCTAATCTATGTCGCTACTCTCTGTCACAATAAATTGCTCGTTTCTGCCATTGGCGCACCCTTTTTAAACGATGAATCTGTAGTCCCGACCTGCCCACTTTCCCCTTTTTTTTTTAGCTCAAATAATATTCGTTCTCTAGCCATAAAAGTTTGAGGCTAGCTCAAAAAGGGGAAAAAAAAAAAAGTTTCCATGTATTCCGTACACACACTACTCTAGACACCACTTTAACTGAAGTGTCCAAGGATTGCAACAAAACTAAAAAAAAACAGAAAGACAATTCTTAGCATCATCGGAGAAATTCAACCTGCTTTGAATTTGGTGTGGAGCTCTCCGAGCATTTGGTGAGACCAGTTTTGCGACCCAGATGGTCAGACTGGCCTTCAAGGAAGTCCAGGACCCAGACGACAATTTCCAGGGAATGAGCCCATTGCTTACTGTGAAAATCCTCGCAGGTGGATTCTACAGAGGAGGAGAGCAAAGGCCAGCTTGTCCTCATGAAGCATGCCTCGAGTCACCCTGTTGTACACCACCTGGAGGCAACAAGAATGTTTGCATCAGTTTAAACCCTCGAAAGTGAGACTTTTTTCTTCCAGCCATTAAAATACTCAGGACATGCCATAGAAAGAAAAAAAAAGAGAGCACGATTAGTTCCTATAATTTCTACCTTGGATGACGAGTGGCATGCAACACAGACTACAGAAAGCAGAAGGTAAAATTCAATTGCTGAATTCCCATAAGGTTCACTGCGATTCTAAAATGACCTCATTCTACAGTCGAATCTCGTTAATTCAAACTCGAGGGGGACCAAAAATTTGTTTGAATAAAGCAAACTTTAAATTACAGGGAGTTTCCTCCCATAGAAACACATAAGATGGGACCTGCATGTTAGTTTGAATTATCCGCAAGCTTGAATTAAGAGAGTTTGAATTAACGAGATTCGACTGTACTACAATGTACATGGGTTGTCTTTCTGACCTCAGGAATTACCCTCAAGATACCTGTCCCATTGCCTCAAAGGCACGGAAAAAACACGCTATGCTCAGAAAAAAACCTCTGTGGCAATAGACCTTTCCAGAACTGCCCGTTTGACGCACTGCAAAGTTCCGATGTACGCAAGCAAAATTATCCAGGAATCGAAGACAAGCTGACGTTGGTTTGACATTTTGCAGCTTCAGAAGACAGACAATAAAATAAAAAGCAAACCAGAGTATGCGATGACCTCCTTTTGCGTATTTCTGTACGTTGCGAGCTCCGAACAATAGGAGAAAATGCATCGCGCCACTACTAGGATTTACGAAGTGTTTGAGTTTGCCCAAACATACATTGGAACAGCCTTACAATTCCACTCGCTGCGAGGTCTTCTGGGATTTTCTAGGGGGGGTCTATCCAAAAAGAATAACAGCCACGTGTAGCGCTTTTGACTGGACTGCCTCAGAGATGTCCCGAGGTGCAGCGCTGGCACTTGGGAAAGGGGGGGCAGCTTGGACTAGTTTTTCTTACGCCGACCGAGACAATAAAAGCCGAGAGAGTCACCTGAAACAGGTCCTTGGTGATGATGCTCAAGCGCCCAGTGTGGTCCACCACACCGGTCAGGTGAGAGTTGTTCGTGAGCACGTCGTTGTAGATCTCCAAAAAGAAGTGGAGCGAGTACTGGTACAAAAAGTGGGCCTGGCGGAAGAAAAAGAAAATAATAAAAACACGAAACAATGTCTAGCGATACGCGCAGAAACCGCATTTCAGCGAATCTAGGAGGAAAGCAAGCTTATTGAATGCAAACTGTCTCATCACTGCAGATTTGTACTATACCAGTAACCTCTATCGTAAACTTAAAATTTTTATTACTTCAGTATTTTTACAGTACTACTATCACAAATGCATCCAGCAGTATTTTGACGCACCACATTATTACTATGTTATTGCTTCTCTCACTACTTAACAGATTTAGATGGAATGCAAAATCAGACAAATTCCACGTCTCTCACTGCACATCCACCTACCTCTCATCAAAACGGACTGGGGGTCTTATCATGCACAAAGTGTAATCAGAGTTTGTACTTCAAATGATTACCTCCCATGTAATATTTACAACCCTGACCTCAGGCAATGGCCAGCAGAGTCCCCATTTTCAGTTGAAGGCACATAAGAACATAAAAGCTACAACAGGAGCTCCCAGCACCACCCGAAGTCGCACAGTATTTAGGCGGTTGAAGGCACACAAGAACATAAAAGCTACAACAGGAGCTTTCAGCACCACCCGAAGTCGCACAGCTCTGCAACACGTTTGTAGGCGAGAGAGTGCAAGAGCGAGCACTACTTGGCAAGCACCTGGTGAAGTCCCTCGAGGGTGAAGTAGATGCTGCTGCAGGCCTGTGCCAGCGGCTGGTACTGCAGGGAGACCGTCTCCACCTCCTCCATCACCTTGTCCGTTTCCTCCACCTTCCTAGATATCTCGGCAGCCTCGTTCTTCAGCTTCTCCAGCGTGCTGATCACACTGCATCCCCGGCATCACTCCCATTCAGTCACCCCGGAAAACAATCGCAACTCCTACATAGGTTAACTCTGGCTCGTAAAACACACCGCATGCGGGCAAAAGAAATGCCAGTGGGTCATGCAACTGTCAGTTCTCTTACGGTGCACTTGTGCCTCTTATAATGCAGTTTCTTTTCCTGGTCGTAATTCATACTAGTTGCTAACGAGCCCAAGTGCATGCATCGATGGACTTTCTGCGTGGTATGTGGCTTCAAAAGAGGAATTGTTCCAGTCTTAAATACCACGAAGCCCATAGCTCAGTTTCACCATTTCGTAGTACAACAGCGAGTTAAGTTTTTAAAAATTTGGCAAGGAACTATAGTTTGCACCATATTTTATGACAAAAAAATTAAAAAAAAGAACAACAAAGGATGTGTTTAAAATAAATTTAAAATTTTTGCTTTTTCACAATTTTTTTTTTTTTTTGGTTTAGTGGTTGCAATACCCCAAAAATTGTTTACCCGTACTTGGCATGAACTATTTGAAGCTATGTTGTAGAGGCTGGCGTAACTTGCATGATCCTGCAGCCCCAGACTGCCGTGAGGGCACGTGACATCTCACATTCCCTTCAAACAGGACCTCTTATGCAAAGGAGATGCCAAGCAAAGCCCCGTGTGCTAGTAGTACCAATGACGTTGGATCATTCCGGAAATTACACTGGCTTCAACAACATAGCACGGAAGAGTCAATGCGGAGCATGGTCCGGGTCTGTGTTGGGAAAAATACTGAGCTTGTCCAAACGAGGTTGCCTACAGGGCAGAATCCATCCGAAGGTCTTTTCGTCCGCCCAACTTGAAAGCAACATTTGCTGGCAACATTACTACAGTGCCCGCAATGCGCCTCGGATTGGTGTGTTGAAAGCATTGATGAGGTCGTAGAAGTGTCACGCTGTTGCCAACCGCAATGCTGGCGGTGTCGCAGCAGCAGTGGCGTAAGTGGCAGACACCCGTTCTGCTGCCAGTCGCTCTCCAGCCTGACAAACCATGGAGGCTTCAGTAGCCGGAGTTGGGACGCCTTTACAACAGTGACGCTCGCCAGTGGCGTAGCCAAAAATTTTTTTTGGGGGAGGCCACGACTCTGGGTTCAGAGGGGGGAGGGGAGCTGAAGCCCCATAAGCTCACCCCTTCCCCCTTTCCCCCAGCTACACCACTGACACTCGTATTCCCTCGTGCTTTTTTTCTAGAAATTGTACACCCAACGGCCAGGGTTGCAACATCCGACAGCATGACACTCTGGCTTTAGTGATGTCATTTGTTGCCATGTCGGGACCACTTTCGATGCGTGGGAGGAACAGGACGCCAAGCGTGCCAGTCACAGACGCGTTCCAAACACTACAATGCTGTCAATAAAACCCCCCAAAAAACCTCACTTTTTTAGCCATGCTAAAAAAACTTGCCTGTCGTCATCCAGGATCCTTCCCTTCGAGTCGTTCAGTGCCTGGAGCAACGACTTCTCAAGCTGTCGAAGCCGCACGTGGAATTCTCCTGCGGGATGGAAAAAGAAAATAAAGACTCGGATTTGTAAGTCGTCTTCTAAGAGACGGCAACAGAGCCTCACGGAGAACAAAATGAAAGCGGGCTGTCACCTTGCAGTTTCAGAAGATCCGAACGCTTCTCGTCAATGTCTTCCCTCTCTGCCTTCAACACCTGACGAGGGAAATGAGAGACAACAATCAGAGGCCAGCGGTCAGACAGAACCGGAATCCCGATTAACTTATTGAAACATTCTTGTTTTAAAAAATAAAAAATTCCGAGGACACCTAAGCCCTTTTTATGAGTTGTGAATGCGAAAGCATCAATGTCATCCTTGGGCTCCCTTAGTTCGTCTGCAGTGTACTGGTGTGGACGGCCATGTTTTGCTGCTGCTGAGGTTGTGGCCACCAGAGATAGAAATGCCTCAAGTGTCGCCATGTTCTTCGACGCCGAGGGGAGCAGCATAATCAGAACAACAGATTTCGAACTTTGCCGAAGCCACTTTCATTTTCATCCGTGGATGACCAATTCGCACTTTCTACTTTCTCCCGCTTCCTCCTCTCTCCTTCCACCCTTTCCACCATTGCCTGTTTCCTTCTCCCCCTTCCCCCCCTCGTCCCTACCCCAGAGCCCAACCCCCGCTCCACTAAGCGAGCTAAAACATAAACTCCAACTGGAAGAAGAAAAAAGGGATTACAATACAAAAGAGCATTACCAACATAATGCACAAGCAGCCTTGACTCCGTGAGTTACAATACCGTTGGCGTCGGCGCAGGTTTTTAGTCAGCGTGCCGTGCACTGGTGATTCTTAATGTGTTCACCTTAAATATATATATATATTTTTTTTTTGTTTTGTTAAGTACATTTGGAAGCTGTGCTTTGTTTTAGAGCGCAGCTCTTAGGCTGCCCGCTTACAGGTTGAGAGGCATTGCCGTGACCGTGCGTTGAATTATGGGACATTTCCCATAATGACGTCTCATGAATTTTCTCTCTAAATTTGGCGGAAAAATGTCTTGCTAAATTTGGACGGAAAATGTTTCGCTAAATTTAGCGGAAAGCTGAGACATTCCCCACCCTCCGTACCCTCCCCTCCTCAAGAGCTGCAATCTAATTGGGCATTTCAGAGAATCGTAAACATCTTTCCCTTTTTTTAGTGCTTCACTTCGTTTTATCGAGGAGATACACACGCTTTTTGAAAATACTGTCTGTGCATGCGCAGCCCCAGAGTTAGAAAACATGTGTTTGCATGTTCGAGCCACATAACCTACAGCCTCCCGAGAAGGGGGAGTTAGATCCTGCTTCCCAGATGCAGTGGCCTGTGAGTGAGTTTCTCCACCGTATCCTTTGTATGCATTGTGGCTTATCTGCAGGTTATCTTTTGCCCTCAAGTTTGTACAAAGAAGTTTCTTCACTCTTCCTCATTTGTGGCCCCCAAATTTTCATACCAATGCATTCTGTCCAGGCCTCCAACAGGAGGCAGCAGTTACTAAAAAAAAAATTTGCAGTCGCTTAGCTCGGTTATGCCAGGATATCCGCAGCGTGAGCTAAAGTTCGGCTGGTTATTCTTAGCTTTCCTGGTTGTCTAGGATTAGCTTGATTATCATGCTTACTGCTGCTTCAATGACACACACACAGTATATGGATTATGTAACACATGTATATTTATTTTTTTTTTTGGCTCAACGTCTGGTTGCTTCTCTATCAGAGGGCAAGTTCGTCTGCTTCTTGCACAGGGGTTAACGGTGACGTCACAACGCCAAGCCCTGATTGGCTGATCGCGACCCCCTATCTGAGCGTCGTCTGCTTGCAACGTCGTCTGCATCTGTCTTACCTTTCCTGCGACTTTCGGAAGTGCAGGACTTTACCAGCGAGCTCAACTTCGCCTTTCAGAGAGGACAGACGAAATAACTCGAGCAGTACGTTGTTTTTCTCTAACAACTACAGTATAGACCACTTACAACGTAACCGCTTATAGTGCAGGACTGGGTATAACGCGGCTTTCTTAAGGGGGGACACTACCCGGAGAAAAAAAGATTCTTCAAAAAACACTGATTTTGAAAAATTACATATTTACATCCATCTACATCCAGAGAGTATTCCCAGAAATTTTCACTAGTTTACACTGCATAGTTAATTTTTTATAAATTATTTTCTGTTTACCAAAGCTAAAGGAAAGGTAGGGTATGGAGCACTTTGAACACATTTTTCTCCGTTCCACTTTTTTGTATAAATTCCATTTTAGTCAATCTATCGTTTGAGAATGGAAATACAGGCAAGGCTCGTTCTTCACTTTTCCTGACTGAAATTTAATAAGGAATGCGCCTATGGAGTTTGTTTGTCACTTTTCGGATGTCTTTTATACAAAATGTTGACATTTTGTCGGAGACACAGAAGACCAAAAAGTTGACCGATTTCGCAAAAGAGAAAATTGATAGATATCAATTACTTTTTACAAAAGCCTTTCCATAGGCGCACCTCCTAGGCATTCTGCTACATATCTAGCAAATAAAAGTCTTTAATATTGTGATAGTTTTCTGACGATAGATTAACTAAACAGTGTAGGGGTGTTGCTGATAGAAGCTGCCCTAATTTCCTTCCCACTTAACCAACAGACCTAAAATTTTGTTATGCACCCTCTAGCGTGACCACCAGCCTACCCTGTAAATTTCATTAATTTTAAGAAAGGGGTTCAAAAGTTGACCCTCCCAGGGGGTGTCTCCCCTTAAACCACCGGTTCGCCTCCCATAGAACTCCATGTAATTACACATCGCTTAAAATGCAGGCGCGCAAAGGGAAATACCGGTTATAATGCTGTTTCTGGAACAGCCCGCCGACCGTGCCGACCAACCAGCGCAGCGTGCACGCTTCCCTGTGCGACACTAGATAACAGCACTGGCCGCAAGCGGCACTCGCGGGGCAAGGAAATTGCTCGAAGAAGCGGGGAGAAGCAAAGAAAAAGGCTTCAGTTGCCATAGCGAGGGAAGGACGCACGCACGAGTCATTCACATGTGTGCGTCCCTCCACTGCGTTGGAGACAACCGCAACGACAGACCAATCGCAGGTTGAGAAGAAGTGTTCGCGCGCGTTGCATGCCGGTCGCGGGCCGGTTTCTTCTACCCGCAAACATGGCGTCGGTTGTGATTGTCGACGTAGACGGCGTGGCGAAAGCTCATCGTTCGCGTAAAAGCGCTATCCTTCACTGTGAATTTTCGTTGTGTGTCGCTACGATAACCCAGTACGTACTAGAAGGGAAGATCCACCTATCCGTGTGGCGATGTCGTGGCGGCACTCTCAAGATGGCAGAAACACCCGTGCCATCGTGTTTGTTTACTTCGACTACAGTGGTGCTTTCTAAGCATTTGTGTTTTCGAACATCGCCCGGATTTCTTATTTGGAGCATTTCATGCTGTGCTAAAGTTGAAAGTATTACTGGCGCATACCGTATAAAGGATGTAAATTTTCAAGCGTTTTCATCACAGAAGAAAAGTGATTAGGGTTAGCAATCCTGAACGCTCGCAACGTCCGTCTGCAACCCGCGATGCCGTTAAAAGACTGCGCCAGGCAAAAGTCTCTCATTTCTTTCAAAATGTGTGACACACTCGAGAGAGAAGTGTACTAGTCTGGTGAATAAAAGACTTTCCTCAAACTACGCTTTATTTTTCATCTAACATAAAATAAATTATTTTACAAAGGTAAGTTGTCTCATGGCATGTATTTTGGCCTGAAAAATTTATGTTTTGGTTAATATGCGGTACCGCTTATTAACCAAAATATTAACCATATAACGTATGTCGCGTACTCTCGCGACATACGTTATATGTGGTCTACACTGTAGCAGACGCGCATCAAGGAGAGAAGTCAAAGGACTCACTGGCAAGGTGTCCCGAGGCGCCGAGGTTTGTTTGCTAAGAACCGAGAGTGAGGGTGGTTAGTGTCCGCAAGTTCCCTCGCAAATACTTTTTCCCTTCTTTCGTGTGCGGCGAGACTCCTCACTCTTTGACGGCGTCGGCGGGTTGGCGCGGTTGGCGCAGTTAACGTCGTCTGCTTTACGTCTGCTTGTCAAAGTGATGGCTGCTTTACCTTTCCTGCGTCTGTCGGAGATTCACCGCTGTGTGAAGTCTCGCCGCACACGAAAGGCGGGAAAAAGCACTTGGAAGGGAAATTGCGGACACTAGACACCCTTACTCTTGGTTCTTAACTAACAGACCTCGGCGCCTCGGGACACCTTGTCACCAGTGAGTCCTTAGACTTCTCTCCTTGATGCGCGTCTGCTAGTTGTTAGACAAAAACAACGTACCGTTCGAGTTATTTCGTCTGCCCTCTCTGAAAGGCGAAGTCGAGCTCGCTCATAAAGACCTGCACTTCCGAAAGTCACAGAAAAGGTAAGACAGATGGAGACGACGTTGCGAGCAGACGACGTTGCAAATGAGCAGACGACGCTCAGATAGGGGGTCGCGATCAGCCAATCAGGGCTCGGCGTTCTGACATCACCGCTACCCCCTGCGCAAGAAGCAGACGAACTTGCCCTCCACATTGCCACAAAGACTGCTCGGTGGTCAGTGTAGTAACATGCTGCCGTCTCTATCGCCCCAACGCAGTATTTGGAATTGATTGTCTGTCTCTGATACACAAGATCAATGGTGGTTCCCCATTGGGTAGGCGGCGCCGCTAAACTCAACGTTTCACGCATGGCACTACTTACTGGCGTCAAGTCTTTCATTTACCACAGTCTTTTACACACGTCGCACACATATTCAAACGGATTGTTTACGAAGTCCGTCTCGAAGGTCCGAGTCGCACTGGCGCTTTCGCTAAGTTTCACCGTATAGTCAGTCAATCGGTGAGCCTTGACGTCATCGACGGCGTCTTGTTGTTGCTGCTGCTGAGATGGTCGGGCACGTCGCTCAGCCTCCTGGCCACGCCGCTTTGCTAGACGTTCCTCCCTTTGCTCCAATGACTCCGCAGCACGTTTAGCCTTCTTCTGTTCCGGCTTTCTACGCTCAACCGCTAATTGCCGGGCAACTACTTCGGGATCCGAGTTAAGCCTCGCCGCTCTTCTGCGCCACTGAGGAGCAATCTCGCTCTCCTTCTCCATGGCTATAGGTCTGTTTCTCTTGGCCAGGGCGAGCTGTAGCGTTCACGAGACACGACCACAAAAGAAGCGCTTCCCATAGCGTCTGTGAGACACGACCATTTAATGATGATGTGAAGCAGCGTCCTAGCGTTCCCATCATGCACACTCCACGAGCGTAAACTAGAGTCTGTATAGCTTCCCTCAATGTCTGCTCGCGCCTGTCGCGGCAGACGCCGAGGCTCGCGGTGGCGAGGCGTCTGCCGCGACACCGCGTGCTTTGGCGTGCTGTGTCGCGACACGCCAAGACCAGCGAGGCGCGCGCGGTGGCGGCGGAGCCCGCGGCGGTGGCTCCGGCGCGCCAGCTGTGCGTCGTGTGACGTCACTGCTCCTCGCGCTTGCGCAGAGCGGCGAGGCACGCGCAGTGGCAGCGGAGTCCGCGGCGGCGGTGTCTCCGGCGCACCGGCTGTGCGCCGTGTGACGTCACTGCTCCTCTCACTAGCGCAGCACAGGGCACGGCTCATTATGCAAGCCACGCAAAACCTGCTCAACCTCGGCCAGTGTAGCTCACGCTGCAAAATATGTCAATTCACGTTGACTAAAAATTGTGCCGATCAAAGAAGCATCAAGCGAAGAAACAAACTTGGTTCTCGTTTCCTGGTCCTGGCAGGTCCCTTTGCTAATCCTCTGGCACACAGATTATGACGTGTCCAATGTGGGGGCACCCTTTTTGCAGGCTTATCTCCATTCACGTGCTCGCACAAGGAACCCCCCCTCCAAACGGCGCACTGACTCATGCCCAACTTTTTTAGTCCCCCCTTTCCATGCTTCAGTTCCCTCGCTGAACCACGAGGGAGGAGGAGAGCCTTGCAGAATATTGGGTTTGGTAGTTCGCCTTTAACAGCATTCATGCATTTGCCCTACTGCAATAGCCTCGTGAGTCTCGACGAAGTGATTAAAGGATATGGACCGAATTAAATAAACTAAAAACAAACAAAAACACCTTGCCTGGTTTAGACACTGGCTCTGCAAGCTGCTGCGAGTTACGGTGAAGTTGACGAAGGTGACGCGGGAACAGAGGTCTGGTGGGAACTCCACCTGAAAGACGAAGGAAATGCCCTAATGTAACACAAACCAAACATTCCGACAAAACATAGTAATGATTACAACCACGGGGCAATGCATTGGAGAAGTAGCGAAGTTACCGTTATAGTTACGGCAACACTAAAGTCATTTGTTACAGTTACTTTTAAGTTACTTTTCCATAAGACTACAAATCAAGAAAAACAGAAAATGCCCCCAAGTTTATTACAGAAGGTGTAAGTAAATGCGGTGCAAGTTTGCACAAGGCAAACATGACACTGAAGATGTCTGAACACGTTGCTTGAGAAAAGACTAGATTGTGCTCGTTGAATGATAAAAGTAACGTCATTACTTGACAAAAAGTAAGAGAACTACAGTTCCCCCCCCAGTGGTAGTGCACTCCTTCCTCGGGGAGCCAGTTGCAGGGACACGCACCGTGGGGTCTCGGGTGGAGAGGAAGATGCAGAAGGTGGGCGAGAGGTCAATGTCCTGGTCACCCAGGGTGATGAGCACCCGGCCGCCGGTCTTGCGCACCTCCCGGTTCAGCACGGGGTTCAGGATCGGGTCGTAGCTCTCCACGTCCTGCACGGACATCTCACTCACTCGCACACCCCTAGGTTACTACTTAGTAATGAAACAAATAAACTTATTAATTAAAAATCATTAATACACACATTTTAGTCAATGATAAACAGTTGGCATTAAAAATCAATAGTATTTATTCGAATATAAGGCGAGGTTTTTTTCCGAAATCCTTAGTCTCAAAGTCGTACCCCGCCTTATATTCGAAGCTCAGTACAGCAATACGGCAATTTTGGTGTAACAGTTTCGGTTTCCGCCTTTCAACCATTTCCAAGCTTCCAAAAGAGCCCGACAATACTGTTACAAATCTAACGCAGAGATTTAAGAATAAAACATACAAAATGTTACACAAACGCAAGTTACAGATAGTAACTACCGAGTTTAGGCAGCTGCGATGCAGGAGACGCGATGCCTGCAGACGCCTTCAACCATATCAACGAGCTGAGCCAGCAGTAGCCGCTTCCAAGCCAGTAGTAGCCGCAAAGTTTGTAAACAAGTTGGGACGCCATTTTGCATTTTTTTGTTGGAGTGGCCGAGTCTCTGCGGCAGGATTTTTTCAGTGCTCGCTTATTTACGCTACCAGCGCAATGGCGAGTCACCGTTGCCACTATGATGCAGCCTTCAAGAGGAAGGTTGTATCAGAGGCGGAGGTTTCTGGAAACTGCGCGGCGGGTCGGAAGTTTGGTGTTCCGGAGAACAACGTGCGTCGTTGGCGCAAACAGAAGACTGCGCTGTTCGCCTGCGCAGCGACGAGAAAGGCTTTCCGTGGCCCGCGAAAGGGAGCGTTCCCCGAAGTGGAAGAAGTGCTGACGCAGTTCATCAAAGAGAGGAGAGGCCGCGGTTTGGCCGTTACTTCCGACATCGTGCAGATGAAGGCGCGCGAAATCGCGAGAGAGCGTGGCATCCCCGCTCTCAAGTTCAAAGCTAGCCGGGGCTGGGTGCAGAAATATATGAAGAGGGCCGGATTTTCCTTGCGAAGGCGGACCTCCGTGATGCAGAAGTTGCCCGAGGACTACGAAGAGAAACTAATCTCTTTTCAGAGATATGTTATCGGCCTGCGACGCGACCACGACTTTCTACTCGGGCAGATGGGCAACGCCGACGAAACCCCGATTTTTTTTGACATGCCGTCGCCCCAGACCATTCACCAAAAAGGTGATCGCCAAGTGAGCCTGCGCACTACAGGCAACGAGAAGGCTAGGATCACCGTTATGTTAGCCTGCACCGCCGATGGGCGGAAGTTGCCCCCCTTCATCATCCTGAAGAGAAAGACCTTTCCGAAGAACGAGGTCTTCCCGCAGAACGTCCACATTCGTTGCCAGGAGAAGGGGTGGATGACGGAAGAGCTTTTTCTGAACTGGATTAAGTCGGTGTGGTGCCGAAGACCAGGGGCACTGCTCGCCCGGAGGTCAATGCTGGTCCTCGACGCGTTCCGCGGACATCTCACGGAGGGTGTGAAGAAGAAGCTGGTGGACGAACGCACGGAGCTGGTCGTCATCCCGGGGGGCATGACAAGCCAACTACAGCCGCTTGACGTTTGTCTTAACAAGCCCTTTAAGGCACACGTCAGACGGCTGTACAATGAATGGATGGCGTCTGACACTGTGGCCCTCACGCCGTCGGGACGTCTAAAGCGGGCGTCCCCGTCTATGCTCGCCCAGTGGGTGGTCGACGCATGGGCAGCGATCCCCGAAGCTATGGTTGCAGCATCGTTCCGCAAGTGCTGCATTTCCAATGCCCTTGACGGCACCGAAGACGCTGACCTCTTTGAGTGCGAAAGTGATAAGGATGATTCGGATGCTACCACTTCTGAAGACAACAGCTTCTAAGTTTGTCTTTCGTCTCGCTCCGAATAGGTAAATATCTTTGTGTGCAGATAGTTCAAATACTTGTGTCTGCTTCGCTGAAAGGTAAGGAATTTAATTGCCTTCTTTCGCCTTATATTAGTGTGCAAACTTTTTTCTTTTTCTTTGGTCCTTCAACTGCCCCCTCGCCTTATAATCGTGACCGCCTTATATTCGAATAAATACGGTATATAACATTATTAAATAATTAATAGTATTAATTAATAATCTAATTAGTATTCATAGTTATATCACTAGGGATGTGGAAATATGAATTTTTCAGTTCAAAACGAACATGAAGCGAATAGTTCCTTTATACGAATAATTTAGAATCTAATCTAACATTTTTTGGAAGCAGAGAGCTTGCGGCCTTTAATGCAGTCATAATAGAGAGCCCTTGGGACTAGGGAACAAAAAAAAAAGGACAAACACGACAAGGTCGGAACGATTTTCTACCATGACCATCAACCAGCTCGCCTGCACAATTACTTACTTCAATACGGTCTCATTAACATGGACACTTCCGCTGCCCAGAAAACTCCTCAATAATGTGAACTGTTCATAACAGTGATCCGAGGTAAAGATCACAAATAATGAACAAGAAGTGGGGCCACGAAAGACACGATTTATTTCGGCAAAAAATGCAGACTCGTTTGTACACAGATTTTGGTGCTAGCTATTAGAAACTCGCAATCCGCAATAGATTCGAGCGAGTGGACTCGTTGCTCTATTTTTATTGCTACTTATGTTCCAGCCTTGGCTGGTGAACTCACTTCAAGTATGTACTGCATGCTGTTCTCATTGTTTTCCGTCGGAATTAAGGTACGCTTTGCAGCATTACAAACTTAGAAATATACTTTGCAAATACCATTCAGTTGCCGAATAGCCTTATTCGGTTCAAACTTCGAATCGAATATGGCATTTTTTGCCTCGATATTCAAAAGTTTTAAATATTTGCACAACCCTATATATTACTGCATTAAAAATCAAAGTTTTTGTTTATCTGTTACCCATTTCTGTGTTACAAATTTACCAACCTTTGTCTACACATTTACTCCTTCCCTCTGTAGTGCTATAAACCTCGAAAGTACATCCAATATACAAATTTCTAAATAATTAATGGGAAATGTGCCAAACCCAGAAGACAAACCAAATAGCCCACCTGGACAAGGAGTGGATTTCCAAAACGCAGTGCACTCTCCAAGTTTTTCCGGAAGGAATCGTCCAGGAAGCTGCACCACAGGCCAACAACGGGTCAGCAGGATCGCTACAAACATCTATTTTCAGAGAATTGATAGCTACTTTGAGACAAAGTTTGATACTGCATAAAATGCAATTGTCTTGTAGATTTTGCATCCTGTAAACCAGTGGTTCTCAAGCATGGATGTGTCAAGGACCTCCCCCCCCCGCCAGGGACCTGCCAAAGTGAGAGGGGACAATAAAGCTTGGGTTTGGCCTAATCAATTTTTCATTAAAAAAAAAAAAGACTAGCTAAAAAAGATGCCCCCATCATGATGGGTAGCGGACATGCGCATTGGCCGCCGCAGCCCAGATCCCATCTAGAGATGCGTACTTGCACGACTGTGGTAGATCTGATGATGTCTGACCCTCTTTTTTTTTCTTTTCAATGTGTTCTTCTTTCAACCAAACTTTCTTGGAAGGAAAAATAAACCACTTGTTAGTTGCACCTTTTGTGTGTAAGTGTCGTCCTTCTTTGTTCAAGTTTGTAAACCTTAGCAGCGCAGAACAAAAAAATGACTGCATCTCCACGTGGTGTTGAATGTTGATTGGGGCGAAGCTCTGGTGGTGCTTGTCTGTGTAGACGCTGAGCCGCAGCATGCTGAGCCTTTCGTTCATTTTCATCCATGTCAGAAAGAGAATGTGCGGTATGGAACGTACCGCACATAACGCACCCAAAGGAGCGCTCTCACCTCGTCTTGGTGATCTTGCGCTCCCTGAACTCATTGAGAATGTACTCGGTGGCCTGGCCCGAGGGGTCGATGATGAGCGGGTAGCGGTTGAACCTCTTCAGCATGATAGCGTTCTCTGTGCACAGGTCGTCCGTGGGGAGGGCGTTGGCCTGCCAGCGCAGCCGCTCGTCTGCCGTGGACAGGTACTGCGCACACGAATAGAGAGAGTCACTCCACCACAACGGCGTCCCTTTTCCTAACAAATCGACGAATAAAGTGTGCAGACGCAGAACGTGCAAATAAAATAGCGTATTTCGGCTGCCCCTGACCTCTCGCAATCTTTTGCGACGAGAGAACACACTAAAATATCTACCGAGTGACTGTGGAACACTCGTGATTACCATATATCTCCTACCTTTCTTGCACGAGACACCTTTAACAATGTTATAAGCGACTGTTTCTCGGTAGTATGTACATCTGTTCTCACAAATACCACAAAATCTTCGCTCTAGTGAAATGCAGTTCGAGGGCCACCTTATTGACGGTACTGGCATGCCAGTGTGTTCTCTAGAGAGCCTAGATTGCAGAGAGGGTCCAACTCAAACCGTGGGGTGCATTCGCAATTTAATGGCTGAGACCGGTTGCAAGTGTGCATGCGCTGCTGCGTTGTCGCGTGTCGAGGAGAAAAGCGGGCAGAAAGATGGACATGCTCGAGGACGATCGACACGTCCTCACAACTCGTAGTGCAAACGCGGCCCATAACCCCGTGATCCCGATTGAGCATTTAGAAATTCTCTATATTATAAGCTTTCTGGCATTTTCCTGTCGTAAGCGATCGCGAGAACTCGGTCACGAGCAAATGCGAGTGCGTGAAAAAGTCTATGTGGAACAGGCGTTGGTCCCACCTGAAATGCATCACCTAGTCCAGCAACAAAGTTCACTAAACAGAATGCGTGTCTCGAGCTCTGCCGGGTTAGCGTGACACGAACACGGCGTAGTGCAATGGTGCCACGTGACGAGATATCACGTTTAGTGTCGCAGTGTCGCGTCGTAGCGGCACACGACGACCGCCGCAATGATGACGTCGCACAAACACCATTCCTCGAGTTTAAAAGCGCGCGGTAATTAGCGTACGCCGGTTCAATTTCCCCACAAAATTTAGTTGGTCGAGCGGCGGGCAACGTGTCGACCGTCGACCCCCACCTCGGTGCGTGCCAGGTCTAGGCGGAAGTGAATGCCGGCCTGCTGGAGGTGGCTGCACCAGTTGTTGAAGAGGTTCTGGCGGTACTGCTGGTCGAAGTAGCCGGCGTACGCCAGGAAGGCCGAGCCCAGCAGCACGTCGCCCGAGATGGTCGACATCTGGTTCTTGAAGGTCTCGCTTGTGTCCTCCCAGCGCTGCTTCTCCGAGCTCAGGCTGCTCAGCAGCGCTATGCTGCGGTCCACCTGGAAACGCCCCGCGCCGTCGATCATTGCTGGAGCATCCGCAAAGCCGCACAAGCTACTGTTGAGCAATGCGGGATTGCGCCAGCAGCGCCGCCCAAAGAACAGCGCTACAATATGACCTCGAAAGTCCCGCGTATTTGTCTAATTACGTTCGTAGCTCGGCGCACCATTTCATAAAAAAGTGAACCCAGGAATTAGCACAGTACCCCCCAAGATTGCCAGTAGGTCACACGGACGTTCTGGATTGACTGAGACGGCTCGTAGCATTCGCTGCCGTAAAGTAAGACTGGGCATAGCTCACCTTTGCCTGGACGTTGGCCAGGTCGGTCTTGATGGCCTGGGCCTGCGACACGAGGTTGGCGTACTCCTCCTTGTACGAGGCAATGCTCCGCTCCAGCTGCACGATGACGCTGTCAATCTCCTCCGCCCGGTGCTTGTTGTCGTCCGCCTCCCCCTCCAGGCTGGCCAGTTCGTTGCGCAGTGGCTCCACACGCTTCAGCATGTCTGCAAAGTTGATCTGCGGGGCACACGCAGTAAAAGCTGCTTTTCTAAACTAAGGCCGGTTGACGCATAAAGTGCGGCACTGAGATAACGACTGAGTCAGCGCTGCAAAACCGTAGAATACCGCGCATCCGCCCATTCCACATCAAGCGCCCCTATCCAAATTTCTAAGATCTGAGAAAATATGCACGGTACATTGAGACGTAAAATTGACGACCAGACAAGCGCCCATCCCCCATTTTTTCGCAATTCTCTAAATTTTGAGTGGGCTCTTGCCCGGTATTTTTACGGTAAGTGTGTAAATGGGAAAAGGGGTCACATACAGCTGTGCGCTGATACGACACAAAGTGAGCGCCGTGACTATAGTGCCAAGTTAGCAGCGTGCTTATGTGTAAACAGGCCTCTGCCCCCCCACCCCAGCCAAACATTCTTATAAATGTATCTAGAGGGTAGACGCGGTGGCACATTTATTCATTTATTTACTTAAGATACCCTCGGGGCCATCGGCATTACAGGGGGGAGTGGGGGTTGCTACACTTTGATAATCAGTTGGAACGGCACAGATTATCGATGGCAGCTTCCACTGGATGATCAATGACAATTGTGGTCATTGATGCTGGAAGGTGGTTCCAGTCCGTGCATCATGCGTGATAAAATATAAAACCGATGATTCAGCAGTTGATAGTGATGTAATGATTAATACGGTACATCAGAGATGTAAGCGAGCTATTTTTCAATGTTAAGCGGTTAGGCAATGATTAGGAGGCTTTCATAGAGGTTACCCAGGCAGTTTGATGACAATTGTTAAGAATAAAATGAGCAGAGCAATTCTGTACCAATTCTAGACCATGGATTAGTTTAGAATGACCGGGGTCCCAGAGGAAGAAGCGTATTGTAATCTAGAGCAAACGAGTGTTTTATATAAAGTTAGCTTCAGAGATGAAGGAGCAAAAAATAAATTTTGTTTAAAATAACCCAGCAGGCAGTTAGCATTACTAATCACATAATCAACATGTATCTGCCAGGAGGTATCTACAGATATATGAACACCTAAGTATTTATATGAAGACACGGAAGGGGGACGTTTTCAAGGAAATAAAAGGGAGGAGCATTAGATTTACACGATGCTCTCATGGCTCTTGCACTACAGAGCAAGATCCAACAAACCTCCTCTGCTGCCGCAGACATTTCATGCAACAACCAAGCATGGGATTACAGGACAATGGGATTATAGTGTTCCTCTCAATTATTAGGCTTGGGCAGTTTGACCTTCATAATAATTCACTCAAGGTCATCTTTGAGTTTAGAGCACTAATAGAACTTCAAAAAATTGGCAACGACCTCTATCTCCAATATTCTATAATGCATCAAATGACGCATTTAAGGTGAGACCCTAAGCTTAAAACACAAAAAATTGGAAAAAAAAATATTTTCTAAAACTTTTTTTTGGTGAGTTACAAACAACATGTAATTGTAAGTACACGAAACCCTCGATGTAACGAAGTACATAACTATTTCTAACCGCAAGTGTATACAAGTCATGTATTTTTGACCTCTACGTAACAAAGTCCCGTTTGCCGAAATTTCGATCTAACGAAATTTGATGGACAATTCGGCACAAACTTTTGGGTCCAAAAGGAGATTTTGGAAAGCACACGCGCTGAAACGGGCCCCCGATAAAGCGCACAGGGTGAAACGGGCCGCCCAATTGACCCACCTGGCCCAATGCACCCAATGCTCTGGGGAGAGGGTGTCTAATCTGGCAATGTGGTGTACAGAACGGCCACTAGAGGACACTAGAGCCGCCGGCGTTTCGTCAATCCGCTTCGTTCGCGCAGCGTAGTTATGGTAGTTTGTTTCGAGGCCTAACTAAAAACGCGAGTTTCTCGTTGTCCTGGGCCACGGAGCCTTCGAGGCGATGGAGCCGTCCCTGACAACGTCGACCTCGACGACTTTCTATATGCCGACTCTGCTGTCATTGCGAAGGAGCAGCTGACCGGCAAGGCGACAGCTAGCGATGTTCGTGGGAACTCGCAAGACGGGGACGACAGCGAGGCTGATGAGCAAGACACCTGGCGATGGGCCCAGTAACCACGAAGTGGTGGACGCGATCGATGTCTTGAGGCGGTTCGCCAGCACCCAGCAAGACGAAGACGCAATGCAAACCGTCTGGCTATGCAAACGTCGAGTGATGCCAATAATTATGTCAAGAGTGCTCCAGAAAAAGGGGACGGACTACTTTCAACCGAAATAAAGGCGCTCTTGGTCAGTTTTGTGCACCTGGGAAACATTTGTACAAACTCCTCAACGTTAGCCCCTAATTTCTATGTAGCGAAATTTCAATGTATTGAACTAAATTCCGAATTTTACTGACTTCGTTACATTGAAGTTTGACTGTACTACACCCTGGAAGTGCACATTTATATAGTAAAGTCGATTAAAATTTTCATATCCAGGCTGTCTGTAAGCATGTCTTGAAAAGGTTTTCCTGTATTCTCAGAATCCACTTTTGCTTCATGACACAAAGTTTTGCCCACAGTACCTTGGGATCTAAAACCTGGACATGAATACTTTTTTGAGGGTTTAATACCTCAAATCTGGAAGTGTAACATGACCAGTATTTCTAAAAAAGATTACAAAATCTTCTAATTAACAAAGTTAATGACTCATTTCTAACTATCATCAAAAGAAATTTAACTTCTGATAACTTTAGAATTATGCTAAAATCATAATGGCTTTGTTGCACTATCTAATGTTCGTAGAACATCCTGAAATATTTTCTGTAGCAGACAGCCTGCTATCATCATCAAGGACGCCGTCAAGCCACAAGCATGAGCCCGCATGTCTCGCGACTCGAGTGTTCAGAACTAGATGTCCTCACGGCCGGACATGCTAAGATTCTGCCCCTCGTTAGTAAACATCTTGACCGGCTAAACCAGACTACAACACTTTCTACCATATCTTTTTATGAGGATATTGTAAGAAAGTTGGGAAGGAACATTTTTGATAAAGTTGGTTTCTTCAAAACTTTGATAGGAAAAGTCCTTTTGGGGAGTGAAAAAGAATTGTATTTGATCAATTTAACGGGGAAATTAAATTTTTTACGTCATGTTGCGTCGATTTTTCCCGCTAAATTTAAAGGGAAATGCACACACAGACGGAGAGAAAACATTCTGGCACATATTTGGAAGGGGGGGAGCGGGGTATGATGGCCGCAGATCTGTAGAGAGACCTTGGTCGCTCCGGCCAAGGCTTGGCAAAATGTCAGCCGCTCTGTCCGAAACGAACGCTTCAGCACATTACTTTCCAGACTAAAGCGGCGTGTCAGCCAAACCTTTGGTGAAATTTCCTCGCAAAGCAAATATGCAAGAGCCTCACAGACTGCCAAACTGGCACCGGGGATTTACCTGAGCGATGGCCCACTTCACCATGGGTCCGCAGGCAACGCTGGCCCTGTTCACCTTCTCAAAGTTGAACTCGGGGTTGTTCAGATACTTTGTTTTCATCTTGTTTCGGATGTCATCCCTGCAACCGGTTGGGATTTCCAACAATGACTCATTAAAAGAAAAAGGAGCGGCCTCTTTCTTGGGCAAGGCCTTATTGAAACACTTTTAAGACACAACGATAGGCCATTGGTTCTCAAATGGGAGTCCCCGCAAAGCTATGCCTGATCAGTCAAGCCTGGCAATTAAAGCTGCTTTTTGTTTTCATATTGACACAAAACGATACAATTCTCGGGTGGATTTTCTTGTGTGTTTGCCAATCAGAGAATAGTCCTTACTTTTATACCTTTATTAACTTATTATTATAATTACCCTAAACCTTTCCCTTCCCCTTACCACAAACGGGGTCCTCCATCCTATCCATCGATCCACAAGGGGTTACGAGAAACGTTAATGGTTGAGAACCACTGACCTAGGGCATAAAAGCAGATGTCTCATGCAAGAAATATTGGCTCCTTTAAAGCAACCTCGAAGATATTGGCAACATTAACATGCAAAAGACAAACAAAAAGAAATACAAGGTGCTGCTATTTGAACACCAGTTTTTTGATTCTATCATTTGAATGAACAGATTTCACTTCTTATAAGTAGCTAATAGTAGTTATAAACTGAAATAAAAGGCTTGGGTTCGAGGGATTAAGAACATACTCTTATATTATTTCACCTCCTTTACACAAAGTTTTACACGAGAACACGCAAAATTTAGAGGGAACATAAAATTACCAAAATGAAAAATCGCATAACAACAAGAGCAGCGAGACACTGGCACAAAAGAGACAGACCAAAACAAGCGGCAGCAGTGGAAAACGACCGTCGGCAACATTTCGACCGATCCATTGTGGGCAGCACGATGGTCGAGGCTCTTCAACATACAAAAACAGAACCGGTGATTGAGCAGCCACGCGTAAAAGGTGCTCGTTGAAAACAAAACGGACAAAGAATGCCCCGCTGTGCTGACCCAAAAAGAAGGTGTGCAGAATGCCACGAGTCCGTGCCAAAAGCAATATAAGTGAAAACCATGCATCTGGTGCCTTTTCGTTGGAGGACACTGGCGACGGCGGCGGAGTCTTACGTGACTTCCTCGGTGCAGAAGTTGACGATGGTGTGGATGAAGTTCTCGCCCAAGAGCACTCCGCGGATGGCCCTCCAGTCCGGGGCGGGCTCGCCCAGGAGCAGGCAGATCGCCTCGAGCGTCGTTTTGACGGGCAACGGTGGATTGCCCATGCTCCGCACTTCCACCAAGTGCTGCCGCTTTATGCCCTGCACCGCTGCCCGAGGGCAACACCCTCTCCCTCAACACCGAGCCCCGTCGCCGGCTCCCCCCAACTTTGCGATATATCAAGAAAGAAACATTGGGATCTTCAGTCTCCGAGCAACTCGGGCTGCGAGCAACAGACCAAAAGACTCCTTGGGCAATCGACCACTCGCGCTCCTCACTTTGCACTCCGGAGGTCAAACCTGAACCTCAATGACAAAAAAGTGGGCAGTGTGCGACGTAAGCGTGACGTCAGATGCATTGTAGATGTGCCGCGCTGTGTGTAGCGAGATCTTAAGACCCCGCCAACTGCCTTCTCTGCTAGAGCACAAGAGTTCTGGAATCAGTCCAAAGAAGTGTAGAACCCAAGGTCAAATCTAAAGCTAAAAATCCAAATTAAAGCAAACGGGGCTTCTGGACAGGCTATACCCATGCATCTTGATCAACGAACTTGCAACTACGCACAAATGTGCAGGAACATAAATGTGACACTGCTTTAAGGGTCCCCGAGAAGATTCTCAATTGATGTAAACGTAAATGTTGCGAAACAAATAGGAAACTTGGGAGGGAATACAATGCACGCAACTGTGCTGGACAGGCAAAGAAGCACTGATTGCTCAGAATTAAATTAGCACTTCCCAATACCACAGTGTTGGACAGTCACTAAGCTGCAAATACGATGCGCCAGAATGTCGAGTTGTACTAGAGGAAACTTGAACAAAACCTAAAAGGCAACTACAGAAGCTTAAAGAAGCTTCCAAGCTGGTCGCTGCACCAAGTCCCAACAACTCTCGCCAATAGACGTGACCGAGCGTCCAAATGGTCAATGAAATGTAAGCGAGAATTCCACCCAGCCGGCAGAAACTGCACGCAAGTTCCATCGCACAAAGCTCGGGAGCAAAGAGGGGCCCAGTCAGCCACCAATCTTCCATTTTTTTCCCAGAAAAGGCTTAAAAAAAACTCCCAGAAATGCAACAGTTGCGCATGATAGTCTTCACTTCTGGAGTCCAGCTAAACTGCACTGCAGACAAAAAAAACTTTCAGCCTTTCCACTTTGGTGAAGAAGAAAGAGCAGCGGAGCTGTAGCTTCTGTTCTCGGTAGTGGCTTTCTGGGCGAGTGATCTGCTCTTTTTTCGCAAGGGAATCTGAAGCACTCAACGCAGTGGAACTTTAGGCGATGGCCTCGCGGCGGTTACGAAACCATTCGCGCTGCTGGGCACTTCACCGCTCATTCCGTTTCCGCTCTTCTTCCTCCGAAGAAATGTTGCCGCCATCTATGAGCGACAGCAGCAAGCGGACAACCGGCAAGCACAACACTCTGAACAGCTACTGCCATCTATGAGCGACGGCGGCAACCAGAGTGTTGCGTCGACATTTCTTTGCGGGGGACACAATCCCGGGGGAAACTAGCCCTTAACAGCTCCGCTGTAAAATTCCTGGTCGAGATTTGAATGGCCCAAGCGTCACAGATCACAAGGAACTGTGACTGCATAGATAGAAGTGTTGAACATTCTCATTTTCGGTCTCGATCCTTTCAGCTTACTTTCACAAATTAAATACATCCCTTACAAAAAAAAACAGCCACTGACAGAGTGAGAACGGCAGGGCGTGTCTTCCAAACGCCCAGCCTCCGGCACGCGCACAAACTGTTATTTGCTGCAATTGCTTCGCCAAGTGAACGGCGACACGTGAAATTGATGGCGCTAGCACCTCAAGCCGAATGTGGAAGCAAGGTTTGCCCACCTGCCCACAACAACAGAAAACGCCGACAGCCCTAGTAGCTAGAACACAAAGCTGCGGAAGGGGGCTAAAAAATGCTCCCTAAATAAAGGTGCCAGAAACCGCTAACATATTACGTTACGAAGAAGTATTGTACCCGCTACGACTACAGCTGCTGCCACAACGACCGTTTCTACAGAAACGGTTGGACACACCCGCACCACCGCGCCGCTCCATCGTTTTCCATTGCTGCCGCTTAAGTGGCAAAAGAAAAAAGAAGCCCAAACGGGCGAGCATTCTCTGGAGCCACCACATACGTGATGTCGTCCGTGCTGTAATTTATGATGGTGTTGATGAAATTCTCTCGGATGATGACCGAGCGGATGGCCTTCCAGTCAGAGGCCGCCTCTCCGAGCAGCAGGCAGATCGACTCGAGTGCGAGCTTCACCGCAAACGGCGGGTTGCCCATCGACCGCACCTCTACCAGGTGCTGCTTCTTGATGGACTTGACCGCTGGGGGGCAACACGGTGCGTTAGAGCGCAAGTTCCCAAACTGGGTTCCGAGGAAACCGGAGGTTCCCTGGAGCACCCTCGGGGATTCGGCATGCCTGCCCCCAAGTAACCGGTTCTAAGAATTTAGCTCTAATTTGGGAGATGTTGGCCATCTGTCAATGCATAGCCACCCCAATGCAGTCGAATCTCATTAAATCAAACTCGAGGGGGACAGAAAATTTATTTGAATAAAGCAAAGTTTGAATTACAGGGAGATTCCTCCAATAGAGACGCATAGGATGGGACCCGTATGTTAGTTCGAATTATCCACAAGTTTGAATTAATGAGAGTTGACTGGCTACGCATTATGGTTTACAAAGCCCACAGGCTTCTGCACGGCTTTATTGCACCAATGCCAAGATTGGGAATGTTTCTATTGTTATCGATAGAGCGAAACAAGCGTTTTGAGAGATCTAAGAGTTCCAGAATCCTGCATTAGAGCAACGCTAACCTGTGGAGCTAGGCCACAACGCGACTAATAGTTTCAGCTATCTTGAATTTTCTTTTAAACGAGACAGTTTAAAAAAAATGTTTATTTCTAAAGAAAAGACAGAATATATATTTTCAGAAGAAACATCTACACGGCAGGAGCAGTGCGTTAAAATGTAACGCTCCAGTTCATAAAAAGGGACAGTTGATTCTTAAAAACCAGTACCAGAAAGGCTCGCTGCAAACAACCAAGAAATGTGCGGATCTCACCTTGCTGAGCTTCAATGACTGCAGGCTCAACTTGGGCCAAATCAGCCATGACACTTTGCCTCTTCTCCGCAATCACTTCCTCTTGTTTCTAAAAAATAAAAGGAATTCACCAGTGAGTCGGCTGTCAAAGGTCAATATCACAGGCAATGACTAACAAGTAGTCACATGCAAATAGTGAATTTGAATTTCGAAACGAATTTCGAACAAGTAGTAGTTTGGGCCAAATATTTATGAATCAAATATTGAAGTTTTTTCGAGCCTCTCACTAACGTGCACCGCATTTAAATTAAAACCCAGCTGAAATCGTAAAAGTTGTTCGCAACCTTCCAGTTGTCCATTCCTAAGCTCAGTTAATTTTAATATAGCTATATTTATAAACTGTGGCATGTAAACAACAAAATGGTTGCAGCTATCCTAATCGAGAGGGTTTATAAATCAGCTTGCGATATTCAAATATTATTTATTTCTATTTCAAAATTGAGGAAAAAGAAACAAAGAACCACAAATGATGAGCATGGGCTGTCAGGACATTGCTGCCTAACTTACACTCCTGCATAATTGCGGCGGGTTAGCCCCGTTGGGTGCGCTTTTATCCGAGCAGCAGTGTACTGCGGGGAAGGAATACCCGCGGAGCCCAAGAGCTCCACAGCTTCTACTTCCCCACAGTGCACAGATGCTCGGTGAGAGGTGCCCTCAACGGGGCTAGCTCGCCGGGATCAACGCTTCGAAATGTATCAATATCGCAGTTCATCTCAAAGCGAACATCGAATAACATATTATTCGAAACTACTATTCTAAAATTCAAATATTCGCACAACACTACCGTATTTTCCGGGCTATAGTCCGCAAACTATACATGTTTAAAAGTTGAAATTTCTGGCTGTGCGGACTATCTACGCGTGTGGACTATACAGGAATTATGTTTTTCAAGATTGTTTATTATGACGAGACGTGACGAATTTTGTGCACGAAAGTGTACGCTAATGATGATTTATGCACATTACAGTATAGACCACTTACAACGTAACCGCTTATAGTGCAGGACCGGGTCAAAATCAAATTTGGGGGTTTTACGTGCCAAACCTACGACGGGCATCGGGCACGCCCCAGCGGAGGACTGAGGATTAATTTTGACTACCTGGGGATCTTTTGACGTGCAACCGAAAGCTCGATTACACGGCGCCTTCTCCGCAATAAGCCTCCGTCATATTGCGGGCACCTCGGTCGGGATTCAAACCCGCCACCTGGGGATCCGTAGGCCGGCGCTCTCGCCTCGGAGCCACCGAGGAGGCAAGTGCAGGACCGGGTATAACGCGGCTTTTTTAAACCACCGGTTCGCCTCCCATAGAACTCCATGTAATTGCATACCGCTTAAAATGCAGGCATGCGAAGGGAAATACCGGTTATAGTGCGGTTTCTGGAACAGCCCGCCGACCGCGCCGACACTAGATAACGGCGCTAGCCACGAGCGGCACTCACGGGGCAAGGAGGTTGCTCGAAGAATCGGGGAGAAGTGAAGAGGGAGGCTTTAGCTGCCATAGCGACGGAGGGACGCATGCACGTGTCGTTCACATGCGTGCGTGCGTGCGTCCCTCCGCTGCGTTGGAAATACGACCAACAACCGCAACGACAGACCAATCACAGGTCGAGGAGAAGTGTTCGCGCGCGTTGCATGCCAGTCGCGGGCCGGCTTCTATCCGCAAACATGGCGTCTGTTGTGATCGTCGTCGTAGACGGCATGGTGGAAGTTCATCGTTCCGCTTAAAAGCGCTATCCTTGACTGTGAATTTTCGTTGTATGTCGCTATGATAACCCAGCACGTACTAGAAGGGAGGATCCACCTACTCGTGCGGCGATGTTGTGGCGGCACTCTCAAGACGGCAGAAACGCCCGTGTCATTGTGTTTGTTTACTTCGACTACAGTGGTGCTTTCTAAACATTTGTGTTTTCGACCATCGCCCGGATTTCTTATTTGGAGCATTTCGTGCCTGTGCTCAAGTTGAAGATATTACTGGCGCGTACCGTATAAAGGATGTGAATTTTCATGCGTTTTCATCGCCGGAGATAAGTGATTAGGGTTAGCATTCCCGAACGCTCGCAATGTCCGTCCGCAGCCCGCGACGCCGTTAAAAGGCTGCGCCAGGCAAAAGTCACTCATTTCTTTCAAAATGTGTGACACAAATGAGAGAGAAGTGTACTACCGTATTTATTCGAATATAGGTCGACCTTTTTTTTCGGAAATGTTGTCAAAAATTAGGGGTCGACCTATAATCGAGACCAAAGAATTCCGACCTAATTTGCAACCAAAATTTGAAACCCTACCGAGGGTATGGAGCTATCAATCACCTAGCCGGCGTCCCGGTAGAGCCGCGCGGCTTCTTGTTTCAAAAAGCTTTTGATGCACAAAAACAACTGAACAGCAGCAGCCGACAGCCCGTGTCTGCCGGCTACGGCTCTCGCGCACATTCCTCAGGCGTCGAGTTTCGCCATCACGCCTGTAGCGTTCCCCTCGCTGGGCAAGGGGGAAGAAGAGGGAGAGGAACGCGATGCGCCATGCACTTTGCACTTTGCCCTCCTATGCGCTCCATTCCTCTCTCCCTCGCAAACGCGCAAAAAAAAAAAAAAAAAAAGCGGAGGTACTTTGGTTTGTTTTTTATCGGCGGGTCGCGTGTTGCTCACGGGGCTGGCAGCGTTGCTCGTGTCTTTGTTTTATCTTTCGTCGCTCGCCCGTCTCCACCTTCTTTCGTTTCTTCTTGTCGTCATTCATTTTACAACGGTGTCAGTGAGGTATTGTTGCCAATTTGCGAGGATGTCTACCAAGCTGACGAAGCTTTTTTGACATCGCCCTGGGATTTAGCTGAGTGCTGTAAATAAAGGTTTGTTTCTTGTGCCCTAACTTTCGCCTGTTCCTTAAAAAAAAAAAAAAAAAAAAAGAAAGGTCGATCTATATTTGAATTATTTTTTTTTTATTCTCGGTGGGCTCAATAAATAGGGGTCGACCTATTTTCGTGGTCGACCTATTTTCGGGTAAATACGGTAGTCTGGTGAAATAAAGACTTTCCTCAGACTAAGCTTTATTTTTCATCTAACATAGAAATAAATTCTTTTACAAAGGTAAGTTGTTTCATGGCATGTATTTTGGCCTGAAAAATTATGTTTCGGTTATAACGCGGTACCGCTTATAGTGCGGATTTTCTCGACTCCCGCGACATACGTTATATGCGGTCTACACTGTATAGGCTTTATTGTGAGCTAAAAAGCAGACATTTGTAAACGTGTGCCATCTATGAGAAGATTTTCGTGTCGACTAAGCACCAGGTGGGGACTATGCACCGGGTGCGGGCTATCTAAGCAAAATCTTTTATTTTTGACTCCAAATTTCCCCCTGCAGACTATACACTGGGTGCGGACTATAGTCCGGAAAATACAGTACTAAAAATTGACCGCATCTCCACGTGGTGAATGATGTTGATTGGGTGCTCTGGTGGTGCTCGTCTGCAAAGACGCTGAGCCGCAGCATGCCGAGCCTTTCGTTCGTTTTCATCCATGTCAGAAAGAGAATGTGTGGTATGGAACGTGGTTATATACGCATTTGAGCATTTGACCGCAGTGCCCTCTCCTGTATAGACGTTGATATGCTACATGCAACGTTTCATCCATGACATCCCCAGCTCTTGAGTTACTACCACATCTCAGAGCCCCCTACTCGTCCCGCAGTCGTGGCCGAGTGGTTAAGGCGATGGACTAGAAATCCATTGGGGTCTCCCCGCACAGGTTTGAATCTTGCCGACTGCGCAAACATTTTTCTTCTTTTTCTTTTTTCATCATTTCCTATTTATTTTTTACTTTTTTTGCCCTACGCGAGCATGTAAGCTCACGAGAAGAAGCACGAGCACCAGCAAGATTGATGTGAGCACGGACACCAGACGGACAAGGGTAGACCCTAAGGAGCTTCGCCCCTAAAAACAATTTCACAGTATAACCATTTTGAAATTTGGATATTACTGTAAACGACTTAATTTTCGCGAGGACCTAATTTTCGCGAATTTTGCGTATTATCTACAATTTGCCAAAAATAGATCCCGCAAACAATTCGGGCAAAATTTCAACACATAGGAAGCTACAGTGAGGTGCTTGCGGGTCGCGAAAATTACGGCCCGCGAATAATTGAAAATTTTGCAACCTCAGCCCGATTCGCGAAAATTCGAGTTTGCAAAAATTATCTCGTTTACAGTATATAGTAGTTTTGCGAATTAATTGCAAGAAATTCCCTCTTATCAGCGCATTTGTCAGAATTTACGAGATTTGCTCTCTCCTTCCTTAAATCTGATGTATAGCTTTCTTATCGTAAATAAAATGTCACTCACCCTAAAGTTGCCCTTTACAAAGCCAATAATAGAGGAATCTGAAGAATTATGAAATCTAATGGCAAACCTGTACTATTTTGGATGATAAAAAAGAAAAGTTAAAATGAGATTTCAATAATATTGAAAATTGGCTTTCCCCGACAGCAAAAGCCAGATTAAGAAAAGAACCGGCTGCTTACCCGAAGCTGTGCCTGGATCTCGTGAGACTGCATTTTCTTTTTCTCAGCTTCTTGTTGATCTTTCAGCTGAAAATGAAGCAAACAAAGAACTCAAGTTAAAGAGAAGTGGTTTACAAAACCACATTTACAGGACAGATAAAACGCCTCTAAATGAAGCAATAAGAAATATACAATCTGGTCTCAAACGAAGGCCTCGTTTTAATGATGTGCTACCGATATTTCAACTTCTGTCTCGTTTAAATATTCATTCATTAAGAAAGACCCTGTTCTTGCAATGGTCTGATCACCAATCTAATGCAATCATTGGACAACACTTGAACAAACACTCAACCAGGGTGTAAGATAGACAGGTGGGGAAACGGCCCATAGAAACCTACAGCAGCGCCGTGACCGGATTGTGTACTCGTCTGCTTGCGGGTGGCTTGCGGGTACCCCCGATTTGCAACAGATGGCGCTGCGGCGAGCAGAAAAAAAAATTGAAATCGAATTTGCATGCAACTCTATGGGAGAGTGCGCAAAATAAACTGAGAGCACGACAGTCCTCCATTGAAAATCCACGAGAAACCTTCTCCACCAGTTTAACCGGTTGCCAGCGTTCGCCCACCTGGAGTGAGAGTTTGCGGTGCTCCACATAGATGGCGCCACAGAAAAAGAGAAAACCGAGGGGGACACAACCCGGTCGCTCATTTGGCTCTCGTTTCACCACCTGTCTATCTTACACCCTGCACTCAACTTTACTTTTCAAAATGAAGGTCGAAAAACCACTAATTTAGTAGCACAAAGCTGCAACATGATGCGCGCCTAAGAGTGCCCGTGCTATTTCGTGGCAAGTGGAATGAAGTGTACACGCTTCATTGCACAAAAGCTTGACAATGCAATGAGGCCACTCAACCAGCATCAGTTGGGTAGTGCAGTAGCCGACCAATTTCTCGGACTCGGAGGGGACCCCGAAATTTTCCAAAGAATCAAGCGGTCCAAAAAACTGATTTCAGCCAAAATAATAAATTTCTGCACATATATTCTGCCGCGTATTAAACACTTTCCACTTGCTTGATGTCAAGTTCTCGTGCAACTTCCACTTTATATTTTTAATTTTTCCCTTGTTTGTTGATTTTCGTCGATGCCTTTGTTGACACAAACAACGAAGTTGAAGTTGGCGCCACTTGGCACTATTTGGAGACAACGTTTAGCGCACCAAGCTTGCTTCAATACTAAGCCTATCGGCAAAAAACCTTCGTGCTCAGAGACTACAAGAAAGGCAGACGGCAGCTCTTCTCACGGTTGCACCCGAAAAACACAGATTCCGAGAATGACTGGAAAAACCCTAAGAATGGGCAGACGGCAGCCATGTTGGCTACAGCGGAATCGGAAAACCGGACTATAGCCTCAACCCAGCTTATTTATTGCGTAGAATGTTGTACTGAGGCAACAGGGCAAAATCAAAACAACCAAAATGCCGGCGACTAAGCTCATGGCACTATCGCGGCGGCTGTTTTGTGGCTGTAAACTGAGGGAATCACGCAAATTATGTCAGAAATGTCGAGCAATAACCTTCATGGCGTCTGAAATTTCAGTCGATGTTATATATTAACTCTATGGGGCGAGTGACAATTCAGGGAAAACGTCCGCACAGGACGTGTCCGAAAAATTGGTCAATGACTGTATAGTAGGGCAATAGTTTGGCAGCTTAAATCTAGAGGTGGCGAGTCACTACCCAGAAAAAACAATTTGCACCAGCTTAGCTGTGCAGAGGGCTTGGGAGAGGAGAGCATGCAGCGGATACCATTTCCTTGAGCTTGGCATTCGCCGCCTGGTTCTTGGCCTCAAGCTCGCGTGACTTGAGTGCCAGCGACTTCTGGAGCTCCTCCACTTGCTCCACAGTCTCACGGATCTTCTGCAGACCCACGTTGAGGTGCAGCTGCTGCTCCTCCAGCTCGGAACGCTTCTCGTTGAACAGTTTCACCTGCACAGCCGCCGCCGCCGCCTCGGTTGTTCCAGCAGCCTTTACACTGCCTTCCTTGCGGCGCAGCAAAGCATACACGCCACAACAGCAAGACTCGTTCAGCAAAAACGCTAAAAGATGGTTAGGTTGCCGTATATTTTCCACTGAAAGGACGAGAGAAATTACGGAGTAACAAACCAGCTTCGACCACTTAAGAAGAATCTTGCCACGCTTTCAGGAGGCATTTAAAGGGGGCAGACCATGTAAGTGCACTGTTCCCTAAAGGACCAGGGTAAACTTGTTCGACACTCAACACGCCAGTAGAAAACAACCAAGTTGAGTGAGCACACAGCCAACCATCGTGTTAACATAGCAAACAATAAAACGAAAGAACAAGAAAATTATTCTTTGTGAAACCGAAACCTGCACAGATAGCATTTTACATGAGGAGAGCGTCTCTGTCCTGCAAGTCGGTAGGTTCTTATTGGTTGTGATTGTCGGCTATTCACAAGCTATGCAGAAAAGTGGATGGGCAGGCTTCGCTCACAACAGAATATGAATATACAGTGGAAATTGCAGACGCTGTTATTACAAAATGTGTATGCTCTTGTAGATGATAAGAGGAAATAAAAGTATGAGACAAATGTTAATTTTTCGTGGAGTGAGAATATAATACTGGAATAAAAGTTTCAAAAACAGTGCGCTATGTTTTTTTTTGTTTTTTTTTTTGCGGGAGTGTTGTGTCCAGTTGTTTGCTGCTGGTCTGCTCTCGAGCGCGCACTCGCTGGGCTGAATCATCGGTCTTCCTCGCGCATATTCCGCCTGCGACGCAGGTGACTTCTAAGCATGTTTAGCGATCTGTGATCATACTTGAATCCATGCTTTTTTTTTTTAAAGGGATAGCTTTATAGGCAATGCTGTACGGAGATTTTGTCCTCGTTGCTTGTCGTCGCAGCAAGCGCAGAAAAAAATGGAAAACCACTTCTCTTCCCTCTTGCCGCGAGGAGAGGGAAGTCGGAACTTCCCACATGCCGTGCCGCGCGCAGACAGCGAAAAGGGCAGCCCTGGTGTCCCGCCAAGAATTGCTCAACGAAGGGAGATTCATTCTGTTGTCTGCTTGAAAGGCTCGTTTTCCAACATTACTGGCATTCTGCGAAATCCCATTTTGGCAGTATACAGTTGCTACGCATAATGTTGTATGGTTCTAGAAACTTCCACCGCACTACCCACTTCACAAATCACTGGTGGCAGTCGTCAGTGGCATCCTTGACGTTAAACACGACGGCTACGAGAATTAACGACATCGCACTTTCGTCCTCAAGTATGTGATGGCACCATTCCATCCGCATTACGCGAACGTGCCACAACTATCTCTTTAGTTTCTTCGCACACTGTGGGCGAAAAATATGATTTTTATCATACCTACGACAGTATGACTGACTAAAAAAACTCGCTGAAGTTCGGGTATCTGGGCTGTCCAGTCAACAAGCCGCACGCATTCGAGAGATCACTCCGGGAATCCATTGGTCAGAGACGTGAGGATCCTTCGCTCGCCATTGGCTGAGAGCAGTCCTGGTTTTAAAACATGCTCCTCCTTCACCCGAGATGACCTCAGAGTGTTGCAATCTTCTATTGCTTTTTTAATAGTGAAATCAGTTGCATATTGTCATGATTTAGGGATTTCTAGGAAACTCAGAACCAGCAGAGAGTTGTAGTCATATTTAGGTGATCTCAGAACCCTCCTCAAAGCCCCTTTAAGAACACCCCCCCCCCCCCTCCCGCCCCCATATAAGCAAACTTCGCTTCACACGAATCAAGTTGAATTGGCCGACATGCCAAGACATGTCCAGAAGTTCCTTCTCAAAAGCAGAAATTGCGACCTAACAGACTTCAGCCTTAGGCCAGAGTGTGCCCACTCCAAAGACTTGTCAAAGACACCGGGGATAAGAAAAAGAGGAGTCTGTGTGCCAGACTCACGTAGTGGTTGATGAAGTCCAGGTAGTGGCGGGGTGTGATGGTGATGGAGCGGGCACCCCGCTTGGCTAGGCGGCTGTTGGCACGGTGCAGGGTCTGGTGCACGTACACAAATGCGTTGATGATGGCGCTGCGGTGGTCCGGAGGCATCCGCAGCCCGGACACCGCCGCAGGGAAGTGGTCCGTCGGTACCAGGTACTGGACGCAACATCAGTTATAATCAGTACCAGGCTTGGCACTAAAGCCCGCTTCATATCGAGCAATTTTTTCCGTCTTAACGTCACAAAACCAGAAACAAGGCCCTCCCCACTCTCCGTGTTCATATATGGCAACTGAAAAAACTTAAATTACTACATTTCACCATCATCATCATTAAAAGTGTGATTTAGTTGTATTATTTAGACACACAGCAATATTCCCAGCAACATTGGAGTTGCTGGTATGTTGTTTCTTAGATCCACAGGATCTAAGAAAAAAACTCGCCAGCAACTCCTAAATTGCTGGGAATATTGCACCATCTGAAGCAGGCCTAAAGCTTTCTACAGCAGTTGGTGAAAACTACAATGAATAGCTGCTCAAATTAGACAGGAAAAGGATCTTTCAGGAAGTTTGTTTCCCAATCAGAGACTGGTGAACTAGAAGCTTGACTTGCCAGAACACTGTAGGGCTTGTTTTCGAAGTAATTCTATGTTTCAACAATACTCTTTTTTTTTTATGAGTATGTATAGTGAAAGCTGGTTAATCAAATAAAAAAAATAAAAAGGCTATTGCCCAGATCTTAGTTTCGGGCAGTTCACTTTGACGTGCAAGATACAATAAACCTCTAGGCGATTTTTTATTTATTTACTCAAGTAAAGCGGCAGTTATTACTAAAGGACGAGACATCAAAAAACATTAGCTCCGACATTTTGTCACTGATTACGTTTTCTTATTGCACGAGGCAAGCGAGCCTTGGTCCTTACCGTAGAGACCCAACACAATGGCAAAGAGAAAAGTTTGCAGCATGAAGACTGCTGACAAATTAAGGTGTGGTAAACGCGAGCCAGAAGAACGTGCCATGCTTCCCTAGTGAAACTAAAGAGCGGAACTCACGTTGGTCCGGTCAATGTCGAGCCGGCAGGTGAACTCCTTGCCCACTTGAAAGAGGGCGTCGTCCGACCAGTCACCAAACCAGTTCAGGACGCATCTGAAAGGACCACAATCACATATACTGAGTTCCCTGTCTGCCTCACCTAAGAGCCACCCACAAAAGACATAGGAACAACCGATCCATAGTAACCCTGAGACGTAGGAAAAATAAAAAAACTAACAGTACAACGAAGTCTCTAACGCAGCTTGAAAATTTATTTAACCATCGTCTTGTATACCATGTCACCGACCTCCAACACAATTCAAAAGACCTCCTCGCCCACTTCACAGTGCACCCTCGCCCTCAACATGTACCGACGAATGCACACAAAAGCAAACACGCCCGAAACACAAAGGTACACTAACTCAAAAAGGGAATGCTGGAACTTCCGCACTTGGCAAGGTCAGACTGAACTCAACAACACTTACAAACTCTTTTGTTCCCCTATCAAGAAGCGAACAAGGTTGTCTGAAAAAGAAACCACAAAAAACCACGCCCAAAGGAAGAGAAGAACTTGAACTGCGAAACAATTGGCTATTGCGTTTGCTTTTGTGTGCATTTGTCGGTATATGTTGAGGGCGAGGGTGCACTGTGAAGTGGGCGAGGAGGTCTTTTGAATTGTGTTGGAGGTCAGTGACATGTATATAAGACGATGGCTGTTAAATAAAGTTTCAAGCTGTGTTAGAGACTTCGTTGTACTGTCCGTTTTTTTATTTTTCCTACGTCTCAGGGTTACTATGGATATCATTCACCAACTCAGCTGTGTTTTTTACCCTTCTTCACTAGGAACAACCGCTACCCACACAACAAACGGTATGAGATAATCCCTATGAAAACCTAAAATAGAGAAATAACAAGAAAAAGGCATAGCTTCGTTCCTGCGAAGCATTTAAACAACGCCCTATACATTTTCGATGATCGGCTTTAACGTCAACAATGAAGCTGCCTGTGCAAGAGTGCCATGTCCCGGTAAGCGTGCAAACAGGGTTGTCCGTCTGCTGCACCTAAAAGGAATATTGTTCTATCGTCCAGGCAGTGCAGCAACGACGTTACCTGTTGAAGAGGGCTGGAGATGTGGCTGCCCTGTCCTTGAGGCCCTCCGAGGACGGGTTCATGGTGAAGACCACGTGGAGGTTGCGCATGACCTGGCCCGTGAACCACTTGTAGAGCTCTTCGTTGGAGTCGAGCATGAGCCCCTCGCGCTGGGAGCCCTCCTTGCACTGGGTCATCAGGGTGCTGTACTCGTCCCCCTCAAACAGACCCGGGACCTCCCCGTTGGCCAGCAGCGTGTTCATGCGTTCCAGGAACGACGAGTCCAGCACGTTGCCCTCGTCCAGCACAAAGCAGATCTTCTCTCCCTGCGCACAGAGGTCCGTCTTTCCCTTTACAAGTTGCAACTAGGGATGCCGCGAACTTTGCTCGAACCAAAGGTTCGATGTTCGAATTAAGCGATTCGAAAGGTTCGAAAGATTTCGAATTTTCTAACTTTCCATATCGGGAAATTCAACGGAAGTCGAATTTTCGAACTTATTAAACTAAGAAATTCGACACTTTTCGAAATTTCGAACTTATTACGCTGCAAAATTCGATGCTTGTCAAACTTTCAATCTAAAAAATTTGATGATTTTCGAACTTTCAATCTTCTTGCACTAAAAAGTTTGAAGCTTTTCGAACTTTCTATGCTAAGAAATTTAATAATTTTGTAACTTTCGAACTTCTAAATTTAAAAAAATTCGAAAACTGTCAAACTTTTTATTTCTGAAGAGTCAGAAGTTCAACGAACTTCGAAAGACCGGCGGGCGGTTTCATTTGGATTCAAGCAGTGAGGTACATTCATATTTCTTTTTTCGCAATTTTACATGCGATGTTGCAATCCTTGCGAAAGAGAATGCCGTTTACCTCAATTCTCTGGCATGCTTGGTTTTAAAGAAATAGACTCCCGAAGGAGCAAGGAAGGACGATGGGTTTTTGACAATTGTCGTTCGTGCCATATTTGAAGCGCGCTATAGCCAAAGCTATTTATGGTACAGGTGTTAACCTTTCCAAGAATGATCTATGTATAGCCTAGGTAAGTGTCGTCTTAAGATGCGATTATTGTTGTTCAGGGCGAGTTTCGAAGAAATATCCAAACATGTATCTACGGGCAATTATGCCCTAAACTTGGTCATTTCTTTCGTCTAAATTGTTTGAGGTATCACATTTAAATTAACACCACAGACAGTACATATCATTACCATCTGCAGAATACAAAATAATGTACAGTACATATCAATACAATAATGTAAAGTACATATCCTTGCCATCTGCAGAATACAAAATAATTGTTCACGTTCAGCACATAAAAAAAAAAAACATTTTTAATTTTTTTTTTTTTTTTATTAGTGATGTGATTGGCCTAAGCCATTTTGGAGCTCCTTTTGGAGCAGCCAGAACAGTGTTTTGGAGCAGCAAAAGTGGCCTTCGGAGCAGCCAAAACAGTGTTTCGGAGCAGAAAAAGTGACTTTTGCAGCAAATATTCTTAGAAAAAAAATATTTGTTTTAAGTTTCTAACAATGACCATCTACGAGATCTTTTATGCAGTGAAAAGCGACAGTAGTTATACATATGCATAAATAATTTCAGATTAATATAAGCTCGACCATGCCGTCTTTCCCTGTATTGTTTTTTTTAACAGTCCGAAATATCTGGGGAGGGGGAGATGGAGCCCCCCTTTCCCCCCCCGATTTTCCTCTTCCGAAGCCACTGGTATGGTAGGAAGCTCCTGGACCTCAAGTTGTGTCAGTTTCTGTGCTGTTTGCTCGGCATTTCTTCTGTCCCGGAAAATAAACCTCCAAAGCAATTACAAACTAAAGAATCGTCAAGGTGCAGGCGAGCTGGTGTATGTTGATTATGATGCAAAATCCCGAGACTGGGAATGAAATTCGCAAGAAGTAGTGTAAGAAGGAAGAAAAAAGGCGACAGGACAACGTGTCAAACTCAGCTGAGTTGAGTTTGAGACGTTGTCCTGAGCCGAGTTTTCAGCTGAGTTGAGTTTGAGATGTTGTCCCGAGCTGAGTTTTCAGCTGAGTTGAGTTTGAGACGTTGTCCTGAGCTGAGTTTGAGACCTTGTCCTGTCCCCTTTTTTCTGTCTTCTCACACTTTTTCTTTCAAATTTCATTCACAGAGCTGAGTTTGAGGCATTGTCCTGTCCCCTTCTTTCTGTCTTATTACACTTTTTCTTTCAAATTTCATTCCCAGTCTCAGGATTTTGCATCATGTATAAACTGAACTTACTATATGCCAGCGTCACTGGGGCGGCATTTAATCAGATTACTGCCAGCGTGCAAGGGGGTAGGGAGGCAGTTTGCCAGATCGCTTCAAGGTTTTTCCGATCCTCAACCATCTGCCTACCCTTGGCCGTTTCGAACTGGATGAGTATCTTTAAACAGTGCGTTCGTGTGGTAACTACTTCATGATGCACATTAAAGACCCCCCCACCCCCCGGGCTGGCGGTCACAATTACTGATCTATTGTCACACGTCACTCTGCACCGGGAAATATTCCAGCACATCCGGGACACTCGTCGTCTCATTTAATTGCCTGACATACTTTGTGCAGTCTAAATATCACGCCCAAACTTTTCTAAACCTGATTTCATGAAAACCAGTGAGGCATGAAAATATTTGAAACTGAAACCGCGGCAGAACATGAAAACCGGACTTCGAACTTTGCGCACTTGGACTTGAAATAAATTTAAAACCTTTGAAGTTTTTTTTTTTCTTTTTTTAATTTTGCCCTAAGAGAGAATCGAAACCTTCGAACTTTTCGAACTTTATGTAGAAAGAAATTCGAAATCTTTGAATTTATCAAACTTTATATCTATAAGAATTCGAAACGTTCGAACTTTTCGAATTTCAGATCCAAAGAAATTCTAAACATTCGAATCTCTCGAATTTCAAGTTAGGAAAGTTAGAAATCTTCGAAATTCTCAAACCTCAAGTAAAAAAATATTCGAAATAATCGAACCCAAACTTTTAGAAACCGTGAAAGCTTCGAACTTTTCGAATTCGAAACTCCACGATTTTTGAAAGGTGCGAATTTTTGGAATTCGAACCTCCGTAGGGTCGAAAATATCGAAACCTTTCGAATTCGAACATCAGTTCGGTTCGAAAATATCGAAACCTTTTGTATTCGAACCTAGGGTGGTTCGCGGCATCCCTAGTTGCAACGATCACTAGGGCGGCTAAACCTTTCAGCGGCACCTTCTTATGGCTGCTACTCGCGATTTCCTTTGACGCATCCGATCCTGGCTGCTTACCACCAGATGCCAACGACGAGTTCAATGACATGCCGTGTTACCATGATTGTAGGTCGACTTATTTAAAAATTTTTTAAAATCTGAATTGGAAGGGGAGGGGAGGGAGGGGGGGATTGACTTATAGAAAAGCATCCCGCTGCCGACAAGGACCAAACAATTGTGATATCGAGAACACCTCGGCTTGTTAGAAGTTCAGCCGGCTGTACCTGTAGCATATTGCCATTCTGTGCGCTCAGCTTACGAGTTGTATTCCTTTTATACCTACCCGAACAAGCGTCACGATCACTGCGATTGGGACTTGCAAATCAGCCCGAATGCACGGCGAACGGCACGCAAGACATTGCGATGCACGGCACGATAGAGTCCCGGGGTGGCAGCACTCGATGCAAGAGCCACGCCGAAATAACCGGAACAGCCACTGGAACAGCCTCAACCCCCGCTGGTTGTTTTTGCACGACGCACGGTTGCACGTTGTTCGATAAAGCGTGAAAATCATGTGATCGTGCTGGAGTGCCAACCATGTTTCTCCAATTTGACACGTGTGGTCTGGGCTTTCTATACTTTCTATAGCTTTCTATACTTGTTAACGTCCACTAACGACTGCGCCAATGAATGCGAGTTTGACCTGTTGAAGAAAATGGTGCGACAATGGCATCTGCGACAGCACGGGACCTTTTAACTGCGACGGCAAACGAAGAGGCTTCCGCGGGTCAACATTTGGATATGTCTGGAAGCTTTCAGACTTGGAGGTCAAGCTTGCAACTTGCCGTCACAAAAGTAAACTATCAATCCCCATCCATGACGCACGACACAATTGAAGAGCAAGCGCGGAAGATGCGTTCGAGGCAGTCATTTGCGAAGTGTGAGGTTTCAATGGGCAGCATTAACAACATGTTTTGGAAATGTAACAGCAATGACGACTAGAACGACAGCACCAAGGCAGACAAAAGATGGTGTGAGAACGACGGGAAGGAGCTTCAGTTGTCTCGCCTCCAGCGCAAGCTTACTAACTTGGACAATGCTTCGGCATCTCGTGTGCCTTGCAGATGCATGCGCAGCTAAAGAATGCCAGAAGGCGTCGAGCGCGTGCTGTAGGCCAGGTGTTCGAAAGAGGTACCTCGCCGTTCTCCCATGCAAACAATGCGCTTAAAGTATTTTTTTTTTTTTTATTTTCGTTTAGCTGACTTGCAATGGGGGGGGTGTCAACTAACAATCGTGTAAGTATGGTATGTAAAGAGCACAGTGAAACCTTGGTGTCGTCACGTTCTGAAACCAACCCCATCAAATATAAAGCTGTGACGTTAACTTTACATTTGTCGACGAAAGCAGAATTAATCTTCCGACGACGTTGTAGCAAGTTTTTGGCAAACCGTGAAAGAACAATTGCAACAACACTCTTGGTTGCGCACGTCGAAAATTCCATCACGGTGTTGGCATTTTGCGGGATACGGACGTGTATATCATTTCACTGAAACGGCAGCGTAACAAAGATGCCATCACATGTACAAAGAGACGCGTAATGGCGCTTTTATTATTTCCGAGCCTCCTTCATAGCTCGATGCCGAGAATTTTCGCAACATTTTTGCTTGTGCGTCTGATTCCCCTCCCGCGCCCGATCCGGACTCTGTCTACAACGAGCCTCCTCGGCATGCAGCAACCGAAGGTCGCATTCCTCATAACTGTTACGAACTTTCAAAGGTCTCGCCATATGGCGTGCAAATTCTGCGCACCCACCGGCACAACGGGGTGTCAGCTACGGCCACCGTCAAACTGAGAACAGTGTCTCTTTCGAACACCTGGACTCGAACACGCGCTCGTTGCCTTTCGATCCACGCTTCGGCTGCGCGTGCGTGCTCGAGGCACTGGGAGTTTTAGCGAAGGACACCGACGCAACCCCCCGGAGGGGTCCCCACCAACGGCCGTCGCCGCAGAAAAGAAAAAATGCGGACCTTGCAGCCGGACCGCCTGAGGACCGAACGGAGGTCTTCGTCAAAGTCCGCCGCCCTGTACTTGTTGTGGACCTTGATCTGGAAGACGCTCAGGCCGTTCATCCAGGCCACGAAGCGGGAGAGCGTTGTCTTGCCCGCTCCGCTCACTCCAATCAGCAGCAGATGGCCCTGCAGAGGAGAGGAATGCCAGGCGTCAATTCCCGGTCGTGGGAAAAAGGCACCAGCGGCGATGCGGCATTGCTGCTTTCGACACGTTCCTTAGAGAACTGCATGGGCTCCCAAACAGAGTTCCTGAATTCCAGGGTTGCTTCGAGTAGCTTCGAGGCCCACCTTTCTCGGATTTCTCCAAGAAAGGCGACATATTCTATCCTACCTCTCTCGTACGTCTCTAAGGCCAGGGGTTCTCAAACTTTTTCATCCTAGGAAACCCCAGCAAGCCTCAAAAAGGCCCGAGGAAACCCAGCCCCCCCATTTGCCAACCGATAATGCTGGGCGACAAAGGAGTTTAGATAGTGAACGAGAGTTTTTTGCACTGACAGAATAAGATAAAATGGAGGACTACAGACAAAACAAGAAAGCAGAGGGGTTCCCCTGGGGCACAATGTAAAATATATACACCTATTAGTGCAAAGAGTGAGGCTGCTTTGCCCGCACAATCCATGGCCAGTCCGAAGAAGGTTAAACTAGGAGGGCTGGGGGCCACCGTAATTTGTATGCTCGCGGAACCCATGAGACCAGTTCGTGAAACCCAACTTGAGAACCCCTGCTCTAAGCAGTGGGTCATTTTTCACAAAGCTTCATATTTATGCATATTTCCACATAAAAATAAAAAAATGCTTTCTCCGCAATTTAATTTAGGGTAGAAGTTTGAGCCTCGATAGTTGAGACTTTATCGGAGGTGGTTTCTAAGACATGTTCGAAGTCTGAGGTTCCTCGAGACCAGAAAGTTCCTTTCACCACCACACTAAAATCGACAGTTACAAAAAAGAAGCCTAATAAAAGGGGAAGAGGGAGGATAGGCTGATGGCTAGCCTAATGCTCTAGAAAGGGTACAGACACAAAAAGCTCCAAGAAAAGATCCCAATCCCAACAGGAACTCAAATGAGCACAAACAGCCCGGACGACTCACTTGGGGCTGCCTGAAGATGCGGTCGATGCGGAGCACATGGTCGAGGACTTCGTTGAACAGCACCAGCTGCACATCCAGCTCCTCTTCGTAGAATATCTGTGAGAATGTCAAAGTTCACGTCACTCGAAGATTTGCGTTCGAGTGTTTTTGCACAGTGGTCGATCCCACCAATAACGAGCCACAGGCACGACAATGTTCCCCCAACTGCAAGATGAATTTTGACAGTCAGAACATACCATAGCCAATCATCTGTCGGGGTTCAATACCTAATAAAAAAACTTTCAGCCTTTCCACTCTGGTGAAGAAGGAAGACCAGCGAAGCTGTACTATGGTCAGACGACCTCAAGGACGACGCCTAAGGACGCCGCCTAAGGACGACGCCTAGGACGACTTCAAGGACGATGTCTAGGACGACCTCAAGGACAACTTCTAAGACGACCTCGAGGACGACACCTAGAGGACGACCTCAGGGACAACATCTAGACGACATCAGGGACGACGTCTAGGACGATTTCGAAGAAAACGTCTAGGACGACCTCAAGGACGACCTCTAGGACGATTTTGAAGGCAACGTCTAGGACGACCTCAAGGATGACTTCTAGGACGATTTTGAAGACAACGTGTAGGACAACCTCAAGAACGACTTCTAGGGCGACCTCAGACGACTTCTAGGATGATTTCAAAGACAACGTGTAGGACAACCTCAAGAACGACTTCTAGGGCGACCTCAAGGATGACTTCTAGGACAATTTCGAAGACAACGTCCAGGACGACCTCAAGGACGACTTCTAGGACGATTTCGAAGACAACGTCTAGGACGACCTCAAAAACGACTTCTAGAGAGACCTCAAGGACGACTTCGAAGACAACGTCTAGGACGACCTCAAGGACGACGTTTAGGACGACCTCAAGACAACTTCTAGGGTGACCTCGAGGACGACATCTAGGACGACACCTAGAGAAATTCAGCCTTTCCACTCTGGTGAAAACCAGAGTGGAAAGGCTGGAAAGGTTGTCGCCATCTATGAGCAAGGCCAGCAAGCTGACTGTCTGGTTGCCGCCGGTGCTCATAGATGGCGGTAGCTGTCCAGAGGTTTGTGTCTTAATTTCTTTGCGGAGACACGATCCTAGGGAAGCTAGCCCTTAACAGCTCCGCTGTAAAAGCCCAGTGAAGTGCTGGCCAAAGCAGCAGGAGAGTGATTGCTCAGTCTGGGAAATGTGGATTGGGACAAGCATTTACATTCCACCGCACATACTGCAGAAAGCGAGCATTTTCTACGATGCTGAAAACAACTCTGCAGCACGGTAGTTAGCCAACTTCTTATAGAAACAATTCAAAACTTCGGACACCCCACCAAGTAGGCTGTACCGTAAAGTTCCGAGAGAACACCCGCCCCCGAGAGATCACCCATCCCGGTTATCTGGCTAAATGTCTGTAACATGCAAATTCTGAAACATTGCCCACCTTTCGATTTCCGTCGAATGTCACGCGATGTTCGACGGGAACCGCATCCGCCGGGCGATCTGCTATGCCAGTACGTCTGGTAAGCGAGTTCATAGTGGGTTCCAGCATTTTTGTCTGTGATCAGCACACGCGATATCATCTTCCACAACACGCGAGTGGTCCCAAATGTAAATCTGCTGCGTCCCCGATCTGCGGTATTCGTTCCCATGGCGTGAGAGTTTGTGGTTTTTGTCCTCTATCAGCACGCACAATATCGGTTCCCATGAGAGGTAAGTTTGTAGCGGGTTCCCGCATGTTTATTTCACCATAAAACTTGAATCTGCTGCGTCCGCGATTGGCGGTTTCCGTTTCTGCAACATCCAAGTTTTCTGTGGGTTTCTGCAAGTCCTTCACACAGTAAAACGCGATTCTTCTGCGTCCGCAACCTGCGGTCTCCTTTTCTGTGACAGAGGAGTTCGCAGCAAATTCCCATGTGCATATTGCATCGTGAAACACGAATTTGTGGTGTCCGTGATCCGGAGAATCAGTTCCCGCGTCACGTGGTTTGTAGCAGGTGCACCGGTGTTTATCATTAATTTTTGATAAAGATTTACTGTGGCATCCCTAAAGATACTAGCCCACCCCATGTCTTTCCCCATTTTTCTCTTCATTTTGGGTGGGCGCTCTTTCGGAACTTTACGGTATAAACAGTCAAAAGTCATCTAGATGCGGCGGAGTAAACTTGTACTCATTTCCTCAACATGAAACGTTACGCAGGACAAGCAGAGAGATGCTGCGAATGTGTACCGTAAAATACCGGGGCAGCGCCCACCCCACTTTCACTGAAAACTGGGTTAATTTAGACATGGACGCTTGTCCAGTCAAATCAGGCGCTTATAACATAATTTGCAGAATTCCCAAGTTTATGAAATGGTAATAGTGGGCGCTTAAACGAAGTAGGAGCTTTTGCAGTATTTTACGGTAAGTATTTGTGGTCCAGCATAGCAAATTGCTTTACCAGCGTGAAACCCCGCCTGATCTTACAAGAACTTTCTTTTGTTTATGTGCAGCCCAACAGACCCGACGTTACAATTGAATGTGCCGTAAATACTCGCTGGGAATAGCTTCAATGCGCATTTACAGCTTGAAATGATGGAAAGTTGGGCGAGTTGATACAACGATAACAAAATGGCAAAAAACAGCACTTCGAGGTATGGTGGGGACGTTATGTTTTCGGCACGGCATAAGCTGAGTGAGATTTGCTCCGCCATTGAAAGACGGGCAGGCAGGAAAGGGAAAACATCCTCGAGGGGAGAATTCACCATAAAACGGGGAAAAAAGTAGTGCCATGTGTCAACGGCGTAGTGTACGAGATCCCCTTCCCGTGCAGACGCGTTTTCCTCGAATGGACCAGGCGATGCCTTAACACGCGATTACGAGAACACCGAAGTTAATTAAAAGTATGTGTGTACTGACACCTGGCATTGCACTGTAGCGACTGCGTGTGTGAACCTCAGTTTGGTTGACCTTGCCATTCTGTTCAAACATAATAACCAACTATCGAGAGCAATAATTGAGGCATATAAAATAGAAAAGAAAGCAGTATCATGTGTCAGCCAACCATCCATTATCCTGCTGGACAGAGAGGCAGCATTTTTAGATCTAGGGTAGGAGGCATTTGATGTTGACAGTGTTTGTTACCCATTATCGTCGAAGATTGAAAGTGACGATTACACAAGAGCAGAAGTGACAGGGTCCACGTTTTTTCCAATCAACATTTTGTTGATAGTCAGTGCTGTGCCTCGTCAGTCCTTGTTCTTCGTCTGGCGTCAATACACATTGATTTTTGCCATTATATTCACAGCCTGCGTTCCCACTTACCAAGATGGCAGATGACACGGAAGCTTCGGTTGAAACCAGAGCTCCCTATTGTCAAGACTGAGGCTTACACTAGTTGGCTGACATTTCTAGAATGGCAAGTACAGTAGAATCTCTATAATATAAACTCTTATTTCAAACTCGCAGATCATTCTAACCATCCCGTATGAGTCCCATCATTAAAAAAGACTACCTATCATTCTAACTTTGCATTATTCGAACAAATTTTTGGTACCCCTCAAGTTCAATTTAACGAGATCCCACTTTAGCGCACACGAGGGATGATTGTAGAAGAAGAAACACAGCGTTGGAAAACGTGAGTGGCCAACTTGCAGGAGAGCCAACTGACCTTGAGCCTGGCCTTGACGTAGCTGCGCAGCTCGTCACGGTCGACCGGCACGTAATCCTTGGACAGCCAATTGCTGTACAGGATGGGGCGTCCCAGTGCATCGTCCCGGCTCACATTGGGGAAGTGCTTGAGAGCCACCACGTCGATGTTCTCGTCCGTCCAGGCACGTTCCTCGTCCTCCACCAGCCTTGGATGAAAACAAAGGTTTGCGGTCACAAAGCAACAACAACATATTCGTGAGGCTAGCGTACGGCCTTCGGCAGAGCTATGGAGCAAACAATTAAAAGTTGTCGCAAACAAAATCTCAACCTGAAGGCACCACATCAGCGGGACAACAAACTAGGTGTGTTGTCCCACTTGCAGTGACGTGATTGGCCTAGGCCATTTTGGAGCACTTTTCGGAGCAGCCAAAACAGTGTTCTGGAGCAGCAAATGTGGCTTTTGGAGCAGCCAAGACAGTGTTTTGGAGCAGTAAATGTGGCTTTTGGAGCAGCCAAGACAGTGTTTCAGAGCAGCAAAAGTGGCTTTTAAAGCAGATATACTTAGAAAAATAAAAAAAAATATTTGTTTTAAGGGCTGTACAAATGAAGGGTGCTTTGTGTTTTGACTTCTGTAGTGTTCTAATTTGACGTGTTGTGACGAAAGTTCCAGCTTGTGTTTTTACTGCTGAGACATCCAACAAGTGTACAGTGCTGTAGGCGTTGCCGAGCGAATCTGAAAAACTACTTGCTACTGTTTTACTGGTTCCCGGCGTACCAGATTTTCGTCTAAAAAAAAGCAAACAAAAAAAAAACGGATTGCAACTGTCCCTGCTGGTGCCTCTGCCGTGCAATCAAGTTCACAAACACGTGAGGGCAACTTCAGCAGGCTTGCAGTTGCGCGTGCATCGTTGCGCGAGCCGAGACAACAACTGTTTGATCGAAATCGAAACCATGCCACCCCGCCCCGTCGCCAACTGATTCCCAAAATTGTATGCAAAATGAAACACCCAAGCATACGACAAAAAACATGCAAGCCGCGCATTCTTGTCAGGCACGCAAACAAGGTACAAGCTAAACACATAAAAAAAAAAGAACCAAAATGCATTGATGCAACACATCGCAACCAAGGTCAAAAAGTTCTTGGAGCGCTTTTTCCATCAAATAACTCAAGACAAACAAGCACACTGTGTGGGTTCAGCGTGCATACGTTGCCTTCTTTGTTTTAGCTCACTTCTTTTCACCAACTTTCTTTCGCAGCAGATTTTTCACGTACCGGAATCCCTCTCGAAAGAAAGCCTACCGAGAGAAACCTAGGTAATCAATACTTCGACACAGCAGTCTTTGAGTTGATGAGATTTTTGTAGTAATGTAGGATTAAAAGAAGGTCAGGAATGTTGATAAACATGCGGTGGTACTTAGTTTCATTTTAGAAAGCACCATATCTGCAGCGACGTGGGGACGGACACACCCGACGCCGTGCGACCACGGTGACTAGAGGGCAGGGACCAAATTTAGTTTTCTCACGACTGTTGCTTTCAAGAGCGAGTGCTTCAGTTAACAAAGTAACACCTGCCACGCAAAAATGTGATTTCGTTTCACAGCATGATGGCATGGCTGGTACCAGGTACGACGCTATAGCGTCGGAGCCTCCGCGCACACCCGCGTCTATTGTTGAAAATATTTTTAAAAAAAAGACTCGAGACGAGATCCACGGGACGACAAGAGCGCGAAACGCCAGATGGCGGGAAAACCATGCAGGACCGGATGGACAATTGATGCAGAGTACTTGTGTCGTTTGGCCGCTTGCGCGACGTAACCCACGCAAGCTTAATACGGTGCTCAGTTTAGCTTCAATATTAAAAAGTGAACGAAATTTTTTTTTTTTTTTTTTTTTTGCGCAGATTTGGTACAGGTTAGTGATATTTTGGCAAAATATAGCAGGATGTAGCAGGGTTAGCCCCTTGGAGCAGTTTGGCGCAATTGGCGCAGCAATCACATCACTGCACTTGTGAAAGCAGTGTTCAGATACTGAAGTTTCATTTATGGAAATATGAAATGCTTTGTAACGAAAGGTCCTATTCCGAAAATTTTGTATTTATCCATCTATGTGTACGCAGGAAAAATTTCGCCCAGCTAGGAAAAGTTGGCTACCATAAAATATTGGCCAGGTGCCAGAAGAAAGTGGGAGATAATCCCGAAAAATGGAGAATTTGAGGACAGAAAAGCAGATGGTCCACGTGGTAGGATAGGCTTTGCTTGATCCAATGAAATGGCATAGGAGCCGCATAGAGTCTTCCGCTGCCCTCATCAAGCCTGCTTCGTGCCAGTACTCTCGTGTAAGCTTTACCGTTTCACACTGAAGCATGCACACAGAGCGCTTTGCAGGGGCTTCCTCGGAAAAGCAGCCGACACGAAGGAGCACCTCGGCTAGCTGGGTGCAGTTCAAAAGATTGCCTGGGCGGGCGCTTTGCATGTTCTCAACTTATAGTTGAAATGCTTGGAAATTAGGGGGTAGGTTCTTATTGCAACATAACACGGGCGTGCTCGGTATTTTGCGGCAGGTCTTCTGTCCAGCTTAAGACAAACATTCAGGCTGTCTTTCCGTCATCAACGCCATCCTAGATCTCCCCAGCTATCCCATATCTCCCAGACTATCCCAGATATGGGATACAACTTTTTTGCTTTTTTTGAGTAATGAGCGCCGTCCGGGAGGTTGTCGGCAAAGTGCAAATGAAGGGCAATCCAAAGTTCATCCACCTGTCAGAACACATTGGCATATTGCCGTATCAGTTTTAATTGCTTTTCATGCTCTATACTCCTGGCACTCGAAAACAAATTGTCAAAAAAGGCAAAATGCGCGCAAACAAAGCTAGGTGCCGACGATGTTGGCCATGCAGGACGATGCTCTCCGAAAAGGGCGACAGTGGCAAGCAAGAGTCAGGGGAGAGGTCCATTCCCCAGCTAGTTCCCCAGTTATCTCCCCAAAGTTTTCCAGATCTGGTGCAGTCAATGTCCCACCTGTCCTGGAAGAGGCGCAGGCCCTCGTGGGCCCAGATGCGCACCAGGCCCTCGACGGGGAGAGTCTCCAGGGGCCGCAGGGCCTCGCAGATGCCCCGCACCCAGCGGGTCAGCTCCCGGGGGCTGTACACATAGTGGGGCTGCATGTCCTGGGTGAAGCGCTCCTGCACGGGAAACCCAACAAAGAATGTTTTACCCCCTCCTCAGGGCACGTGTGCCCAAAACGTTTTCGCATTCTTTGTCTGCCTCATCTTTCTTAAGATACACTGGCTCAATCGAGGCACATGCTTAGAGTATGCCAAACAAAACATTTACCCGTCCGCTGTAAAGTAACTTCACGACTTATGCACAGTACCATTAGGGAATGTGAGTGTGACTCTGCACAATGATCTGGTTGCACAAGCACTCGTGCTACCTAAGTGCTGTCTGGAGCCACGCACTCCCATCTATTCTTCCACCGGTGCTGCGACAACTCTCCCAATGAATTACAGAAATAAGAATTTCAATTTGGGCAAGACCACGTTTAAAACAAAAGGCACGTTTCGCATATGCACTTAGAAAATTCAAAGCACATCTGCGGAGTCCTTTTTAAATTGTAACCGATCGATCAAACGTGGCACATTTATCGCAGCCCTCGATTCTGGTTTCCTCGTCACTTACTAGTTGCAAGTCGGAGCCTCCAGCACCAGTAACAAACCATGCTCACAACCCGAAACCAAGAAAACTAAAAACACTCGTCCCTTCCTTTTGGTTGGTTCTTAGACTCTGGTATCACTCGCGAACCGTAACAACCCGCCTGCCTTAGATTCACCACGTGGTGCCGGCAAAATTAGAAAGGTGGAAAAGGACAAAAATATTTGCAGTTGTACTTAAATCTATCAATCAAACAAGCATATGCGGAACTGTGTTTCATGAGGAATGCAGGGAACGCCAACTTCAGTCTCTGCCTTCCAGGCAAGGCAATGCCACGTCAGTGTTGTCACATCCTCCTTTTAAACTACAGTATAGACCACTTACAACGTAACCGCTTATAGTGCAGGACCGGGTATAATGCGGCTTTTTTAAGGGGAGGCACGGCCTACAGGGGTCTACTTTTTTAATAGTTTGCCGATTGCAGTGAAACTTTTACCATATGTTAGTTATGCAAACTTGGGAGGGCATGCAAAATTTCAACCAACAGGGAAGATTTTTTGCCAAGTTACGGTGCAATTTGTTATAAAAAAGAAGACTGATGCAGCACCAACGAAAAAAATCTATCATTCAAAAAAAAAGAGAAAAATTCCAACTTTTTTTGCATATATGTAATGTTCAATAAGTGATGAACAAAGTAAGGTATGTAGCAATATTTAATATAGCAAGCATCAGCATGAAAACAGGAAATTTAAAAATGGCTTCATTTTTCTCTCATATGACTTTTTCTAAAATCAACTTTTTCTTGGTGAACAACTCAAAATTATTAAAAACAAAGTGCCTTACTAAATTCTTCAGTCAATTTCACTCCAGAAAAACAACACTTCAGGAGTCTCAGTCCAAACTCTAAAAAATGATAGTTTTTCAAAAATGGAAAAGTGTTCAAAATGACAAACTGAGAAAAATGTGTTTGAAAGTTCAAACAGTGTTCGGCTGAAAACAGTGCTTAGTATATCACTTAAAACGCTCCAGGGCCATAGGTAAGTCCTTCCTCTTCACGGTCCTTCTGCGCCTTAGCCACGGCTTCCATCTTTCTCCGCTTGTGCGACGCTTTGGACGACTCTAGTTCCTTTTTTTGGGCCTTTCCGATCTTCTTTCGGGTGGCCTTCGCAGCATGCACGGTGTGATGGCTCCCTGGCTTGATTCCCATCTCGGAAAGGGCATGCTCAAAGCCTCGAGGTCCCAGGTTAAATTCGAGGACTGCCAGAGCCACAGCTGACTCGACGGTCTTGAGGGAGGCAAATTCCACCTTGGGGCACCTCTTCCACACTAGAGAATTAAACGATTCATTTGCATTCTGAGTTTTCATCCTCGAACAGCGCTCGAGCAAGTCTCTACGCGAAAGGCGATTGTAGACGGGCACCAGCTCCTTGGCTAACTCCCTGGAAAAGGCTGGCTTGTGGGGCCTGGACGCAGGTGGCTCTCCTGCAGCCTCAAGTGCCTTGCTCCTGTTGAAGTGGCACCAGGAGTCTCTTCCAGTGGGGCAAGCTGTGTGTCGTGGCTCGTCGTCTGTCGAGTAAGAGTGCAGGAGTGTGGCAAACACCCCCCGCTGCATCGCTGGGACATCTGGGGCATTGTCCTTCAGGGCGCAGGCATAGTAATTTGTCAGCTGCTTCATCCTCACGTTCGTCAGCTTGCCCTTTCCACCAAGGCCTTTCTTTGCCTTCTTCAGAGCATCCAGGCCAGCATACATACGCTTTGCAACGTGGTTGATGCAATCCTCTTTCTTCACTTCCTTGTCGTATAGACCAAGGCTAGCAACCTTTGAAAACGCTTTGCTGTCACCGTCGCAGAGTACCGTGGTATACTGCATGTTGTGTCGCTCCACAGAACGCCCAAAAATGACTGAAGCAGCTTCCACTTCCATGGCATGAGCAGACCCCTGGAAATTCTTTTGACAGTCAGGGCTGTGGCTTTCAAACCATTCTTCATATTCCTGAGACCCTGGCTTTGGGCCTTGAGCGCACACCTGGCAGTAGTTGCTCTGTACACTGTAGTCTATCACCAGGCCGCTGTTCAGTTCCACTGCCACGCCAACACCAAAGTGGGAGGTGTGGCCACGCTTATGCCAAGTCCCGTCGTACGAAATGCACACGTCCAAAAGTTTGTCGTCTCCGGACTTCTCTGCTTGACGTATGGACTGCGCCGCGCTCTGCATCACTTTGCTGGCGGCCTTCGTAGCTGCGTCATGCACTTTTGATGCTATCTTCTGCGAAGACTTCAGGCACATCGGTGGAGGTACGTTCATGCCAGAAAAGAGGTTGGACAACTTGGTGAAACCAATGCCGCAGTCGCGTGCGGCTAGTCCGATACGCGCGGAAAGTTCATTCTGGCGAGTGTCGCCGATGTTCGACGAGTGCGGTGCGCTCGCCACCTCTCCACACGACGGGCACTCGACGATAAACCCGAGGAGCGCTCCTTGGCCACTTTCCTTTAGCTCCAGGCAAGACCCGGCACACTCTGGGCACAGCAGAGCTCCCACCAAAGCCTTGACACAAGAAACTTCGAGCAAGCGGTAGCCTTCGAGTTCGCCGCTGTCACGGCTCCCATCTAGGCCTAGCGGCTCTCCGGAGCACTCGTCCCGTCGTAGCATTTCCATCTTGCGCTCAATCGCGGTCAGCTCATCTTCCTTTGGGGTGTCAGGAGTTGGAAGCGGCGACAGAAGCCTCGATTGTCCCACACAGTCCAAGTCCAAGTCTTCAGGCGGCGATGGGCCAGGAGACGGTGACGGGCTTGAAGACGGTGATTGTTCCGACGACTCCGGGCGACTCGGGGACGGCGGTGCAGCGGTTTTGCGAGGTCGACCTCCTTCAATGCCTCTCGGTTTTCCACGCTTACGCTTCCGAGCACCAAACGTAAACGATTTCCTGCCATTCACCGCCGGCATCGTATCGATAAACTCGAAGACCGTAAAAAAAGCAAGAGCGCGCGCCCTACGCAGGTGGAAAACGAAACAAGCGTTCACGCGGGCGAGCGAGTCTCTTTTTAGTCACGTGGCGTGTCCGAGCGAATCAGAACTCCGAATGCGTCGAGCTGCCCAATAGGAGCCCTTAGAGCGTTTCATAGCTCTTTCTGAATGATGTTTTCGCGGGGGTTCTCTCGCCTGAATGTCCGGCGTTGAACGAAAAGCCGGGGCGTAAACAAAAGAGAAAGAACTGCTGTTTCCAATGGGGGGTCCCACGCCACGCTAGGCCTAGCCAACGAGCGGCTAGCGCGCTTTGAAATCGGCAAACGCGCGGGTGTGCTCGCGTTTCTGGCGAGCGCGCGTGGCCGCCGACGTATCGAAAATAATTTATTCCGGAGTAAATCCCTTACGCACGAGTATAAAAGTTTGTGAGAGCATTCTTTATTAGTTGTAGATGATGATAAAACTGATTTTCAAAAACGCGTTTTTTTCGCAAAACTTGCGATTTTTAGGCCGTGCCTCCCCTTAAGCCACCGGTTCGCCTCCCATAGAACTCCATGTATTTACATACCGCTTAAAATGCAGGCGCGCGAAGGGAGATACCGGTTACGTATAGTGCGGTTTTTGGAACAGCCCGCCAACCGCGCCGACGCGCAGCGAGCACGCTTCCCTGTGCAACACTAGATAACGGCGCGAGCCGCAAGCACCATGGCGGCACTCGCGGGGCCAGGAGGTTGCTCGAAGAAGCGAAGAGAGAGTCTTCAGTTGCCATAGCGACAGAGGGACGCACGCACGTGTCGTTCACGTGCGTGCGTCCCTCCACTGCGTTGGAAACAACCGCAACGACAGACCAATCGCAGGTCGAGGAAAGTGTTCGCCCGCGTTGCATGCCGGTCGTGGGCCGGCTGCTTCTATACGCAAACATGGCGTCGGTTGTGATCACGGTGATCGTCGATGTAGACGGCGCAGTGGGCTGGTGGAAGCTCATCATTCCACGTAAAAGCGCTATCCTTGATTGAATTTTCATTGTGTGTCGTTACGATAACCCAGCACGTACTAGAAGGGAAGATCCACCTACTCGTGCGGCGATGCCGTGGCGGCACTTTTAAGAGAGGCAGAAACGCCCGTGTCGTCGTGTTTGTTCACTTCAACTACAGTGGTGCTTTCTAAGCATTTGTGTTTTCGAACATCACCCGGATTTATTCTTTGGATCATTGCATGCCTGTGCTCAAGTTGAAGGTCTTACTGGCGCATACCATATAAAGGATGCGAATTTTCACGCGTTTTCATCGGAGAAAAGTGATTAGGGTTAGCAATCCTGAACGCTCGCAACGTCCATCCGCAACCCGCGACGCCGTTAAAAGGCTGCGCCAGGCAAAAGTCGCTCATTTCTTTCAAAATGTGTGACACACTTGAGAGAGAAGTGTACTAGTCTGGTAAAATAAAGACTTTCCTTAAACTAAGCTTTATTTTTCATCTAACATAAAATAAATTCTTTTACAAAGGTAAGTTGTCTCATGGCATGTATTTTGGCCTGAAAAATTGATGTTTTGGTTATAACGCAGTACCGCTTATAGTGCGGATTTACGCGACTCCCACGACATACGTTATATGCGGTCTACACTGTATTTCTTTTTCTTGTTTTCAAAGCTTTCACAACTGGTTTTTCTCTTCGTTGAGAAAGCGGAGCTCACGACGCAGGTGTCTGGGAGCCGGCCAACTCTACGACCGTAGCACGATATACTTTTTGAGGGTAAATCAAAGTTGGCTTCAGTATGAATGCAATTCTGCACCGAAACAAAAAGAAGCTTGCCTGAGACATGAGGTAGAACTCGACCATGGCAGCCGTGAGCGGCTCGGCATACGCCCTGAGGGAAGGCACCATGCGGAGCATGGCGCGGTTGAAGGTGCCGTAGATCTGCTTGAGCGATGTTTCTCCGGGGTAGTCCACGTAGACCACGGGCACGTGGCGCAGGAACCTGAGACCAACCGGAGAACATGCAACAAATCGGGTCTTGAAGATGTCCACATACGCGCATGTCCCAGCAGAGCCAACGCAGCGTTGGCTACTGCGATCTAATGAATAATTATGAAAACGATCCTTCTGGAAGCCTTGCAGCAAAAAAGAACCTTCTGGAAGCCTCGCATCTTGCTCAGAGACTCTGCAACTTTTGCTCAGAGACTCTGAAGGAACAACTTCCTGCAGAGAGACAACGTGAAGAAACTAGGGGTGTGCGAATACCGAATAGTAGTTTTCGAATCGAATACCGAATCGAATCAAGAAATAAAAGCCGAATATCGAATGGAATATCGAATAGTGATTTTATTTGTAGGAATTTTTCAAAGTATGCTGCAAATGAGACCATTATATGTGCAGAGTATGCGCCTGGTGTAGAATATGCATCTTGTACGGAACAAAGACAAAAATGTAAAAAACGTTCTGGTAAAAAAATAGAAGCAGTTGCTGTTGGACGTTGGCCACTAAAGATCCAATTTTATGGCGCAAACATAATCTATCTACCCTAAACGTCACAAAAAAAAGTTAGAGCCACGTGTGCCTTTTTTTCTTTTTTTTTTTCTAGTTAAAAACACAACCTAACACCGCGACTTTTAAAAAAAAAATATTTGTGTATCTCAGAAAAGGGGCATTTTGTGATATTTGGTCTCCATTTTAAGGAAGAAAAAGGACACCAGAGATTTTATTTTGCATAAATAAACAGATAGGTGTTAAATCTGAGTAAACAGGCTTAAACAGTATAATCTGAAGCAAGGAAACAAAACTTGGTTAGGTGGCGCAAGTCACCGTTCAACTGCCACTATGCATCCATATTTCCGTCTATCTATCCTGTTTTAGAGAACCGTGATTTAAAAGAGGGAGCAAGCGAAACTGAAATTATGAAGACTACTCCAGCGCAAGTTGGTCGTAAGGGCACATGTGTTGTGTTGTCGCGTGGAAAGAAGGCAAGCAAACAAAAGAGCGACGACGCCTACCCTGCCTGCCCGATCCCGATCGACGTTTTCGTCTTTTCGTCACCCTCTCGCAGTTCGTAATTCAAACGCGGTTATTGAACGGTTGGAAACCCTCTCAAATCTAGGCACACAATTTTTCCGTTCCGTTTTGTTCCGAATCAAAATTTGCAGCTTGCGGCTTCAAAAGAACGACGACGATAACTCAGCTAGTTTCATCGGCGTGGTTAACGTAGTTTTCTTTGTGTGATCGTGCAGTCGCCGATTTCCGCGAATGCGGCAAATGTGTTCTACATCGGCGCTCGTGAAAAAAAATTAGGCATGGCGCGGCGTAACGGGATGTTTTGGTTGTGATTCAAGGGAAGATTGTGTCACGATCGTGAGTAAATCTGCGTGCTATAAAGTTTGTGGCGTTCGTTAATTTTCTTTTTTCTAACCTGCGCGTTAGATTTGTGTGGAATGGTAGGACCAAGAGGTGTTTCTCACATGGTCTGTTTAATATCACGGCGCTTAAATCGGGAGAAAGAACGGCTTTTTTGTCAGCTCCGCGCCGACCATGCGTCTTTGGCCGAATATATCGAATATTCGAGTGACCGAATACTAGGAATTCGATTCGCGAATCGAATTATTCGAGAAGTTTCTATTCGATTCGAATCGTATATTCGAGTATTCGCACACCCCTAGAAGAAACTCTTGGCCCCAAATTAGCCGAGACTTTTGGGTAAGTCAGAGCCAAGCTAAGAGACTCTGCATTTTCCGAGACAAGTCTTTCAGGCTAGGGCAGTGAGAAACTTGGCTTAAGAGATAGCCAAGTCCCTTCTTACGATGCACTGCTAACGAGCGATGGGGGTCTAGAAGGAGTCGTCAATGTTGGCACGTCATATGAGACCTCTCGGGAGCTCGGTATTGCGGGTAACGCAGGTGAGCACGCACCTGTGGGAGAGGGGCTTGCGGCCAGGGTCCGTCGGAGGGTTACACGCTCCAACAAACTGGATCCGCTCCAGCCGGACCCAGGTGTGGTCCGTAGTGCGGAAGAAGCCTCCGTGCTCCACCAGTTGGCGCAGGAACGAGATCACTCGCTGGGTACCTGTTGCGAGTGGTCCGGATACCCCGGGCATTCATTGTACAATACACAATTCGTTTAAGCACCGTGGCACGGCGGTAACCAAGGCACTCCCAACAGAGAGGCACAAACTTTTAGGATTGCACAAATATCCAAATTTTCTAATAGTGGCTTTGAATAATATGCTATTTGATATTCGCTTTAAGATGAACTGCAATACTCATATTTTTCTAAGTGTAGATAGCAGTGGGTTAGCCTTGCCGCCACCAACCTGCATTGGTGCACTGCGAAGAAACGACACATGCTTTTCTGCGATGTACTGGAGCTCACTAAGAAGCACACTCAACGAGACTAACCTGCCGCAATCAACACTTCGAAAAGTACAAATATCGCAGTCACATGCTTAGGAGAAAAGCACAGTTTTAAAGTAGGATGATGCATGCATGCACCTAATGTTTTTATTGTTTTTTTTTTAATTAACTATTTTGTGCATGTTGATATCTATATTGCAGCAAAATTTTCAAACCTGCGTTATTCATTCACCATTGTCTTTCTTAACAATTCAAGATTGAAGAAAGGATGCTTGCGTATAGCAAGAAGATTTATAAATCCTTTCCATTATAAATAACTGGGCACCTCTATGGGTTTATTTTAGAATAAATGCATCGTTTACTTGCCATCCCATTGTAAGCATGGGACTTTCTGAAACCACACTATAGAAATATAATTAGATTAAAATTAACTTTGCTTAGAAATAGACGAATGAAAGTTTGGGAACAACCCAGCTGCGTTTTCATTTAAGCATGTGCAGTAGTGAAAGGCTCGAGAAACTATTTGATATTCAATTTGAAAACGTCCGTCCAAAACCACTGTTCACTTTGAATTTCCTCCCACTGGGTCCAAAACTGTGTTGTGTGCAAGTTTAGAGAGACGGAAGGTAGTCAGTCTCAGTGGGTGTCTATTATTTCAGCTGTAGACAAGAACTTTAGCCAATGCAGTACCACTGCCAGTCTGGTGTTTAATGTGCTACAGCAGCAGTAGTCATACACAATCCCACACCGCTACGATGGCCATCCAGAGAGAAACGGGCAGGGTGGGGATTGAGCTCAGGATCCCTGGGTTCTGCTAAGCAAGTTTTCGCTCCACACGCCGCTCCAAGCTGTGGTGCCTTAACACTCTGCCAGCGATCCCCCTCGAAATCCACTATACACACATGCCTACAGACTTTAGACTGTGATTTAAGCAAATAAAAAAATGGCAGTGTTCAATAAACCTAGACATTTCTCTGCCTTGCTCAAATTGTGGACGGCACATTAATTAAAAAAAGCCAAACAAGGTAAAAGCCATGTAGTCTGTCCACTTTCCAAACCAAGCTAGTTAGCATAGCCAGCTGGTTAAGAAGAAATCTGGTTGACAGCCAGTCAGTTATACGGTAACACAAGGAAATGGCTCGAGAAACAAGGTGAACGCAGACGGACAAAAAAAGTCAATAAAAGGAACATTCACCGATGAACAGAAGAGCCCAAAGATACTTTCACAATTTGCATGAATAAGCGCATCAGCTAACATAGCGACTTTACCTAAGACTGCGATTTTACAATCTGATACAGGATGACACAAACACGTAAAAGTCTCAAACAAGCCTTCTTGAGACCTCTACAGGCTTGTGTAGTCATGTATAGTAAAACCAGTCATGGGTCAAGTCACCATGTTTAACCTTTGCCAGCTTACTAGCTCCCTCGTTTTATGTATGTTGGCTAGAGCTAGCAAATACATCTGGTAGTGAACAGCATTGACAAACGTGCATGCAAGATGCCATTTGTTTTAGGCTTTTGCTTTAGAACAGTTACTGCTGCAGATGCCGGCACGTGCGGCGCGTGGAACACCATTCCCTGCATTCTCCTTGATGCTTGGGTAATTTAGCAATATGTCTATTCAGTAGATAAGTTATCAATAGGCACCATTTTCAAGATAAGTAGACTCTAAGGTAGATAATAAAGGTTTCTCAAAGATTTGCCACTGTACAACCCGCATCAGACATGTCTACGCTTGCACCGCCCTCTCTTTGTCGTCGTTCCAAGCACTTGCGTGCCTAGTTTCCTTTTCTTCCACTCTGCCGAGGTGGCGGTCTCGTCGTGCGTGTCTAGTTTCCTCTGGCACCTCGGGGCGGCGATAGTTGTGCACGCAAGATAATGACCACCGATGAGACAATAAATGCGTTTGTATCTTTGTTCAAAATTCTGTCACGTCTTTGTCGTGTCCTAGACAGCTTCGCTGGTCTTCACAAACTAAAATAGCTAAATTTTTCTTTTTTCTTTTTATTTTGAAATTTTTATACAAGGAAGGCGTGCGCCCGTGCGAGCGTAAAGTTTTTAGTCACTGCACATGAAAAATTCACAAAACCCTAGCCATAAACAGCTTTGCTGTAAAATGACTACAATACCCGCAATTTTAGGTGACAAACCATGGTTTTTAAGGACGCCATGAAAGGTCAAGGCGTGTCCTGTACGCGGATTATTCGCCGTTTCTCCAACTATTCATATATTGCCCGAATATTCGGCCATAACTGAATATGCAATTCTCGAATGAAATACGAATCAAACAAGAAAAATATTCTATTCGTATTCCGAATCTAGAATATTCGCACACCCTTAACTATTTGCAATTTACTAGTTGAATCCTACCAAACTGCCACAGTCCAATACGGGACTGGGCAACTCAAATGGACGCGTTCTCAACTAAAACCCAAATACCCTTCCCCATAAGTCCATTTGACAATGTCGCCATCTTGGAAAATTTTTTTCAGACCGAAGTCTCCTTTGCCAACATTGTCATCTATCTTCTCGGATATGTTTTTTCAGCCTGCGAAGTCCCCCGAGGGCAAGCACTCACCGTACTTGTCCATGTCTGGCAGGTTGATCTCGTCGCAGAAGAGCACCAGCCACTTGCCCAGCTGGATGGGCGCCAGCACCACACCGTTTGGGGTGCGCCGGTACTCGCAGTAGTGGTCAAACGTCTTCAGCAGCAGCTCGGGCGTCGTGGCGCTCGAGAAGTTCAGTCCCACAACCTGGCAAGCAGTAACCCGCTTACAACAAGCCCAAAATTGCAACTGCTCCTACAAAAAAAAAAAAAAAAAATTGGCCAGTTTTGCAATAACTTGCGGTGCAGTCACCCGCTTGTCACGGCCAAGTCTTTGGCTTAAATGGCTTCGTTCTCACGAGCACACACCTCACGGCTCTCTCTGCGACAAACAGCGAGGCGCATCAGCGAGGCGCATCGGTGTTGGCGCACCTTTCGGCGTCTCACAACAACCGCGACGGTAACAGGCAGCGACGCAACCGCGGCTGCTGCATTGCGCCATACTATCGTCTAGTTTCGGCGCATTTGCCGCTAGGGGCTGCGCGGGGATCCGCTGACGACGACATAGTGCCCTTCCAGGCAATATTGGATCAATGGCTACGGCCAAACCCTTTTCATCGAGCGGCGGCACCTAACCGAAGCTTCAATTGGAACGATGAACTCCGATTAAATTTGGAATTAATAGTGAAAAAGAATTTTCTATCACGACGTCGCAGCAGCTGTGGCCATCTGGCGAACTCTACTCGATACTTTCAGTCATGTTTTTTTCACCAGAAAACGTATAAAAAAGGGGATTGCCAACGCTGGGGCGCAACTTTGTGGAATAATGCGCCCGCTCCACATGCAACAGATGCAGGTTCAATTCCAGAGCAGCGGGCAATCTTTTTTTCGAGCAGTTGGCAATATAGCGATAGACACCGTACACCCTATTACGCCGAACACGACATCATCAACTACCGTACTATCCGGTGTATAAGTCGCAGTTTTTTTCAAATATTTTTCTTGGCGAGTCTTATACAAAATGCAAGCTGTGTCCGGGTTTTTTTTATTTTCACGGTGCAATGTTATTTTTTGGTGTGCCATGTACCATCTTTTGTAGAACACCGTAACTATGTAGCCATAGATGGTGTGGCCTCTTCCAGGAGGCACTGCTGTCGCCGCACTCTTCCACACTTAACGCGACTGACCCAAAAAGCGAGGAATCTGATGGTTTCCCCAAAGCGGCTCAAAGCGGAGAGGCAAGGCAGTAAGAATAAAGCCTCTACAGCGTGCGATCGACGTTGCCCAATTCATTCATGGTTCCATATTCTTCTGATCCAGTCCAGCAACACTGAAAGGTAAGTGGGCTGCTATCTGCACGCATTACAGAAAATCTTCTCGCGTCTTTCTTAGTTTCTGTTTAATGAGCAGTTTTTTTCTGCCATGCTTCAGCCGTGTTGCTAGACGTAAAAGGAAGGACGACGGCTAGCTGATCTTTTAGCGGTACGCAAAGAAGTGTGTCAAGATTTATCTATCTGCCTGCGCATTGATGCCAGTGTAGTCTCTGCAACTTGGCCTAGGCTAGGCCTAGTGGTCCAAAGCTTGGTTCACTAGTGTCTGGCACATTAAGCCTTCGATCGCTCAGCATGTGTACACTCGAATAAAGCCGACTACCTTCTCATTTTGCACGTTATACTTCCTTTCGCTGCGAAACACCTGACTGTCCCCACCAGACAGCGCCGTGCTATCGGCATTTCGCGAGAGCTGAAACGTCAAAGTTCTTGAGTGCCAAACGGTATGTCTAAACTAGCTGATTCTGCGAAACTCCCGATTTCGCAATACCGATGCCTGTAAAAAGAAAATAAAAGAAAAAAAAGGTATCGCCTGAGCCATGCAAACAGTCGCGATTTATATGCCAACTTTTCTGCGAGAACGGCTCAATATACGGAAGTGCGACTTATACAAGGACGCGACTTACACTCTGGAAAATATGTAACTACAACAGATGTCATTTCCAGAGGTTGGAAGAACTCATAACAGACATTGCCATAAAATAGCCATTACAACAGCAAACCAATGCTACCAAAAACAGTTGTTGTAAGGAGTAACTCAAAGCAAACCACTGACAACGAACCCAAAAGGAAACCAATAAACTTAGAGTTAGGCCTACCCCGTGAATAAATGTTAGTCCGTTTGGAACACAGTGAAGCTATAGCTATGAAAAGTTTAGTCTTCAGTTCATATTGAAAAAAAATTTAAAAACACTATATGGTCATTTTCATTTTTACATATATTCCGAGTTTTTCCAAGTTTTTGGCTGCATAAAGTCAAGGTCCCATTTTTTGAGATTTAGATTTCAAGCTCACACACTTGAAGTTGTTAAGTATCGACAAAGCCCAATTTTCTCTTTACCTAAAAACAACTTTATCCCACGATCGCGCAACAATTGCGCGTCCATTTTTGAGCTGCCAGCTTTAGCTGCCCGTATTAGTCTGCCCACCTCCATGTCAGGCAGGGACCGCAGAGCCGAGAACAAGGTCATGGTCTTTCCGGAGCCAGGCGGCCCGCAGAGCACGAGCGGGCGGTGCTCGGCCAGCCAGGTGTACAGGAGGGCCTCGTGGCGCACCGTGTCCACCGTCGGCACCACCACGTCCGGCGCCGCCACCTTGTGCGTCTCCACCTCCACCTGCGGCACCTTGCCCTGCCATGGGGACCACTCTCCCGTCGCCAGCGACACCTGGAGCCGCAAAAATTGGAATGACCCATCAACCCACCTCGGCGCAACGACCACAAAAAAGAATCCGGGAAAACCGAGATGAAAGAATTTAAACTTGCCTCGATCGTCCCGACAAACCCGGAAAGCGGGGAACGTATTGTGCACATGTCATGCGTGCATTCCGATTTGCTACGCTCGACTGCGGGGAGCTTCGGGTGGTTTCGGAGGCACTGCACGCACGGCACTATTGCAATCTGCGGGTTGGTCAGAATGATCGAGACAAGTTTGAATTTCTTTGGGAGTAGCGTGGCACGTTTTAATTCTTAGTACCGTCGGATTCTTGGTGTCCCCCTTGCGCAAAAGAAGTAATCACGAGGGGCGGAGGCTTATCGCACCCCTTGCTTTATCAACTGATTACAGTGCACGCCAACGGTCGCCAGCGGACTAAGCATGGTGGACTATGCATCACTCACCGCCGACAGTCGCCTGCAGACTGTACTTGGTTTCACTTTAAATGCGACCAGAGCGAATGCAATGATTCCACGAAGCCAACTGAGCAGTGCAGAAAGCGCATCGTCGTGGCTCTAATCATCTTGGTGGGCTTTCCGCTACCAATTACCTAAGCCAATCGCACACAATGAAGGCACCGTGATCTTGCGCTTCCTTCTTGCACGATGAGTTTAGCCGGAGATGGCAAGCCCACAAAGGAAACGAGACGATGCACTTTTTTCTCAACTGGCTTCATCAGATTGTAGCATTGGCCGCGATGGGATTTAAGTGCATTGGACCAAGTACAACTTGCCACTGGCAATCATCTGCGGCTAAGCCAATTATTCTTGGAGAGTTTGACATGAAGGCATCGACCTGTATAGCGATAATAAGAAAACCCGAAAATTCAATCATTATAACCAATTATCGTAATATCTGGACTAGAAGCTGGGCGTTTCTGGTCTTGAAACTCTAGAAACGAATCGTTAGAAGCAGTACATCGTTATATCTGGTATCGTTATAAGTGGATTGCACTGTATTTGTGGTCAACTTATATTCCAGTAAATACGGTAGACTTGCATACGAGCTTTTAAAAGTATTCTGCCTCAAAAAAACTAAAGAAAAGCACAAATGTAAGCAGGCATTTGTTCCCTCCCAAATTAGTTTGCTCATTCAATGTACCAGCATCAGCCTGCACAAGTGCACAAAAATGTAACGCAGCACAGAAAGATGCGGGGCAACGTGCTTCCGGTTGCGTTTCGAGATAAGCTGCACTCATAAGCCAAATACAGCGGTGCGCACAGAGTTCAGCTGGTGCAGGAGTTGCACGCAAGTTGAACGCAGCAAGCGTCTGCTGTCTCCGCCGTGGCCGGGAGATTTGGCCAGTGCAGTACAACTGTTAACCAAGAGCGCAACAGGACAGAAGGGCTAAAGAACTAAAGAGTGATGCGCATCTTTTTCTCCCGTGTTGCAATGCACCACCATGAAGGCACGCTGCTGTTGGTGGCCATCAATTGACAAACAGAAGGAAGAGGAGTGGTACCTCATAGTCGATGATGGGCAGCCCGGTGTTTGCCGGCATGGGCACGGTGGCCATGCTGCGGATGAAGTCTCCCAGCTCCGAGCGCACCTTGAGGCGCCCGTCGCCAGCAAACGACCAGAGCAGGGCGTACACCAGGCACTTGGGGATGTACTTCTCCAGCTGGTCGTGCTGCAACCAAACACACACTCCCCGTATGTTTTACCTCCCCACATTGTCACTACGGGACACACCACGCCCGGGAGGGTAACAACGAGAACAGAATGCGGCAAATTCTAGGTGCCGACGTCTGTGGCCTTGAGACAAAGAACAAGAAAGAGATTGACAAAAAAAGCAGATAAAAGGTTGGGCCTGTGTTTTGCCGAGCGAGACAACTTGAAGTCGTTCAAAGCTCGTCAGCTTTATCTTTATACAATGCAGAATGCCTGTGTTTTCCTGCAAAGTAAGCTAGAAATGAACAAGGTACAAACCTTACAGGTGATGTTTTGCTGTTTCGTTGCGTATATTACGGCGTCGCCAGCGGTTAGGGCCGAACGGGGCCGCCAACTGGGACCACCAATGTCTGCGTCTACACTCCGCCAATCATAAGCCGCCCAAATGCGTAGGACCTTTTTTTCTTAATCGTATAAACTATGCGCTACGCAAGGAACGCGGCTTACGCAACCGAAACTAAAGGCTGGTTCACACACTCGCGACTTAAAACGTCTTATGATCTGCAACGACGAGAATGCACTAGCATCATCTATCAGTCAACCCTGGAACAGTCTGAGTTTCCGTACATTCCCTTTTTTTTACGCATCATTCTTTATTTCTTGGCTTAAAAAACTTCCGATAATGTTATAAAACCCATTTCTCGCAAACAGGTACACTTTGATCTAGCAAATACGCTGCAAAGCCTTCACTCTAGTGAAACGCAGTTCCAGGGCCCCCTCATAGATGGTGCCAGCGTGGCAGTGTGCTTTCTCGTCGCAAGAGATGCGAAAATTCTGTCGTAACCAAACGCGAGTGCGCAATTTGGCTTTAATGCAACCAGCTTAGGAAACAAGGCCCTCCCCCGACGTTTTCGGCCAATCGGGTGTCGTGGCTCAAAATAGGACTTTACCAAAAGTGCAATCTGGCACGCAGATTCCAAGCATGGCAACGTGCAGCTTAGAATCCTGGTGAACACCTGTTGTTTTGAGTACCGGGTGCGGTCGGCCTCTCTGTGCACCAATCGTAATGATTGACTCTCTGTATGCTTCACGGAGGAAGGTCAAAGCGCATGTTTTGTACACATACTTCTACCACTTTGCTGCGTTCACCACCTTGCCTGTCGGGGCTCAAGACGATACGGGCGAGACACTGAACTTCCTGCGCGCATTAAGACTCGAGAAATACATAAAATGCAATGTTTAGCTCTCTCCTTATATGTAAGACATAGACATCCAACCACTTTTCACTTCAAATGCGATAAAAATAGTCATTAAATTCAAATGAAATAATATATTTTTGAGAGGTTCTCCGTCAATACAGGCTCGCTCTCGCAGACATAGTCAGCACAAAGTCAGCGCTGCACAGCACCAACTTTGTGCCGAGAAGGCACAAAATTTACAGCAGTCTAAACGGGTGAGAAGGGAAACTTGCATGAAGAAGACTGATGCAATACTGATGTTACGAAAGTGGTACAAATATGGAACTGATAAAGAACTGGTACAGAACTGATGCAAGACAGTGCTAAATCCGAGATTCAGTACCGTGTCACATGCAAGAACCAGCTTCGACTCTACAGTGCCCCCCCTCTCAACGAGCAAGCCCAAAGTTTGTCGCTTTTAGCAGACCTGCATTGCAAAGTCCGAGTGGGTGTGGTTGTAGGTGAGGACGTTGTGGGTGGCCTGGTTGAGCATGGAGAAGAGCGACCCCAGCGCCCGGAAGCGGGTGAAGTCCATCACGTGCTCCTGGCGGGCCGCCCAGTCCAGGCAACGCACCACCAGTCCATCGCTGCCGAAGTATGGCTGGAGGATCAGCGCCACGTCCCGCTGCACCTGGGGGCACCCGAACATCGCAGAGAAGCGTCAGTGCACCTCTCCAGTTGTCCAAAATGCTCTTAAGCTGCTGGCGGGTTTTGAACACTTTACTCTCCGATACATGCATTCTCAAGCTGGGTTCCCAAGGATCCCAGAGGCACCAAATTTCCTCCGTCATTTCTTCCCCCAAGTAAACTGTTCTTCCAGAGTACTACACTCCCATTATATTGCATAAATATATGCCAAACACTCGCAGTATATACTCTACTGTATATAAGGTCTGCAGCCTTCAGACTCTGAAAATCGACCAATATCCCAGCCCATCAGGTCATCCCCAACAAAATTCTTGTACACAGAACGCATTATAGGATCATCACATGACGTGGTCATGTCACGTCACATTACACTTCTACAAATTTAGCAGAACATATTCAATGTTAAAATAATTAATTTTAATGCCGTATGAGATTATAGAAGGCACACAGTTCCCCCAATGTTTGTACAGACAGCAAAACTTCATTAGATCTCTCGCAAAATTACCCAAGCACCAACAAGCATGCTAAGAGTGTGGGCACACGCACCACACATAAACCTACGCTCCCAGCATGCTTATAGGTGCTCGTGTTATTTTGTAAAAGGCCTATTATGGTCATTGAATGCTTAAAAAAATTTGCAGTGGCTTAGCTCGGCTATACCAGGATATACGTAGCGTGAGCTAAGGTTCAGCTGGTTATTCGTAGCTTTCCTGGTTGTCTAGGATTAGCTTGATTATTATGCTTACTGCTGCTTCAATGACACACACACAGTATACGCATTATGCAACACATGTATATTTTTTTTTTGCTCAACGTCTCCGCTAATTGCCAGGCAACTACTTCGGGAACCGATGAGTTAAAGTTTGCCGCTCTTCTGCGCCACTGAGGAGCAATCTCGCTCTCCTTCTCCGTGGCTGAAGGTCTGTTTCTTTCGGCCAGGGGGAGCTGTAGCGTTCACGAGACGCGACCACGAAAGAAGCGCTTCCAATAGCGTACGCGAGACACGACCATTTAATGGCGACGTGAAGCGGCGTCCTAGCGTTCCATCATGTACACTCCATGGGTGTAAACTAGCGTCTGTATAGCTTCCCTCGGCGTCTGCTCGCGTTTGTCGCGGCTATGACGTGACTCCTCTGGAATGCGAAGACCAGCGAGGCGCACACGGTGGCGGCGGAACCCGCAACGGCGGCGTCTCCGGCGCACCAGCTGTGCGCCGTGTGAAGTCACTGCTCCTCGCACTTGTGCAGACCGGAGCATGGCTCATTATGCGAGCCATGCGAAACTGCTCAACCTCGGCCAGTGTAGCTCACGCTACAAAACTAAGAGAGCAAAAACGAAGCTGTTGGGAAGGGAGCACCGACCTGCAGGGCAGGTGAGAGGGCGTCCTCCTTGGAGTCCTTCTTGCGGTAGGCGTGCTGTTCCTCGTCGGCCTCCTCCAGAGGGATGTGCCGCAGCTTGAGCAGGAAGTGCTCAAACACCATCTCCGTGCTCAGCACGTCCTCGCTGAACCAGATCATGCCGCAGCGAGACACCGTCGCCAGTGTCGCAAAGCGCAGGTCCTGCACCTCAAACATCACCCGCACCTGCGCAGTTCCACGGGTGGGGAGACATTCAAGCAATCAGAGTCCACTCAATGAGTAAACACACTACATCTTAGGGGAGACTCCCAGGGGGGAGTAGATTTCTGCATCAACAGAAATTGATGCCTCCTGTACTAATTATAATGCGAAAGCATTAGCTATTCCATGGAGCTGAGTCGGTGGCATCTATAACCACGAAATAATGCGAAAGAAATGCCCATTCTAGTATTGGCTAAGCGAAACGGATCCTAGATAGCCATTGGCGGCCCGCTTCACAAAAGTGCGTGCTGGGCTGCCACTCTCTCTCGCGCCAGGCGTTGCCGGAGGGGAGGGCGAGGAGGCTGCGGCCGTTTCTGCTTTGTTTTGGGCCGAGGAACATGGCGGCGCAGGAGGCATCTATACCGTCGGCGGCCGCAACTTCGGCAGTAGTGAAACATGCCCGTCCATGCCAGTACACCGCAGACAAACTAAGGGGGCGGAACGACATTCATGCTTTCACATTCACAACTCGGAAGAAGTGCTTAGGTGTGGAATTTCTTTATTCTTTATTGAGAAAAAACCCGGAGCACCTCTTCGGCATTATTGCGGGAGCACAATGCATTATAAAATAAACCTGCATTCTCCCAGCACACCACTTGTGCTGGTTACAAATTCCACTCTGATATGGTACGCACAAAAAATTAGTGTTTAAAAAGATTTGTTCTGGCGGCTACGGTCGAATTTTACAAGAATGATCTGTTCGCCCCGAGATATAATTTGGCTGTTGAAAGTGTGACGAGGCAGAAATTCCTGTTTGTTTACGATAAATAGAATAAAAGAGCCTCAATAGGAGGCGTCTAGGGCACTCCAAGGAAACCCAGTCCAACTCTTGTTTCGTTTCTGTTGTGCTTAAAACGCGATTGTATTTCCCCAGGACAAACCGAGCAGGAACAGATCGAATGCACTCAAGTACATTAACACAAAGTGCACTACTTGCACTCTTTAAACTAGGGCTTTCCTACCAGGTTCCCCAGGATAGCACCAAAGGGGTGCTCTCAAATTTCCTGGACCACCCCAGCCTTGAAGTAAAGTGTCCTAGTATTAATTTAACAGATACGAGCCATCCATTGTGGACTCTGTACTATTTTCACTCTCCAGCCAAAAAAGCGGTGGGAGTCTGCCAGACCAATCAACAGCTTGCCTTTCATCGCCTGGCCCCTCTATGCTTGGGGGAAAGGGCGGGAGAGTAATCACGTGGCGAAAGGCAAGACATACAGCCGGTCCGATGTGCTTGTAGCTCCCACCGGCCTTTTAGCCTCAGAATACAGTATATGCAGCGTTGTTTACCAAGTCTGTGGGTTCTGCACTGCTTTGAGGCATCAATGCAGAGACCAAAATCGGACACTAATAAAAAAACAATCTGTGCTCCTCGAAATTGAAACATTTCAGATCCCTCTATTCGGAAGCTGAAAAGATCTCCTTGGTCCTGGCCAGGGGCTGCAACTTTGTAAAGTAGGCTCAAGATAATTCACTCTAATATTTCATACTTTCGGTTAATTCAAACATATTTCAAAATTTTGGTCGTCCTGCTATGTTTTCTATGTACTTATAAGGCGCTTAACACGAACAGTGTTTTTGCCTTAGTCATACTTTTTGTTCTTTTGTCCCTGCTGAGTGTGCTTCTTTCCGAGCACTGGTGCACTGCGGAGAAGCAATACCCGCAAAGCTCACTTCCGCGAGTGCTGCTTTTCCGCAGCGCACCGGTGCTGCAAAAGAAGCGACCTCAATGAGACTAACAGTCCACAATACACAACTTTTAGGAGCGAAGCTCCTTAGGGTCTAGCCTTGTCCAGCGTCCGTGCTCACATCGATCTTACTGGTGTCCGTGCTCGTGAGCTCACGTGCTCGTGTAAGGCAAAAGAAAAAAAAATGATGAAAAAGACTAGAAAAATGTTTGCGCAGTCGACAGGATTCAAACCTGTACGAAGAGACCCTAATGGATTCCTAGTCCATCGCCTTAACCACTCGGCCACGACTGCGCGACGAGTAGGGAGCTCCAAGATGTGGTAGTAACTCAAGAGCTGGGGATGTCATGCATGAAACATTGCATGTAGCCGCTCTACGTATATACAGGAGAGGGCGCTGCAGTCAAATGTGTATATAATCGTGTTAAACTTTGCATGCATTGGCTCGACGTTTATAGACGAGAGGGCCCTGTGGTCAAATGCTCAAATGTGTATATAACCACGTTCCATACCACACATTCTTTTTCTGACATGGATGAAAACGAACGAAAGGCTCGGCATGCTGCGGTTAAGCGTTTACGCAGACAAGCACCACCAGAGCTTCGCCCCAATCAACATCATTCACCACGTGGAGATGCAGTCATTTTTCATGTCATGTGCTTTGCCAACCCCAGCGCTTGGCTATGATTAACAATGGTGGCATATAATCGGCTCCAGATCATGTGGCCGTTTGTTTTGGTTGCGAGTTGAAAAAAAGACTGCTGCCCGTTTTTCCTTAATTTTTTTGCGACTTCTGTTGCGTGTGGTAAAAAACGAATGCACGTTTTACAGGTCATTAAGATTAGGGATTCGTTCCAAGCGGTATTTGCGCAAAGTACGAAAATTGTTGTATCGCATTTTTAATTTTGTTTGAGGTGTCATGCGCTGTTTAAACAGTCCACGATAGGCAACATTTTTGAAGGGTAAATAACTATTCTTATACATTGCACCAATTTTTTATGTGTGGCATAGGATATACCTGCTTATGATTAGTAAGCCTGTGTAGAGGAAATCGTCAAATATCTGCTTTGTGTGGGAAACGATTCATATAACAAATCATGATTTTATCTCTTATCATATTGAAATAAATTTCTGATAATTGAAACATCCGATAATTCAAAACGAAATTCGTGGCTTCCCTGAGTTTGAATTAATGAGCCAACTGTCACAATAGCAGTTGCTCTGCCACTGTTAGAAGATGCCACAAACTATAAAAGCTGTGAAGTCGAGATCGCAGTATCCCTGAAATCGCTAACGAAAGTGTACGCCGCCAGACGAGCCAGTAATGTCCGGACCGATAAGGTGGCCGCAATGAGGCAAGCGCAGGGGCAGTCTCACGTTGGGGGGTAGGCTGAGGCGCTCCCCGTTGGGCAGGGTGAGCAGCTTGTTGTCATCCAGGACGCTGTTGAGGTTCTCCACCCACTCTGGGTCCACGTCTCCGTCAAAGATGATCCACTGCCGCTTGTTGATCTCCCCACGCACATTGTCGATGATCCTACGCAGACGCACAGACACCAAGTGACCCTCTCCTTCTCAGCCTCGATTTACTTACAAAAACAAAACGACGCTGTGCAAGGGGATGAAATTTAGCGAGGCAAACGACCACCATGAAAGGAGGTCAAGAAATAAGGCGCACACTAAATACAATTCAGCAATGTCAAGATATACATGACAAAGCAAGATTGAAATCCAACCTTTCAAATACATAAAACATGTTATCGAGGGATGAAAAGAAATAAAACAATGCTTAGCGAAAAAACAAGGAGAGCATGCAACATAAAGGCTTACATTTTCTTAGCCAGATCACTTTTTAGCCAGACCCCAAAATATACCGTTTACCATTTTATTATTATGTACCAACTAGCTCAACTTAATGCTTCACTGTAGTTCAAAGATGCTTATAACAATTAAAAGAAAAGATAGGCCAATGCCCTTAGCATATCAATGAACCGAGATAGCAGCATAGGAGATGTAATGCACCCAAACCAACAGAAACACTGGCTGCAAAAAAAAAAAAAGAAATAAGAGAAACAAGGGCAAGCACAATCAGGGTCCCACTCACTTTCTGAGGATGTGAGTGAAGAGTCCGTCTGTCCATTCACGCGTGTTGGGGTCCAGGACTCCGTACAGGGCCTCTTTGGAAATGGCCTGGATGTGTAGGAAAGGAAAAGGGTGCTAGAATTACTCTGAAGTCCCCAACGAGTACCCACCAGCAAACACCCGCCAGCCAACACCCGCCAGCCAACACCCGCCAGCCAACACCCGCCAGCAAACACCCGCCAGCAAACACCCGCCAGCAAACACCCGCCAGCAAACACCCGCCAGCAAACACCCGCCAGCAAACACCCGCCAGCAAACACCCGCCAGCAAACACCCGCCAGCAAACACCCGCCAGCAAACACCCGCCAGCAAACACCCGCCAGCAAACACCCGCCAGCAAACACCCGCCAGCGAATACAAGCCAGCGAATACAAGCCAGCGAATACAAGCCAGCGAATACAAGCCAGCAAATACAAGCCAGCAAATACAAGCCAGCAAATACAAGCCAGCAAATACAAGCCAGCAAATACAAGCCAGCGAATGCCCGCCAGCGAATGCCCGCCAGCGAATGCCCGCCAGCGAATGCCCGCCAGCGAATGCCCGCCAGCGAATGCCCGCCAGCGAATGCCCGCCAGCGAATGCCCGCCAGCGAATGCCCGCCAGCGAATGCCCGCCAGCGAATGCCCGCCAGCAAATGCCCGCAAGCAAATGCCCGCCAGCAAATGCCCGCCAGCAAATGCCCGCCAGCAAATGCCCGCCAGCAAATGCCCGCCAGAAAATGCCCGCCAGAAAATGCCCGCCAGAAAATGCCCGCCAGAAAATGCCCGCCAGAAAATGCCCGCCAGAAAATGCCCGCCAGAAAATGCCCGCCAGCAAATGCCCGCCAGCAAATGCCCGCCAGAAAATGCCCGCCAGCAAATGCCCGCCAGCAAATGCCCGCCAGCAAATGCCCGCCAGAAATTGCCCGCCAGCAAGTGCCCGCCAGCAAGTGCCCGCCAGCAAGTGCCCGCCAGCAAACGCCCGCCAGCAAACGCCCGCCAGCAAACGCCCGCCAGCAAATGCCCGCCAGCAAATGCCCGCCAGCAAATGCCCGCCAGCAAATGCCCGCCAGCAAATGCCCGCCAGCAAATGCCCGCCAGCAAATGCCCGCCAGCAAATGCCCGCCAGCAAATGCCCGCCAGCAAATGCCCGCCAGCAAATGCCCGCCAGCAAATACCCGCCAGCAAATACCCGCCAGCAAATACCCGCCAGCAAATACGCGCCAGCAAATACGCGCCAGCAAATACCCGCCAGTAGCCCCGATCATAACGCAACATGGTGTCAGCAAGTAATGCATGGCCCACCTTGGGGTCAATGACGTGGGCAACTCCCTCGACGCCCTCCAGGCGTTCGAGGGCCTTGAGCAGCACCTTCCAGGCGGTCGATTTGCCGCTTCCGCTCGGGCCAACCATCATCAGGCCGTGGTTCAGCTGGGAGATCTGGTACAGCTGAAGCACCTGCACAAAACCAACACACAAACCAGGCTCACAAGTGGCAAAAAGAACTATCACAAAAAAGCCCTCATTACTGCGAGTAGTGACAGCGAGTAAAGAAAGCTTTTTTGCTGTCATTACTCGCTTATTACCGTAGCAGGTATTCAACCGGTATGTATACTACATCCTCAAATATGGCCCCTTGATTTTCGCCCTTGTCACACAAGTGTCACGCAGTTATCTGCCACGATCGTGGCAGCGGCAGAACAGAGGTGAACACGACAGACACCCATTCCGCCGTAGCTCCCTCTCAGCTCAAGAGTTTACGGAAGCTTCTGCAGCAAGGAGTGGGAGCGTCAAGAGGACAGCAACACATGCATTCACTCATCTTTTCTGCCACAACTGATACGAACAACCGCCAGGATTGCAACATCCAACAGTCCGACAGGCTAGCTCTTGGGATGTCATTTGCTGCCATTTCAAGACCACTTTCAATGCATGGTAGTTATTTCAATACTGCCAGTTGTTGAGCCAAAGCAGGAGTGAATGATTAAAGTACAACTAGCACAGGTCACTAAACACACCGTACCCCAAGAGGAATTTGTCGTCCCGACAGCTCCATTTCCTGAAAGTGGCCCGGGTGCCAGCAGCAAGGTGTGCCCTCACCTTCTCCATCCAGGTGCCTCCCTGCTCCTCCCCCTCGCCCGCCACCAGGTACATCTCCTGGCAGACCTTGACAATGTGCTCCTTGAGGCTGCGCATCTCGGCCCGGGTGTACGACACCCCCGGGAAGACGTCCGAGAGCAGCGAGAAGAGCAGCGGGATGTCCTCCGCCACCAGCTTGGGCACCATCGTCTCGCACACGCTTTGGATCAAAATCTGGGGGGACGGCACGACCAATGAATGCCGCATCGAGCACAAAGCGAGATGGTAGCTTCCCTCGAGAGTGAAAAGGTAAGGACTTTCCTCGAGGGACGCCAAAACCAAGAATATTCAAAAATTGGACCCCAAAGCAGCCGTCCAAGTGGTAAACGCACATTGGAACACTTGTAATGGCTTCGCCTCGGTGGTTATAAACTCCGCCATACAATGGCCACTCCCTCTTGCCGGTATAAATACCCGAAAACTGGACGACTCTGCTTGAAACTCGCTCTAAGGAAAAACTCCCCCAGTTCATCCACGTCTTCACACCTTAACGCTCCGACAAATTAGCAGAGTTTCCACACCATGAGCACTACTCCGACGAGACAATTGAGACAGAATCCCAACAAAGCATCTGGGAAGAGCAACCTATATGTGATTAGTATAAACATACTGCGCAGCTTCTCCGAAGGAAAAGATGGCATTTCCGACGAATGTTTTCCCACCTCTTGTTCCGGCAGCCCTTCGGCAATGGTGTTCTCTTCGAGAGCCTGCTCTCCCCTCTCCTTGAGTTCGTCCTTGATGCGCTGAATGCGGTCACGCTTGATGTTGCCAGCGCTCACCAGAACGCTCTTCAGTGCACGCAGCCCAAAGTCATAGTGCGACTGGTTCGACAGCTGCTCGTTGCACAGCCTGCAAAACAAAGAAGTGCAAGACTGAACCCCCGACACGCGTAGGGTGTGTGGCCAATAGAGACTGGACAGTTACATCCGATGCTCATAACAAGTAAAAGCTGGGAGCACGTGCAGCTATGAAGATGAGTCGAAGACAAGAGGTGACACTCATTCATGAAGACGTGTCATGATATATTGGAAAACTTCGCAAAAAGGAACCCTTCACCGAGACAAAAAGCTCTACCCTTCGTGCATCTCATGGAAAAGGTCTGCACCACAAGCTAAACAAGAACAAGCTACTTGTTCTTAACGCGGAAAAGAAAAATTGGTCGGTGCATAGGTGTACTATGCTGCATAAATTGTGTGGGTGGCACAAGAAATGAGAGGGGGGTGATATATGAAGGCAATGTTTATGTAGAAATTAGATAAGTATTTACAGCGACAGAAATCAAAGAACAGTGAGCATAGGAGGATGGTACGAGAAGTAGTAGACGAGTCTGGTGCATTGCAAGCCCTCCAAATGTTTGTGGAACATCAAGTCGATGCACGACCCGCCGGGAGTCGTAGGTCCAGTTGTGGACACAAGTAGCAGACCAAAGCTGTCGTGCATAAAAGCAACGAAAGTGGCATTCTGGTTTCTAAAGGTGTCCAGTAGAGGCAATTCTGAAGCCCCCTGCCGCTATTATTGAGGCACGTACGAGGAATTGCGTGCCAAGTAAGTCGACGGAGAAAACGTGGGCGCGCTACCGGCCATTTCAAATGCACAATAGAAAGGATTTTGGGGAAGACGCACACACGGATGAAAGGAGCCAGGGGCACCTCCGTGGCCGACACAATAGCATGTTTGCCACGTCATTGGTGCGAACACAAAGAAAGCAACCAGTTGTCACAAAGAAACAAAAAAAGAAGCCGACGGCGCCTGTGGTTGATGCTACAGCACGCTCGCCGCGTCATTGGTCTACGCCTCGAGAGACGTCACTTCTGTGACCAAGTTTCCGAAAAATTGACACCCAACTTTGCACCCCCTTCCAAGTGCAGAGAAAGACACAGATCTATGTCAAAAGAAGGGGGGAGGGGAGGCTGTAATAGCATACAACTAAAGCTCCTGTTGCAACTTTACTCATAAACACTTAGTACAAACATGAGTTTTAAAGGAGGCTCTCCGCATGTAACTCGATCAGTTTGAAAGCACCTAACGCTTACCACAAGCCTGTGCCTGTCTACAACATATCTCATCCAACTACTGCTATGGTGAGTAGTATACACAATTTTGAAGCCAGCTGCCCACACGCAACACAGTTAATGCGCAATCAATACAACCACATTGCAGTTTACTGTAGACGTCTAGGAAGGCACGAGAGAAGAGACAAAGCGGTGTACTTGAAAAAGGGGACGATCTTGGAGGCGAGCTTCTCCGCGGTGCGGAAGCCCTGGGAGAAGAGCATGACCTGGGCGATGAGCTGCCGGTCCGGGGTGGTCATGGCGAGCGAGCGGAACAGCTTCTTCAGGTTGTCCGGCAGGTTGGAACGCCCGGCATAGCCCGGGTTCATGGTGATAAAGATGGCCATGTCCGGATTCAGGCGCACCTGCTTCCCAATCAGCTCTACCACCAGTTGCTCTGAAGGCATCAGAAAGGGGAGAAACACAGGCAAGCTGGTCAACTAATTCCAGAGTAAACTCGAGACCAGGATGAAATAGAGAAACGGACAACCGCAACCAACGTCTCCGTCCCATAAAATGCCAAAATTAGTTGTCAGTATTTTTTTTTTTTTTTTTTTGCTCTCAGGTTTATTATAACTTGATTATCGCACGGTTTTATCTGTGCTGTGAACTTTCTACTACTTATGACGGTGAGCCCCTTCGACGGATTCGTAACAAAACAATGTTGATCAGTTGCAACTATTGTGCGGAGCAGTAAACTGTGATGCGACAACCGAGGGAACAGATTTTTGGATCTTGTGTTCAGGTTATCTCAACCATGCTCGGAAATGCGGACGGCGTTTTGCCAAGATCATCTTGACTTCGTCAGAGCCTCTCGGTGAAAATCGGTCGTCACTTCAGTCATCTTAGGTGACTTCTTCCACTATTTAGTCATGCTTCTGGAACTTTCCCACTTTACCTGGAACATGCCGAATACGCTGCAACACTGCTTTTTCCAAATGCAAGTAGATGTTAGTTTCTCGCACTTCTGCTGGCAGTAGCTAAATGGCATCACCAAATGAAGAGCTTTGGGGCTCAATTAAGCATGGTGTAAATTGAAACTGAGGTCTGGTGATAAACGCTGATCCTCAAATGATACAAAAACCACCGCCTCTTGCCAAGCCAATGTGAGCACCAAGATGCGCACTCCGTACCTTTGCCACTTTCCCGGCTGCGCAGCGTCTCTTGGATCATCTGGATCTGCTGCGAGACTGCCGAAAGCATTCGCTCTTCCAGACGGTTGAATTCGTCAAAGCAGCCCCAGGCTCCCACTTGGCAGAGGCCCACGAAAATACGGCCCATGGCCTAAAAATGTGCGCAAACAATAATGTGTTAACAAACAAGCCCCACTTGTCAAAAAAATAAAAAAGGTTCCCCAATTATTTTTTTTTATAAAAGGCATAGGTTTTAAAATGAGAAGTAGGTTAGTTTCAACTCAAAACCAAAGTTAATGCAGTGCAAGACTGTGCTGAAATTGAGTCGGATTTTTTCTTGTACAACTACCAAGCGAAAGTATGTTATTCACTTTAGTTTTAGATAAAATCCGACAGGATTTGAACATTTCATTCTGCAATTTTTATGATTTCATTCCAGATTCACACCAAGCATTTCACTACATCCCTACCCATATAAATGTTGCAAAAAGCAACATATTATTCTACTTCTCTTCCAACAACACGCATTATTAAAAGCCAATCAAAATGTCAAAATGTTATTACAAATGTATCGTGACTAGTATTGCAATACACAGACTGCAGCCGAAAGAGGAAGCTGCCCGATTTGAGACTTGTAGGGAAAACAATGTGGGGGCACCTGAAAGTCAAAGGTTTCGTCGCAGTTGAACACCAACACAAAGCGGCCCAGCTGATGTCCCAGGGCCTTGACAGACTCCGTCTTGCCTGTGCCGGCAGGACCTGGCAAGAGAAGCAACCCACTCAAGCTTTAGAAAAGCTCCTTCGACACAACAAATCCTACACCCAGTTGGTGCACGGGGGCTTTCTCTGAAACGCAACTTTCCCGTCTTTTAAAGTGAAGCTCTCTTTACGAACCTCCCTGGACTTTGCTGACCGTGGATGTTGACTCGAATTATGTTAATGCACATTATGCTAAAGCACCGAAGAGAAGGAGGCCATCTCCTTGCAGTGGTAGCCACGCTTAATAAGAAACAGAGGTGTACCAGTGACTTGTATGTAAGCTTTATTAATGCAACGTAAGTGAACGGGCTTGTGCGAACCAGCCTATAAGTGCCTCATGCAATGGGACCTAAACAGAACCTGACAGGGGAAGAGAAAGTGGTGCAAAAGGAGCCATCGACGTGCGTCGCTATGTTTCCTACTTTACCGTGCATACACCTCTCCTTTTGATTCTCCTTCTACCCGCTGCAACACAAGACACTGAAGAAGGTACGGATTGCACACCTGTAGTAATCAAGAAATGCAAGTCTGCATAACTGTGTGCCTTCGTCGTGTGCATCCACATGTACAAAAGACGCTACTTCAGCACGGAAACACACTCCTCAACCCTCCGAAACCTGTCAATAAACGTTGTATTGGACTTTTCCATTTCGTTTCCATGACATTCCATTGGACTCCCCCAAGACCTCAACAGAACCTAAGCTGAGCTAGCTGGTTCATACTTCAGGTAAGGCCAGCTGAATTAGAATAAACATACACACAAAGAAAAGACCATGCACACCACTCAACTAACAACTGAATTTTCTTTCTCCTCCAGCTCTACTATGAACTCCACATGATGAAAATATTCTGTTCTTTTTCCTTCCTACTTCACCAAATATTTGACAGAAGTGTGTATGGTCTTTTCCTTGTGTTTATGTTTATTCTACTCCAACTGGCCTTACCTTAATAGGGAGTTTTAGAATAACCTACGCAATCTAAGCGCATGCCAGCGCAAAATTTAGCGCTTGCATTAGCGCACGCTACGCAAAAGCATTTCAGAATAGTGTTTCTCCGCTGCAACGCAAACACCCGAGCATCTTGCACTCGCAACGCCACAAGGATACAGTCAAAATTTTTATTTCACACACGAAATGCTGCAACTTGAGAAAAAAACTTTTTGGTCCAGAGTAACATTTTAGATTTGTTTAAACGTGAGAATGACACGAGCGGGCATTTGGTCGCGTCCGCAAGAGTTGTCTTATGTAATGACCTTCACACACCGTTCCTTCGCTGAAAAATTTTTGAGGGTCGAAAGCATGAAGTTGCCGGCGATCATTGCCCACCTTACTCGGTTTTCCAAATTAAAGGGCAACTCCGCTCAATTCCAAAAATTTTAGGCTTACAAGCGATTCCATTTCCCAATGCACTACTAAACAGCCCTAAGTCTTCAGATTTGCGAAATGTGGAATATTATTTCTGTAATCTTAATTTAAACATCACCAGATACCGAAATTGAAACTTTGGTTGTGACTGGCAACATTGATCTAGTGTCGTCAGAGTCATGTCCACGTCACATCGAACCACATGGTCCAAAAGGTTACGTAATCCTCTATGCAACGGCAGGCAAACGAAGAAAAGCGCAAGTGTCGTCTGCTCCGAAATTTTCACCAATGTAGTTTGGCACAACATCCAATGACGTTTGCACCACTGCGGCCCCAGCTTGCACTTCAAGTTGGAATCTTGACAGCGGTCCCTGCAATTCGACGCTGGCTTACTGCCGCGAAGGCGCCGTGTAACCGACATCTCTGTTACACAACACAAGATCCCCAGGTGGTCCAAATTAATCATCGGGCCTCCACTTGGGTGTGCCAGATGCCCTTCATAGGTCTGGCACATAAAGCTCCTAGTTCACATTTATTTTACCGAAAACAGCAGAGTCTTCGCGGCTGACGCACCTCCACTTTTCGGATCCGCGAGTCTTGAATTGTGTCCAATTTAGCTAGCAACCAAGCCCATTTTCTTTTGCAGCCAAGCGGTGAGGCCAAGCCAAGCCGCTCTCGTAATGGCTTCAAATGCGTAGTTGCAAAAGTGATCAACCGTTCAACTGAGCGGCGCACACACTTGACGAAGCTTGGGTCGAGGAATTGCCCCCCGGACACTCTTCGCCTATCGAATGCATTGATGTCAACAAACACACCGTCGTCTGTGGTCCGCTTTTGGACAGTGAAATCATGAAAGTGGTTTGGCCTAAGAACGGTTGAGTTGCTCTCCGTGTTGAGTAAACTTCGAAGGGCTCTTTTCCTTCGGAAAAAGGCACGCCGAAAGCACCCTAAAAGGTTCGTAGTTTACAAAGTATGGCTAGTGTGGCGCACCCCCGTCCAGCCATGGGTGCGCCTCCCTCAGTGGAGACGTGCCACAGTACCTTGCCGTGTCATATTGGCACCTAATACGTTTGCACAAAGTGTGTAAATGCAAAAATTTTACCCCGCGTAATGAACGCACCCCCAAATATGTGTCAATTTTTCGAGAAAAAAAGGTGTGTTCATTATGCGAGTAAACACAGTATGTTAGGTCAACAGGGGGCAATGTGTGGGCGACGTAGAACAACTCTTGGCCCAGCTCCGCGAGCGCCACCACTCACCGAAGGGTGAGCCACCCAGGCGAGCCTCCAGCGCCTGGGTCATGGTGAGGTAGCAGCGGTCCGTGAGGGGCGTCTGCACCAGCTTGTCCTGAACGCCCAGGTACTCGAAGCCGTAGCTGAAGCGGGCGTTGGCCATGTGGATGGAGAGCTGCCGCAGCACCTCCCCCTGCCTCGGGTCGAAGTAGAAGCGCATCTGGCTCAGCCACTGGAAGTCCCGGGGGCCCTTCACCCCGCTGCGCAGCAGGGAGCGCGTCACGTCCCGCTTGTGCACAAACTCCGTGATCTGCAAAGGAGAAAGGAAACATCTGGATCCAGAGAGCGGGGCTACAGTACGGTTGCGCAATAAAGACCCAACAGCATACTCCATTTGCCACTCGAGATACACGAGTGCAATCTTGACACTGTCCAAAGGTTTACAGGAGCACCCATATATAGTTTCATAATCTTGACAACATGACAAAGCAGCACGTAGCATCATCATTATTCATTCAAAACACTTTTTTGTAAAACATTGATTTAACCGGGTGTTTGTCTCGACTATTTTGATGAACACGGATATCATTACAGTGTCGCGTATGCAGTGCATCCAAGTCATAACGCATGCATAATACATGCACGACACATACTGTACTTTTTAGGTTCATCACGATAATGGAGGTAATATTTTTTTTTTTTTTTTCACAATCTAAAAAAAACGATTTTGAATAAAATTCAGAGCTGGCTATCGCCATCATGGAAGCCACTGAGGTCATATAGGTCTCGCACATACACTCCCCACGGGACATGTCGACTACGGTTGAGGGTTTAAAAACACCGAATTGAGCAGTGGGTGAAACGCCAAATGAACCGCTTCGCCAACGCTCACAGCTGCTAACCCGACCTCAGCAGAGTACAAAAACGATTGTCCACGCACAGAGCACTACAATGTCACCGACCAGGTGTTCCAGCTTCTTGCGGCGCAGGGGTGGCTGTTCTTGGAGCACGGAGTCGGCGAGGACGTTGAGCGTGTGCTCCACCGAGCGTAGCACTTCCTCCAGCGGCCCTGCTCCGCCCTGAGGGGCCTTGTCCATCGCCTGGAGCGCGGCCTCCACGTCTTCGGACCACGAGATTTGGGCTGCCAGAACCACTATCTGGCTCTGGAAAGGAGTGAGTGGCAGAGCGACAGTGTCAACACAAAGAAAGTTGTAGAAAAACCACAGCAGGTTCTTCATCTTCCACGGTGTTTAAAAAGCACAATAAAGAAGTGCCAGGTATACAATCTCTTAACAAAAACAGTCAGTGCCAGGCACAAATATAAGGGGGAGGGGAAGGGGGAAGTGGGGGGGCGATGGAAGAGGGGGGGGGGGACAATTTTTCACAGTGGTAGAGAAAAGAGCACGCAGACACCATCTACTACTGTCAAAAATTATTTTCTCCTGCCCCAATCTCGGCTTAAATTCATTGTACCGTAGTATGCAATCAGTGGCAGAGTTTGCAAATGCAACGCAGCTAGGAGCACGTGGAGCACTAGCACCGCAGAACCCAGGGACCCTAGGTTGAGTCCCCACCCCTGCCCACATTGATCTGGATGAGCATTGTACTGGCGTGCAGTCATGTATCGCTGCAGCGTGATTCACATTAAAGACCCCAGGCTAGCAGTTGTACTGTGCTGGCTAAATTTCTCATCTACAGTGGCTTCCAATGCCACCATACTCCAGCGGACTAAACCCCCACTGTCTAGGCAACTAACGACAAATTGTTATAAAACCTCTCAAATAGCTTTACGCTTCAAAACGCATTTTATTTTAAACCCCCAAAGCTTTGTTCAACGGAACCAAATTGAAAAGGTTTCACAACGTCGCACGAATGTCAAGTTGTCACGGTGAAGACCGAAGTCTCATAAGCTTAACTACTAATTTATGCGTCATAATTTTTTTTTCTGCAAAACATTTAATGCAAGAAGATTCTTGACTAAAACGAATCATATTTATTTTGCTGCAATTTGCTTTTGAAAGTGACCACACCATTTGCCTCGAGCGAAAATTAAAGCAATATGTTACTGTATGGGCCTACTAGTGAGGCACTGTTGTTTCCGAAAAGCAGGCTCCCCAAGAAGCACACATGATGGGAGATCTGCTCCAACTCCGCGTGCTTCGTGGCGCCCACAAATGTAACAAGGCAGGTGAGCCAGCAAGGTCACGATGGAGTTTCATCGAGCACAAGCAAATTAGAAGCACAGGAGACAGCGTGGACACACGAACCTGGTAGCGGTCGGTCCATGCCATATAGTCCTCCTGGTTGATGGTACCCTGCTTGAAGGGCGCACTCTCGGCCACAGCAGAGGCCAACCTCTTGGCCAGGGTCACCCTCATCTCCTTCTCCACAAGGCTCAGCCACTCATTGATCTTGGGGTTCTCTGCTATAGAAACCGGTGTGCTGAACGTCATCTGCGACACGCGTAAAAAAGAATGCCGGCATTAATATTTTCTGTGCCAGGTCACATTTACTGGGGTGATTCAGACTAAAATTTACGGGCCACTCTTTACGCTCTCCCCTCTTACTTGAAAGACAAACCAGGTACAAGCTGGCAATGAAGCTGAACATAAGCTTGGAAGGCTTCAAATCTTTTAAATGTTCTAGCTTACCAAAATAAAAAATTTGAAAGCTCTACATTTCAGCTGATCAAAATAACCTAAAAGTTTTCAAGAGATGCGTAATGCCTGCATCCATATTACAAGCTTAACGAAGTTCAGTCGAATCTCGTTAATTCAAACTCGAGGGGGACCGAAAATTTGTTTGAATAAAGGGAAGTTTGAATTACCAAGAGTTCCCTCCCATAGAGACGCATAGGATGGGACCTGCATGTTAGTTGGAATTATCCAGAAGTTTGAATTAATAGCAAGTCTTGCTATACCAGTGGTTATACCATAAAGAGGTTTTGCAGTCAATATCTTCACTATACTAGAACAACCTCAAAGGCCTGCATACAAACATATTTCAAAGCTTGTTTCTCATATCCACATTCCTGCTACATCGCTCGTGACTACTAGAGGTTCTATTCTACTCGGAATCAACTCTAACGTCACCCTTGCTCCTTAACGTAGTACAAATCAAACCCTCTCCTCCCAAACTGGCGGCAAAGCTGAACTCGGGACAGTGTCAATACCACCTCGAAGACAATGCATGCACCCCCTCCCCCCATAGACCCTTTGCAAAAATCCCAAAAGGGCGCACGTGCCGCACGACGAATTGTGGGAATCCTCGGTACGCCCCTCCCATTGTCTTTCCTCCGCTACCACGTGACATAGGTGAGCAGGCTCAGGTTACCAAAGCAAGACAATGCTCGAGCAGACGACTATGACGAGCGCACGGAAACCAAGGAGAGGGTATTGCGCTGACTAGCTTGCGAGGTTGCCCCTTTCTCATCCCTCTGCTTTGAACCAGCTCAGTCGTCTGCTACACAGACGCTTTGACGAACCTATACATCTGTCCAAGAACCGATTGGCCCCAGGGACAAGAGAACCTTTCCCAGCCCGGTCACTGGGTTTGAGGCTAGGCTCTCACCAGTGTCCCTGCTAACCCTAACCGAGTGGACTGTGATTTCAAAAGGCACTGCCTGCGTAGGCACAATTTCAAATCTTGGGTGAAACCAGTTAAGCGAAGGAAGGATGACAGAAGAACAAAATGGCAAACCGACCGTTGGACCACCAACTGCTTTATTGCTTCTTCCCCTTCTATTAATTTATATTCATTCCCCCTTTTTTTTCTCTTTCTTTCCCATTGCTCTTATTTTTTCTGATTTCATCAATCACCCACGAAGGGCATCGTGTAAAAAAAGTTTTTCTTTGCCTTGCAAGGTGATTGAAGGGATGCTCATGCATATGTCATCTTTGTCCATAGCAAGGGCCTCAACACCACCCTTGCAATGGGCAGCTAAATGTTCCGGTCCTGCAAGGTTCCTAAGGTTTGCTGCATGTTCGCGTGCTCGGTTGTTAATACATTGACCGGTCTTTCCGATGTAGCAGGGCCCACATGTTAGCGGTATGTTTGATCTAACTTCCTTTTCACAGGAAGTGTATTGTGTTCGGTGCCTGGTGTTACACTTTTCTTTGGTGTTGATTGGTGCTCGATTAATTTTGGGGCACATTGAATAAGTCTTATTAGGTGCCGAGCAGAGGACTTGCACATTCTGCTGGTTCGCTATCTTTTTTAACTTATGGGTAACCCTGTGAATATATAGGATCACTACAAAGGGTGGTCTGGGTTTTTTGTTCGTTGGCTCGTAACATTATTCCTCTTGATGGTGCGGCATATTTTCTCGCAGATGGAGGACATCATGGGCTTCGGGTATACCGCGTTAGGAAGTCGAGACATTTGGGTGCCAAAACTTTGTTGGACTTGATGTGGACATGGTTGTTTTAGGCTTGCTGCGAGAGCTGAGATGGCCACAGCTTGCTTTCAAACACTGCTGGCTGCTAAATTCTCGTCTTTCCCCGCTGTTCTTTGCATTTCATGGTGCATGCATTTTCCCGAGGACATAAAAAAAGCACTGTACCACATTTAAAACAAAAACAAACAAGAGAAACTGTAAACTATTTTTTGGGGTATGCGTGCGACAGAACAGATGCGAGCGGAATGTTTTATTTTAAGACAAGTTTCAAACAGCGGCACCCACTCGCCGCACGTCAAACAGCAAAGCACTTAGGTGTCGAAAATCATTTACAACAGAAGATAGCCAGAAGGCATGCATATTTCACGCGCACAAATAGTGTGTCTACCAATGGAGAGGACTCGGACATACAATTTACCGAGTGTTACCATTCAAACAATACATTGCATGTACCACACGGTGCAGCATCCTCCGAAAAGAATTCACTTGAGAAAGAACTCGAATAACAGAGCACTACACTGTCGATGACAGTCGCACAGAGACGATCGAACAAAATCCAAGAGGTCTTCGTATTGAAGCACCATTTTGAGGACAGCTTCCTTTCTTCGCACCAAGGCAAAGGAACAGACGCGAGTGACCCATTCCCCACCCCAACCCAAACTATTTTTAGCAACGATTGAAAGAATTTACGCGGATGATCGCTGGGAGAACGGAGAACAGATGGCAGTGTTTGCAAAATCGCATCGAGGGCCGTTCAACGTCTTTCCCCTCCTCTGTTTCCCGCAAATCTTGAGCAGAAATGCTCGAATGGAAGGCACTTACCAGCCCTATTTCTCACAGTGGAAGAGAACACAAAGAGTATGAGCATGCATAAAAAAAGTAAGTGGAAACTTCTTCCCTCCCCTTCCCCTTCCCCTTCCCCCTTCCCCCCCCCCCCCCCCCTAGGAGGGGCCACAAAACTTCAAATGCAAAGCCGCAAAACAAAGGTGGAGAACCGAGCTGCGCAGGTTTCACAGTCCAAGAGTCGCAGAAAATTCCTAGCCTATAAGGGGTATGAGTTCGCACCAGCTGCATCATCATCAGCAACATGGCGGCGGCCTGAGAACGTTTTTTGGAAAGGTGTACACTCTGTTCACTCCCAAGCCGAGACTATGGTGGAAGCTACGCCATCGTTGGACCAGCCTCTCTTTCGCCCTGTCGTCACGCTCCTGCCCATACTGACACGCAGAAAGCCAGGTCAAGTGATGAGAGGGAGGTGGCCAATTGGTCCGGCGGGCACGTAGCTCCAACTGTAGTCTCAGCTGAGGGGTGAACGCAGTATACTCGAACCTTGTCACGGTTGCGGTGCAAAATAAGTGGGTTCGGTGGCACTGCAAGACGGGAAGGTCTGTCAGGTTCTGTCCAATGGCACAACACAGACAGGAGTCGACCCGGGTACCGCAGGCAGCACAGATACGGTAAATGTTCCGCTGCATGGCCGGGAAGGCGGATGTCTGCGACGGCCACTGGTGGTAGTTGCCGTGGCTCACGCGCAGTCGCGGAAGCGCGAAAAAGCACGCCCCCGATCAGTACCGAGGGTTCCCGAAATCTCCTGCCGTCGTCGCGCTGTATGTATTGCAACAGGTTTATTATCATCACTAGTGGTTCCATGCAGCGCAACCTATCTTACGTCGGCATCGCCTCCAGTGCGTCTTGCAGCATCTCTGAACGAGAGAGACGCTACCAGGGGGCGATGCCAGGACGGACGCGTCTGCCGCGGCGACTCTCGTCGAGCTCTGGCGTGTTTGCCACTTGGGGCGGGTCGGGGCTCTGCCAACGACGACGTAGCGCACATGCTTCGTCTTCTACATGGTATTGCCATGGCGAGAGTCCTACCTCCTCGCCCTCCTTCGAGGAGAGGCCGGTGACCAGGGTGTTGTCCTCGTTGAGCACAATGGCCGCCACCCCGGCAAACATCTTCTTGAAGTGCTTCTGCAGCCGTGGAATGTTCTTGCTGTTGCCAATGATCTCAAGCAGGTCCTCGTCTCCCACAAAGTAGAACCTAGGCAGAGCAGACGGGGAGTGCACGTTACCTCGCAACAACGTCGGTCGACGACCGCCCACCTCCGAGAGAAAATGGTTTGTCCGCAACGCAACACCTGTGGACGCTAGATTGAAGCGTAATAGCTAATAGAGGAAAGCGCAGTTAGAGACAAAGAGAAATTAAAGCCTGCTAGAACCTGAGGTACATCCGACCTCATTGCGCTCCAAGGGCTCTACAATGCGTGAAAGTTGCAGAGCCTGAACCACTGTTATGTCGCGCATGCTGCTGGCTCCTGAACTTCTACTGAGCTTGTTGATTACTCAATCGACCCTCACCTGGGGAAAGAGGAGCGCTCTCGCTCGAGGTACTCCCCAAGTGCCTTCTGGATCTTCCCCAGCAGGTCGGCAAGGCGCTCCAGGGAACGTTGAACGCCTTGGATGTTCAGCACGTCCAGCACCAGCGGGGACTTGCTCACCTTCTTCATCAGCGTCAGGAACTCCGAGCTGATGCTGAAACGAGGGAGAAACACGTAGGACTCTGATATGAAGGGCTTCCAGAGGGAGGCACCAACCACCAATCTAGCCGTCGCTCACGTCGGCTGATTACACTTCAGCACCTACAACGCAGGCGAAGCAGCTTCACTCGCAGTTTGCACATGCTGAAGGGCTTCACGTGTTCAGCCTAGGCTGACCACAGAAGTAAAGTGAGCGATGGCGTTTGTCACAGACCTGGTGAACCGTGACGTCTCCATAGGAAGCAGGGTCTGGATGTCGGCGCTGCCCGAAAAGATACCCTCCAGGTAGACCCAGCGCCTCTGGACATCAATCCAGACGTCAAACAGGGCATTGATGCGGTTCAGTTTCTCCTCCCACGCCAGGGCATCCTCCTCAAATTCCTGGAGGACGAGCAACGTTGTGGAACATGAGATGAGCAAGATCACCAAAAACGCCTTGTCCTTCGCAAGTTTCACTCAGACCCCCGCCTAAGCCCTGCACTGCAATGTCACGCTGCCGCAAAGCTCATTTTACCAAAAATAAAGTGACGAGAAAACATTCTCATTTTAGCTTCAGAAGGTGTTTCCTGGAAGCTTCAGGGTGAGAGCCAACGTTTCACTAAAAGGTGGCAATATATTGCGGCAATATGAAGTACCAGTTTTATGAGGAAGACACACAGAGTCTAGGAATAACAAACAATGGAGTGCATGGATTGCGGCACATTCTTAATTTCGCTCAACTGATAGGTTCCTCAAGTTAAGACTACAAATTTAAAAGAACTTACAACCATGAATGCATTAGAACTGCAGCAAGTCAAATCTTTTCCCTAAAAAAATGCGCTATAAATTAAAACTTTGCTTTGGTCTAGTTGGTCTGTAGTTGTTAGAAGTTAAAAAGCGCAAGAGTCAAGGGCAAGTAGAAGGCACGAACGACATGCACAGACACTAGCTCGAACTTCAAAATTTTGCAGATCCTATTAACATGGCCCCATGAATGCCCCCCTACCACACCGAAAAGTGCCTTAACCTCCAGTGGCACTTGCTTCCATGTGCCAATCCCGGATTCTTGCCTTTTGCAGGAAGAATACGAAAAAATGTATACTATTTGTTAACTAGCATGTTTTACTGTGTATATTAATACTATCTCAAGCACCTGCCCTTACATTTCTACAGTAAAGCAAAGCTGTGGTAACAGGCATTTGAGATAATACAAACACGCTACACACACTGATGCTATTTATAGACGGACTATATTACAGGGGTTGTACTGCTCCGAGGAAAGGTCTGCCTGCCGCGTCTCAATGGCAAGACAGCATACTGCCCCATCCCCGAGCGGCTTTACAAGGAGCAAAACAGTGAAAGGAAGAGGCAACAGTTGTGCTTGCCTTGTAGTAGGGGGAAAGCTTCATGGCTGCGACCGAGTTGATGTGCTCCTTGACCTTGTTGAAGAGGTCGTCCCAGCCGCGGATCAGGCGGCACTTGTTCTGGTAGTTGACCAGGTCTAGCTCGTAGTTTTGCCAAGCCTCGCGCACCTGAAATTAATTAACGGCTTTTTAGCTTCGACCCTGGCTCTTATCATGGCGCTCTCAAAACATTTATTATCATGAAGAGACAAGTTACAATTCGAGTTTCGCTTCTGCATATTACACTTTGGTAATCGTTTTTCTTTAGAAATTGCGTCAATGATGTCTTCGTTTTCCATCTTATTTTCACGTTTACTTTGTAACGCCATATTGAAACTTATGTTTTGACCAGCTTACAGGCAGCTGGTAATATGTCCAATAAAATAGAATAGCTCTATGTGGACAAGAGTAATATTGTGGCCTTAAAACTGTCAACATTACACCCTGAAAGAATTTGAGGCAAAAGAAGTGGTCAGTGAAATCTCACAGGGAATGCATGCAAGGGAAATTGATTGTCTCAAATTTCAACACCTCGAACTGCAGGGTGGTTTTACGATAAAAGACGTCAGCTGAATGTTACATCAATCGTTCGATTGTCACAAATACCTAAACATATTCAACCAGATTCAATGCTCAAATCATAGGCTAGCGGGGCTTTGTGGCATATTTTAAATGTGTTGGACCCCATTTCTGCGTCTGGGAGTCCTATCATTGCCACTTTTCTTTACTGGGATGCGGTAACTCAAATTACCCAACATGGGGTACCGGTATCAAAAAAATTTAAAATGTAGCAACCGCACAAGATTCATTAGATTTAAATTCCTAGCAAACTAACAAAGGTCGGGAGTTGCCAATTACACTGGCTCTGCTGCACGACATTGCCACGTCGCAAGGACATTGACTCCCTGATATCTCGAGGGAGAGATAGGATGTGCCTAGTTCCTTTGGGAGCAACGAAGGACAAACGCCGCTTTACGACACACCAGGCAGTACTCAGGAACCGTCAAGGCGTCAGCAGTAAGGAAGCTCGGTCGAGCGTCCCCACCTGCTTGAGGAACTCCTCGAGCGCCATCTCTCCCTGTGCCACGAGGATGACGTCCTTGACGACAGACTCGTTGCGCTGGAGGTCGATGTCCCAGACCAGGCCCAGCGTCAGGTCCGAAAGGACCCAGCTAACGCGCAGCTGCTTCATCAGCTGCTTCCAGTGGCGCTCCTTCAGGGCGTCCGACTTCAGCTCCACTATCATCACATTCACCTGCGTTGCCGAGAAACATGTTCAGAGTGTGGAGAGGTCTCTGACAAAGCACTCATGCATGCCTAGATTTTAAGGAAACCACCTACAAAGTCCCAACAATATGAAGTAAAATATTTTCAAAACCACTGGTAAAGAACTGTCGGACCAGCGCTGGAAACCAATGGCTCAGTTGTCAACAATAAAACCATATTGGCACAGCTCTATTCTGATTCACCGACCAGCTCACAAAAAGATTTCAGGCACTGAAAATGCATAAAGCTAATATTGAAAATAAAGAAAAGTAGATAATCAAATGCAAGTTACAAGTTACTCCGAAGACTTGACAAAGCTACAGTTACTGAAATTTCATTGTAACTTAGAAAAGACTTGGTTATTGAAATCATTACCAATAGTAACCAGGATAATTTGAAGCAGCTGCTAGAGAACTCTGGTATTTTGTCACATTGATTTTAAAATTGCAAACAGTGCAGATTCTGGAGACGCAAGACAAGTGACAAGAATGGGGCACCAGCCTCTAATCTGAGGACCTGATTCCCTACATAGTCACATGGGCACAGATGCAATGCACATGTGTGTGTGTACCCACCTTGGTATAGCTCATGAGCACTTTCTTGACGTACTCGTATGAAGCGTACTGGCGTAGACGAGCAGGCAGCTCTTTCAGTTGGTTCAACAGGCCGTCCAGTTGTTGACGCAGCTAAAAAAAAAACAAATGGTGTTCATCAGTTTAGAGGGGCACTGACAGGACAAAATCATTATTTTTTATTATCTGAAACGATTGAAAATGATGCCTCGACATTACCCTCAAAACTCGAAACTTGGGAACTCAGTATTTGTGAAGTAAAAAATACAATTCCCAAAAGCCGAATTTGAAGTTCCCGCGCGATCCGCCCCAGTGCAGCGAACACGACCCGAAGTGTCGTGCTCGCCCGCGTCCCGCACGATCGACCGCTTTTGTCCGTGCTTGCCGCATATCGCTACGAGCAGACGACGCTTCACTTTCGAGTTTGAAATTTTTTCAGGGCCCTTTCAGCGATCTCAAATTCTTTGAAACGATGCGAGGTCAAAGATAATGCGCAGTGGACTTTTTTGAGTGACGTGAAAAACCACGTCGCACCTGTTCTACGTAGAAGGCTGCCCCGGCGGAGTCACAACCAGAACTACGGTACAGACACCAAAACCCAGTTGTTTTGACCATTTGACAATTCCCTTTTCGAAGTCTGAGAGGTGGCCGGGTACCTAAAAAGGAGAACTTCGTCCGATTTCCCGATCATCCTCAGCGCTACATGTGTCGAGCGCCGCCATGTTTTTTGAGGGAGGATAAAAAGCCAGGAGGCAACATCAATCCGGATTCCGATTCTCAGTATTTAAAAAAAAGGGGCCGTAGTGCGTTCGCAATTACGTTCAAAAACCGCGTTTTACTAATGCTGATATTAAATATTAAAGAAATGTCTCTTACAAAGCTTCTAAATTTCATAATTTTTTACATCACAAATAAAAAGAAGCAAGGTGGTGAGAAGAGAAAGAGAAGGGTACCAAAGATAAAAAGGCGTGCACACGCGTGGAAATTTTTTTTCTTCACTTTGTGGGGGTTTTTCTGGTTTTCTTTTTTTTTTGTTGTTTCTATGACCGCAATTTGCACCATTCTAGACAACAGAAAAACGAACAACCTTTGGAGTGTCAGTGCACCTTTTTAAGCTTTTTCTGCGTCGGTACCAAGTTTAATCAGCCTCCCCCACATTCGACAACGAAATTAGGGAGTTTTAAAATAACGTACGCAATTTTAGCGCACGCTAGCGCTAAATTTAGCGCTTGTATTAGCGCACGCGACGCAAGAGAGTTTTAGAATAGAGTTTCTCCTTCGCGACGCAAACGCCCAAGCATCTCGCGCTTCTGACGCCACATATAGTCACAATTTTTATTTCACACACGAAATGCTGTAACTCTAGAAAAAGAAAAAGGAGTTTTTAGGTCCAGAGTATTATTTTAGATTTGTTTAAACGTAAGAATGCAACGTGAGCGGTTGACCGGTCGTGTCCGCTTGCGTCGCCTCGGCAAGAGAGGTCTCGTGTACTGACCTTTGCACATCGTACCTCCGCCGAGAAATATTCGCGCGTCACAAGCATCAAGTTGCCAATGATCGTTGCCAAAACGAGTACAATGTCGTCCCGTATTGAAAATCACAGTCGCGAGTATGCCGCCGACGTTGCACTCGCGACGCCGCCAAAGCAGCCGCCAACATTATCCTGGAAGCCGCCATTTTTTTTTTTAATTCGGCTCGTCTTGGCTTTAGCCAACTTCTCATCACAAATCCTTCTTAGAGGAGCGCAAAGGCCCTTTGCGTACGCACACTATTTCCGAGAAATAGCGCACGCTAAAATTGCGCACGCAAAGCGCAAAACCTGGTTTGCGTTCGGAGCATGCGCAGTGGCGACGACGCTATTCTTTGTGTACGCAAAGCTTTAGCGTGCACTATTCTAAAACTCCCTATTGATGAAAAGCACCCCACTTTTAAGAAACTAATGCAACTATATTTCTTAACCAATGATACAAAATATACAGGTCCACTGTTACTCACAGAAGAGAGGCAAATCTCAATTAAAATAATGTTGCACTCATAAATGTCGACCAGTTTTGAAATAAAAAGGCAAGGCAACATGCAGGAACAATTGAAGGTATCTATCAGATAGTGCCAAAGAGATGCTCCTTAATAATATGTTCAAAACATAAACTAATCGTCATCTACCACTTGCTTTTTACAACAAAACCTTCTGCATTTATAAAAGAAAAAAAAAAATTCCGCTTCTTTCATGCTGTTACGCAGCCTCCCATGTGCACCGTACCTTGCGAGCTTGTACAGAGAGCCAGGGCTGCTCCTTCATCTGGTCTATCTGGTCCCAAATCTTGGCCAGTTCAGACCAGACACCCTTCAGGTCTTGCAACTCCTCCAAAGCCACGTGTAAGCGTTCGTCGCCAGCAGACACCAGGCCTGCATCGGGAGACATAGTGTGCGTTGTCTTTTTAACCTTTGGACCATAGGCGTAGACTACGGGCTCGTTCCCCCCCCCCCCTGGTGAGATCCGGGGGGGTCTTTTTTTGGGCTATGATCCTTACCGAGACGTTGTTTACGTGCCATGCAACGAGCTTCTAGTAGTGGCATGTAAACAAAATAATGCACACAGCAACGGACACATGGCGGTATACAGACGCTGTAAAATGTACCCCCTAAAATAAACTACTGATAACTGCCGGTGGAAAATAAATTGTGCGGATTGCGGGTGCAGCAATTAGTTTTAGGATTGCGGGTGCAGCAATTAGTTTCATTGGCGCAAAGGCAGCAGGGACACGCAGCGCCATCTGGTGGCAATAGTTGAAACTGATGCGAGCAGCGGCCATTGGGAGCCTCGTCACCGCGCGCCAGCCAATGGTACCTTTGGAATCAGGGAAACTAGGTGCCGTTTTCGCGCTTCAAACTGATTACTCTGGCTCACACCATGGGACAGTTACAGCTTTTGCATTAAAACTGCATGCAAATTCATTAGACAGTTCCCGAGATATCGCAAAGATAAGCGCCAATGCCAGCAGAAAAATCCATTTTGAGAAAATGGCAGTGCAAAGTTGCACACATTTTCAGCATTCAGCGTCTTTACATCTTTACCATCTTTACACCTGACAGAAAAAGAGAAAAAATTTTAGGCATCTAGGCGATCGGTGCGCGTGATTTGAGAAATTCGGCGGTGCTAGAGGTTGAAGAAGACAAAGTTATATAAAAAGAGTTGTCAATCAGCGCGGTTTGTTTGAATTTTGCTTTATTTTTCGTGTGTAAGGTGTGAGTGTTGTTCGCTATAGTGCGCTGTGGTGTGTGTAATCAGGTGGTACGATTCTGCTTGCGATTTTCATTCACGTGTGGCCAAGAGCTTGTGGACACAGTACACATGCACGTAAGTCACCGTCCACGTCTTTTATTTGTTTGCTTTCTCTCGAGCGAGTAACGCTGCAATCGAAAATGACGAAAATCGCAAGCAGGATTCTGCCAAGTGAAATGGCTATACCCACGGAGTAGCTGTAAGTGTCCTTGCATACTTTCATTTTGTTCCACCATTGTCTTTACTTAGTTTCGACGGCCAATGGTATAGATAGAAGAATCGCAATCTGAAGTAGCGATGCAATGAGCATCGGTATCCTGCCGTGCCTGCGGTATCCTGCCGATGCTGCTTCCGATGGTCGCCATGCAAAGAAGCTTGCATTGACCGCTTCCGTGCATCAAATGCGTGCACCGTCTCCTAATTCGTTCCCCGCATCTCTTGCAGCCACGAAACACGCGGGCAAAGTAAGCGAAACTACTAAAACAAGGGGCTCAAAACGATCATAAATATGGGGAAAAGCGAAGTAGAGTTGACAAAGCACAGGAACAAGCAGACGACGCGAGGCTGGCGAGACGGGGACACGAACCCCCGGCGGGGTGGTAGCCATGGCAACGGAAGAACAACAAATGTCGCAGCCATTAGAAGTCGCACGCTTCCTTGAACGGGTTCTTTTAAACATATTTTCTCAATGATTTACGTGTTCATAATTACAGAGGAAGTAGCTTACGGGGATATACAATCCAAAAAAGTGGTTTTCTAAAAATCAACTTTTTCGCGATTTTCCACTTTTCAATCTTAGCGTGCCTCCTTATATGCCACCAATAAGGACACCGGCAGACTTTGAAAAATACTGCATAAGGAAAAACCAAAAAAAACTGCCTTGTTCCTCCTGAGGTCCCTTGGGCAGTGCAATGTTTAGGAGTTGGCTATCTTTGGGTATTTTTGCTTCAGTAAAACAACTGTGTCGAAAACCGGGGTCGACCTCCTTTGCGAGTGGGATATCTTTAGGATGTTACGGTAGTTACGCTTGGAAGAATAAAGTAATGGACCTTGTTCAGATTTGCACGCCATCTGTCAGATGTTGCGCCAACCTTTTGCAGCAGCTTCAAACATGGCGACCATTGTTTGAGGTTACAGGCAATGCGCTGCTATGGGAACATGTTGCTGCACTACTGCTGTGTCGCGCAGTCTAATCAGTGGAGAAATAAAAAGCCAACCGAAGTAAATATACGAATTGCATTAGGTGTTCTTTTCAATCTGAAGTTCTTAGAGCGAATCTTGGAACAATTGCAGCGTTTTACTGGGACTATGCGAGTGGCAAAATACAGTTGAACCTCTTTATAATGAACACTGATATAGCAAATTATCAGATATTGCAAACTAAATGATCAAGAAGTTTGGTTGGTCGTGCTTTATTTGGATGGGAGTTCTAGTAATATAACGAAACCGAAACCGTGGAATCTGACGCGTTATTGGTTATGGCGAAGCTTTCCTGCTTTTCTTGCGTCACAAAAATACTACGAAGGTTATTAAAAAAGTAGAGAAAATACAAAAAAGTAATTTCTAAACGAAAAATTCCGGAAGTTTAGATTGCCCGATGTGCAAAAATGCGCGTTTCAGGAGATGGTACACCTATGAACCAAGCGAATGACGGCAGCTGTGCCGCTGCTGACCTCAACGTGAGGCATCAAAGACCAGTGCAGACTAAAGACAACCGCCAACCACACCACTCGTAACGGAGCTGCAAATGGCAACGAAGCGAAAAGCTGTCTTTCTGGAGACAAATGTGAAAAGTTTGAGGGCGGTGGACAGCGGTCGGAAGAAAAAGAGATCACTGCGAACCTCAAGCTTGAACCAAGCACGATATCTACCCTCCTCAGTACAGAGAAGAATAAAAAGACTGCTATGCAAACAGCACCAACAAGATTGACCAAAACAATCTTAGGCCTTGCCTCGACCCAGACGTGGAAGAGGCACGGTTCTCATGGTTTAAGGATGTAAAGGCACGTAATTTGGCGGTGTCTGGTCAGCTTCTTTAAACAAAAGCAATCTGTCTGGCGTGTCTGTTAGGGCATGATGATTTCATCGCAAGCAGCACTTGGCTCCAGCACAGTGGGTCCAGGTGAAGAGGCACCAGCCCAAAATTACGTCTTCAGATAAATGGAATAATAGATCCAGCTAATGTCGTTTCTCGTCTTGCAAATTGATATCCTCAAGCTCCGATCTATTTTTTTAATGTTGCTTAGTGACAGGTAAGGATCTCGTGGTCTGCGATAGCGCGTTTTTTATATCTTAGTGCTCTGGACATTCTTGTACAGGCTCGATTGCGGAAACAATCGCATCAATTTATGTGTGTACTTTTATAGCGAATATCGCATATAGCAAACAAATTTCTGCTCCCGATGCTAGTTTGTTATAACGAGGTTCGATTGTAGCAGGGCCCGCACTGCCTGCTTGTGCCACATGCTCTGTCGAAATCTTTCGGTATATGAAGCTTCCCATTACTATAATAATGGCTGGCTAAGGCTGTTCACACGTTTGTGTCGGTTGCGTCCAGAGTGAGCAAAACGACAGCAGCACGGGGACAACTGCAGCTTGCGATTCTCTCCCGAAGCTACTTCGTGCATCGCTTGTCACGACATGTGTGGCAAACAGTTTTCCCGGCGACTATATCCTCGGCGTCGTTTAGGTCATTCTGAACAGAACCAAGGCAACTTTCTCAACTAGTCTCGTTAATATAATTAATTTCCAAGTATCTAACGCCTCCACCACATTACATTCAAGAAAAACCATGTCGTAAGAACTAGCGGAGAACACTATGCATGCAGGGCAGGGATGGTGCAAGGATGGCGCGAAGGCTCGATAGTTTGCACGGCCGTTGTGAATTGCGCTAATAATGAATAAGGCCTATCGTGCTCCAAGGTATCAATGAATCTATTCCATGACAGGTACAATGCACAACACAACCTTGCATGGCAAAACAAAAACTTAAAAGGAAAATGAAATGAGTTCTTGCAGTTTATGGTTACCTGGCTCCTGCAGTTCGAGGGCCTCCTTGGCCTTGACCAGATTGTCTCGGTCTTCCTTCAGCCGACTGAACTTGGACTCGAAGATGGCCAGCTGGCTGGTGGCGTCGCTGGGCTTCAGGGAACCCTGCAGCCAGACAGACAAGCAATGAAGCACGCCAGCCGGGGAGCATCGCCAAGTTCCCAATCTCCTTCCTAAACATCCGCCCTAGAGCCACGGTGTTCCTTGTCACAGTGGACATGGAACACATATTCGACTCGTGCGCTTAGTGTCCTATACCGCCCAATCATCGAAGGTGGTCCCGAAAAGTCAAATAAATTACGTAGCGCTGTCTGACGTCGTGAACCTGACTGCTGACCGCAGAAGTTCCAGCCAAGAAAACAAGCAAACGTGAGTGTCGCCGTCGCCCCAACTCCCAGCTGCCAAAGCTTGCGTAGAACGTCAAGCTGGAAAACGACCTATGGCAAAACAGGCATCTGCCGGAAACACCTCTGCTGCTGTGCCATCACCAGGATTGTGGGAGGCAAGAGCACGACACAAGTGCGACATCGTTGATCGGAAAGCGAAGGACCGCAAACGACGGTACGGTAAACACACCAGTTAGAGACGCAATTTTAAATAAAGCCCCTCAATGTTTTTGTGTTCGTCTTACAAGCAGCGACAAATGCGCCGACAAGAACCTTTGCCTTGCGCGACTGGCAAAGTTAAATGGCGGCACAGCACCGAAATGAGCGACTCTTGAAAGTGAACCGCGGCAGAGCACTCGCGTGTAGCACATGACTCACACAACAATGGTTGTCTCCACTTGAATACCCGTTGCGATGGAGGTTACCCATCGCAAAACAACGTAGCCGTCGCAACGGAACATACTCATTGGCGGGAAGCAGCGCCACCCACCTGCACGGGCTTGCTCTTCTCCCAGTCGGCGAGGAAGTCGGTGGTGCGAGCCTCGACGGCCTTGTCCTCGGCCACCACCTTCATCTGCAGACTGGCCACCTGGGTGGAGATGGCCGTGTCCTTGCGGCGCATCATCTCGTTGAAGGCCGACCACTCCCCCTCCACGTTGTCCACGTGCAGCCACCAGTTGGGGAACTGGAAGCGCTGGCGTTCCAGGATGCGCTGCCCCTCCTTGTACAGCTGCACCACAAGACAAGAGGAGGTGTCCACGTGATCGATCACATTTCATTCCGTAGAAGGCGATTATGGACCCTTCGGCTAATGAAAGGGGGATGTTCAAAGTACTTTAAATTTGAAAAAAAAAAAAAAAAAAGGGGGGGGCCCACCTCTACTTGCTGCTCCCATGTCTTCATCTTGCGCTTCAACGACTGGACGTACGTGATGAACGACACCGCGTCTGAAGTGCTGGCCGTGTCGATGGACTGCTGCTCCAGCTCTCCACGAGACTGAAAGCACACCGGACATTTACAAAGTGGCTGTAATCAACGCTCGAAACATTTCACGTCACAACGAAAAATGCAAGGACTTCAGGTAAGACTGGACCACTTAGATCTAGTCATGTGACCACTGGCAGAATGCACGCAGTAATAAATGTGACTGCGACATCAGCTTGTGTTCAGTAATGAAAGCAGGGTCACTCCTCTGCGAGACTTCGCAGAAGAGTGACCCCAAATTGATCGCTTTTGAAATAATATGACAGGGATAAGTCATTTACAAATTAGCTGAAAAGACTGGACTGAGGAAGAGAAAGAAAAATTCGGTCCAATCTAATAAAAAAAACTTTCCTTTTATTCTTTGCATAAAGTTGTGAAACAGTCTGCATTGTGTATGTCTCAGCTTCTTGGGGCAGACTTGTTGCGGTAAAGACACACAGAACACACTGTCTCTCAACTTTATGCAAAGAATTTAGGTAAAGTAGAAAAATATTTTTCTATTAAATCAATACTGAATCACAGGGACACTGACACGGTATTTATGCTCGCCGAGGTTTTTAGTTGTACATGACATATGTGAGCCCAACTACCCAGAACGCAATTTGCAACTCGAAATTCGTTTTTTTTTTTTTTTTTTTTTTTTTTTCGCCCAAAAATTGCTGATTAAGAACTGGCCGGTTCAAGTCTCGCTCACTCTCTTTTCGTGGTCACGGGCCGTTTTCTAGGGTTTCGACGCGACCACCAAATTTAATCAAAGTCGTTGGTCACTGAAGGCACACACTCAATATTAAAAAAAGAAAAAAAATATGAGAACGATTTTTTGTGGCTTCTAAAAACCTGCAAATACGTTGAGTGAAAAAAAAAAAAGTTGCACAGAGAACCGGAAACATTCTGTGCGTGCGTCGTGGGACCTCTACTTCAGAACTGTCATTCGCGGTACCGGCGAATTCTGTCTGCTTTTAAAAGAGAAATTTGGGACTGATCAAAAGAATTCGTATTCATCCCGTACAACATAAGACACGCCTGGCCAGCAAGCCTATTTGCACGAAGACGTCGCTGAGCCGTCGCCCCCTTCTCGTGGCTAAAGACATCGCTCGCGCAAACGTGAAGCACGAAGTGTGTACTTCGAGTTGAATATGCGCGCGTACGATTGCTTTACTAGGTGCGAATGTCGCCAATCATGGTGCTTTGACTTCGACCCGGTTGTGCTTTTGCTGGAGGGAAATCGGCAGCAAACTTTCCAACTTACAGTTTACCAGCTGTATTATTACTCAGGAGGGAGTTCCCCCAGTAGCTCAGTGAAAAGACGTCCTCTTCACACGCGGCAGGACCGGGTTCAATCCCCAGTGAAACCAACTTTTTTTTTTCTTTTTCAGGCATTTTGCAATGTTCACATTTCTTTTCCTTTTTTTTTACAATTATCACTGAAGAAACAAACAAATGTTGTGGACGAAACGTCGCTGAACTAAATGGTATGGTATTTCCTTTTTGACACCTGAAAACTCAATGTAATCACTTTCCACAAAATGCAAGGAGCATATAAATTGGGAAGCGTCCGCTTTCCGAGGTGCCCGTAAGTGTTCTACAGGAATTGCAGCCAGCCATTGGTCCCGATCCCAATGATCTTTCGGAAACACTGTCGCACAATGCCACTTTTTTTTCGGACGCGGGACATGTGAGCCAGCTCTTCACGCAACATCTTGGGTGTATTCTTTTCGGAGCCGATCACGGAAATTCACCACGAACACTCACTACTCATCTCCAACTCCTCAATGTACAAAACAACTCATCTTGGAGTACAGAACAGCGAGAGGAACAAACATAACTGCAAAAGAATCGCACGGCAAACAGTTCCCGCTACGCCGACCGCATGTCGTCTGCTACGCAGAGGGGGAAAAAAAAAAGCGCACGGTCGGGTGTAGCCACGTGACTTCCGCAGCTCACTCTCTCCTCTCCACTTCTTCGACCTCCGTGCGCAGGTTTCGGTTTTGAGCAGCTGCATTTTTTGGCTTTATTAAAAATATACGCTACTCTGTTGCAAAATATTTATTGGGTAGTCCTCCGGCACCCTAATAAAACACCTGGCAAAAAATGAAAAAAAAAAAAAAAAATTTGGGGGGTGTCAGTGTACGTTTAACTTTCTTACTCATGAAGCAATTTTGGTCTTGCACCACGTGAAGTTTCACCACATGCTAACGTGACCGTGATGCCGTCTAAAGACATGGGCTCGTGCGACCATGACAACACCTGAAGCCACACATACTCGTGTGACCACCCATGAAGTGATCACGCGGCTCTGGTAAAACACGTGACACCTACCGTGGTCACAAGGTCACGTAACTATGATCCCGTGACATCACGTAATCCCTCCCGACATTAGGGCGAAAAATCTTTTCAGTCTTCAGTGGGAAGACGAGTAGATAGCAGCTGTAATGACACATCCAAGTTGCTCTGCTGGCACATTAAAAATCAAAATGGAGGCACTCCACTGGCACAGGCATACAGCATCCGACTACAGGGTCAGAAGACTGGGGGTTTCATTCTTGGCGAGAGACAAAACATTTTATGTAAAGACACCAGGCAGCATTATCATGTTCTCACAACCACTTTTCATGATGCTCTAGCCTCGAAAACCACCCCGTAGAAGCATTCCGCTTTGAAGGTAACAGTAAACACGCAACCAGTAGAACAAGACTGACCTTGGAGACAGTGTTGTGGAACTGGGCCATGTCATTGCCAAGCAGCTGGCCAAACTTGCCAAGGACCTCCTTGTGCCAGGAGTCGTACTTGAGGGTCACCTTGGACTGGACCTGAGCGATGAGACACCAAGAAAGGCGCCAGCATGACGAACGAGCCACTTTTCTTGAGGGTTCACCAGGTAGCATCCCTCACCTTGGCATAGTCAATGATGATGGGTCCGATTTTCTTACGCACGTCGGTGGTGTCGAAGGTTGTGCGCGATTTCCTGTTGAGAAAGAATGCCCTCAGTTCGTCGCACCGAACAGGTGGCTTTTGAGTTATTAGACTGGAAAGACTGACTTAGGGTGTGCTCGTCAAGTATCGGCACACGTCGTCACGAATGAGCAAAATAAAAAAGTTGTATTTTTCGCTCACAATGCGCGAAGAAACGGAAGTGATAGCTGTAGCATGGTCGCGCAATATGGGTGGAATGGTGCTGTCACGGACCCGAGGACGGAGGTGCGACATGGTTAATTCTCACAGCCGTCGTGGTCTGCGGATGCCACTGACAACTGCGACCAGTGACCCGTAGCAACTGGGTACTGCGTAGCAATTCAGTACTGCCAAGGTGGGATTTCGCATAATGCGAAATCTCACCGCTCGACCAGTCTTTCCAGCACACGACACGACCATTCGCCCTTCGTCACGCAATTCTTGGCGGGACGCCGGGGCTGCCCTCCTCGCTCGCTTCTTGTGGCACGGTGGACGGAGTCCCGACTTCCCTCTTCCCGTGGAAAGAGGAAATACTTTCAGCCTTTCCACTCTGGTGAAGAAGGAAGACCAGCGAAGCTGTACTATGATGGAACGACCTCAAGAACGACTTCTTGGACGACACCTAGAGGACGATGTCTAGGACGACCTCAAGGACAACTTCCAGGACGACCTCAGGGATGATGTCTAGGACGACTTTTAGGACGACCTCAAGGACGACTTCTAGGATGACCTAAAGGACGATTTCTAGGACCTCTAGGACGACCTGAAGGATGACATCTAGGATGACCTCAAGGATTACTTCTAGGACAACCTCTCAGACCACCTCAAGGACAACGTCTAGGACGACCTCTAGGACGACCTGAAGGATGACTTCTAGGATGACCTCAAGGATGACATACTTCTAAGACGACCTCTCGGACAACCTCAAGGACAACGTCTAGGACGACCCCGAGGACGACAACTAGGACGTCGCCTAGAGAAATTCAGCCTTTCCACTCTGGTGAAAACCAGAGTGGAAAGGCCGGAAAGGTAGCCGAGATCTATGAGCGAGGCCTTCAAGCCGGTTGTCTGGTTGCCGCCGTCGCTCATAGGTGGCGGTAGCTGTCCAGAGTTTTGTGTCATTTGTTTGATACCGGACACGATCCCGGGGAACCTAGCCCTTAACAGCTCTGTTGTAAAAAAAAAAAAAGCTTTTCCATTTTTCGTGCGCGCTCAGCGTCGACGACGAGAACGAAATATCTGCGAAGTGTCACTCATAAAGCTATCGCATTAAAACAATGGCCATCTCCAGCATTTTTCAAAGACATTCCTTTCAGAATGCCTTTGCTCACTTCCGCCTGAAAGCAGTCGGTCGCGTACGTTTCACGCTGCACCCAACAAATGGCCCACCAACCGACGCTTAAATTTCTGGTCGGTCGCCGCACAATGGCGACTGGCTTCTCTTCGCCGCCGAGCCCGGCACTCTCGTTTTGCAGTCGCATCTGACGCATCCCCCCTCTTCGACCCGCCGCCACGCTCGCCGCTGCCATTGGGCGCAACTAAGTCCGACGCAAATCCTGCGAGCTAAAGCCATTGTAGTATGTGTAGTCCACACTGCTGCCGTCGAGCACACATGGGAGGCATTCGTCGCTCCAAAAACAGTCGGCGATCGCACACTGCGAGAGCAGTTGGCAACTCCCCACTCTGCTCGGGCTGCATCTCGTACTCTAGAGGCCGGTTCACACAACTGCGATCACTCACGACCGAGGGCCTTAACACCTCTTTGAATCTCTTACGGCGAGAGAAAACGCTGGCGCCACCTATCGGGTAACCGTGAAAGTGATTTACACACATTTTCCTTTTTCTTTCGCGCATCGTTCCTTCTGGGCTCGAAAAACTTCCGACATTGTTATAATCTACCATTCCTTATAGACAGCAGGCACATTTGATCTCGTAGATACCGTTCAACCTTCAGTTTAGCGAAATTTACTTCCAGGGTCAGCTTATAGAGGGCACCAACGAGTCAGTGCCTTTCTTGTCGCGAGGAATCGGTCGTAAGCAAATGCGAGCATACAAACGGACCTTAAGGAAAAACTTAGTCTTAAATTTCACGTTTTTAATTTTTGGTTTAAGAAGCTAATTACGTATGCACCCTTACACTAAATTCAATAACAATACGGCAAATAGTTACGTTGATATAAAATATTTTCGACACATTGTGAGGCAATAAAAAAGTAAGGAGTTCAATGTTTGAATGCATTTTTCTTAGTTTCACTTTTTGCTGCAAATTTTGTACGAAGGAATCTTGTTTGAAGGTAAAAGTATTCTGTTACCACAATGAAGATGTTTCTGAATTGAAATTTAGTGAGGAATCGGGCTATCTACTTTATTTTGTTTTAAGTTGAAGTCCTCAGTGATAAAAAACTAAGTTTTCGAAAATTGACATAGGACAGATATGCATCTCATGGTTTGAGGTAATAACTCTTCCTGAAATATTTACATTTTAGTTATAAAAACTAGATAGCCCGAAGTTACAGATCCATACTTTATATTCAAGCAGTCAAAATGGTGTTATAATAGCTTCATTTACATATCATAGATTTCTTAACAGAGAGTGACACATCTTATGGAGGTATGTAAAGTTGTCCTAGAGCAGCGGTTCTCAAACATGGATGTTTCGCGGACCCCTTGTGGAACGGCGAAGATGATGGAAAACCCTGTTTGTGGACAGGGGAAGAGAAATGTAAGGTTAAGTATTATCATTTAATAAATGAATATAACTAAGGGTTGTGTCCAGCAGAGTTCTCTTTTTGACAGATACACGAAAAAACTCGCCCGAAAAACTGGAATGTTTCTTCTCGGTCTGAGAAAAGACTTTTTATCGCCGGGCTCGACTGATGAGGCTGGTCTTCGCGGACCCCTAGAATGCCTCCGCGGAACCCAAATGGTCTGCAGACCCCATTTGAGAACCACTGTCCTAGAGAGCTGAAAGTTTGCACAATTCACCTACATAAGACGTTAAATCTCCCCTGCGAATTTCATTCCTGTCACTCGAGTAGTTTAGGAAGTTAAATCTCTAGCCAGCGTCCCCCCTTAACGATAAGCACCGATGCCAAAAGCATTGTGCATTTAAACGACAGAAAGCAAACGACGGCTCACTTGATCTCGACGAGGGTGTTCATCCACATGGCGATGTCGTTGCCGAGGCGGGAGTAAAGCATGTCCTGCTGCAGGTCCCAGAGGGCCTGGTAGCGCAGCCACTCGTCCACATACTGCTCCGTCTGCTCCACAGTCTGCTCTATGGCTCCGTAGCAGCGCTCCAGCAGGTTGGCCCCGTCGGGCATCACCGTCAGCAGGTTGCGGTACGTCTGGGACGACGGGCTCTCCAGCACCACCTGCGACCCAGAAGAAGGGCGGACGTCGGACGACGTCTTTCGCGGTCTCCGGCAGGATGGGAATGGCGGGGCACTTTTTTCCAACACCCGGCCTCTGACACACGCTCCTTGCCTTCCGCCGTGCCTCGGCTGTGCGTGCACGCTCGAGGTTTGTGAGACACCCGCGAGTTATTGAAGCTGGCGCCAGAGGCGAAACGACTCCTCCTTGCCGTTCCCGTCTCAATGGCAACTCTAAAGTAACAGCGGGCAAAAGCGGTCAAAGCCCCATTTCTGGGGGGGAGGAATGAAAGGCAGGAGCAGAAAAGCGGGAAAGAATGGGGAAGGGCAGGGAATAATGGGGAAGAAACTAGTCGTAGCTCAGACGCAAAAGTACGGGAAGAAATTCGGTAAGACCGGAGACGGGATGAAGCCCAATATCGGATGAATGAAATCAGAAGGTGAGAAGCTAGGGAAAATTGGGGAAGAGCCTAGAACAAATAAAAGGAGAAAGCTAGGGAAAGTCATGAGGAACCTGAATAGAATAAAAACCTGGAAAAGAAACTGGGAACAAAAAAAGAGACACCATTACGTCGAAACAAACCGAAGCCAAACAGAACAATGTTGAAGAACAAAGCAGTGCAAGGTTCTAACAAAAGGGTAGGGAACACTTTAAGGACAATAGGGATAGAAAAAAGAAAGGGCAAGAATTAGGAAGAGAGAAAGGCACAAGAGTGTGGGGATGGCAGGACGTGTGCAGAGACAATAGTTGGAACTGGGACAAGGAGCGACTTGTTTGGAGCGTGATCGGGAAACGTAACAGTACAATTGGTAAAGAAGCACAGGGAGGGTTACCCCACCTGGTAGCGGGTGCTCTGGATGCGGGTCTGAGAGAGGACGATGTTCTCCCAGGCGAAGAGCTGCTCGAGGAGGCTGAAGCGGGCCTCCTCCGTGCTGGGGCTCAGGTACATCACCTGGTTGGTGATGCGCACCTCGTGCACCAGGGTCTGGATCTGGGGATCTCCCCCCAGCGGGTGGGCCACGGGGGCCCCCGGGGCTGAGGCCGTGGCTGGGGTGGTCGAGGCGTCCGCCTCCGACTCGGCCCCCTCCTTACGGCCCTCCAGGGCCAGGGTCCACGCACGCACCCCCGCCTCCAGACGGCCTGCCAGCTTGGCTTCCACCTGGGGGGGGAATAGGGAAGCACCCCGGGGGGGGGGGGGGGTTAGGCACTTCGAGTCATCCTTGGCGGGTCTTCCCGGGGGAGTTATCCCGGGGTACCTTCAAGAGTTCTCCAGGATCCCAAATTACCTCAACCATTCTAAGTGAAGCTTTATTCCAAATTAAGCACTGTTTTAGAAGGTCTGAGCTATCCAGTGCTGCATAGCAAAGTACAAAGAACTTCCTGGTGCGTACCTTACTCTTTACAAGTCTCTAGGCTTCCACCCAGTCTCATCGCTTCAATGCCGAGACAGGGAGGCTGTTCCTCGGCCACCATTCCCCAATACAGAAAAGTTTGAGAACCTACACCATAATGGCATTCACTTTTGAGAGCCCTGTACACAGTGCGTGCTCGGAACAAGCTCCTACTTATCACCTGCCAAAGAACCGTAATCTTGGTGGCGCGGAATGCATATTAGAGAAGTGCCATTTAAGCCGGCTGTCAGCAGGTGCCCAAAAACCACAAACTCTGTAATGGCTGCCAGCAACAAACGAGCATACAGGCATGCCCCTGGAAACAGTATAAAAACGTTCAGCCTTTCCACTCTCATGAAGAAGGAAGAGCAGCGGAGCTGTACTCGATACACTGCCGCAACGCCGCACGCGCCCATTTCCCGCTTCTCGTCCGACACGCTGCCGATCGTGGATACGTCTCTGGTGAACCAGAGTCGGTCGCACACGGCGCACGCAATGCCAAATGGGTAATCTGCGAACTCCCTCCGGAACCTCGCCGTCGCGCCCGGGAACTGTTCAGCCGGCGTGGAGTGCAGTCGTCGCCGGGCCTCGCGCTTGCGCTTGGCCTCCGTGGCACGATCGTCGTCCGTGGCATTGGCCCACCGGCGCCCTTTACATCGCTGGTTCTGTTCTCGGCAGAAGCTTTCCAGGCGAGCGATGTGCTCTTCTTTGGCAAGGGAATCTGAAGCGCTCGACACAGTGGAAGTCGAGGCGACGGCGGCTTTGCGGCGTTTGCGGACCCATTCGCGCTGCTGCGTACATCGCCACTCCTTCCGCAGCCAGTCTTCTTTCCCCAAAAGGGCGAGCGGCCGACCCATCCTAAGTCCAAACCGAAACTGATAAGAGCGTAGGAAACAGCGCGCAAAACAGACGAGGACGAAGTAACACTCGTGACGAGCGCTGCGCTCGTTACGTGTGCTTGTTTTTTGCCGTTGTCTGTTTTTTGCTCTGTTTCCTACGATGAATTTCCACCAACGTGCCCAACAATCCATTCTTCTATGATAGCTGGAAAGGTTGGCGCCATCTATGAGTGACGGCGGCAACCGAACTGGTTGTGCGCTTGCCGCCGTCGCTTATAGATGGCGGTAACTGTCCAGGTAGGTTTGTGTCGACATACCGGACACGATCCTGGGGAACCTAGCCCTTAACAGCTCCGCCGTAAAAAATGAAATGAAGGATGTTTACAATTCCCTGTAATGCCCAATTAGAGTGCAGCTTTTGAGGATGAGAAGGGGAGGGTATGGAGAGGAGTATATGCCCCTCCTCCTCCTCCTTCCTCGAAATGTCACTCGCGACGTCATTTGTGACCTTCGTCAAGGCCTTCACGAGTGATTTTCGTGACGTCACGAAGGTCACTCGTGAAGGCCTCGTGAAGGTCACTGTGAAGGTCATGACTTTCGTCGTGACCTTCGTGACGTCACGAAGGTCACTGAAGGTCGTGACCGTCGTGACCTTCACAAGACATGTGACAACATTATGTGAAACGTCCCACAATGCAGTGCGTGGTTACACTGACAACAATGTTGCTCAAGCCAGAAACGGGCGCCTAAGAGCTACGCTCTAAAACTGAAGAAGTCCTACACCCGTTTTCACCTTCAAGAAAAAAGGAATTTTTGCGCATTTTTCATACGCGCCACGAGGTTGTTCTTACGAGATTTGGTTATTGTAGGAAAAAGCTATGCCTTTGGCGAATGGAAGGTGTACGCCTTGGTAAGAAATCATATTTATAATCTAAAATTCACCCGCATATACAGTAAAACCTTGTTAATTCAACCCCCGCTAATTCGGAAATTCGGATAATTTGAACTGCGGATCCGGTCCCGTCAAACGTATGTACAGTCGAACCTCGATATAACGAACTTCAATGTAACGAAATCCTCGATTTAACGAAGTATTTTATTTTTCATAATTTCTTGCCCATAGACTCCATGTATTTTTAGTCTCTATATAACAAAGTCTATTTTGCTGCTATTTCAATATAACGAAGCGCCATTGCCATAGAAGGCAATAAATAAATAGACACTAAAAAACAACTTCGCAAAAAAATTGTGGTTAAAAAAAAAATTATGCGCAAACGCGAGCGCTTGATAGGTTACTTCACGGGGACAGACCTTCTAACGTTCCTAGGCTGCCCGAGGATGCGGCGCCGGTAGTGCCGGCGAGGCGTGGGGCAAAGCGGATTCCGCGGGGCTGGCCAGAAAATGCCGAGCAAAAAGTTTACACGGCATAACAGCATCACCACTGACATTCACTGATCATCCCAGTGGACTATGATCATCATAGTCCACTGTACCGCGGGTAGCGCGGGAGAAAACTTCAGCGGGGGAGCGACGTGATGGCGCGACCGCACGGGCAGTGCCATCTAGGAGAAGACCGAGAAGACCGATTATCGTCTTGCGAGCGTGATGTAAAGCAAAGGCGCAAGCACACTGTGGGCGCAAGGGGGCAAGTAAACTGTGCGGTCAAGAGTGCTGTGTAGGTTGGAAACATTGGCACCGCCTAAACCTAAACTACACCGTGGTCTAAACTAAACAGCTTTATTTTTCAACCGGGCGGTTCACTCACGTGCTTGCTGCCATAGGGAAACGTAAAGTTCTTTCTTTGGATGTGAAAGCAAACGTTTTGGATTTTTGGACGCCATCCTGAAGAAACTGCCGAGATCACGAGCACTCGGGAAGTGCTCGACGGAATGGACGAACTGAGGAGGTACACGGCGTCGCATGGGCAGCAAGATGCCGTGCAAGCGCTCTGGGCGCTCGAACGCTGTATGACGCCGCTGCTACTGTCGGACAGGGGCTTTATGTCGGACAAGGCGCAAGCAAAACTCGCGGACTACTTTGCCCCTAAATAATTGTCATTTTCGGTGAGTTTTCATACCCGTAAAATGTCTCGGAATTTTTTTTGCATGCTAAAGCCAAATTTCGATTTAGCGAAATTTCAATGTAACGAAGTAAATTGCGAATTTTACCGACTTCGTTACATCGAGGTTTAACTGTATTAGTCAATGGCAGCAAACGCTCATTAATTCGGAGGGAAAGCGGCGCACTATGGTTAATTCGGACGAATTCGGCAGGTGACGCTAGCTACCGTCTGTTCTTAAAGGTATGACCGCTATCCATCCGAAGTGCGCACGTGACTTTTCCGGTTTTCCCATGGTTCTTCGCTCTTTTGGTTCTCAGTGTTTCGCACCAGTTTTGCTCTGGATCGCCGTGCATCAGCGCGTTACTCTCCTGGCACGGAAGCGGCAGAAGCATTGCTGCAACGGAAAAAGGGTAGCACAAGTGACCGACAACCGGAATGGAAAAATCGTGACACGCGGGGCTATTGTTCCCGAGCGTGCCAATAGCGAGAGTGACAGTCACGTTTTATGCCTCAACGCGGGGATCCTAAAGCCCGCCATTTTAACAACTATCCTATCCCTCAATTTTTCGCCGGCCACCCCCGCATTGAAAAATGCAAAGTGACTGGCACTCTCGCTATCGGCGCTCGGGAAAAATAGCGCCGGGTGTCGCGATTTCACCGCTCCGGTTACTGGTCGGTTGTGCTACTCGTTTTCCGTTGCAGCTGTACTAGGCTAAGAATTTAGCGATGAAAGTGGAAATACTGAGGGCCTTGGAGGGCGGCGTCTCTCGACAAGTGATGGAAAGTTGCGACGTCAAGAGAAGCACTTTGGCCACGTACGTAAAAATTGTGTCCGATATCCTACAGGCTTTCGAGAGCGAGAAGTTCAACGCAAAAAGAAAGCGGCCTTGGAAGGTGGTGCGCCCGAAACTAGAAGAGGCGTGCTGTGCTACACCGTCAGCGCACGGGATGCGCAGCTCCGACAGTGCGAGTGCGGTAAAGCACTCGACCGCGCTAAGGAAAGTTGCCGTCTCCGCCCAAGTGTCGTCCAGAAAGCAGGCGGTAATAACAGATTTCTTCTCAAAATAAAGGTATATCACAGGGAAACGTTTTTGAGCAGCTTTCTTTGTCCTTTCGATATTTCGACTTTCGGATAATTCGGACATTTTTGCCGGTCCCATGAGATCCGAATTAATGAGTTTTTACTTTATCTTACTTATCCACATAAAGGGGGCAATTAGTAATGCTATACGAGGAGCTGGACTTGTTTTACTACGGTTCTTGAAGTGAAAACGGGTATAGTTTTAAAGGTTGTCAAATCAAATGCAACCTCCGTTTTCAAGGAACTCAGTCTGCTCCTCCAATATTGTATAGCAACTAAATTTTTTCCCCTGTTAGAGCAAGGGCCAAAATGCTCGGACAAATGTGCACGACTCAATAGTTTGGGACAAAATGATCAGACTGCCTCCAATAATACGCATTAATTAATTAGAGCTGAACAAAAAGTTTCAGAGGAGGAACGAGGTTCGACGTCTACACCCGTTGTAACTTCCCGAGCTATGCATATCAAGTCAACAGGCCGTCTATATTTTGATCCATTGCTGTCCATATTTACCCCTTTTTTTTTTTTTTTTGTTCCTGGTAAATTCATATCACGCGGCATTTCTACACACAGGGTTCGCCTAGAGAATTCTCTCGAAGGTACTGCTGACAAAACATCCCATTTGTAACAAAACTTTCCCAAGTCGACGTCCCTGTGCCGTCGAAATGACAGTGATAACGACACAGTGCGATCTATTCCAGAGGCATTTCCAAAATGTTCCGGCAACTTCCGACTGCCTCGATTGCTCCACCTTTTATGCGGAGTAAACACCCGTTCATGCACTCGCGCTTGCCCACGACCGAGCTCTTGCAACCTGTTAAGATGAGATAAGACTGTGGCGCAATATAAGGTGACCCTGGAACTGCACTTACCTACAGTGAAGGTTTTGCAGTACTTGCAAGTGCAAGTGTATGATCTATGAGAAATAGTTGTTCATAACATTGTCAAAAGATTTTCAAGCCAAAACCGAAAGGATGATGGAAGAAAAAAGGGAAATACAGTCGCCGACAGATTTTTCGGACTTCTCAGGGACCAAAAAATGTCCAAATAATAGAGCAGTCCAAAAAATCAGCATATTAAGAAAGATTGAGGTACACCTTCGCACTTTTTACGAGTTGTGAATCCGAAAGCATGTACATTATTATTATAATGCAATTAAATGCAAAGGTGCGAGCGAGCTGAACAAGAATGTCGAATGTAATCCCTGGAGAAGGGGAACAAGCAGGGGAACACGCGTGTTGGCGCGCTGACTGGCGCTTAACTGGCGCTGCGTGTCCGGCGAATGGGATCCTGATCGACGCGCGCTAGCCTATGGGACCGAAGCGGTGCCATGGCTAGCCGGCGAATGGGAGCTGGCTTGACTTTGAAAAGGATTTAAGAACCGTTTGGCGTGGTTTCAAAGCTGATGACCTCAACTCGTTCCATGAGACAGCTAATGCTTTCGCATTAAAAACTTGCCTTTACTAAGCAGGCTAAAACCGAAGTCGATAGTGCCTTGTTTCAGGTTACGCCTCCACTCGCGTTCGGCCACTCTCTATTAGCTTGAGAATCGCTACCTTCTTTTCTAGCGTTCTGCCAGAGTACTTTGTGCGCTTCTTAGCGACACTTCGCCACAGCGGAAGAACAGATGAGGTCATGACGTCCAAGCCCAGCGTAGTCCGAAAACGCAATTCATCGAGACGAGAGGCGCAAGTCCATGACTACAGAATGGCGAATGAACAAAACAAAATGGCAACGATGATGACCATGACGCGCAGCTAGAGAAAAAAAAAAAGCCGTTAGCGTCACCTAGAGGTAGGACTTAACAGTACTCAAGTAGCACTGCCGAACCAAGCCAATCCATGTGCAGTCAACACAATCTAAAATGGCGGCTTCTCAGTGGTGTTTCCCGCTGATCGCTCACAACGATAATGTCCAAAAAATCAAACTTTCGGACTTCAAGCTGTCCAAAACATGGGCCATGAATATGCACTATTTCTATCATATAAATTACGGTTCCTCGTTTAGGTCCGAAATATCGAACAAGTCCGAATTATCGGCATCCAAAAAATCTGTCGGCGGTTCTCTCATCGTAAGAGATCCCAAGAGGGGCCCTGTGTCGTAGGCAGTTGCAAAAGTGTGAACCAGCGTAAACAGACGCATAGAAGACTGTATCGAACAACAAAAGACTTTGCGAGGAACCGACACCGAGAGAGAGAGAAAGGCACTGACCTGCTCGTCCAGCTTGCTGACCCACAGGTGGAGGTTGGAGTACTGGTGCAGGCTCAGGTCGTCCACTGCACGCTGGATCTTGTTCAGCACATCGGCGAATGTCGTGGCGCTGTAGGCGCACGTCTCCAGCGACCGCACGTCCACGTCAATCTGCTCTTCTATCGTCATCAAGTCATCCACCTGCAGCGACACGCGGCAATGAGGAACGAGTTTAGTGCGACACCTTACAAACACATGTAATGGCAGCATTCTTTTTTTTTAAGATTTAGGTGCGGCCCCATACACGGATAGAAGCAAAATAGTTTTGGGTGAGCATCGAAAAATGGATGTACTTGAGATCATAAACAGTGGTCTCTAGCACCTTTATTTTAGTCTCGGTCGTCATAACCTACGGTATCCTCGGCACTCGAGTCCTGTCGGCATCAACAGAGTTCCTCTTTGGAGCCGGCCAGACTTTTCGGGGTTCGCGTTAACTGTTTCTTCTGTAGAATTTCACGCCAACCTCGGTTTCGATGACGACATCGAGCGGCTGCGGCGCACCGGTGAACCCACCTTGGACCGCACACTCTGTCCAGCGCCGTACGTAGATCTCGTTGACGCACTATTCGCGACCCATCTCACGTCTGCAGCACTCCAGGGCATAAGCAACAGTTCAAAAATACTTGCCTACTGCTCTCGGGCTGTGGGACCCGTGTAAACAAAACTTAGCAGAACGAAACATTCACGAAGCTCAACTGAGAGCGACGTTCGAAAACCCGAGTGTTTGATTTCACAGCAGCTATTGTCGCATAAGCAGAAGGCAACCGTGGATGATATGAAGACCATAAAAAGGACAATTTTTCTTAGCCTTTCTCCCGTAATCTTTCTTATCTGCGCTTCAAAACACAACAAGCGCGAGCAGGGGTACGTATATGGCAAAGTAAAAATGGCGGAAAGGCGGAGCGCGCGCCACATTTCAGAAGCAGTTGGCACGGGGAAATGGGGGAGTGCAACTACCGTAATGTACCAGGGGAGTGCGCACCCCATTTTCACTGAAAACTGGGTTAATCTAGACATGGGCGCTTGTCCGGATTGATCGGGCGGTTAACGTATAATTTGCAGAATACCCAAGTTTGGGAAAGGAGTGGGCGCTTGATTGAGTGCAGCCCATACACGCAATTATACGGTACCGCTACTACTACCGACCAAACCAACTCTTTTTTCCGTTTTCTACAACTTTCGGTGACTGCGGGCCAGCAAAGCTTGAAGTCCCCGACATGCCTCATCGCTAGGCTGGCCGACAATATTGGAAACCACACCCACCTTTTCCTGGAAGTTGAAGACCATCTCTGCCAGCTTCTGCACGTACGGATCCAGCTTGTACGACTCCCAGACGAGACCGATGCCCTGCGCAAAGGCGACAGCCCCATCGGAGCTTGGGCAACAGCGGTGGAGCAGCGACGTGCCGTCACTTAAAGCCCATGCAGAGGCTTGAGGGAACGAATAAATGGGTCACAGCAATACCACCATAATGTTGGCAAGCAAAGGAATGACACTGATATAAGAATGCACATCTTTTCAGAATGGATAAAGTAGGATCAAATCAAATCAAAGTTTTGAGAAGGAAGACAGATAAAAGTTACCACTCAATCGTTGCTTGACAAGCCTCTCACTCAGCAGCAACAATGAATGCAACCATAAATACAATATCTGTTAATAATGTAAAAAACAAATTATTAAAAAAAATTAAATCGTACATTTAGTTTAGTACTTATACATTTAAAGCATACATGGTTGAATTCTAAACAAATAATCACCATATATTTCTAGTATATTCATTCAAAATTCCAAAGCTATACGCACAAAAATAATTTGAAAGTCGGAGAAGGGTACATTTAACCATCCCACAGCTGTAAGTTGTTCCGCAGTGTAGTGCTATCCATGGACTCAGACCTACGCGTTTTGTATTCGCGTCTCCAGCTCGACGCTCGCCCTCCCGCGGCGGAAACGGGAAGCGCTCTAGTGAGGGTCCCCGATTCTCCTGCTCAGCGGGCATGGCGGAACTGCTCGCGATCATGGCTCGCGAAATGTCGTTTCCGAGTGCAAACAACACTCTTCACTGTCCCAAGGTAGTGCTGCAGCCGTTTTTGGTTTGTACCTTACTGGAGAGTTTTAGTATTGCGCATAGAAGCAAACGCAAGCGGTGTGCGTTTGCGTTAGAGTTGCGTGCCTCACGTTGTGCGTGCGCCTCATCGCCATGCGCTATCCAAGACCGGAATTTCGGGCTCCGCGCACGCGCAGTGTGGAACACGCAAAGTTAACGCAAACACACAGGCTTTGAGTTCGCTCGTATACGCAATATTAAAACTCACTACTGTTTCACCGGCTTCCAACGCCAACGAAACGTGCTGCAGTGAGCAGACGTGCAAGCAGGTAGGCGTGCCTTCGAACTGGAAAGGTTGAGATTGGCAAAACGACGGCGAGCAAATACAAAAGTAAATAAATGTTATGAAAAAACTAATAATTAAAAAAGAGCTTTTTTTTTTTTTTTTCTTTTGGGCGTTTGGTTTGGATGTATATTGGCGGCGACTCTGCACGTTTCGCCGATTGTCAAAAGTCGCGATTTTGATAGCACAATATACTTTATCCACAATGAATGTAATTTTACATGGCTTTCTCACATTAGCTAAAATGTTTTCATTTCAATTAAAATGTAGCAATTGGAACCAGTGATGATAATTAGCACAGTTTTCATTGTCATATTTCTTCGCGCGTTTAAAATTAGATCATAAGCCACAAATTATATTAGAGCTTGAAGAATTACTTACTCAAATATGTAAATTTTAATAATAATATTATTTATACAAATCGCGGCAATGTATGCCTCCAATTAACGCCAAGATCACGAGAATACTCTATTTAACCATAATACTCTTTCCAGAAAGCAATAATTCTGTTTTCTTTTTAGCATATGAAAAACTCTGACATAGTTATCAAGATAGACAAACAGTCAAGTACTGAATGTAATATGAAGTCCTACGCGTCACGCGGTGCTATAAAAGCGCACACACACACTTCAGCTGTCTGACTCGCATTCCGTCTTTGGGTTGTTGCAGTGAGAGCAGCGTTTATTAGTTTATGCGTTTCGTGGACATATCATAAAAATTGGAAATATTCTCTTATTCTTGTGCTGGGATAATTGTCATCATGACAATTATCTGAGCGAGAAAAAGGCAGTGAGAACTCACAGATATCAGCACTGATTTTTTCAACAACTACAAATATCAGCCTGGATCGAACAGTATGTCACAAAATGAAGTTTCCGCGAACAACTTCAATAAGTAAATAATTACAATGTGAGACACATATTGACTCATAAAAGAATTCGAAATTAAAGACCTATATCGAGAAATTAAATCCAAAATAGAGGTAAGTTTCGGTTTCGCTCCAGAATTAAAACGCGCATCCTTCCGTAAATAATACGCTAAACACCGTTCTTGTTTTCAGGTTAAAGAGGTGACCTGCGCTCATAAAACATTAGCTTCCTCCTATTACCAGAAATAATTTGTGTCGCTCAGTGAAGCCAGCACACTAGACAGGCTCAACAGCGGCACGCATCTCTGACCCTCACTAAACCCGCCATCTTGGAAAATGAGTGGCGCCACCTATAGTTAGTTGGAGTCGCGAATACTGCCTCACTATGCTCCAGGAGAGAGACTGCTATGTTAACATTTCCTTTGTGTTCAAAAGATTGCATGAAAGAGCAAGTTCTAGTTATGGTCTGAAATTTGCACAATATTTAGTTTATTAAAGGGATACTACAACGAATTTTCGGCACTTATTTCTTGCTCTATATGCGTGTTCAAGGCAGCAGTATAACATCGGACACACCAATCTCCCGATGAAAACTTTCAGCCTTTCCCCTCTGGTGAAGAAGGAAGACCAGCAAAGCTGTGTACTACAGTGGGGCGACCTCAAGGATGCCTTCTAGGACGACCTCTAGGACGACGTCTAGGACAACCTCAAGGATGACTTCTAGAACAACGCCTAGAGAAATTCAGCCTTTCCACTCTGGTGAACACCAGAGTGGAAAGGCTTGAAAGGTTGTCGCCATCTATGAGCAAGGCCGGCCAGCCGATTGTCTGGTTGCCGCAATCGCTCATAGACAACGGTAGCTGTCCAGAGTTTTGTGTCGACATTTATTTTGCGACGGACATAAAACTGGGGAAACTAGCCCTTAACAGCTCCACTGTAAAAAGAAACGAAACTCTACGCTCGCACTGCACATGCAGCACATAAAAATACCATTCCCTGGATTCTCCTTGATGCTTGGGCAATTTAGCAGTAGGTCAATTCAGTAGACTAGTTATCAATAGGCACCCTTTTCAAGATCAATAAACTCTCCAGTCGATAATAAAAAAAAAAATTCTCGAATATTTCTCGCTGTTTGACCTGCGTCGGCCATGTATATGTGCGCATTGCCCTCTCTTTGTTGCCGTTCCAAGCCGCTTGCATGCCTAGTTTCCTTTCCTTGTGCTCTCCCGGGGTGGCGGTCCAGTCGCGCACATCTACTTTCCGCCGGGTAACAGTCCCGTCGCGCGTGTCTAGTTTCCTTCGGCTCCTCGAGGCGAATGTGCGTCGTGTGCTAAACAGCTTTGCTGGCCATCCACCTTCACAAAGTGGAATGACTCATGATTTTTCAAAAAAACTGAGGGAGAGGAGTAGATGAAAGAGTGTGTGGATGTCAGTGCACTGAGCTTCGGTTGAAATAATTAGTGGATAGATGCAAAGCTCCCTGCCTTCCTACTCACTGTTTGAACGCGTTCGAACAGTGAGTGAAAGCAAGTTAAATGCAGGTGTCTTACTGGTATTTTACAGTGCCCACATAGACAGTAAAAGAAAATAAGCACTCACCTCCGCAATGAGGTTTTGGACATCTTTCTTCTGACCAGCAACCAGGAGGGTGATCGAAGGTCTGTCTTCCACCTAGACGAAAACAAAATGAAGATGTGCATTGAAAGGAACAAAAAGTGGCCTCCTAAAGTTTGTTTTCATCGGAGCAGCTGGAGTGAACAACCTCGCTAATCTGGGAAGCAAAGTTTCAGAATCTACCGTCCATGGAAGACCTATCATTCCCGATCTCTACTCTATAACCAAAAATCAATGATTTCGGCAAGAGTGCGGCAGCGAATCCTTACGGCCGTCGGATACTTACCCCCAACCGTTGAGACTACAGCACATCAACAGCAGGAAAGGAGTCAGCAAGAAAGCAGGGGCAGCTACGTGGCCCCCACCAAACGCGATAAGCAGAGCACCCACCTTTTCACAGGTCCTCTCGTACGTGCGGACGCTCTCGATGAGCGAGATGGCGAACGGGTAGAGCTGGTTGGCCTGGTGCGCCTTGTTCACAATGGCCAGGGGCACGCGGAAGCCCATCCACTTGAGGTTGCGCACCTGGAGACGCACACGCACAATGGCCGGGTATTGTCAATGTGCAATCATTACAATCCTCGCAAGGAAGGAGACTCCAAGAACTACGGTAGAGGTGCAACTCCAAAGGACCGGACAAAACTGCCCAAATTATTGAAAGTTCCACTTAAACTGAAGACTAAACACTTTGAGTACTCCAAACATTTTTTTAGCTCATACTTGCCCTAATGTTTTCTTTAACAGAATTGCATTTAAAAGATTCTACCACACATCTGCTAAGATTTAAAAATCTTTCAGCCTTTCCACTTTGCTGAAGGAAGAGCAGCGGAGCTGCAGCTTCTGTTCTCGGCGGTGGCTTTCCAAGCGAGCCATCTGCTTTTCTTTCGCAAATCTGAAGCGCTCGACGCAGTGAAACTTTAGATGATAGCGGCCTCATGGCGGTTGCGAAACCATTCGCGCTGCTGCGCACATCACCGCTCGTTCTGCTCCCGCACTTCTTCCTCCGTAGAAAAGTTGCCGCCATCTATGAGCGACGACAGTAACCAGTTGTCTGGTTGCTGCCGTTGCTCATAGATGGCGGTAGCTATCCAAAGTTTGGTGTCATCATTTCTAATCTGGCGAACACGATCCTGGGGAAACTATCCCTTAACAGCTCCGCTGTAAAAAAACAAGGTGTCGCTCGAGCTCGCCCGTTTTCGTAAAAAGCCTGTACCGCTAAAAGGCAGACCAGACAGAGAAAGACCCAATGGGAGTGCTTCTGATCACACGCCACAAGAGTCTTTGACAGCGAACGCCTTCAAGCATGCATGCACTTCGACCAAAGTCCATGCAGCGGCAGCCGAGACCGCATTAACACCCCCATTTGGGTCAAAACGAACAAAATAAGTTAAAGGAAGCTGGTGGATTGAAGACCACAATGAGCATCCTTTCTTGCACGAGAGCACGATTTTGTCACGTAAAGGAACGCCTTTGATGTTCTGAACTCCAGATGGCTGCGTAAACAGCTCACCTCTTTGGCCAGGGTGATGATCTCAGGCAGGAAGTTCACCTTCAGCTTCAGCACGTTGCCCGTGCGGGAGCGGGTGCTCTCGATGGCAAAGATGCGTCCCGTCACCCCCAGCTGGCGCTGCTGAACCTGAAAACGCCAGAGCGGAGATTCAGAAAGATGGCACTGGCACATTCGAACTGCCAGATTCGAGAAATAATCGGGCAACCGGGACACCATTGCCTCAAACATGGCAGCGGGCACTTGTCCAAGATGCCGACAAATGCAGGCTGCTTGAAAGACAAGCATCTACTTTGAGACCAATCGAGGCATTATTGCAGCCAAAGTAAGACTTGGTGTCCATTGAGAAGAAATGTCAAATGCAGAATTCATTTTGTTTGAAGAAACCGTCGCAGCAAAATGGTGACCGAATCTCCAGGGTGGCAATTTAATGAGCTGTCGTAGTGGTGTCAGGTAATAAGTTAAGAACACCTTGAATCCACAATGGCTAACTAAAGCTGGCTGCTCGTGCCGTGGGCACCCAAAGTGCGACCATCATGGTCCTTTTAAACGCAGTTTATAAGAATGTTGTTCTTCCTTTTAAAGTGAAAGCTGTAAGGAGCTCGTGCTGCAGAAAAGCCGGCATCGGCGGTGTGGGAAAACCCCGATTGGTCGATAGGGTCGTGACGTCACAGCCACATGACCTTGTGCGGGAACTTCAAACAACCCAGAATGCTCACGTGAAATGTGACGTTGTGCATAGAATGAAAATGATTAAAACATGACGTGTAATGCGGCTTAAACGTTGCCGCATGTCTCAAATGATTTCACTTGAAGTAATTAATTTCCCTTAAAGAAAATGTTGTAATTTTAGGCGGAGGCAGGATGTGAACCTTTGGTTGCGAGCCAGATACGCTACCGACTATACTCCGTTTCACCTTATGTTGTACCGCAGCGAAGGCTAGAAGCGCGAGCTCATAGCATTGGGAGCTACTCTTAACGCTCGAGAGCTTGTGCCGCCGAGATGGGCCCTAGAGCAAGGAGCTCGCACTTGTAGCCTTTCCTGCGGTACATCATAAGGTGAAACAGAGTATAGGCCATGCAGATATGACTGCACGGCTTGGGAATGAACGGGGCTTTGTATGTTTAGCCACTGCAGTTCACTCTTAAAGACAAAGTTTAAGCATCCTCCTGTAATTTCTTTTTTCTAGGCGAAAGCCTTATTTGTTTTATTACGCGAAAGAGCGTTTGCATTGTGCCCGAAAGATGGTCATAAAAATATGTCATCAAGCACACGCCTGAGAAATAAAACACAAAGAAAAGCACAGCAACGCAGATGCTTCGTCACAGAAGTCGTCGTGAAGTCAGCGGGGTTCGCCGCACCTCCACGTGATGTCACCACCAGAGCGCCGTGGGAAAAAGGAAGACGTGGCGCGCTGCTGGTAAGAATGCACTGCAGGTAGGATCGCTTTTGCGTTCCTACGCATAAGCAGTCTTAAGTGTTTCTGCTGAATTTTTTTTCTTGGAGAGGGCACGGTGAAAAGCATCTGACAGTTTACAAGACATCATCGCTGCATTGCAACAGAGTTTAGTGAAATCAATGTTTGTGTCCACAGATTGCCAATGGGTTTCCCTGATAAGTTATCCCTAAACAACGACAGTAACCAGACCTGCCCTTATCACAGGAATAGTCATAAGGGTGCCCAAGTGGCACACGAGTCGGTTATCCCTTTCGTGCCGCTGCACCGAGGCTGTTACAGGCACTCGGGTAACCCCCAGACTTTCTGGAAAGAACAGGCACTCACCACGCGTGACCACTCGTCGAAGATGGGCTGGGTGTTGAGCTTGGAGCGGAAGCTGTCAGCGTCGCTCTTCAACTTCTGCCCCTCCACGTGGTTCTCCCAGCCTTTGCCCAGGACGTCCTCCACCCGCTTCATGTACACAGACAACTGGCGGTCAATCTGCAAAAGACAGGACAACACCTTTTCTAGCCATACTCTTACCCAAGCAATGCGCAAGCCTCAATCACCTTGCAAGCTCTCTATAATAGCGGAACCTTGGCTTAATCAAGCCATAGCAAGGCTTCACTATAGCGAGATTTCAATATAGCAAACATTCGCTACACTGCAGCTTCGGTACAAGAAACTTCCATCATAGTAAAATTTGCATCACAAAGTTGTAGCAAATACCGTGGAAGCCAATACTGGCAACTCCCGCGGAAAACGGGCGAAAAGTGATTGCAGCGCCCCTGGCGAGCTCGGAGTCTCCGCTGGCAGACAAATTCTCCAAAATGCATTGGTTTTGCCTATCTCCGTGCGAGGTGACCAACGAAAAAAAATTGTCACGGACATTCGCTGCTTTGAAAGTTAAAAAAATGGGTGCCAGCTCATGAGTGAAGGACATTCTCTTCGCGTGGGAAAGATGTTACGGCTTTCTGGGTGCAATTTCGGAGTTTTCCCGAAGAAAACATTCTGTCACACTTATGTAAGCCAAGCAAAACACGAATGTATGCCTTCGCGCTGTTTCGTGAAAAAGGGAAATGTACAAACATTTCAGAACATAGCTTCGTTTCAACTTTATTGTTCTTATCAGTCAATTCGTTTTGTCGTTGCAATTCCCATTTCTCATGAGTGTCTTTCTTATAACCGTTTCGTCGAACAGGCGAGCTGGCTAATCCCGTTAAGATCGTCTCCGGATGAAGAAGCAGAAGTCAATTTCGAACCACGTACGTTACGGCGATGTCAGTATGCTCCGAAAGAAGGCGTTGTGCATATGCAAATCTGACTCGATTATAGATTAACAAAAGCGGAGTTACGAAAAAAGCAGACGTCTCGCGCTTGCAAAGAAAGAAGGGGAGAGCGTCATAGCCGCGCGAAAAAAAGATGATTGCAGTCACGTTATTTACAGTGCACAAATTCCGATCGTTAGCGCGGGGACGAGCAACATCTTCTGCTTCGCTGCTTCTTTACTTCTACGATAAAGGCCGACACCCGTTGAACCGTCTCCACTCTTTCCTTTTTGAGTCCTCTTTCTTTTATATTTTTGAGGCGACGCCACTCTGCCGTGTTATTTCTTCCTCCTGCTTATATGTTGCTGTGTATATTTTTTGTTTGCTTTTTGCTTTTTTTTTTTTTTCTTTTTTTGCCCGACGTGTAAACAATCGTGTATCCTTGCTTTGTTTGGCTTAGTTTTTACTCGCTTTCCTTCGCTTCGGCGCTTACTACCCCCGGTTCGTCTGCGCTAGGCCCGGGCATTTTGAGGGCCGTCTGCAACTTTGCTGTTGTTGTTGTTTTCTTCCACTGTCGTCTGCGATAACCTCCTATTTTCGCCTTCGATTGAGTTTCTAATCCAAAATCGTCATACGTGCTTTTTGATATTTATTAAATATATTAAGAAGTGTAAGCTCGTTACCCATTTTTATTCGAATTTTATTTGTGTACTTCGGCCGGCACGTCTGCTACGGATCATCGTTTGTTGATCAACCGGCCGCATTCAAGAACAAGTTTGTGCGATGTGGTGCCTACCATTGCAAGAACAAGTTTGTGCGATGTGGTGGAAAATCTTTCTTCTGCTTCCTACGTCAACCTACGGACACCTACGTCAACAAATACTTGAATGCACTTTTAAACTGCTTCGTCAAGCGAGCGAACGAACAACCCGCCAAAGTCACTGGAAAAAGAAATTCGGAAGCAAAAAAAGGTTACTCACTAATAGCACATATAGAAGATTGCTGCCTGCGACCAAAATATTTTTGCGACTCTTTTTTACCGGGCAGTGTGAGCTGCACTACGTTATTTATTTCCCCTGTTTTGTTTTTAGTTCGTACCTACGCCGCGAAAGCAAATAAAAAAATGTACAACAAGCAGCTGAAAAAAAAAAAAGGGTCGCTTTCTTCTTTTTTCATTAGTTTCGTCTCTTGCTTCCGCTTTGTTTGTCGTGAACTCAACACCGGTGGCGACCACCAGCTATTCATTTGCTGCTTTCCATTTTTCTTTTTTTTTTTTTTTATAAGCGCCGCAACGATCGTCGTCGTTGAAATAGTTTTTTTGCTAGCTTCTTTGTTTTATTCGCCGTTGTTTGCTTCTCTTTCCCGTTTCTTCTTATTTTCGTGGGCAATGGCGACACCATTTTTTCTGCAAAGTTCGGTAAGTGTTTGCGCGTTAATTTTTATCCTTACTTTTTGTTTTGTTTTTATGCTCCAGCAGCTCGTGCGCTTGCCCTGGTAATATTAACATGTCGTTTTTGCATGTTTTAACGATTACGACGTAGTTCGAGTAGCTAAACGCCTTTTTTCCGCTTCCCAGACGCGTTTCAAATGCGTGTGATCCCCTGGGAGGCGTTTGAGACCGCTAAATAAACTGCTCTATCTTTGTTTATGCGCGCGTTGTTATTCGATTGTCGTTGCAGTTGCGATCAGTGGATTCCGCTTTGCAAGCGAACTGACCGTAATAAATTGTTTCTGCTGTTAGGGTGACGATACGGGGCTTATAAAGCTCGAGGACGTCGCGGAGCCTATACTTTTCCATTGCGACGACTGCTTCCGTAGACTCCGAGTCCGCTAGAGGCGCCACTGTCACGTTCGCCGCCGCTCCTATGTGTTTTCGGAGGAGTTTCCAGTATTGGCGAAGCTATATCGTATTTGGTTGTAGTACCATAATGTCGGGTTTAAGACTCGGTGTTTCAGAAGCACATTAAATATGCACTCAGGTAAGGTTCACTCAGCCGAGGTTTTACCGTAGACCTTCGTCGTGATCCGCTCTGCTGCCGTTGGGCGCACACTGGGGAAAGTGGGAGAGTTCCTGCTCCAATAGCAGTTTCCGACTGCACGCCCTAATGAGGCTACATCCCAGACTGACGCAAAAGCGCTAGAGCTGGTCCTAGAAATGCTATGCATTTCAGGGAAGACACAGCTCTTCTAGGTAAAAAATACAAAAAAAAAAAGACATATCTTTAAAATTATGTTTCTGAAGATTGATTGTTACTTATCTTGTCCTGAAGTATTTTCGTGAAGCAAGTCTCTTATCTTCAAATAGTGACTTAAAAACCCAGTGAAAGGGGTCTGTGCCTGTTTTTTTATATCATTTCCTAATGAACTATTTATAAACTTTGCTATCTTATGGGAGCCATATCTCCCCTTGCACACATCTATTCCTTATTTCTTTCATCGGTAGGTGTATGTGTGAGGTATCCAAAAAAAAGGGGGTAGAAATATGTTAAATATGGCAACAGGTCTTTTTTCTTAGATGCCTTTTATATTTTCTGCAATAATCGTGAAACTGGGAAATTCAAGCATCATGAAAAAATTATAAGTTATCCTAGAGCTTTCCTTTATACCAGGGGTCTCCAAACTTTTTGGCTAGGGTGCAGGTTTGAGGACTTGTCGCGATGTGGAGGGCGGAAAAATAAATAAAAAAATATAAATAAGAACATACTAAATAAATAAACCTAAAAAAGCATTTAAGCACAGAAACGTAAACTACAGTAAATATATAAAAAAAAAATCCAAGGTGCATAAATACAAATACTTCATTTCTACAGCGGAGCAGTTAAGGGCTAGGTTCCCCAGGATCGTGTCCATGTATGTTCACACAAACCTATCTGGACAGCTACCGCCATCTATAAGCGACGGCGGCAAGCACACAACCAGTATGGTTTCCGCCGTCGCTCGTAGATGGCGGTAGCTGTCCTCGATACACACAGTGTATCGAGTACAGCTGCGCTGGTCTTACTTCTTCACGAGAGTGAAAAGGCTGAACAATTTTTTAGTCCGCAGCTCTGGTGCTTAGGTGCCCGTTTCTAGGTTGAGTGGCGGCGCCATCAGCGTAACCACAGATTGCATTATGGGATGTTTCCCATAATGACGTCACACGTGATGTTATGTCTGACGTCACATGAACGAATGCGACATCACGTAAAATTTACCCTCTAAATTAATCGGAAAAATTTCCCTCCTAAATTTAGCAGAAAATTTTTCCGCAGTATTAAGCATGGAAATTTTTCTGCTAATTTTAGCAGAATATTTTCTGTAAAATTTAGCGGAAAATTTCCCACTAAATGGGAATGGAGCAGGAGAGAAGGAGGGGAGGGTACGGAGGGGGAGCATACCCTCTTCTCTGTACCCTCCCCTCCTCCCAAGAGCTGCGCTCTAATTCGGCATTACAGAGAATTTTAAACAACTTCCTTTTTTTTTTTAATTCAATATGTTGCTAATTATTTCATCAAAGCATTGTGGCTCAGGAAACTCGCCATTTGGGGAGGAGGTTAGACTGTGGTGCACCAAGTGGCAAACTTTAGAACTACACAGATGGGGACAACAAATAACAATGACTAAGCACTTGGTTGCCTTAACCGAATGCAAAGTCAGCGTTCGGCTGGAGTATGCGTTCTCCGGTCGCCTGAGGGGGTCTTTTTTGTTACCACTCCAGCTGCATGAACAATGCAGCATGCACGGTGCATATGCCCAGCTCAGCATAAAAGCCCAACAGGATCAAGCTCGCGTTTTCCGACGACCGCTTTTGGAAGAGATCCGGCACTAACAATAAGCGTCACTTTGTTTATTGTTAGTATTTTTACATTAAGTCGTGAACGTGCCCACAAGGCCTGTGGGCATGTACACTCGGCGTCAAACCTGTCTAGAGCGCGGTGCGCTCCAGACTGCGCGTGCGACATCTGCCAACAGACGCTGTGCCCGAGATGGCGTGCCTCCGAGCGTACGCCGCCATTGTGCAGCGCTGGGCAGATGCCAATGTTTGTGCTGATCCTTCTGCAGACTCTGTTGGCCGCCAGAAGAGCGCCCGGTGCCTCCAAGCTGCGAAACTAAGGTGCTCGGTGTGGCGGCCCACACGCCACCGCCTCCATATTGTCGCGCGTTCTTCCGATAGGAATTCAGTCGCTGAACTCACACGCTTGCTGCCGTCAAGGATCCCAAACCTGAAAGCGGCTCAAGGCGGTTCTATCTGCTACTTAGTCGATGTGCCACATCAGCACACAGCTCTCGCACTCTAGACAGGCTCGATGCCGAGTGTAGAGACACCTTGTGTTAGGTAAACATTGAGGTGTGGGGACAACAAATGGGTCACGCCCCCAATAGTTTGATCTCCTCGTCAATATTTCGAAGCGCATAAAAACTTTGGCATGCGCACACATGGCAGAAGGCGAGTGATAATGGTAGAAGGGTAACAATATGCAATAGTTATGACATAGGACACTAAGCACAATATGCGTGAAAACGCTCAGGAATTTTAACATAGTTACATAAACATGAATTAGGGGACTATGAATACTAATGAGGTGATGACAATGTACAATAAGCAGTAATATGACCATGACCGGCTTTATAGGGGCGACCAGGTCACTCCATGTTTTCCTATATGAGCGCGCGGGCCAAGAAATATCACGAGAACGGCTTGGAGGGACCGAGTGTTCCGCTAGGCGCTGCCCTAGCTCAACACCAAAAGCGCAGCAGCCGCTATGGAAGGCAATCGGAACGTGTGGAAATAACGTTGGTATCAGATGACTGCTGTTGCATTTAATAGGCAGGCGCTAATGCTAGCACATAGTGTGTATAGAATAGGTTAAAATGAGTCGCTATATTATAGTTTTCTAGAGCAGAATTGTTAGTATTGTGAGCTAAGCATCAGCAGGGTGTACGAGTGTACAGGATGGTGCATCCAGTCCGCCTGCTGGAGCCCACTCCATGATCGGAATAAAAATTCGAGTTAGATTCTCCACAGGTGGGCCGTGATGCTCTTGGTGAATGTTCGAAGTGAGACACTGTCGACCGGTAGTGAACTGGTGACTGGCGGCGGGGTGCGAAGGAGTTCTAGTGACGAAGCATACGGGTTAAAAGTGGCTGCAGTCCACCAGTGCGAGTACGCCGCAGGGAGGAGGCAAAAAAAAGCGAGGAGTCCGGCAGCAGAAAAGTGACTAGGAGCCGCGTGGTCGCTACTTGACGTTGATGCTGAAGCAGGTTCCTGCAGACTGAACGCAGGAGGTGCATTGCTCGACAGGATGGTGTTTGGAAGCCAAGTTGACGCCTCATAATAAGGCAGGAAGTGCGACATTGCACCGACTCGAGGGAGCAACAAGTTGCCTGGTTGCCGAATCCCACACCGAGCAGCACAACTCCAGGATGGGCAACACTAGTGCTGTGAACAGCAATCAGGGCACATCAAGCCTGGCTCTTCTTGTGGACCGAATGACAAAGCCAAGGAGTTACCTTTCCCCGGACACGGCGTTTTGGGTATAGCGATGATCACACCTAGGAGGTAGATATGGGTTGTTCTTGGGATCTCCACTCGGTTCAAAAAAAGTGTTGCACAGGTCGTAGGTTGGGGAAGTTTGTTATCGTTCGACCAGAGAAGAATGCAATCTAGATCAGCTTGTAGCTCTTTACCGAATGTACGATCACAATAACAATGGGAAAAGTCCTTAAAATACAGCCGATTATCCTCAAAACGTCGCCGGTCGTGGAGCGGACACGCACAGATACACATGCGAAAACGTCTGCTAGTGTGGTGAGCTACAGAACCAAAAAACGCGGTGGGGGTTAAGCGAACTAGAGAAAGTACTAAATAAGCAAAAGCAAATGCGGCACGCTCGCACTGCCTAGAGTGACCTGGTCGCTCCTAATAAAGCCGGTCGTGAATATGATCATAAAACCTGCGTTTTGGTGTAGTGTTCTCTCATTCTTTCTGATATCTTTAGGGTTGAGCGATCTGAAATTTCGAATAGTAGTTCTGAATAATACACTATTCGATATTCGCTTTGAGAAGAACTGCACTATTCGCGTTTTTCGAAATGTGGATTGCGGCGGGTTAGCCCCGTTGAGTGCGCTTCTTACCAAGCACCGGTGTGCTGCGGAGAAGCAATACCCGCGGAAGCGAGCTCCGCAGGTGTTGCTTTTCTGCATTACATCGGTGCTAGGTAAGAAGCACACTCAACAGGGTAACCCGCCGCGGTAAACACTTGAAAAAGTATGAATATCGTAATTGCGTGCTTGGAAGAAAAGCATACATTTAAAGCGGGATGGTGCACCCGTGCCGACTGTATTTGAAAATAAATAGAAACTTTGTGAATCTCTATATCTACATTGTGGTAAAAGTTTCAAAATTAAACTGTTATGCAAGAGTACACAATGTTAGCCAGAGATGCCCTTACAACCTGCGTTCCTCATGCGCGATTCATTTTTTTTAACTCGAGATTAAAAAATATTTTATAGAGCAAGATTTGTAAATTCACTCAACTGGGTAAAGTTGGCCATCTTTATAGGATTCATTTTATGTCAAATCTGTCGTTTACATGCCATACCAAGACACCAAATCCTCTGAGGTCACAGTTCATAAATATAGATAGAATAAACTTAGCTTGTAAATGAACAAGTGGAACAACCTTCACAGGTTTAGCTGGGTTTTTGTCTAAGCATTTTGCAATGGAAATGAAAGCACCTAAAAAAGCGCCAAAAAAAAAAATGAAAGCCGTTCACAACGCCCTGTAACGCCGAATTAGAGCGCAGCTCTCGAGGAGCAGGAGGGAAGGGTACTGAGGGTCACGTGTTGTCGGGGGGGTCACGTGACCTGGGGGAGGGGTCACGTGGCCTTGGGGGGGTCACGTGACCCCTCCCCCGAGGTCACGTGGAGAGGTCATGTGACTTCGGGGGGTCACGTCACCCCCCCCCCCCCAGGTCACGTGACCCCCAGAGAAATTTTTCCGTTAGATTTAGCGGGGAAATTTTTCCGCTAAATCTAGCGGGAAAATTTTTCCGATAAATCTAGCGGGGAAACTTTTCCGATAGATTTAGCGGGGAAATTTTTCCGCTAGATTTAGCGGGGAATTTTTCCGCTAGATTTGCACTGCGCGGTTACGCCGACGGCGACGCCACTCAAGCCGGAAACGGGCGTCTAAGAGCTGCGCTCTAAAACACAAGGACGAGGAAGTAGACAGACAAGAGGGCTCCGTCTACTTCCTCATCCCTGTCTTTTTTTGGCGCTTTTTTAGGTGATCATGAACCAACTGGCCCAAATCGCTACCTTAGTGGTAGTGAAAGGCATGGAAAAACCGTTTGATGTTCAAATCGAAAATATTCGGCCAAAACCACTATTCGCTTCGAACTCAAAATCCACTATTCGCACAAGACTAGATATCCTCGTTTGTATGTTTAATAAGCGTTGCAAAGTTTTTTTCATTTTTTTGTTAGTAGCAGCAGCTTGCAGGTTGGGCGTTAACGGAAAGACACCAGCCATCTCTGGCCAGGACCCCTCTGCAAGCAGAATTTGGCCCACGGGCCGGGGTTCTGAGACCCCCGATTTATATTTTATTGCAGAGGTCGGCAACCATGGTCCTTGGGCTGCATGCGGACGACGAGGCAGTTTTATGCGGCCCCCAGCCCCACATAAAAAGATGAAACACCCTCCTCCCCCTTTCTCACAAACTCAAGGACCACACGGCAGTTTTAACATCAAATAAGGTTAGACAGAAACAAAGAGCACTTCCGATCGGCAATGTCCGGCATCCCCATACTTGGGAGAGAATGTCTTCCCTTCCTTTTTGGTTTCCTTGCGCTCAATGCAAAATGCTGCCGACCCCTACCTTATTGGATACCACAGACCTCCAAGTTAACTGAGATAGGTTTCAAATTCCGATTTCAGTTTTTTCCACTTGCCTCAATCCTTCCTGTAATATTTGCAAAAGAAACTTTCAATATTAACAAAACTAATTAGGCTTCTTTAAAATAAAGTTCATTTTTGTAGTTAGACTGTAAAGGCAGATAAGCTATGCAAGTTTCATTTGAATGTGATCGCAAGCCGTATAGAAAAGCTCTAGAAGCAGCGTTAAAAGTCGAGCGACCAAAGCAATTGCAGAAGATGCACCTGTTTGGCCCAGATGATGGAGCCGGCGACGGGAGGCAGGTCCCTGGCCCGGCTGATGCGGCAGGCCTTGCTCTGGGTGTATTGCACCTTGAACTTCTCGTGCAGGGCCTCAATGTCGTCCTTGACGCGCTGCATCAGCTGCGTCTGGTATTCCCGGATGGCCCCCCGGATGTGGGGCCGCACAAACAGGGCGTTGAAGCGCGAAAAGATGCGGAACATCTCGTTGGCGTTCTTGGCCGTGCCCAGCTGGTCCCTCAGCCGGCTCGTGATGCGGGCCTCCACACGGTCAATGCGCTCGTCGTACCTGCGCGGGGACGAGGACGATCGGCCAGTTCAACGCTTCTGCACTCGGAGTTAACCATGTTCGCACTTGTGAGCGAAGCTTTTCATGTCCGTCTGTGCACCGTCCGTAACTAACAAAGCAGGTAGCATGCATCTGTTATATACCTACTTCAATTATGCACGCACGGGGTAATGCGACGAATGAATGTGATCATTCACTAGCTCTTGAATGGCGAATACAGTTACCGTGGGTTTTGCTCTTAGGCTCTACATTTTGTTCTTCCTTTTTAATTTGTTTTATTGCTGTAATACGGTGCAATCCAATTACAACGATACCAGATATAACAATGCACTGCTTATAATGATCAGTTTCTAGTTTGTAAGGTAGAAACGCCCAGTTTCTAGCCCAGATACAACGATAATCGGTTATAATGATTGAATCTTCAGGTTCTTATTATCGTTATAAGTGGACTACACTGTAATACAAGTTCTTTGTGTGTGTGTGTATTGTGTGTTGCTTGAACGGCAAGAAGTGATTTGCACCACTGCCGATAAGGCTCAGGGCTTGGCAAACTTTGTATTGAAGCTTTCTTCCTGTTGCTCGACCACTCCTTCAAAATGAAAATAAACATTATTACTATTACAGTAAAATACTGTGGAAGCACCCACTTTGTACAAGTACCCACTATAAACATTTCCCAAACTTGGGAATCCTGCAAATAATATGCTAAGCGCCCACCCCCTCCAAAGCGCCTCCATCGGCCGAAAATGTTCACCCCATTGAGGCGGCCACGAGACCACCAGCAGCGATGACTGGGGTAGCGTAGGAAAATAAATGTGCTTTCTCCGATTTTGTTCACCCTGCCTTCAGAGCCCTATATTGGCCTCCATCTTGGCTTTTCCTGGTTTGACCAGACAAGTGCCCATGTCTAGATTAACCACACATTTCCTAGTGACGGAGACGCCTAACTAAGTCAAGCGCTCGCACAACTATGACAGAAATTTAGCAATACAGAAGCTACACTATCCTTGGCAATGTAGCACAAAATACTTGATGCCGAGTTTAGTCTTTCGAGATGGAAGGTTCGAATGGCTCGTAGAACCCATTGCGCATCATCTTGGAGAAAAATGGATGCAGCATACCCCATGTCTCACCCGCATTAATGCGACTTGGGCTTCTTGTATGCTGAATTTCCCAATTACGCTTTAAAAAAGTGCTGAGGACCAAACTGGACGCGGTACGTCACCTCTTGACGGCTGCGTCCCAGGCCTCTGTGCCTTCTTTCGAGATGTCGAGTCCGTCGACCTCCTTCACATTCTCGTAGGCCAGGTTCACCTCCTAAAGAAAATCCAAGCCAGGCTTACACAAAGTTGCCTGAATGCTGGAGTTGCAACTTTGTGTCGGGTAACAAAGAAAAACTAGACATTCTATGCAACTAAATACACGCCGAAAATTGCCAGTACAGTGAGGATATGACTATAATGGAATCGCTGAAGCTTAGCATAACTCAAAATGTTCACAGACTCCAAGTCAGGAACTATTCCGTTCAGAATACAGTCGACTCCCGTTAATTCAACCCCGACAGGATGTGCAAAATCGGGTTGAAACGGCAAGAAAACTGCCCAAGCCGAACTCACTTTAATTGAAAGTAGTTAGCGATGCTTTCTTGCCGTTTATGTTTGAAACACACATCGAACGGCATGCTCCGGAGGACGCTGACGTGCGTGACCGTGCTTTTAACCGCACTCAGTCACTCAGTGGGTGCTTTCGACAGCCCTTCCCTCGATGCCATGTCCTGCTTCCATCCTATAGCCGGTCCCCGTTGTCTACAATGTCTACAAAACCGCACAAATTCTGCTTCCACGCCTCTCAGGAGGCCTTTTCACTTGCTGTACAATGTAAACAAATGTCCTTGCAAAGATTGACGGCTGTTCTATGCAAAACACTCCACAACCAAGCTGAGCCCTCCTCGCCGCCGACAATGAAAGGGGTGACAAAAATCAAACTCCTGGACTTTTCCCTACGACAGGTACAGTCGCCGACCGATTTTTCAGGCTTCACAGGGACCAAAAAAAAAAAGTCAATAATACAGCAGTCTGAAAAATCAGCAGATTAAAAAACTTGCCTTTACTATGTCTAAGCGGGCTTAGAAAAGCCGTAAATAATGCCTTGCTTCAGGCTATGCCTGCGTGCCTTGTTTCAGGTTATGCCTCCGTTTGCATTCGGCAACTTCCCATTAGCTCGAGAATCGCTGCCTTCAAGTCTAGCATTGTGCTCGAGTACCTTCTGCGTTTCTTAGCGACACATCGCGGCGGCGGAAGAACAGATGGGGCAATGACATCCAAGCCAGCTCAGTTCGAAAACATGATTCACCGAGACGAGATCGAGATAAGAGGCACAACTTCACGACTGCAATGGCGAATGAACAAAGCAAACTGGTGACTACAATGATGATGATGATGATAATAATGCGGAGCCAGAGAAAAAACGTTCAGCCTTTCCACTCTCGTGAAGAAGGAAGACCAGCGGAGCTGTACTCGATACACTGTGTGCTTCTTCTTCGTCGTCGTCTGTTTTTCGCGCTTTTTCCTACGATGAATACCCACCAACGCGCCCAACCATGCATTCTTCTATTATAGCTGGAAAGGTTGCCGCCATCTACGAGTGACGGCGGAAACCATACTGGTTGTGTGCTTGCCGCCGTCGCTTATAGATGGCAGTAGCTGTCCAGGTAGGTTTGTTTCAACATACACTGACACGATCGTGGGGAACCTAGCCCTTAACAGCTCCGCCGTAAAAAAAAAGCCATACAGTGTCACCTAGCGGTAGAACTTAGCAGTACTCAAGTAGCACTGCCAAACCAAGCCAATTCATCTGCAGCCAACATAAAATCCAAAATGGCCACTTCTCGTTGGTGTTTTGCGATGATCGCTAGCGACGATTTTGTCCAAAAAAAATCTAGCTTTCGGACTTCAAGCTGTCCGAAACATCGGTCATGAACATGCAATATTTATATCAGGTACGGTTCCTCCTTTAGGTCCAAAATATCGAACAAGTCCGAATTATTAGAGTCCGAAAAACCGGTCACCGTACGGGAAACCCTGACCCTTGAAAACGAGAGATCCTTACCTCGATGGCAGTGCTGTCGGAAGCATCCAGCACGGCGGCCTCCGGCACCTCGGGCTGGTCTCCGTCGGGGGTGGTGGCGCTCGCCTGGAGGCTGCGGGGTGCCATGACCGGCCGTAACACGCGCACGATGACCGTGCGCAGCTGCTCGTGGTGCTTACGGAACCTGCAGAACAAGGAGTCCCCCCGCCCCGAAAATCGGTCATCCGAATCCCCTCAATTCGGTGCTAGAACCAATCGATGAGGAATGCAAGACAACAACGTGCAATGCGAAGTTTCCTCGGCTCCGCATTATCCGCACACCGAGCCCCCGGGAAGCGAGACTCTTGCATGGGCTCGATTTCTCGCAGACGAATTACGGCAAACAACTCGCGATGTCTGCAAACTTCGGAATAGTTTCAGTGAACTCGGTCCTGGCACTGGTTGCAAAAGCATCGGCGAAGACAACGAGCCAGTGCAGGCATCGCGGCGTCCCAACTACCAACATTCTTTTTGTTGACTGGCTGGCTGTGGACAGATATACAACAAAAACATTGTACAGTCCCGCATTAATCCACAATAGATGACTGCAACACGTCACGGCGAGATCCTCGGGCATCGGCGTCGCGTTGACGCACCGGGGGGTGCATGAATGAAGGCGTTCAGAACAATATAGACTTCTGACAAATTTGTTCCGAACGCTCCTTTCTTGTCTGCTCCCGAGTGCACGAAAGAGCAGCTCCCAGCACAAGCTCTTGACACTGACCGTGCTACGACGGCAGTAATCGGCTATCATTTGTTGCGGAGGGCGCGTGCAGCAGGCATCTGGTACTGCCAAAACCCAAAGCATAGAGCGGATTATTAGCGGTGAGGCGTAGCTCGGTGCAACGCCTTCGTTTGGCACGCAGCGGAACAGGGTTCGATTCCCACGGGCGGCGGCGGCAACAATCCGTTTTTTGAAAGGAAATTCCAGCATTGACAACGGACGCCCTACGTCGCCTACTACAACATCGGTGGTGGGAGGAGCCCACAACTGCGATCGCGGCAAGAGATTCACCAGTCCTGCGTTAACCCGCAGTATAGTCAAAGCCATAGCTACAACGAGCCACTGCAAAGCCGTTGGGCATCAAAGTCGCGTCCATGGCCGAGTGAGCAAAAATGTTCCAAACGAAATATGCATCTGACCAATTTGTTCCGATCGCTCGTTTCTTTTTGTTCCGGAGCATGCGAATGCGCGTATTCCGGAACAAGCTTCTAGCATTGACAGTGCTACAATCGCATTTAGTTAACGGCCATTTCTTTATTTCCAGAGAGCACGTGCTGAGGAAATCAACTAGTGGAAAAATTTTAAGCTACGATAGAGCGGGTCGTTGACGCTGTGGCGTAACTCAGTGGTAACGTGTCTGCTTCGCAAGCAGCGGGCCCAGGTTCGATTTTCGCAGGCAGCGGGCAATATTTTCGAGGATGTGGCAACATAGACTACGAACGGCCGATGTCGCCAACTTCGAAATCAACGACGACAACAATGACAACAACTACAACATCAACGAACGTCACTTCCAGTGGTAACAAGAGCCCATAACAGCTATCACTGTAAAAAAAAAGGTGCCTGCCCGAGCTATCTACATCCACCGCTTATCTGACGACTTGCAGCATCACGCAGTTGTGACCAGACAAGCGGAGAGGCCGAGATGAAGAAGCAATGAACGTGCCGGTCGGAAATACATTCCGCGCACCATGCTGTATCCAGAGCTGTTACACTTCTCAGCAGCCTACCACGTTCCAAAAAACCACATCTGGAGGCAATGCAATGGCTATTTCCACAAGCCACGTTAAGCGACACACCAAGAGCGTACCAAGGTGCCGCATCCAACTCACTTTTTCATCTGCTCCATGCGTGCCTGGAGGCGCTTGTGGGCAGGGCTGACCCTCCAGGCGGTCTTGATGTGCTCGTCCCGCTTCTTCTTCACAATATCCCTGAGCAGAGTCTGCAGCTTGTCGTACTCCTCGTCCCAGGCGTTGAACACCTCCAGGCACGCCGACATCACCGCCTCAAAGCGGTCGTAGGGCGCGTGCATCAGGCGACGCGTGCCCAGCACCTGACGGGAAAAGGCGCTAAAACGAGGCATCGAGGCAATTCCATACCACAAAAGCTCCACTACAACGAGCTTCACCAAAACAAAATGCTTTCACTTAATTAGATGCTGCGTTAAAGGGACGGTGCAACGATGTTCGAAGTTTGGCCAAATAATTGTGGGAGTTGGTCTCTGTCATTTCTAGATCCACGAACAGAAAACCATTTCTGGTTCCGTACGCTAGTTTTTATTTTAAAAAATGGCAAAGATTGAAGTTTTTGGCGCCTCTCAACTCGTGCGTCGGCAACAGAGTGCTTCCGAGTCACGTGCGCAGTGACATCTCTGGGGGATTATGTCACTTCCGGATGGCTTCTGCGACCTCTGTTTTTTGGCTCAGACTCTAAACACCGTGTCAACCGTGTTCTCGACCAACGTGGCATCATGGCGTGTTGGTCTCCGGCATCACACAGCCCTGAGGGGTTCCTCACATGGTAGACGAAGAGAGAGGAGATTTTGGTTTACGAACAGGAGACTCCGGTTTGGCAAAACAAGACACCGCACCCGGTAGGCATTGCCCGTGATCGCAACGGACAATATGATCGTACACGAGAAAACAAAAGTTCAGACCCTTCTCTGCTCCTCGAACAAACCAAACTGCTAGACATTACTCGAGACGTTGCTGAAGCTCTTTAATCTATGTACAGATATTTACGGAACGTGCGTTCTCAGCACAGAACGGGACATCGGCAGACCCAGGCACGTAGCCAGGGGGGGAGCCCATGGGGCCCGGGCTCCCCCCAAATACTGGGACCTCGTCTCCCCCCTACCCCTCATACAGTATTTTGTCATGGGTGGGCCCCCTCCCAAAACAAAATCCTGGCTACGCGACTGGGCAGACCGTTGGGTAGACTAAGCGGTTCGATCTTCACTCGCACGCTGGCTCACGATACTTTTTTTTCTAATCATTAGTGCCCTCCCACGTAAGCAGAAAAGAGATGCTGTCCGAGATGCAGCACAAACAAACCCGGGAACGACGGGGAGGGTGGCTGCGTAGGGGGCATGGTTTTGCTGGCATCAGGTAGAAGGTGCCACGACTACTTAATAAATTTTAGGGATAATACTAAACTTTTCACGCATTGCTCTATGCTCAAACAAGAAGATTTTTAAAAAATAGCCTTAAATTGAGCACAAAATTGCACAAATCACTAATTTACAATTGACATCCCCCAGAGTATGTCACACAGCATTTCCTGTAATTGCCACACGCGACTGCAAATCGGCGAATAGTTTGTTTTTTTCCTTCGCGATTAAGTGGCGGAATCGCTGTATCGGGGGAAGGATGCATGTTCTGATTTACTTGTGGAACAATAAGCAATATCAAAAATAAAAACGGTAAATTCTTTCAACCTTAAAATCATTGCAATGCCCCTTTAACTTCCACTACAAGGAAAAACTGCCACCTCAACGTACACTTCTTGGTACACTAGGGCTGTGCTCTGGAAAAGCCATCCAGGTGAAAGCCATCGGCTAAAAGGTTTGGGCAGTCTCGCTCGTCCACCATGAAACCGTTGGCACCATTACTACTGCCCTGTCTACTTCGGTCAGGCACATTCTTCTTTCATTGTTGCAATATTGAAATTCTTTATACCATTATTTGTCACCCACACCAATTGCATAAACCGTGAGGCATATGTACATGCCTCCTAGCTACTCAGGAAGGCTACCACGCACACGTAACAGGCGAGACGCGCTAAAGCTCGCTCATAAAATCTAAAAATGTTGGTGCCACATTCATACTGTCACGGACTTTGAAGGACTCGAGAAACAATCCGGATGTATTCTGAAAGAAACCGATTTCTACGTGCAAGCAGTCAGAGTTTAGCCCTTCTTGCAGATTGGCACGCATTTGTCGCAAACGGCCAATTTAATCTAGCCCGTTGGCATCGGGGATTCTGAGTATTCTCCGTAGGGCCCTCCAGAATATTCCATCTCTGTTTTCCCAATTATGAGAATTCACTCCCAACATTCCGACCGTCCTGCAATAACAAGCACAATCTCAAGAAAGTGCAAACAGGCTGCAAGAATGTTACTCAAAGCTGCCATCAACACAGGGGAGAATGGCCTTGGCAAAGAGGGAGGCACCTTGAGCAGCTGTCCCATCAGGTCCCTGGAAATGGCCTCCACCAGACGCAGCGCACGCTGGATCGGGTACTTGGTGGAGCGGATCTTGCGCAGGTGGGAGAAGATCCCGTGGAGCGCCAGCCGGATGCGGTCCAGCTCCGTGGCTGCCAGAAGGTCGTTGAGGGGGAAGTCCTGCCGCACAGATACCAGAGAAGTGGTTCGGCTCAAGACACAATGCCACAGTTACGGACGGCTCAAGAAACGAGGGGCATGGCGACTCTCAAGCACCTCATTGCCGCTAACGAAACTGCGCCACTACCCGACAAGAATGCCCATAAATGAATCGCGAGGCCTCTGTCTGGTTAGGAAGCGCCAAAAGTGGAATTTACTAGCCACGACTTATATAAAAAAACTCCCGACGTTTCGGGACTAGTTCAGTTTCTTGTTCCCGGGCAGGTCAATGGCTATGTTTACATGGATGCAACAGTAGAGCATAAAATTGAAAGGGAACCAATCGCACATACCCAGTCTTTCTGCTTCTTCCTCTTCCACCTAATCACAATCGTCACATGCGCTACAGGTCAGTGTATGCGTCACTCTCCCGACCGAAGACTCACGTGTAAACGAGGGACCACACTGGTCCCCAAGTGTCAGGATTCTGTTTATTAAATTTACAATTAGAGCTGATTTAGCCTAGAATGCGGGTCATTTCTGTGTGGCTTACTTAGGCGGAGCGGCCCCCGCACCCAGCGCGCCAGGACATACCTTCATGAGCGGGTTGTAGTCGTTGACGGTGGACAGGGCCTGCTTGAGGCCCGTGTCGGTGTCGAAGGAGACCGTGGCGTGGAAGCGCTTGCCCTTCTTGAGGATGTCCAGGGTGAGGGCCACCTCCAGACTCTCCCGCTTCTCCTGGATGCGCAGCAGGGCTCGCTCCAGGTTCAGCCAGAAGCTGATCTCCTGCAGGGCCGTGCCAGACGACGGGTCCCGGTCCAGCTTCGTCACCTGCAGGGCATGGACGTGGAGCATTGAGGACGCCGAGGAACTCTCGACGTGCAGAGAAGCATCCCCCTCAGACTGTCCCTCAAACGGGTCACAAAGCGGGCTAACTTGGAAGGTGCCCTTGAAGCATATTCAAAGTTTGAAATATCCTATTTTCAGGACTATAGTCTGTGGACTATACCAGGAACGGATTTATGGGTCATGCTTAGGAAGGAGGGGGAGAGGGGGGGGGGGGGGGTCTGCAGAGAGATTTTACGTTGCCCAGATATACTTTGTTGACCTAATAATTGCCATTTCACCCAAAACTGAATGTGTCTTCCAAAATAAAAAAAAAAGCAGGTGAATGTTGTTTTTATTTTTAAAAAAGTTGCCCTTGGAGGCTTAGCGGAGGCAACTGCCCCCCACACCTTCTTTAAATCCGTTCCTGGGCTATACATGTTAAAAAGTTTAAATTTTAGGCAGTGTGGACTCTACAGGTGCAAACTCTACGAGGATTTGCTTTTTCTAGATTGAGTCAATGTGACGAGACGTTACAAATTTTGCAAATGACATACTACGTTAACAATTATTTTGTATGACAAACTCTTCTGTAAGATAATGAGCGTATGTTAAGGTGTACTGTATATGAGAATTTTTACGTGCAAACTAGGCACCAGGTGCAGACCATCTAAGGAAAAACTTCTTTCAACCCATATTTTTCTGCAGATTATACACCAGAAGCAAACTACATTCCGAAAAATATGATATTCGCCGACTCACACATACATCCCAGTGCCAATGTACCACTAAGTTAGTGCTGCATCAGTGCTGCTGCCAGTGCTGATTCAGCATGGAGTTAGTGCTGGATTGTGTGTGTGAACAGGAAAACGCCAAGTCTCATGCAGCAGAGTGCTGATACAGCACCGTGTTTATAGTACTGAGTTAGCACTACAATGTTTGTGTGGAAGGGTCCTAGAAGTTTAAATTCTAGTGTGTACACTTAACTTGTCTGACTGAGTAGACAAGCAGCAGAGCTACAAGCAAGCGAGCACACGCCTAAAATACCAAGTAAACTGAAAGTGCGTTAAAAGTACACTAGTATCTCAAGAGCAGTATTTTCTAGTTCTACTAAACTGTCTCTAAAGAATGTCTTAATACTAAATTTGTTTCAGAAGGTTCCTTCTCGGGTCAATTAAGTCAAGAAAGAGACGTTCGGAGGCAGACACGCCCACCTTCTGGATTTCTCGGATCCAGCGGTTGACGCCGTTCTGCAGCTGGTTGAGGAAGCTGGAGTCCTCGACGCGGTCCCCGAAGTCTGCGGCCGTGGCTCGGCGGCCCTCCTCGGCGCACTTCTTGATAGTGGCCAGTACCAGCGGGTTGACCGGCAGCGTGATCTCGGGGATGTCGATGTTCTGCTGCAGGTGCAGCAGCCCCATCTCCAGCTCCGCTATCTTCTTCTCCACAGTCGGAGCCATCTTGTCGCCATCCCTGCAAGGGAATGCGCAACCGCAACTCTGTGCCACACGCGGCAGCTTTGGAGGGGTGCCATGGAGAAATACGCCGCTTTTGCCCACGTAGTGCAGTGGTTTTGTTTAGACACATAGTATCACTTCATCTATATTATCTAACCATGCCCCGCATCAGCGAGGGCATCAGACCAACACCTCCTAGATAGGAAGGCCGCACTGCCAAATTTTCGCCACTGTTACGATTTCAAAGTTTAAACGGCTCCTTACGGGTTAGAGGAGGTAGTACTTTTATGAACTTGCAGTATGTTAGGATCTTGCTGCTCAAATTTGAAACTACTTTTTGTTTACCTATGCACTCGTGAGGGGCTATATCTTCTCATTCCTAATTATGAAGAATCAGAAATATAACAAAATTAAACTCGCATTAACACCAAACCTCAATGAACTTCACCATATTTGAAACGAAAAATAAGCTTTAGAATGACACCCTCAGAATGTCACGAAAATAGACTCCTAAATACTACGACATCTATTTTCTCTCTCTCTCTTTATCGGAATACCCAAACTCCAAAAGCAAAGAATTCCATTCGTTGCCGAGCGTTTTGTCCCTCCCTCCCTCCCTCCCTCCCTCCCTCCCTCCCTCCCTCCCTCCCTCCCTCCCCCCCTCCCCTCCCCTGCCCAGACTCTCACCTCTCAGCCCGTCCAGTCTCCTTGACGTAAGACTTGAAGTAAGGCGCAACTGCACTGCTCACGTAAGAGTGCAGAGTCTCGTAGGGTGAGGAATCATTCAAGTTCATCACTCGCAGCTGCGAGGGAACTTTCTTGTCGGCCTCGATCACCGCACACTTCTTGATCACCACCAGGCTGTTGGCGAGAAAGTCGGGTGTTGACGAGAGTTAACCGCGGAACAACCAGAACAAAAAGGTAAGACAAATATGCACCACCATAACACTTCTGCTGCAACAACAGACGCCTTGTTTTCTCGAGGTTTCAAAGCAAAGCCAATGTAGTACCCCCTTCCAGGCTATGTGAACTGAAACACCTAATCCGGCCTTCTGCGTCTGCCGTCCCAACAAGCTCTATTATCTCTCAATTTCTCAAATAGTCCGAAATATGGGACCTCAATGCCACATTCCATTCCTAGTTCGAACCACAGCTTTCAAAAACTGGCCGGCAGGCCAAAGAAGCACGAAGGACTGTTTCAGCTCACATTGTCCGCAACAGTACAAATCCATGACCTGACTAGAAGGAACTACAAACATCAACTTGTGTTTCAAAGAAAACTGCAAGTTGATTAGAAGACTCGCTCGCTTAAATGTAGCAAAAGTATTAGTAAGCAAATTTATAACAATATTTGGCTCATACCGCGCGCCAATTTGGCTCGCTCATTAGCCCAATTAAAATAGGGCTTGCATCACGTCGGCGCTTTAATTGCTTTATTTTATTTGGGGAGCGCTGCCGATGCGGCACAGTTAGGGGTGCGAAAAATAGTAAGTGCAGCCCATTTGCCTCCATCCACTGCATTGGTGCGGGAACAGTGGTAAGGACATGTTTGGCTTGCAAGTGTTCCCCTCCACAAAGCTGAGTATGCTGGCATTGGCTAGGACTGATGTTTCACACTTGCAGCTCATTTCTGGCACCTTGCAGGGTTAATACCAGCCTTGCCGGCCAGGTGTGCCGTGTGTAAAAGTAGAGATGTTCACACTGAACTCACCTGTTGATCTTGGGGTTGGTGAAGTGTACTTCGCTCGAAAAGGTGTAGGCCACATTCTCCTCTTCGCCATCACCGCCACCTTCACCCACAAGCTCCTCATCTAAAATACAAGTACAGGAGGAAATGCTTTTCACACAAAGCAGATACGCGAGAGTTTGGGATGCTTTTCTTAATTTAGGCATTAAAGTGTATACTGAGATAGCCTTCATGGTGCAAACTCAATCTACAAGCCCTAAGCATACTAAAAAACCCAAGATTACAATAATGATTGGCCAGCTTCCCTGTGAATTTTTTTAATAGGGAAAAAGACCATGCATGAATGTAACTTTGGGTGCAGATGAGGAGTAGTGAACTAAAGGAGGAGTAGTGAGCTAGCGAGCGCTCACGGCTGCCGCACTCCGTGTCGACGGCTGGAGAGGGCGCCACTAAAGCATGTTCTGGATAGGCTGTATGAAGCGGGCAGCCAGGGCAGCTCACATTGCATTTGCTGAGCGATTAAACACTGATTCGGCATGATTACACTTCATTGGTTACAAACAACAGCAAACACAGGGTAAAGGTCAGTTCAGAACGGGAGCCACTTTGCGAAACAGACAAAGAGCAAGCCAAACCTGCGCCGAAGGCTTTCGGAACGCTCGGAACCGGTTTGATCCTCGAGTCCGTAAACGACCGCAGCGCCGCCGCGTACATCCGGGACCTTTCATCGGAGCCTGATCTCACTATTTCTTTTTAGTATGCGCCGCCTTTCTTACCACTTGGTGGCGGGCATGTCGACGGTTCATTTCTGTTTTCCGGACTTCATAAACTGCATTTGTTTCTTTTCTGATCTAAAATACTGAACAAAAACTGTTTTTATAAATAATTGAAACGGTTCGTGCCACTTATATTTTGTATTTCGACTAAAAAGAAGCTTCTAACAGCTCTGACCAGTAGTAAGCCCAGGACCAAATACCTCCCATTTCGCACGCCTTCGGTACCGCGGGCCGCCCCCGTCGGTGGAGGAGGTTTCTGCGTCGTCCATTTAAAATATGACACACTGATATTTAGTTACTCTCGCTATGCCCGACGTGGAGACCGCAAAAAAGGTAGACGCTTAAATATGATTGCAGGGCCCCTTTAAGATATATTAATTTATTAATGATTTACCTAACTCAATTATTTCTAGCATCAGATTCTTTGTGGACGACTGTGTTCTATATCGCAAAATTATCATAATTACCATCTTGAGTTCCAAATGATTTAAATATATGCCTGGTGCTCCAAATGGCTTATGTCATTAAATATGTTGAAATGCAAACTGGTTTGCTTCACTCGTAAGAAAATAACCAATCACTTTTCATATTTAATTGTCTCTGAACCAACTGACTCTGCCCCTTATTATAAATATCTCAGTGTAACACTAACAAGTGATCTAACCTGGAATAACCACATTTGAAACTATTATGGCAGGAGCTTCTCACACTCTTGGGTACATCAAACAAAATCTAAAAACAGCACCCTCCCACCTACAAAAACTGGCATATGAAACATATATGTTCGACCAAAATTGGAATATACATCAGCTATTTGGAGCCCAGGCATCAGTTTATCTCATCAGTCATCTTGAGTCCATTCAGAATCATGCTCCAAGATTTATCCTTAATGATACTACCCAACAACTAGTGTTTCCTCTCTGAAATGTGTGTCGTAAAATAACCTGCCTAAATTTATTTCACAAAGTTTACCATTTTCACCTAATGCTCCGTACTTCGCTACTTCTTCCTCCTGGCAGATCATCATCACATCTAAGCCACACATCACATGTGTCACAGATCACCAGTTGCACTAATTACTTCAACCAATCTTTTTTTCAGCAGACGGTCATAGACTGGAACGACCTGCCATCTGAGATAGTGACCAATAATGACCCCTTCCTTCTTGTTTTGCAATGCTATACCTTTTTTACTAATAGCTCAAATATTTGCAGTTTAATCACATCATATTCTTCTAAATTCTTTCTTGTTAATGCGGCACTGTTAGCAGCAACACCTGATGTTATTATGTTTTTGGCATTTTTTAAGGCAAAAGCCTTACTTGTCCCATTCCACGGAAAAGCAGTGCATTGTGCCCGAAAGATGGCCATAAAAAGATGTCATCAAGCATGCGCTGCTCAATCATATGCTCAAGGACGACGCCGTCCCTGACGTTGTCCCAGAAGTTGACTTCTAGGCCGTCCTATATGCCGTCCACTAGGCGTCATTCTCGACGTCGTCCTAGACGTCATTCTTGACGTCATCCTAGAGGTCGTCGTAGATGTCGTCGCAGTGTTAAAAGCTGCAACAGTACAACGGACAGAAAGGAAGACACAGACACAACGCTGTGTCTTCCTTCCTGTCCGTTGTCCTCTTGAACTTTTTAACCATTATGAATCCCCAACTCGCCCAACACTCCAACCTGGTCATCAGGGGCTCCGGAAGTCAATTCTGATCGGGGGGGCGGGGGTCAAGGCTCACATCCTTGCAGTGCAGATCCCCCCCCAACTTTGAAGATTTTACGCGCGGAAAAACCGAAATGGAGGAAGCGACCTTTGTTTAGCCGAAATCTTTTCTGAGTAACAAAAAGAGGTCTTCAAAATCTGTAGCACTCAAGAGCGTTTCCGTGGCCTCTTCTGTCACACCGAACAAAAGTAGGAAAATGATTGACGGATGGCAGAAATGCTTTTCGCGTCTAGGCGTCGTGCAGAAACTTCAAGGTCCCATGCTAGGCCAGCTCTGAACCCTCTCCGGCCATTATGGGATCAGTGCGCTTAATTGGCACGGTATTGGCATGGCCGAGCTTGAAAGAGCCGATCCCGAGCAAAACTTGTCAAAGAGAGTGTGCAGTCCCTCCAAGGATGTATGCTCTGGACTGCTGTTCGTCGAAGCGCTCTGCCAGAGACCAATTTCCCGCGGCAAGAGGTTTTACGTTTGGGGAGGCTTATCCAAAGCCCGAAGGAGGCCTCCTCCCCTCCTTGCATCTTTTCCGATGACAAGGAATGGTAGAAAGGTGACTTTCCTAAGCTGTCCCTGTCCTGCTGCCACTGATTAAGATGTGACCAATACGTGCGCCTCAGGGCTGGCTCAGAAGAAACGTTTACCCCAGCACTTAACAGGGGTATCAGCTTTACTACCAATTCTCGTCCCGACAAAACGTCGCTGTCCTTTCTTATTCCGCTTCAAGCTTGGAAGGCGCTGTAGCATGTTGCTCTGACTACATTAAAGGGCAACTCCGCTTCATTTTTGATATTTAGAAAACTATGTAGCCCTCTTCAGTATCATATAGGAAGACTCCATGTCAAATATTACGATCTAATTCCGTTTATATATTTAATAAACTGACCAGCAAACCTTCAAGCGAGCCAAGTCGCCGAAATCTGCCAACTCTAGCGTGAGGCGCGAGGCGCAATCATCAGCGTAGTCAATGCCACGGAGTTGGAGCGGCCAACGTTGAACCCCTTCGTCAGAGGCATGTGTACGTCATTCTCACGTTTTGTTTGTTTTTACTTCTCAGAGCGAAATTGAACGATGACGTCATGAGTTTCTCCTCCCGGTGTTGGCTGACCGGGCGCTCACGTGATCACCGTAACACGGATGCGCTAGTTTGCGCTGCTCTGCGCGCTTATCGGTCTGTTTTTCCGCTCCCCTTCTCCTCTTTCGTCTTCTCCCCTTCCTCCTCTCCCCCGGGCCATCACCGTCCACGCCATGCGAAGCGACCTATCCGCGTCCAATAAAAATTTAAAAAAAGACCTACCCGCGTCACGTGTCCTGTTTCTCGCTCCTTCCCGAACGTCACAAGACCACGTGGTTCGACGTCACGTGACCATGACTCTGACGACCCGAGACCAGTGTTGCCTGACGCAACCGAAGTTTCGGTTTCGGCATCTGATGATGTTTAAATTAGGATTACACAAATAATATTCCACATTTCGCGAATCCGAAGACGTAGAGTTGTTTAGTAGTGCTTTGTGAATGTGAATCACATGGAAGCCTAAATTTTTCGAAATTGAGCGGAGTTGCCCTTTAAGGGAGGGTTGTGGGTCAGCCTTCAGCGTCGGGGGGGCATGACCCCTACGAAAAAAACATGAGGGGGGCGGACGCCCCCCCTGCCTCCCCGGTTCCGGAGCCCCTGCTGGTCATCCTAAACATTGTCCTCTAGGCGTCATCCAAGACGTCGCTTTGGAGGTCATCCTAAACGCGTTCTTGAGCTCTTCCTCAGCATCGTCCTAGACGCCATACTTGGCGTCGATCTCTAGGTTGTCGTCCTATACATCGCGTCCTAAACTTTAATATGTGTATAAACAAAACTTTAAAACCTTTCTACCACTGGACTATAATGCTTTCGCCTTCCTACACGTAAACCGTATTAAGTGTCCTCCTGTAATTTTTTTTTTGTATGTCTCTTTTCTTATGTAATACCCTTGAGAGAAGGCCCTTAAGGGTACAATAAATGAATGAATGAGGACTCCCAAGTTGAGAGGGCACCAAATTTGGGGGTTTTACGTGCCAAACCAACGACAAGCATCTGGTACGCCCAAGCGGAGCAGTGAGGATTAAATTGGACCACCGGGGATCTTTTTACATGCCACCGAAAGCTCGGTTACACGGCGTCTCCTCCGCAATAAGCCTCCGTCAGATTGCGGGCACCTCGGCCGGGATTCGAACCCGCCACATGGGGATCCGTAGGCCAGCGCTCTCGCCTCGGAGCCACTGAGGCAGCTAAGTTGAGAGGGCACATGAGCGATCTTGCACTTCATTGCTTTTAAACTGTTGTTTTTGTTTTTTTTTACCTGGCACTTTTTTGGGGTCTTTGCCCGAACTAGTGGATGTGCCGAAACATGCACCAGCTGTCTCCAGGAAGGGCTGACATCTGTAGCAAAATTGTAAAGCCTGCGTGTGCCGCAAAGTGACAGGAGCAGTGCAGAATGCAAACGGATTGCTGAGTGCTGGAGTGCCTACTCATCCCTGCTACACAGGATGAGTAGAGGAGCAGGATTTGATTTTGGCACTTTACTTTTGACTAAATGGTATGTTTCTATGCATGTTAATGAGTTCAGTGCTGTGTATTGGTGTACTTACACGTGCTATTATATTGTTATTTAATTTTTACTTTGGGAAGCTCGTGTCAAAATATATTGAACACACCTTGCGTTTGACCAGTTCAATCCCACGGTGTTTCGACAAGTCCCAGTGGCGAATCGCCCTACGAGTTACCCCATTACGAATTGTCTTTCGACGAACGGCCCGTACCCCGTGTATTACAATGCCTTGCATTTTCAGGGGTTCACTTTTTATTTTAATTACTTGTCACTTTTCCTTCCTCAATGTGTCCAGAACCAGACATTGACGCAGGGACAAGGACGAATGTCACGAACGTAAAAGTTCAACCAGTATTTAACAAGCGAGCATTTATACCAACGCCACCTCGGAGACAAAAAACAATTCATCCAAAACTTGACCGTGGCAAGCGATCAATGGCGCTAATCGCTCGCGTGACGGTTCAACCACGCCTACCACGTTCATTGACGCCGAGAGACGATCGCAGAGGAACCTGTATTATGGCAAAGAGGAATCCGGCACGTATTTATACGAGCGTTCGGGGGGCCGAACCTCCGACCGCTGTTAAGCAGAGGTTCACAATGAAAACAAGCAGGAAAGACAAGAGGGCCGACCACGTCACTTGGGCCTTAGGCTTAGCCCGGTCCAGACTCACCTTTGCTCGACGAGCGTTGGATGAGCAAAGACCGGGTTTGGGGGTCGGCAATGAACTTGCGAAGAATCTCCAGGTTTCCCTTGTCGGACAGGGCGGACTCGAGTGACGGGTGGACGACATCGTCCTCCTCGAGAAGCACCGGCACGACGCGCCTGAGGTACTTTACGAGTAGCCCGACATCGGCGAGCTCCACGTCCTCGGTCACCGGAGCCGTCCCTTCGGCAGCCTCCGTCATGGCAACCGCCGCTTCAACGCGTCAAGGCACGCAAAATGACGCTTCTTCAGTGGATACGACGGCAGCACACAGAAGACTCGAATCATATGCTCGAATACAACTCACGAGTCACAACAGAGATCGCCGCTCGGACAAGCTCGGTCGCTCAGTGCGGCTCAAAGCGTACCCAAAGCGCCCAAAGTGTGGAAGGTGCGGCCAAAAAAGCCGTGGCCAAGCTTTTCAAACTGGGCGGCGTGTTGCGCTATCTGGCCAGTGTTCTTAATATTGATTAAACATTAAAATAGTCTAAGTAGTGATGTTTTTGATAATCAGTAGTTGATGACAGAAAAAAGATTTCAAGTAACCTGTCTTTCTGTCTTTTACGTCAGCGGGTCATTATGAAACGATCCGTGAGTTTATTTCTATCGGAACTTCCGTTCGTGCTTCCGTTTCCGTTGCTCTCGAACAGCATCATGGGCTTTATCGCCGCTTCTTCATGATGGCTGCCTGTTGTTACTGTGCATAACTCGTGTTTATAAACATCTTATTTTCTCCACGCCCGCTAATAGGTCGCCACTTATCGCTGAAAACGCTGGCTGATATGACTCACTAGCCGCTATCTGGCGTAATTCGCTGGCATCGTTTTTGTTTAACGCCGACGACGACATGTCCGAGACAGTTGTAAGTGGTTCCCCGTCGGAACGGCGGCGTGTTCCTTCCTGGAAAGTCGGAGCGATTCCTCACGATTTGGCCGATCTCTTCCTGCAGAAATCGACCTTGTCGGCGGACGCCTCTCCCTTCGTGCCCAGAAACTTCGGCGGTGGCAGCGTCGAAGCGCCGCCAGCAGCAGTCGGCGACGGGGAACTGGCGTACGTGCCGCCAACGGAGACCCTCCAAACGCTCTACGTCGCGTCAGTATCTCCCGCATACAGCTGCTTTCTTAAAAAAAAAAAAAACTTTCGATGCTTTTTTTTAACGATTTGTTGTCGGTTTTTTTTTTACGCAGACAAATCCCGTCCGGTTACTATGCATCGTACGTGCCGACGCTGCCGTTCTACACGGTGCCGTACCCTTGTATTTATCAGGCGCCAGCTCCCGTGGAAGCGAGCCTACCTGACCAAACACATTCCGTAAGGGTTTCTTTTTTTTTTTTTTTTTTTTCTTTTTAGGAGATTAGTTGCGTTGTCTTTTGCCTTAAATGTGGTGTTTTTTTCGGCAGAAATCGACCCAGGGTGTCCGCAAGTCGAAGAAAAAACCCAAGACAAATCGACGCAGGGAACAACAGTCTACGCGAGATATTGGTATGAAAATATGCGCTTGTAACAAAAAAAGAAAACACGAAAAAACGAAGTTTTTATTCTAAGTTCTCGTTTGGGGGGGAGAGAGAGAGAGAGGGGAGATCTGGGAGAAAAATAAATTACAGAGCTATATTGGCATCTCTAAATATCCTACAGTCTGCATCGACAGTCTGGGCCTTATAGGGATACTGTGGCGAAATTCTAGGGCCTACTTCATTGTCTCAATATCAACCACCTGCCGGCCACACGATGTAGACGCCTATTTTCTGTTGGAAAGGCACCAAAACAATATTTAAAAGGAATAAGCCAAATGTTACGTCACTCTAAACTTAAAAGTAGCGCCGTCCTGCAGAAGTGTGGCGACGAGCTGCATACGCTTGAGCCCTGTCAAACCGGATTTCCTTCTCTCTCAGCCTATTCAACTCCTGCAGTGGGGCGGGGCAACTAATACTTCCAGGTTGTAAGGCTTTGACGACACCAAGTGCTGGAGCTCATAACCACACCAGCCCCCAAGCAGCTTTGCCAGTGCTGTGCCAGTTGATGTCACTTCTGTGATGCACCCCGCTCTCCATTGGCTGATCAAAGAGTGCTTGCAGGAGTTGGGTACTATTGAATGAAAAATATAGCCATCTGTTCAAAATATAAGCGTGCAATGGTCATTAGCAGGTAGAGTTGATCATGTTTAACTTATTTCTGAATGGGAGAAGTATATTTTAAGTTTTGATTCAGTATCCCTTCAGCAAGGCTTTGGAGAGGGCACAAGGCAGACAACTTGCGCTGCATTTCCGTCATTCTGTCAGCTGACAAAGGGCAGTTTCCTGTTGTGTTGTGTCTTTATCCTTTTTGTTATGTAGTTTGTGCTTTCATTTATTTTCTTTATTGGGCCTGCTGTATGAGGCTCAAAGCTGCACAGACAATAAATTTCTTAAAATTCAATATATTTATTGTCCATGCATGTTACGAGGTAATGACCGGCATAAGAATGAATACATTGACTAAAGAAATTATTTTATATGGTGTGTTTGGGTGAGAAAAAAAGCATGCTAAAGCTATTACTCTCCTTCCTCCCTGCAAGCTAGATAGATAGAAAGTTTTCTACTGTTCTTTGTCCAACTATGCAGACTTGCATCGTCTTAACATTTTCACTCCTTTGTCCACCCCTAACCTCCTCTCCGTCGCATACTTTGGCTCTCTCAAAGGTGTGCTGTCACCCGATCCGTCGGTGCTGTCCGACGGCCAGGGGACCAAGGTTACCGGGAAGGCGATTAACTCGGACGTGTCCACAGCTAGTCCAGACTTGGCCAACAATGCGGAGTTCCCTTCGCTATCCATGGAGGATCGTCCGGCGCCCGTCGGCGAACGTTTGGGCGTGAGCTACTCGACGGCACTACAGCACAGCAGCAGCAAAAAGCTCCTGGCAAGCAGTGCACCGTCTGCGGTGCCGGAAGAACACGTTGGCAGACCGCCAGAGTCCCAGCGGAGGAAGGGTGCGGCCCGCAGAGGAGCTCGCACGGCGGCCGCCGTCGCCGAAAGTGTCGACCACAACGCACTTCCAACAAGGCCTTGCGGCGGCGAGGCAGATGCGACGGCGCAATTGCGAAGAGGAAACTCGTCGTCTGCTCGTCGACTACGCAGGAAACCACACGACGGCGGCGCAGACAAGCGCCAGTTGCCTCCGTCGTCTCCGGGCCCCGAGACAGCGGAGCAGCGGGCCGACGAAAAGGTCGCCGCAGAGGAGGCTCCGCAGCGGAAGAATGCCGGCGTTGGCAGAGGAGTCAGAATGAGCACGGGGAGGAAAGAGGGGCACCACAGCACCCTGGCACGGTACGTGATCAAGGCCGAGCAGAGGGGACGCAGGCGCACAGACGGGCAGCCTTGGGCAAGGCAGGAAGCGAGTGCGGAGGACGGCACAGACGCGAAATCCGTCAGAAGGTCCGACGCCGACGTCGGAATGCAAGAGCCTCTTGACAGTTGCCGGGAAGTGTCGGACTCCAAGGGAGCTCGGGAACCTTCCGACGGGCCTCACGAGTCTTCGGGCTCGAAAGAACCGCAGGATCGGCCCAGTCAGTGCTTTGAGTCCGAGAGCGCCGACAGTGTGAACAACCTGATGGACTATCCTCCGCTGGGGTCGTCGGTTCCTCTACGACGTTTAGGAGAGCCCAAGGTGAGCCACCATTTTGTTAGCTAGCCTCGACCTGTCTGGGCTTTAAGGCTGCAGCCAAGGTGCTATATACTCCATTTCACCTTACGTCCAACCGCAACGGACTGTACGAGACATCTTGGCCAACTTGGCTCTAAATACATTACCGGGGAGAATACAGGTTACTCCGCTCCTTTGCATTAGATGCTAGTGGAGGGATGGCTCCGTTGATTCCTCCCCTAGCGATATTTTGGACGCACCCCTCTTCCATTTTTTTCTCCCACCATAACGCGTGACTGATCTGAGTCATCGACAGATATCACGCGGGCACCGAGACCTGTCTCGGCTAGGATGCCTCAATGTCCTTCCGTTTAGTGTGATGCCATTCTTTGTATACTTGATGCCGACAGCTCTCTGGAACAATACTAAGAAATAGCCGATAACAATATGCCACCGTAGCACTCTCCATGCCAAGAGTTCGTGTGGAGAGACACACTTTCGTGTACTCCGGAACAAAAGAGAAACGTAAGCATTTCAAACAAAATGGGCAGATGTCATCACCCTAAACAAAACGCCCATGCAGGCACCCACAGCATGTTGATGCCGGCGCTAGACATGCGAGGGTCGTTTGATAAGTTTGCTAAATCTCTGAGAGGGCGCCACGCCGCCACTATTTGTGTGACGATATTACAGCTGGCAACTATGGCTCCTCGAATTAACTTGGGCCTAATTTGAGTCGGAAGCAACACGTGATTCACGCTAAAAAAATACTTAAAGTGAGCACTTCATCAGCTACCATAAAAATGGAAAAAAAAAAAAAAAAGTTTTGCACGATGATTGAACATTTTTACTTTAAAAAGTGGGCAGCTGCACAGATCAAAGCTAAGTTGGATTAAGCTCATGGGGGCACAAGTGTTAACGACGGTTTATTTCTGGATCTACGAGTTTCAACATGGCCGAACATCCACTGAAGATTAATTGCGCTCAGGATGCCCAGTTAAAATCGCCACAATGGAAATCATTTCAAACACTCACAGTATCCTTATAAAAGACTGTCAAGTGAAAGTGTGCAAGATTGCTGAGACTACCGTAATATACCGGGCAAATGCCCACTCATAATTTAGAAATAATCGCAAAAAAAATGGGGGATGGGCGCTTGTCCGGTCATCAATTTTCTATATAGATATACTGCACATATTTTCTCAGATCTTACAAATTCGGGAATGGGCGCTTGATGTAGAATGGGCGATGCGCGGTATTCTACGGTAAACATCTCAGCTGAATGAAGGCACACTATCCTGCACAAAATATTTCATATGAAAAGGTGTGTGCGCGATGGGTGCCGAAACTCCTCGCAGTCTACCAAAAAACGCGCCCGAAAGAACACTTTAGTGCTGTGCTTGGCGATGTTGAATCGCATTCCGAAGGACTTTTTTTCTTGATTCGGGACCGTGGTCGAAACTTAGCTCCATCACTTCGCACCTGCGCAGCAGGTGCAGCAGTTGAAGCAGCGGCCAACGACTAGTGAAAGCACACCGAAGAAGATTGTCTAGTCAGCCGGAAAGCTGATGGCCTCTGTTTTTTGGTATAGTATTCAGGGAACATCTTGGTCGACTACTTGGTGAAGGGGAAAACAATAACACGAGCCTATTATGTAACATTAGTAGACCAAAAAGAACTAAAAAATAAAACAACTCAGATTGGTGCACAAAAAAGTGCTTTTTCAGGAAGACGATGTGCCATACCACAAATCTACCGTCGCAAGGGCGAAATTGCACAAATTAGGCTTCAAACTTATTCCTCGTCCACCCTAATCTCTAGACTGGCCCTGTGCAACGCTTTCCTCTTCACAAATTTAGAAGTGTTGCTCGGTGGGAATAAATTTTGATTGAATTAGGATGTAATCACTGCCGTCAATGCATATTTTTCCAACAAATTGAAAAAAAATTAAACTCGGGCCAAGTGTGTAGCCCTAATGGAAAGTGTGTTAAAAAAAATAGCACAAATTTGAAGAGAAAAAAAAGTGGTGTTTATCTTGCTTTTTCACTATACTTATGAAACGACCCTTATAGAGCTCTTCCCGCATATATGAACCCTCGAGGTGAGTCGCCAATTAAGCGTCCGCTGGATTTTGAATAAAGTGATGACGTCCGCCACCGCAACCAAAAAGCGCCCACATGGAAGGAATTTTGGCTGGTGGTAGTAAAATATACCGCAGGGAGAGATGGCGCTAGCCACCAGCCGATTCAAAAGGGAAAAATTAAAGCACCATGACACAACCGACCATTCAGAGTGCGCAAAACCTGTCATCACCGAGGCCATTGTACTCTCAGGGTGTGTCCCGTATTCCCCCGGTAAATGCTCTCTGCCTGTTCCTGCAGCCCCTCTCGAAGGTCGCGTAACACTCACGCGGCTTTGGATTGACTCCAGTGGTTCCATCTTCCGCTGCGGTCAATTGTAAGGGGAAATGGAGCACTGTATGGTACCCAGAAATCTTTTCTAACGTGTGCTATACTCGAAGACAACTTTCTCTGGCAGAGCAGTTGAAGGTATGGGAAGCGTGCCCCTGTCCAGATTGAGTGCCGATTGAAGCTACGTGCACGCTCACCTCCTCCTCGAAAATGCATAGGAAGTTGTTCCGACCCTAATGTAGCCCAATGCTTCCAGAGTGGCGTAGTCGATAGCGCCTGCCAACAGAGAAACCAGGGCCCATCGATGAACTGCTTGGAGTTAGTTGATTTATTTATTTATTTACATTGGGTCCTGCTGCGCCCATTAGGGCATTATAGTAGGGAAAGGGTTGCATAAACGGATGCCAGTAAAGTTGGTAGAGCCATGAAGTTTCAGACTCACCATCCATAGATTGTTGTAGCAGTGAAGTACGTGCTCTAAAGTGTCACGATAGTACCCTCAAGTGTCATCTTTTGTCTGATCCAAGCTGTTTGTTTTGACTGTCATCTTTGCCAACTTTATCGGCGTGTTTCTTGTATTTGTGTGTGCCTGATGCTCGCATGGTTGTATGCCTTCGAGCTTGTGCGTGAAGCTTCTTACAGTAAATTCCCTCCGATGCCAGCCGTATGTTTGTGCCTTGAGGCGAGGATAGATAGGAGTTTGGTAATGTCGAGTACGCTGCGAATGTCCAGTGAATAGGATGCTCTTTGGAAGCATTTCCCTAGGAGCCTTCAGTTTTAAAGGGACACTGAACCGAAATTTGAATTTCGCGAAATAAGGCCGCAGAAGCATTGAACAGGATGCTACGAACTCTAAAACATCACTCATACATCGATATCGCGACGGATGGCCGTGTATCTGGAAAAGAAGGGCGCGATTGAGCAAGGACTAAGGTGTCAAAATCCTCCTGGAACAGTTGAAAATGAGGGTAAGCGGCCTCTCTTCTCTCCTTCTCTCTTCAGTTAACCAGCTCGAGGGGACGAAGCGAAAAAGAGAGGGAACGAGAATCGTGACGTGACATGTCTCGTCGGCCTTGTCAACCATGTTCAGTCGCGCGCTTATTTTCCAAAAATATGGCCATCCGTTAGAGATGTTGCTGTATGAGTGATGTTTTGGGGTTTTGTAATCTCCAAATTTGAGTTCACTATCTCTTTAAGAAGCACCGAAATCAGTTGGCACCCGCTGTGCGTGCCTGTCGGCAGGGAAGAGCATTTGTCCCGCCTCCAGCGCGAGCTTTGTACCTTGGATGGCGCTTCAGGGGCCAGGCAGTCGAAAGGCATTCCCTGCTGTTCTCACTCCATCAGTGGCTATGTCATAGACCGCTGATCCTGACTGCTACCAGCCATCATTGTTCCCATCAGTCAATCCCTCGTAGAGCAAAGAGCCACCCGCGAATTAAAGAGTGGATTGCTCCGCTTCTGCCGATTTTTCACATAAATTTTACGCGGGTGTCTCATTCATAACTTTCACACCATTCCCCTTCACCGCTTCAGAAATGCTGGTGCGCGAGTGAACAAGCGATGTTTGGCACGTGCAAAGTGACTTGAAAGGCACCTAGGTGCTTGTTTTGTTTCCTAGAACCTTGACATGTTCTGTCTGGTAGACTATACAGGTGTTCCAGGTAACACCTCTATAGAGTCTGGCTAGAGATCCAAGATTTTCGGAGCAGTCAAGCTTGCCTCCTCCTTCTGTACAGTCTGGCTGAAACAAAAACTCGTTACATTGTGTTTTTTTCAGCCCCTGGAAAGTGCGACAGCAAAGACTATAGGGATGCGTGCTGCACTCTCACTTTTGGGACTGTGGGATGTGAGCTTCTTCATGAGGGGTAGAACTATGCGCAAGATTTTAAAGATGAAGGGGTATTCCTAACTGAAAATGGAGAGTGTCTGATGTTCCCCTCATTTATTTGCAGAAGCCAGAGCCAGTAGACACCACTTCTAAGCTGCCTCCAAAAGGAAAAGGTATTGTAGTCTATCTTAAGACTGTAACTGTAAAAATGCAAGCATTCTTTTATTAAAACAAACATGCGAACCGCACGAAAAAGTTTTGCAGAGAATTGAGTGGTGCTTTTCCAATGACTTGCTCTAACAGCTTGTGGTCTATGTGCAGGGAAGCCGGGTGCACCGTTGAAACCCCTAGCATCCACTAACAGTGCAAGACCAAAGCACAAGGCTGCAATCAGCATGGCAATTGCAGACATAATGGTGCCCAAGCAGGTTGGTCTCTTTTTCGAATGTACAGAACATACCTGCTCGTAAAATAGACTCAAATATGCACCTGTGAAGGCACCTAAAAGTGCTGTCAACTCCCTAAATTCGCATTATTTTGAAGTTTAAAGGCAACTAGAGTTCATTTTCTGACAAGTTTGGTGCAATTCATGCGAGGCTTGATCATCCAAATCGCTGTATATCGTCATGGGCCGAAAAAGTTAAAAGATGTTTACAAATCTTTGTAATGCGAAATGCGCAGCTCTTGACGTATTTTGTTTTTGTGATATACCATGCTAAAGAATTTGAGCAAGAAATATCTATATGTATAAATATAGAACTCGAATATAGAACATAATATATATATATATGTATGTATGGACGGTTTCATTTGGATTCAGGTAACGAGTGGCAGTCATATTTTTTTATTTTGCTTCAAAGTTTTATATTTCGTGGCGCATGTTCCAAGAATAACAATCCTTTTTTTATTTTAATGTCTTTATGTTTAGTTTCTGAGAAAAAGAATCTCAAAGAAGTGGGAAAGAACGACGAGGTTTTGACGATTGTCGTGCGTGGCGTTTTTAAATTACTCTTAATCTCAAAGTATTCAAAAGAGAGCTTCTATATTTTTTTATTGTGATATATATGCAAGTCGGTAAAACGACATTCCAACTACTATTTATTATTCGTCGATCCAATCTTTGTAAAAATCCCCAAACATGCCTCCGCGAACAACTGTGACCTAAACTGCGAATTTTTTTGTTAGTCGTCTATGTTTAGTTTTGTTTTTAAAATAATACCACATGTAGAACCTTTCATTGCCTTCCACATTATGTAAAGTTTGTGTCTTAATCACGTACGAGCACTGAGAAATAAATCATGAAACAGAGAAAAGCAAAGAGCAGACAGATGTAAAATTGAAAGTGCTTAATGAGGGAAAGTGGTGCTTGAAACTAATGCAAAAGGCATGTGTACACCTTGTGACTGTGACTGACGAGATCTGGCAGTCAAGGCTTCTATTATGCCAATCATGTTGTTGAAAGCATTTTTTTGTAAGAACACGCGGTAAGTTGTTCAATTGATCCCTGAAATGTTCCAGAAGATTGGCGAAAACTCGGCCTGTAGGGGTTCAAACCCTGTGCCACGACGTGGGAGCTGCATTCTCTGCCAACTCGCCAGGCGCTCGTCGTCATTGTTTGCAACCCGAGAGACAGAAATAGTGTCTTCATCGAAAAACGATATGCGTACGAATTATGTGCAAAGTTTTGCCGAAGGTTGCTGAGACGCGTGCCTGCATGTTTTCTCGTGCAGAGGCAGCCGAAAAAGCTCAAGGAAAACCTCGTGGAGAGGACCAGCAAGAAGGCAGAGGTAGGCGACTGGCTGCCTTAAGCCCGCGGACCCACATCGGCCCTCTCTGGTCGCCAACGCCGTTGGCAGATTGTTGCTCAACCTATAACGACGGTTCTGGCCGGGCCGCAGCCACAGCGGTGCCCGCCTGATTTGGTACCTGGTGGGGGGAGGGGCCTTCGATTGCACTTGTTCGAGTGTTCTTTTCTTTTTCTGGCATCCTTTTAGGCCGTGTGATTGGTCGTTTGGTGACTGTAGGTTCTTTCTCTTCTGCTTTTCAGAATGGCTTCAGAGTTGCTTACTCTCGAGTACTTGAAAAGCTCACCCTGGAAGTTTCAGTTAGGCAGCCGACATTTTGCTGATTTAGCTTCCAACAGGCTGAAGGTTGGGCTAGTTGGTATTGATTCGTACCGTTTATGAAAAGTGTAGAAAGGCGAGGACAGGGAACAAGCGTACCACAAACAAGCGCTTGGTTGTGGCGTACGATTCCTTTCTATTGTCGTTCTGCACGATTTTTTAGAGCGACGTGACTCGGCTCCTTTAAGCCTGTGAAGAAGCGAAGTTTGGTAAAGAAATCTTGGTTGCCACTCTGAGGCTTCCAGGAGGTCCCTTAGCGAGTTCTTCCCGCTGGCTTTGACCGACCTCGTGTTTTGTTTGGATACTGACACATGCACAGCTTTTCTGGCGGGGAACCGCTCAGCTTTTCTGTTGATTGCGAGAGAGCCATGTCAGTGTCAGCACAGCCTTTTGGGCATTGCACGATTGACAGAGAGCAGTGAAAGTGTTGCTATAGCATTTCCTAATGCCACCATAGCTCTTTCAGTGTTGCACTGTGCTGCGTTCCTCATTAGCTCTGGGCGAGACGTGTCAACACCGGTCCATCTTTTTTGAGTTGCAACTAAGAGCAGTCTTGGCTCAACTCGGGAAAAAGCTGCGACGGCATCATCAAAGCATTCCCAACGGGGGCGTGGCTTTCTGGGCATTGCAGCAACGGCCTTTGCCCAGGACGATCGATGAAGGCAACACTAAATAGATATCAGTGTAGCACGTTTGACGCAATGCACTGTTGGAATAGCTGCACTAGCATCTGCCGCTCGTTTTTGTTGATGTGGGAAGAGTCAAGTTAGCATATTTTACTTAATGTTTCGTGGTACTTAGGAGGCCCGTCTTCTAAACTACGCCGCGGAAGTTCCGGCGGATTTATCTCCCGTTAGGCAGCTTAGGTCTAGAGTGTTGCTGTAAATTACGGACAATCACTGGAGCATCTAGTTGTTAGTTTCAATGTTTCTCTAGTATTGTTTTGCTACTGTGATGTAGTGGTCATGAAAGTGAATCAGTCAATTTTCCCCTTGTTGCACGTTGGGTGGTAGTGTTGTTGGAGACGAGTGTGAATTCTTTTTCTATATTTTATACCTACGCGCAGTGTCAAGTTGTGATTGTTAGCTCGTGATAATTTTATTGTGCCAATAAAGTGTGACCAAAGAGCTTAGTTTGTTTGCCACACAAAATGTGTGAAGCTCTTGTCTACACCCGAGTGCCGTGTGGCATTTCAGTTGTCTTAGAGGCCAGAAGATTTTGTCTCGGGATGTGGTCTGAATAGCGCATTGTCTCGTAAAGTATGCAGCTAATTTTGTAGCGATTGAGTCTAGGAAAGTTTATAGGAAAGTTTGCTATTGTAACCAGAATGCTTTATGTCAATGTTTTCTTTTGTCTATGTACTTTTGTTTTACTTGTTAGAAACCGGAACCGAAATACAACGAGAAGGGGAGAGCAGTTAAAATGGCCTGCCTCATTCGCCCATAATGCACTGACTGGATTATATCAATTCCGATAGATGGCGGAATATAAAAAAAACATTCCATTTGATTCCAGACTAGTGCAGCTCTATTTTGTTGCAGCTCTTGATTTTCTACTAAAGTCTGGAGCTTAGACTTTGTCAGTGGCTGATTGGTCCGATTGCCTCGCGACGCGGTCGTCGGCACGGATGAAATGCAGGCAGAGTTTCATTGTTGTGACGGTTTGTTATGCATGCTGAGGCTGCCCACTGTGATCCCCTTTCAAGTGCACTGGGGCCTATTTGTGAATGTTGCTTTCTTGCCGATAGTTAGACTGACGAGGCCTGTGTCAAGGGCATCCAGTTTCTGTGCATAGAAAACAGTGCACGTCGTGTAACTGCCGAGAAGAATTGCAAGAAGTTCGTAAGAAGACATGATAAAAACAAAACAGCGCAAAGACAAGGACGAAGTAGAAGAAACCACAGGACTCAGCGCTGTGTCCTGTGGTTTCTTCTATTTTGTCCTTGTCTTTGCACTGTTTTGTTTTTATCATGTCTACTTACCAACTAGCCCAAACCTCTACGTTAATCAACTATATTTTGTAAGAAGCAGCAGTATTTCTCCTCAATGGCCAAGAACCCTTTTCTCTTTTCTTTTTCTTTTTTTTTTTTTTTGTACTGGTCCAGTTGGGCTTTCAACTGACATACTTCTCACACCCCAATCCATATTCTGAGTCTGAATGTAATTTGTCTCTGTGTTCTCATATAAACTTGGAAGCGTATCTTTCTTAGTATTTTTGCCTTCTTTTTCACCCTGCCTTTCAACACCAGTCATGAGTGCGCAATTCTGTCGAGCGAGCGACATCTATTCGGCCATTCCCAAAATTGGCACTAGCTCGCGGCGTATGACAAAAGCGAGTGTATGCACAGAACTGGCGTCCCTTCCTGCAGCCTTCAAAACGAATGTGAGGGTCGCAACATTTGTCGGATGTTGGTGAAATGGTGATGATGTGATTCTCGGTGGCCCAATGCTGTCTGCGTGTGGTGTCGTGTGTTCTAGGCGCAGAGGGCACCCGCCAACACCCTGGACTCCTCGGCGCCCGTCAGAAAGAGGGGCAAAGAGCGGGAAATGCCGGCTAGGAAAAAGCTCACTGTGATGAAAAAAGTAGGCGCCTTCTCACATCCATTGCCTCGCAAACGGGTTGCCCGGGCTAGGCAGGGAGGGGGACGGCACTAAAACATTGCATCCGGGTTTTTTATTATTTTTTTGTACAATAAAGTATGATTTTAACACCCAGAATGGATGTCCTTTCATACCCTGAAAGCCAGGCTACCCGAAATCTGGTGAACATTGAATGGATCTAAAATCAAAGACTTTTAGGACTGAGGACCCCCTTCCTTTTGGTCCCGTTGTGGTCTTGAGAGGATTTCTGGTCATGTTCAACTTCACGGCCTGAGACGTGCCCTTTTTTTATTGAGGTCCAACATCCTGTGAATCTGTCCAGCAAATTTATGTGTGCTCCTAACATAGAATTCCAGTCAATGAGGAATTTGTTTGTGTTCAAGCAGCCTCACCAGGAGGATTTGTAATGTATTTGCAATTTAAAGATTGCTGCGTCATTCTAACTTTGCCCAAGTTGGCAGCTTAGTTCAAGAGACTTCGCTGTAACCCAACTTTGGGCCTTTAGCTTCGCTGGAAACCAATATCCGATGCAGATTATACATTACTTCAAGAGTTGATTGGTTACACAGCTGAAACTCATCCCCGGGGCTACCTGCAGTGCTTTCTTGTCTAAAATACCTGCCCAATGCAACAAAAAACAGGTGAAGCTCATCCCCAAGTTCTGCTTGGGGCTACCTCCAATGTTTTTTTATTGTCTAAATTAGATGCCCAATGCAACAAAATCGGCCCTACAAAGTGCCAGCGATCATTCCTATTTTGTTTAGCAAGTTAGTTTTGCCTCGCTTAAAGAATTATAGAGTAACTGCAACCTAATATTGCTTAATGCTGCCCAGGCATGTAGCCAGGATTTTGTTTTGGGGGGGGGGGGGGGGGGCCGCCCATGACAAAATGCTGTATGAGGGGGAGGAGGGCGAGGAGGCCCTAGGAAAATGGAAGATTTCAGGGGGGGGGCCGGCCGGGCCTCATGGCCCCCACCCCCTGACTACGTGCCTTATGCCGCTTGACACTGCTGGGTGTGGTAGAGAACTTCGCAACCTCTGTGTGGGTTCAGCAGATATTGCTTTACAAGTCTCTCATTCTTTTATTAGAGAAGTGCACACTCAATTTATTCTATGTCAAAGTCTGAGCATTTCTGCAGCTCTCCTCAAACAAAAACATATTAATAGAACTCTTAAGCTGTCAAGTGTAGTAGAATTGGGGCTAAAGGACATAAGCACATTAAAATACAGGTGCAACTAGTATTTTAGCTGCCACCAGTGCAGGGAATCTTAGGGTAAGAACGAAGCCCTAGGTAAACCTCAGGATGAAAGTTGTCTCGTAATACTAAGCTAGTTCAGCCTCCTGGCAAACTGCTTTGGTTTCTGAAAGAACTTTGGTAAACATATTGTACTGCACTATGGTGAAGACTAGCTTGACTGCAGTATGACTCATTCTCCTAATGTAAGTTTTCAACAAACTTCTTGCCTCCCATTCAAGGTGGTATGAAGGAGCTCTCCATGTTCAAATGTCACATAATATTGACGTGCCACAAGAGCATTGTAATGACCAAATACCACTAGAGTGACAAACAGCTTACACCAACATGCCTCAAGCACTGGCGGCATTCACGCAAAGGTACCTTCGCGCCCAGGCTGCACGTGTTTGAGGCTTGTTGGTGTTGGCTCTTTCGGTTTGTCGCTTTAGAGGGACTCTGGCATGACTGGTTGCAACTAGAAGTCACGAAAAGACAAATACTTACGTACGTATTCTGCCCTAGTGATGTTTCGTTTGCTTTCAGATTATCCTCAAAGAGCGCGAAGAACGGAAACAGCTTCTGGCAAGAGTCAAGCAGGCAACACTAGCGAGGCAAAGCCTGATAGAAAATGCCAGCGAAACTTGTTGCTTGGAGGACGGCTTGCCTCAGCAAGAGACCAAACAACTTCACTCGACAAGGTTCAGAGAGTAAGTTTCCATGCAGGAAGGAAGAGACCCTGTAACAAGTCCCAAGGCAGCACCTAGAAACTCTGAGGAAAAAAAAAAAGTAGAAAACTTTTTCTTTTCATAGTTGTACGGCCACCCAGTCACAGAAGTAAAATCGTACATAAATTAATACTGCGACAAAATGTAAAAAAAAAACAGACATTGTGACAAGCAACTCGAATACTCTGCAAGCAGCTTGTGAAAAATAGTAGATTAGTATCCACTTACAATAAGTGGAACTGGTCACCTCGGCACTTTGTGAGCATGTAAACTCCATTAAGGAAGGCAGGAAGGATATCATTGCAAGCCTGGAACATCTCACATCTTTGAGGCCAAATGTATGGAGCATGGCCCTATATAATTGCTACCATGCAACCACTGATTCTTATATTATCTTCTCTCACACAACATAGAAACTGCCATTGAAACTGCCAATGTGGTGAAACGTTATTGTGGGTGACACAAGTTTGATCTCTAAGTCTAACCTGTAGGTGTAAATTATGATGAGCTGATGTCCTGTTCAAGCTGTGTTGCACAGTCTATTTAGATGCATCTGTCATTGCAGGAGCGGACGAAGGTATTTCTTAAGGGGGAGGGGTCAGGTCAGGTGTTGGTCAGCGTATCATATGTTTGACCCCCCCCCCCCCCCCCCCCTTTTCCGTTTCCACTTCCTAAATTTTTACGCATGCAGAAATCAAGAGGGGGGTCAGGACATCCGGACCCCCCCTCTGAATCCGTCCCGGCATTGTGAGACAAGTGCTTGCTATCTCACATGACTGCATGACCAGGCTTTCTACTGGTAGTTTGTAGGCCCCAGCCTTTTTCATAATGCTATGTCATGTGCTAACACCAGTGTTCTTGCTTTTTTCTACAGATACTGCGATCAGATGTTGAGTGTAGAAATCAATCAGGCAACCAAAGCTCTCATTACAGACTTGGTTTTCTTTCAAGATCGACTTCATCAAAAAGATCCAATCAAGGTGAGGTGGTGCAATGGGAAAGGCTGGCCTTACTTACTCTAATTGCAAATTTAATATAATGTTGTTTGCTCCAGTAATAAAAGCCTTTTTATTAAAATTACTCAATGATTTGCTGCAAAGAGCCATATTTCTCTTCCAACTGCGGAAGCTTAGATCTGAAGTCAAAATGAACCACAGCATCATCAGTATACATTGCATGGCTGCTTTCTGATCAGCGGCGTAACAAACGGACATTTTCTACTACTAATATATACTTAGGTTTGAATTCTTGTTTGGTAGCAAAAATGTTTTGAATTATGTATTGTTGCCCCAAAATGCTGCATTGACCGGGGAAATATCTAATTTTTGTGTGTTACACCTAGAGGGAAATAATATGTGTCACACATACAATTTTCCTGTGTTTTATGTGTACATATTTTGTCGATATTGTGTTTCACACAGGGTCGAGGTTTTCATTATTGTGTAATCCGCTTTTCTCTACTCTTTTTGTAATATTATACACACATACCTGAATATAGATTGTGTCATAATTCAATTCCTGTGCTAATGAAATGTTACTGTTATAACAATAAACCTAATTGATATATAAAAAATTACTGCTACATTATTAGCGGGCAGCCAATTTTTATGTCTGTCAACTCTGCTGAAACGTTAAGTTGAATCGCTTATTTTCCAGGCTAAATCAAAACGGCGGCTTGTCTGTGGCTTGAAAGAAGTCAAGAAGTACCTCTTACTCAAGAAACTGAAGTGTGTTGTTTTTGCACCTGACATTGAAGAGGTAAAAGCAGAAGGTAAGCATCATGCTTTTAAATGTATTTTCGGTGCATTTTACTCAAGATGAGGTTTCGCTGCTTTAAACAATTTTAACATCAGTCAGTCATCAGCCAATTGTCATTCCTGCAGCACATATTGCCTGTTAACAGCCGTGCTTAATATTACAAAAAATTTTAAACAACAACTTTTATCGTTCATAAAATTTTGTCAAAACCGTAAACCCCTGATGCTTTGCAAACAGGATCATAATTGATTTACATACCTTATGTAGTCGTACATTGTACTTCCATTTCATATCTAACTTGCTAGTAGAGCCTGCTTGGTAAGATTTTAGGGCAACCACACTCAAAGCATATATGATGTGCTGGAATATGTAAAGCCAATATTTTTTGTGTGTGTGTGCGGGGGGGGTTGTGGATGAGATGAGCAGCCCTTGCACAACAACAGTGATTTGCCATTTGCACCAAAATGGTTGCCCTGCTACATCCTGCTGCATATCGCTAAAATGTGTTGAATTTGCATCAACATTGTTCCAAAACCTAATTTCACTTTATTAATACTGAAAATAGAATAGCTGCACAGCCAGATGGTTATGGTAGGCTTGATTTGATATCTGTGACAAACACTGACAGTACTCGGAAGCCGCGCAATAGTTCTCATGTTCGTAATCTGTTCTCAGGGAGTTTCGTTGAGTGCGCTTGTCACTGCGCACTGTTGCACTGCGGTGAAGCGAGAACCGCGAAGAGGCATCGCGATTTGGCACATCTTGCTTCGCCGCAGCGCAGCCGCTTGCTAAGGGAAAAACACTCCTTCTGAGCAGGACGTTGCACAGGTCTGGCCTCAGGGCGCCGCAATCTTGCTCAGTTGGGCAGCGCTTGGGTGCGTCAGAATCCAATTGCGACGCCTTGTTAAGGCGTCATAATCAGATTATGGCCTCGCCCAAGCGCACCCCATCTGAGCGAAATGGCGGCGCCCTGAGGCTGGCAAGTGTTGATGTAACAATTCTACCCTGAATAAGGCTGCAACTAGTATATATGATAGATGAAGAATTACCAGATGAATGATAGATGAAGGATGACGGGTAGATAAAAGATGAAAGCATTATTCTGACAATTTTTTTTAAACGAGATTTAGCAATGATATTTGTGTAGTGCATAAATATTTAAATGGACGGTTCTATAGGCTTATATTTTTATGTCAACTCCCTCGTTTACTTATCCCCTTTACATAGGTTACATTTGTGCCGTGGCACAGTGAACAGAGTCAAATAAACCTAAATTACCTGGATCAGGGATGAAAAAGTAGGAATAACCTTAACGAGTTTGACTGAATTGTTACTAAAGCTTATTTATCGTTCACATGCCGATGTATAGCATCATAAAGTTCTCCATATGAAATGCCATTGATGTTATTAATAAAATGATAAAAGCTTTGTTTTTATCTGAATTAATAATTGCAGTTTTATTAGAATCTTTAGGACTTCAGCGAGACATCAATTTGACTGCTAAATATTACTCTGTACTAACATTATTTCCGTGGAATATAATTCGGTTTCTCTTTGGCTTCATGCCTAAAATAAGCATTCGCGGCAGTTCATACTGTCCTTCATCCCTGAGCGTATTCTTGTTGCACCTAATGGTTCTACACACAACTGAACAGCTAGCTAGTTCAGAGTTTGAGGCATTTTGAGGCATTTGAAGGAATCAAACCTATTGTGCAATTGATGCTAACAAAAGGTTGCACAGAAGTGGGAAGGCAAGTGAACTATGTCTTTTGATGGATAGGCCAACATGTGTATCCGTAATATTTGCAGTGGTTGGAATGAAAATGAAGTGTGTGGTTATGCTCCAAAGGTTTCTTTTGCTGCTCCAAAGTGAACATTTAGCTGCTCCAAAATGACTCGGACCAATCACATCGCTGCAACGTGCAATTTATTTCGCAATGGCTTTCATGGCTATAGAGAACTACCATATTTAGTTACTAGAATGTAGCTCCATGTTTCATCTTAGACACCTTTTTCTTTCAAATTAGCGATTGACTTGTCATCATGCTCGAGACAGTGTTACCATGTAATAGTGAGCGAGCCCAAATGCTCCCCCGCTTCAGTCGCTGCTCCTAGCAGCGCACGCTGACAAATGCTCAACACGTGCGCTGGTGAAAAGTGGTGAAGCTTGACGCCTGGGTGCAGCACACAAACTTCGGATTCCGCGCGAAATGAAACTATCGGAAAAGCACGCTCGCGTGCCGCAGGAAGAGCAGGAAATATAAACGGGCCGTTGTGAAATACTGAATTCCTTTCAGGCTCAGTCCAGGGTCATATTCTCCCGGCCAGGAACAAGTTGCACAGCGGCAGGCACGATGCAGAGAAGCAAAGAGATGAAAGAGAGGGGGAGCGTAACGAAAATGAAAGAGGGCGGTCACAGCATCGCGTCAGGTGGCGGTTTTTGGACGTAACAACTGGGAAGGTGATCGCTACAAACGGAAAATTAATACACATATTCCGGGGGATCGGTGGCCGAGTGTGGAGTGCACCGCAGCTAGCATCTGGAGCGAAAGCTCGTGCTGCAGGACCCGGGGATCCTTGGTCCAATCCCCATTCATGCCCACTTTGATCTGGATGAGCATCGTACCGGTGTGCAGTTGCGTATCACTACTGCGTGGTGCACGTTGACACCCCAGGCTAGCCATTGTACTGCACTGGCGAAATTTCTTATCTCAAGCATAAACCAGTGTCTCCACACCTCAAGGGCGGACCCACCCTACACCATATAATCACAAACATTGAATTTGTCTTTCTTTTTTTTTTTTACTCATATTTTTGCGGAGGTTTATTGAGACTGGCCTTTGCAAACGCAACATCTGATAAAACACATAAACTGGGAAGTTATTAAAAAGGTTCTGCTTGTTCAGTCACTTATTTGATTTGTTAGCAATATGTTCACACTTGAAAGTTCTTCTTTCACGGCCCTAAACTTAGCTCTTGAAACCTATTTTCAAGACGAACAGGTTTTTTGGAGTAGCCGTGACATAAAAAAATGTTCTTTTAACTGACGTGACCATCTCACCTCAGCTTCCAAGCCAATAACCTCCAGTGTGGCGGCTTCTGGGGAAGCGACGGATGTCAAGCTAGAGTTCAAGCTTAACCAGAGACATGCAATTTCCCTCAAGGGTGTGGACCTTGAGGTATTCCCTTTCTGTTTTGGTTCTTCTACCAGGCGGACTGGATGCCTCACTGCAGGCCCTCCTCCAGTTTGCGAGGAGCCATTTTGTGCCCACGGTCTTTGCTCTGAGGAGGAGAACCCTGGGGTCCCTGGCGCGCAAGAAGGTTCCCATCAGCTGCATCGGCATCTTCGACTACAGCGGCAGGGAGGTGCGTCTTTTCAGGGGCCTCATCTAGACTCTAATGGTGTTAACCCTTTCGTGTTGCACACTTCTATGTTAGTGTTAGGCAATATGGGACATTTTTTTTTTTTAAGGAAGTGCGGTAATTTTTTTTGTATGTATATTTTTCTATAGTAAATAAAGAAATTGCTGAGTGTTAGCAAGAATATATTTTCAAGAGTATAAGGCAATAGAGAGTTGAACTTTTTATTAATTTCTATGTATACCGTCATCTCCTAAAAGTAGGCATGGTATAAAGTTACTTAAAACTCTATATTAAGCATTTCAAAGTAACTCAATATGGTAAATGTTTTTCTAACAAAGAAAGAAACTGTTGTGGTGCAGACTAAAGTCCCTGGATCCTGAGAAAGTAGTGCCAAGCTCGCCGTATGAACCGTATGATGGCCATTTGGGTCTATGAAATAAGCAGTTTCTCCTTGGCCTGTCCATTCCTCGTGAGCCAAATCTAAATTCGCGGTGACAGGTTGTTTCATAAAGACATTCCTTGTGTGCGGAGCGTACGCCACCACGTGGGGCTTCGGTGATTGGCGGCATTGGAAAATAATTTTTCTGTCTTGAGATACAAAAGAACAATATCATTGTAAGAGATCTGTGTAGATACCAAGCATGACTGACAAGTTGGCTGCATACATAGTGCCAAAGTTGCTTCTATTGGCAAGGAATGCTTCAGTACGATGACGCTCCATAGCAATCTTCTGGTTCAGAACGACCTTTTCGAAGCTTCGAAGATTTAAAAGGACAGACATGGCGATTGCCATGGCAACGGAGACCGATCAGCCTGGCGAAGTTTTGGTTGTCAGTAAGCTAAATGTTTCTAACATCTTTATTTTGCATATTTAAATTGTAACTGCTAACTGTGTTAAGGTTCTTCTTTTATGCATTTTAGCTGTGTAATTATGAGAATAGAAGTTAATATTTTCTAAGTTGAGGCCATTCTGTGGTGGCCGTCTTCCCCACACACATTTATGGCATTGCGAAAGCGAAGTGTCACGAGTCTGCTTTTTTTATATACATTATTATTTCTTTTGGGATTTCGTGGTTCTATTGTAGCATCATTCCTTTTTTTCCCCCTTTCCTAATTTTGTTTTTCTTATTAGAAGAGAATGAGTGATGAGCCAGTAAATTAAGAGAAGATACCAAATTTTTTTTTTTTTTTTTTCTTTTGAAAATTAGTGCATGTGAGCAAAACCAGCTGTTTTATGCTTTCTATGTTCTATGCAAAAAATATCTAGCCAAGATTGTAGAAAGAAAAATTTTTGTGGTTTTCTCAAGTGCAGTTTTTATTGCTGCAGGTAGTGTGGAAGCACATTATGCCCAATTGCTCATTTCTCAGATTGTGTGCCAATGCTTGCAGAACTATACATACACAAGGTTACTAAAGTATGTTAAAAATACATTGCAGGAACAATACAAACATCTGCTGGAGCTGGTGGCTGCTGCGAGAGAAGAGTACAGTGTTCTAAGAGCTGCCGCCACTGTGAATGGGACCAGAGACAGCCCTCAAGGTGCAGCAAAATCAACCAGAAGTGTGCACGCTTCGTCATTGGGTGTTTCCAATGACGACGAGTGGACAACAGCCAATGAGGAGTCAGACAACGAACAAGAACACTCTGTTGCTGCAATCACGGACAGGGTGGCAGAAATACTCGTAAATTCAATGAGGGCAGTGAACTGAACGTGATTCCATGGGACTGGGATTCAAAAGCAAATACGGCAGGTCATGAATGTTTTCTATTGTTACGTTAAAGGGCAACTCTGGTCGAAAACGAAACCAAAATAAATGACTGGTATCGCTTTAGTGGTGCGAAATATGATCACAGCCGATATATTACGTCAAAGTGAAGCCGCATACTTCACTAAAACAGACTTTAAAGATGCAACCAGCTGCTCTTTAGCAGATGGCAAGTGTGTTAGCTTTTAGTCAAGCAACACTGGGCGATGACGTAACCTGGCATCACGGTGGTACTTTGGTTCTTCTTCCACGTTTTCTCTTCGTTATTTAAAGTAGTGATTAGAGCTGCTTCCCACATTTTCCGGTCTTTTTGTTTCATTTTACGGTTTCAGTGAGCCTCCAGTATATCCCTTTTCAGTATAATAGTGCTCCTGTGTGGTCCGGGAGCACCCACCTGAAACAGCCGTACAGCATGTGAAACTCACACCGCTCAATCGTGTGATTCTTCAGTATTAATTTCATAGCTCATCTATACCACCGATCCTGATTTTCGCGAGCCAGAAGCAAGAATATAGCAATGCAGCCACGCTGCACGTCTTGCGCCAGTACCCAGTGGCTGGCATCGACTTTTTAGCCGCTAGCTTTATGGATACGCAGTGATCTTTCCTACATGCGCTGTATACGTACGATGCAAGGGACCAAAAGAGAAGCAGCTTACCTTATTTCTTGGAATTGATTCTGCACGTCGCACCGCAGCACCACCTTGACGTCACGTCGTGGCCGTACAGCTGATGACCAGTGTTGCCATCTCTCTCCAGCAGATAGTTTTGGTTTTGCCGTAGACTCCCGAAACCAAACTTTGAGCCATGTTTATAAAACTTCACACAATATGGGGGGCGGGGGAATTACACCTTGTAATTCAGGGACACTGACTGGGCTGAAAACAGTCGTAATCCCAAATTCGAAAATATTGGCCAGAGTTGCCCTTTTAAGTACATATGAATTAATGGTTGGGTGCTGTGCACTCTTGTTGAGTTATATGGGAAACAAAAAATGAAGTGCACATGGTTTCTCGTAATCAGTAGCGTGTGAAACGAAAAATGAACTGTACATGTTTTTGTTTTTCTCGAAGAGCAGTGCATATAGTTATTTTTGTATGTTGTGAAGTGCTTGGCACCAATAAATCACTATGTCATGTTTCATTGTGCTCCTTATCAACGAAAGAAGTGTCCAAGATCTTATAAGAGGTGAAAAAATATAGCTGCACGCAGATCCTTTTTGTTTTCGTGAAATATAAACAAAGTAACTTTTAGTACTATGTCCAGTGGCATCGGAACAGAAAGGACCGGGGTGGGGGGGGAGTCTTATTTCCGATGCCATTGTGTATGGCGGATTAAGATAGGTGTCACTGCTAGGCAGAATTGGCAAAGGTGGCGTCCCTATTCAGCTGTCTGCGTTTAAATAAATTATTTAAAAAATAAACAGGATAGGCAGATGAAAGCGCATAAATCCTTTGTTTAATAGTTCCTCGGTGCTTTCAATTATATAAGAGACACTATTCTCATATAAGGGGAATGGTGATCATCTAGCTCTAATACAACTGGGCACGGGTCGTTGCGAGATTTGCTGGATGTGAAGTAGCTTTGGGAGGCTTTTCTTTCCCTTGTACTAGGGCTGGGCAATCGGTCGATAAACCTTCGAATTATAACCGCGATAAATTTTTTAATCGATTGAATTTTGAGTTACAAATTTCGATGAGGAAATAATAATGCACCTGCTAACTACCTGGCGTGCATTTCTCCCTTTTTGGAGGCAACACTGTTGTATTCCAAGGTAAAGCACTTCTGTATTCTCCATGATTGTCATCCAGGGTGATTAGAAGTTTTAAATAGAAATGTAAATATTTCATTTTTAAAATCAATAGCTTTTTCTTTTTTTTTCTTCTCTTTTTTGTGGGGGGGGGGGGGGGGGAGGGGGGGAAGAAATAGTGAAGCAAATAGTGTACACCTTCTTGCATTTTGTTTTAGATATGCTTCAATGTCAACACAACTAATTAATTGATTAAAGGGGTACGGAAACCAAATTCTGGAGCTCATTTCTTTGTTTCAACACGACGCAGGTAGCAGCACAACCACAGAAACATAAATATTGCGCTAGAAAACGCAAGAAAACATATTTTAAATTGAATTAAACGATAATCAAAAACCACCTGGTAGTTGGTTATGAAGCTTCAATGGAATGTCGTGACGACAACATGCCTCTGAAAGCAGCGCCACAGCGGTATGTCCGCTCACTGGTATAGATTGCCTAGGCCTGAACGCAATACCGAGGCGTCTTGGTGGAAAGAGCCAGAGCGAAGTGAGCCACCTTGGTTTCAGCTCTCGCGCGACGTGCAAACGCGTGCTTCGGTTGTTCTCAGGTTTAGTGCGCGTGTCTTTGTCGTGAAGTTTAAAGGGGTATGGAAACGAAATCTTAGCGCCGATTCTTCTGCGTAAATATGGGCTAGGGACAGGTAGCACCTCGGAAATATCAATATCACGCTGTAAAACACAAGAGAACTAATTTTAAATCTAATGAAACGATTTCAAAGTTACATCTGGTGGATGGTGTGAAAGTTCTCGTGACATCACTTGTGGCATAGGAGCAGCGCCGTTCTCCGGAAATACGGCGTGCCGGCAGAATTAGCCTAGGCCTGAACGCGTTTGCAAAGCCTTAGCGGAGAAAGCCAAAGCGTAGTTTGCCACAGTGAGCTCGTTCTTGTTGAGGCTCTTTGCACGACACGACGCGAGCACGCTTCTGGTTCTGAAGGTTTCCAGCTGAACGTAGAGGGAAAAAACCAAGGAGTGGATAAAAAGAGAGACACGCTGCTGGACTATCAACCACTTACTGAAATTCTTCTTTTTCATCTAGCCTCATGAATTATACTATTTACTAAAATTCTTCTTTTTCATCTACCCTCATAAATTATACTATTGTATTCCCAGGCGTAACTTCTTCTTCTTCGGTATAATATTTGGTGGCTAGCGTTCACATGTTCCTGACAAGGTTTCTCACTTGAGGTGCTCCCAGGAGATACAGTTTTTCTTTCTGAAATAGCGGAAACACAAAAACCAGCTTACAAGGGAAATCCTGGAGTCTCTGGCTATTGAGGCGCACGGGTACACTCTAGCACGGGGATGACTGCGCGAGTGCCGCCTCCATTACGCCATTTCCGAAAGAAAAACTGTGTCTTCTGGGAGCGCCCCAAGTGAGAAACCTTAGTGAAAAGACGGTGAGAGTGCAGGCGAGCTGGTGGTAGCTAATCATGTCGGTGTAATACGACATGATTGAGAAACCTTGTCAGGAACATGTGAACGCTAGCCACCAAATATCATACCAAAGAGTTAGTTACCCCTGGAAACTCAATAGTATAATTCATGAGGGTAGATAAAAAAGAAGAATTCCAGTAAATAGTATAATTCATGAGGATAGTTCACTCTCCCCCTCGCCATTGCTGGGTGCTAACGGTTATTTCTACTTACAGGTTCCCTCGAGCTACTACTTTTGCGGTGTGAAACTAACACGGTGAACCGAACGCTCGTGGCACATAAAATACGGGTATGGTCGCGAAGGACGTTATGGACAAGCTAGATCGTACAGTCCTCGGATATTACTACTAAGCGAGATCGTCACACGTTGACGCCATCAAGCGGCAACGCTCGCAACTACGGTACCCTTGGCAGTGCAGGAACTGTTGACGTCACCGGCGCGATACGCATTGCGCTTCTCGCTGGCCGACTTTGAAGCGAAAGGAAGAGAGCTCGCGCTCACGTTACTTCGTTTCCGTACCCCTTTAAAGGGTAGCAATTAACCGGGCTAAAAATTTTTGATCGACGCCCAGCCCTACTTTGTGCCATAGAAGGGTGTGCACTTGGGCTATGGTGATTCAAAGTTTCGAGGGTAAAAGTGCTTAAAAAAACTACGGACAAGTGAAAGAGACCAACACCACAGAGGCGCTCCTTGCAACTTAAGTTTGCTCGTGGAAAAATGCATATATATACACACCGTGAAATCAAGACATGTTATGAAAGAACTGCAACATCATCACACCAATGCTTATTAATCTACCATTTACTTTTCGAAAGATTTTAAAAACGCCACATCAGAGTCAAACAGGGCTTTCGATGGAGCGCTGACCAGGGAGGAACGGTATTTCAAATACAAGTATTTGAAATACGTATTTCAAATACTTTGTGTATTTTGCATTTGTATTTAATTACAAATTGGGTAATGTATTTGACGTGTGTATTTAAATACTAAAACGTGGGAATTTCAAATACAATTGTAATTAAATACAATTTTGTGGGCAAAAATACATCCCTCAAATTTATTGTCACGATAATTCTTGTTTTTATGATATGGCTGTAAGATATGGTCTCAATCCTTTATTCGGCCATGGGGCTTTTTTTATTTTTCTCCTCCGGCTTTATTTTAAAGGCACTGTCCAGAGCAGGAAGAAAACTATGTTCTGCACCGAATGCAGTGTCTCTCAATCAAGCACAAGCGTTTAGTGCCTTTGTGATTACGGTGCTAGTCCAGGGCAAGAATAGTGACGAAATCGACGTTCACAGGCGAACTGGCTAAATAAGTGCCTGTGACAACTTGTGATGCTTTCCAGCCTGATTTCCATCCATATGTTTGCCTGGAACATTCTAAATGCACGGGTCGTCCAGATTTTCGTAACTGGTGCGATTTGCAACAATAAAAAATTCTCTAGCTAGTGCGGTGCGTCTTGGTCGTCTCGGTTCTTTGTTGGTCTATACCAAAATGTAATCGACAAAAGAAGCTGCTTGAAGCTTTGTACTTTTTTTCATCTATTACGTCCAAGCTGATTGCATTTTTTTTTTGTGATTATATTTCTATTACGTTACTAGAGCCTCGCACACTAACTCCCGAGTGTGCGATGCAAAATTAAAATTAGATACCCAGAAACCCGTTGCAGGTGCCCTGAAGTCGCTGACGCAAATTTTGAGGAATGTATTTGGAAAAGTATTTGGAGGAGACCAAATACATTTGGTTGTATTTGTATCTTGTAATTAAATGCTTTTTTGGAAATGTAATTAGATTTGTAATTAAATACATTTTTGACCAAGTATTTTGTATTTGTATTTTGATACATATATTTGCATGTATTTTGCCCATCCCTGGCGCTGACACATGTGCCTTCAACGCACTCCGTCATGAAGAACGCTTCGGATTTCTCCCTCATCATTTTGTTTCGGTTTCGGGCTAAGATAATGGTGTTGTCAAACTTCAGGACACACCCACATCTGTTACACTGTACTGCCAGATTTCCCAAGGGTGACTATCTTACTGACAGTGCATGTTCCCTGAGCCGCCCATCGGTTTCAGTTTAAACACAAACCCTCAACTGCATGCTCGGCCACATACTTAGAAGAAACAACTTGCAAACTGTCGAGAGAAGAAAAAAAAGGATTATTGAAGCAATTGTGAAGAACAAATGTGGGCTGTGCCAAATCTTGGCTGCAGTGCTAGAAAGTGCACTATGTGTCCGGTACCAAACAAATGTCGACACAAAACTGCACAAAACACCTTACAGCTACCGCTATCTATGAGCGACGGCGGCAACCAGACAACCAGTCTGGTTGCCGCCGCCGCTCATAGATAGCGGAAACTTTTCCAGCTGGCCGCCGTTGCTCATAGATAGCGGTAACTTCTCCAGCTATCATAGAAGAATGGATAGTCGGGCGACTTGGTGGGAATTCATTGTAGGAAACAGGCGCGCAAAACAGACGAGGACGAAGAACTAACAGACGGGGCGAGCGTACAGCTTCACTGGTCTTCCTTCTTCACCAGAGTGGAAAGGCTGAAAGTTTTTTCTCCATTCGCTCCTCTCTGAACAAATGTCGTAGTGGTCACCGCCGGCTTCAGTCTGCGCTTGCCGCTCTTGAAGCTGTTCTATTCCAGCTGAAGAAGGCTGCTCAACTAGCAGCACGTGGCTATAAAGTATTCCGAGCCTAAGTGAAAATGTTTTATGTGACACTAGTTCTTTCGGCAAACACCTCGGCTGCAGGAGAGCGCATTTTTTTCTCCCCCGAAACAAGGGTAAAAAAGAAGCTTTTCCTGGCATTGTTTCCTTGTTTCTCGGCACTCTACCGCAAAGCACAAATGGCTACATATTGCAAAGGAACTTTCAACCTTA